AGAGGTAAAGGGAAGAGAGGTAAAGGGAAGAGAGGTAAAGGGAAGAGAGGTAAAGGGAAGAGAGGTAAAGGGAAGAGAGGTAAAGGGAAGAGAGGAGAGGCGCAGAGAGGCAGAGGGGAAGAGAGCATGTCTATGCAAGATAATAACAGAAACAAGGACAACGTAAATCCTAGAAAACTATGGCTCACCCATTTCGGCATATGCAAAGTCAGTCCTTTTAGACACCTTTTTTAAGTGTTACCTCACGCCGCGCCTCTGATCTACATTTTCAGTATAGCTAGATCACGAGTCTGGTTCTCATATATTAGGATGAACCTGGGTGCCAGCTTGGTTTATCTCATTTCCTCCAACTTCACAATGTATATAGCTTCCTCGTAGCATTGGAATGGATAATGACTGTAGGACCTAGGTAGATCTACGCTATTGTATTTTCAGCTGTTGTGCAATCAAAATCTACTTGAAATATGATCAGCTGTTTGGAACCTACTTTTACGTCGTGCATGGAACGCAGGTAGCCCTGGGGGACAATAAGAATACATATATAGTCTGGATGGCTGCAGTTTTGCATCAACTCGCCTCTATAGCTCAGTGGTAGAGCGCTTGACGTACGTAACCAATTACATTATTATTATTGAATTTACCCGCTAACAATTAAACAGTTGTATTCTCTGATATCAAGAGGTCCGTGGTTCAATCCCGCGTGGAGGCAATTTCTTTTTTTTTTTACTTTTTTCTTTTTTCCCCAATAAGCTATTGCCAGCGTAACGTTACCCAGACGCAGTGGTCAATAAGTCACATGACCATACACAGTCGCTTTTTGTATGATACAAGACCTAAAGTGGACAGAAAGTATGGGTTATGAGATGTCACGTGCACTCTGTAGATACAGCTGGCCCATGCATGGGCGAATAAACCAAACTGTCATGGCGAATTCCTCAGCTCTTATGAATTATTTCCCTAGCCAACTATCTATTGAAAATAGTCGCCACCATTCACAACTTCGCCTCTATAGCTCAGTGGTAGAGCGCTTGACGTATGTCTCCTCGTTATCCTTCTTGATAAATCAAAAATCTAACAATTAAACAGTTGTATTCTGATATCAAGAGGTCCGTGGTTCAATCCCGCGTGGAGGCAATTTCTTTTTTTCTTCTTCTTTTTTGTCCCTACCTTATCTTCAGCAGAGTATATTAAAAAAAAAAATCCCATAAACATTATTTTTCTTTACAAGTTAACGCCTACGTCTCTATCTGCCGCGACATTTTTATTGTCTCGTCCGATTTCTTCCATGCCCTGTGTACATTGCTGATTACCCTACGCCGTCTTTAGAGCATCTTGGGAGATAGCAAGGGCTATGACGGTCATGTGTTGATGCTCTTAACTCATACTAAATCACATGGGGGTATAAACGTATGATGATCGCTAACTCAACCGCAGTAAACGTGAAATACTAATGAATCCTTTGAATTGTCCAACACTTGATAGCAAGACGTGAGAAAGGAGGTGATGTGATAAAGTCGAGGATCCAAGAAGACGAGAGGACCGACCTGCCTTCCTCGGGACCTTCGCCTAGACTTCCATTTTGAGACATCATCAACAAGTAATGCCTTAGGATTGTCTGTATTTTGATATTTCTCTTTGTTCATTATGATACTCTATCAATGCTACCTAATCTATATGTGCTTTTGATTCGCTAGACGCCTTGTACTCCCTAGATCTCCTGATGCAAAAACAACGACATTTCTGGATGAATTATGACTCTCCAGGAATTAGTATGACTACCTTTATTCTTATGTAGCCTCAGCTCGTTTGGCAATAAGCACTCTTCTTTCGCAGCCAGTACCCATACTTCATGAAGATGAAGGGGATAACAGCCATACCTAGAGCACAGAATCCAAGCAAGGAGCTTGCCCACGGGATGCCCAGGGCATTGTACATCGGACGGGTGGCCAGTGGCAGGCAAACAGCAGTAATGGATCTAATCGTACTTGCTGCTGCCTGGGCAGAAGCCGAATTCTGCTTGTAGGCATCGGTCAGGTAGTTCAGCATGGCTATGAAGATGAGTAAGTAACCTGCACCAAAGAACAAACCAGACATCATGGGCATTATGGGGTGAATCGATTTGGAAGAAGACCATCCAAGCCAAAATAAAGCGATTACAATACTGGGGGACGTTAGACTCTAGGATAATAAGCATCGCTGCGAACGGTTGTCTTACCCGGGAGCACCGACACATCCAAGAGGCAATCGACGATATTCCTCCTGCTTAGCCCAGGTATGATTTGCGTTGACTGCCTTTTCATGGAATGAACTATACAGAAAGAACATAACGAGGCCCAGGGAGGAGCCAACCATCACTGTATTGTGTCGATGTCATTGGTACCATATGGCCAGAGCAAAGGTATGTCGTTGACTTACTCGGAATAAAAGCTAAGCCTGCCACACCAGGTGTCATGCCATACAAATCTTTATTGTTTGCATTAGCAAGATACATTGACAGTAAATAAAGGCTCTGCTCACCTTGAAAGACAATTGGATAGGCTTGAAAGAACAGATAGAAAACCGAATATATCAAAGCTAGATATAACGAGGTGAAGAGAACGAGTGGTTCCCGAATGGTCATCACAAATGGCCGGGTAAAGATCAGACCTATGGCGCTCAGGGAGGGTTTATTTGGCGAAGAGGTGCCCTTATCTTGGTCTAAGCCTTGTACCTTTCTTTGCCTTTTCTGGATCAGGACAGGAGCATAGGTCTCAGGCAGAAGAAGGACCAAAGGCAGTCCAACTCCAGCAGTTATAAGGCCAACCCAGAATGTCCACTGCCATGAGACTGTTGCAATGAATCCCGAAATCATCGGACTCAACTCCGGACCAAAAGGAGTGACGAACATGAACAGCGACATGGCGATCCCACGCTCTTTGGGGTGATCGTAGATATCCGAGTATAACCCACCCAGCACAGCATTTGGTGTAGCAGCATTCAATCCGCATAGAAGACGAAACCCGAGCAGCGATGAGTATGAAGGCGCGAGGGCACATGCCATGGTGAACATCGTATACCCAATATAAGAACCGATGAGAACAGGTCGACGACCGAGATACTCGCTCATGGGACCGAAGATCAACGGGCCCACGGCATATCCGATCAGGTAAAGGGAGTTGAGGAGCACTAGCTTGGTATCGGATTCGACATTGAAGTATTCCGAGATCTCGGAGCTGGCACCCGACGGCAGAGACGACCCCATGGCGCTGTTGAAGCAAAACACGATTCCGGCGATGACGATGTGCCATTTTCTGACCTGCTCAAAGAGCAAGATTAGCACAGATTCAAGTCCATTGCTGGCAATAATTGTTGCAAAAAGAGAAAGATATGTAAATTCTACTTACCTTGGAGAAGTTGACTGGATTCTGCGGGTCGTCGCTGGGGAACGAGGCCATTTCCTGGACCCTAGAAGAGGGCAAGCCATCTTTGAGCGTATCTGAAGACATCGTTTGACCGTTACTGGCATCTCACAACCTCCTGAATCAGAGGAGGAATTCCCTTTTCAAGAAGCTCGGGATCGGCCTTCTGTCCGATGTCCCCAATCCTGTGATGGGTCCCATGTTTTTCTCTCTGATAACAAATGCCCAATGCTATGGAGCAAGCAAGGTTAGCCACGGCGATGGAAGAGTCTCGAATTGGCTACAAGACAAGTCATAGGACTCCATTCCCTGCTAGAAGATAAATCCACCTCGTTTTCGTATCCATGGTGTGGCATGGAAGATGGATGTCTTTTCGTCTTCGGCTCTCCAGGTTTACGTGGGTCAATACAACTGCTAGAAGTAGAATACGCCCATTTTACCACAGAGACTACCTACATTGAATGTTGATGTGGCTGGTTTTATCAAGTATCCTAAAAATTGATCGTAATTAAAGCTCATTCTCATTCTTATTCTCATTCTATATCTAGGACCGGAAACCCATCCCGACATGAACACAGGAAATCTTATACCCACAGATCCGATTAGCCGGTCGACATGTCAAATGCCACGCCCTACGCCCTATGTAGGTAGAACACAACGCTCTAAACCCATCTGGTTGATGATCAGCATTATCTGGATGGAAATGATTCATTACTCGTGGTTCATTCAAGTGAATGAAAGTTATGCTTATTTTTCCAACGGAGCAGAGATATCGAACGAAATGGATTGATTGTCATGTCCACAACCCCAGTTCTAATGCTTACCACCATATAGCCTACGTGATAAATGACGTCAAAGTTGACGATATTGGGAATGCTGTATGACTTGAGAGAAGATTAGAGTCGCTCTAATTTCAAGTATAGGCTGGAAAGCCTAACCTTTCGCCGGAGTATGTACAGAACGTTGCGATATGCAATGCTTTTGAGACAAAAGAAATAGCTTCCTCCTAGACGAGCCAGAAAGAAAAAGAGAAGAGAAGGGAATAGAAGGAGGAAATTCGTTCTATAACCCAGTATCAATGCGGTATCATCAGACATTAGCCAGATAAATGAAAATAATAAATGCGCGCCTGCTTCGCAAGAAACAGTGGATATACAAAAAAAGCGGAGATTGCAGGACGATAAAATAGCGGAAATAATGCAAAAATTGAGCTTCGAGTTGAAATAGCAGAGGCGCCTATTCTGGCAATAGACAAGCCAGTGGCGTGACTAGGTGCTGTCGAATCCTCTTGAGTAGAATATAGACATAATACATCAAACAGATTCTGATGTATCATCTGCACTGGAATGGCGTCGCTCGTTCACACCACGGGCCATCTTCTTTCCCAACTCGTAGGTGGAAATCATAATGGCACAGGCGGGTGCTACCTTTAAGCATCGTGCCACCCAACCACGAAAGAGTCCAGCCATGCCTTCTTCGCGGAAAATGTGTAGCAGAAATTGCGGCAAAGAACGCTGCTCGGGCGGAACAGGGGGTCTAGGAAAAGTGTTTTTGATGGAGGTGGGATCTGGGCGGTCGTCACCCACGTGTCGGAACACCTGCTGGCGAGTCTTGCCCACATCGAACGGGGTGGTGACAAGTGCTGCAATGGAACCAGAAGTCGCCCCAGCGATAAAGCTGTCCATGAATGTAACTGTCTCCAAGCCCTGCGACTGCCGCTGTTCCGTGTAAGATGGGCCATGTGGCAGAATATGTGCCTCGGCCTGTTTGCGGGTTTCTATGAATTCCGTTTTGACTTTTTCGTATAACCACCAGTATAGACCAGAGAATGGTACATCGCGCCACATAGTAAGAGTCAACCCACGCCAGAGTGAGCTATATCCTCTGACCTGAGTCATCTCGTATAAACCTTCCAGCGTCTTTTTAAAATGGTCTGCGCCGGTGCCAGAAGTAGCCTGGAGACGCGTCCGGAACATTTCAATTGGACTGATCGCTGATGCAGCCGTGATTCTAGCCACGGATCCTGCGATAAGGGGAGTGTAGGCATCGGGAACGGCTTGTTTGATGGGGCTTCTGTCATCCGATCGCAGCCAGTCGTACCCAGAAAAGTAGATGATATTCCCGGGAATGCCCATCATTAAAGTCGGGCTAAGCCCGCGCCAGAGGGATAAGATGCCCTCGTTTCGAGCAATCTTCCTTAGACCGTCCAGCGTGGATGTAAACATCTTGCGCTGAGTTTCTTCCACTGCACATTCGGCCGCAGTAGCAGAGCTGCTGCTGATTGCCCCTACGTTGGGCCCCGCCATGCATATCTGAGAGTTTTGTCCGATCCAGAATACTTCACGGCAACAGGCAGTCACCCCGATATTAGGAGGCATGTTGTGCAGTGTTGGAGCGGTATGGGTGACAAAGGGAGATGTACTTTTCATCGAGGATTGGGCTTGGAGTCGAACACGAACGACATCGAGGGGAGTCGCTGAATGTAGAGCAGAGTATTAGCTTGTTGCTCGATGCATGCCACATCTAGCCGATAGCTTACCTAGGAGGGCCGTCAGGATGCTACCACTAGTGGCAGAAACCATCTTCTGTGCCATGGAGGTATCATCGTTCACTTGTTTGGCTTCCGGGACAGGGACTGCCCCCGTTCCAGCTGAGTTCGCCATGGTTGAATTGTCAAGATAATGCCATGACTCTCCAGGATGCCCCTCTGACCCTGCAGTGCTACTCCTCAGATCGTCAGAGCGGTATCGGTCTCCACGCGCCAGATTAGACCCAACGTCGGACATTCATTCGGTGAGGGCGGAACAGCGCGCGTGTGGCGTGTCTATCGCTCCGTTGGCTTATCTGAAACACTGTCACAGTCGTTCAATTCGAATAATATCGCAAGACCGGGCGCAGAATCCGAATAATGGGGGAGAGAAAGCAAGAGCAATGCGTCCGAGAAAAAGAACGTTCGATTCTCGGTTGTTGGCGGTGGCGCTGGGCCCAAAGCGGTTTAGGACCGGAGATAAGCAGCGACACACTCTCCGCGCAGCAGATCGACTGTCGTCTTATTCCTCAGCTGCAGACGAGATTCGATTGAGTTGTGACTGGGAGCACGCAATGGATCCTCTGACGTGACAGATTGCCGTTTCAGATTAAAAAACCATCTTTTTTGCCAATATCCTGCAGGTTGAGGTCCAACGTCAATACGAGCATCGTCAAGCTTATCAATCAACGCTCCGACCGCACCCGTGTCTCGACCAGCAATATGGAGGACAATGCCGAACTCGAGTCGTTTCGACGCCAGTGGCGTGAAGAGGTTGCTCGTCGGAGAACGCAGGATCGAGCTCATACCTCCCAGGCAGATAATTCTGCCTTTTCTTCGACGCGACCGCAGCAAGCTCCTCCAAGTCACTTCGAGGTTGCTAATCCTAAAGAGGAGGAAGATGAGGAAGATGAACAGGAAGAGCATGGCCCGACACCATTTGACCAAAGTGAGATCGTTCATCAGGTTGGGCAGTTGAGCTTAGATGGGGATGGTGCGAAAACAAGCAAGAAAGAACCTAAATCAGCTCTGGAGCACTTCGAAAGGGCGGTCGAGAAGGAGGAAGAGGGCAGTTTGGGAGACAGTCTGCAGCACTATCGCAAGGCATATCGTGTAAGCCTTCCCTATATAATTTGAAAGATTTTATGTATTGATTATTTTATCATCTAGTTGGACTCGGATATCGACAAGACCTATCGCAACAAGCACTTCGCTGCGGCATGGAAGAAGCCCGCGCAATCTTCCAATACTTCAACGAAAGGCCACTCGGCAGCTCAACAATCTCAAGATAAACCGGTGAATCTACCAACGGCTGAGCTCATTGCATCCTTTGCCCATTTACCAATCCCGCAAGCTGAGCCTCTCATTGAAAACACACCCCCGCCTCCGTGTCCTATCGCGAACGTCCCGTCCGATGTGATAGTTGAGGTTCTAAAGCATGTTGCTTTAATGGACCCTGCATCATTTGCCCGGGTGTCGCTGGTGTGTAAGCGCCTGGCATACCATTTTGCCCATGAGCAGCATATCTGGAAACGGCTGTGTCAGGGCTCTCAATTTGGGTTCAAGGCAATGCATTATTCCTTTGCCTGTGATGTTTTTGGAGTCCCTGAATATACGCTAGGTCCTCGCTACGCTTTATTCCCTTTTGATGGACCTGCGAAAATCCCAAAGCCACTGTCTTTATGGAGCCAAGTTTTTCAAACGTTTCCTCGGATTCGCTTCACAGGAATATACATTAGCACGGTAAACTATACTCGCCCTGGTGATGCTTCCGCATACCAGAACATATCGTGGAACAGCCCCATTCACATTGTGACTTACTACCGGTATCTGCGATTCTATCCAGATGGGTCAGTCATATCGTTGCTTACCACAACGCCGCCGAAGGAAGTTGTCCCGCATATCAATATGGAGAATGTGATGACATCTCGAAATATAAAATCTCCACGACGCCAATTCTCAGGCGCAGGGTCGACTTTGGCAGGTGCTCCCGACCCAGTACCAGCTGTTGCCATGGCTTCATTGAAGTACGCCCAACGAGGCCGCTGGCATCTGACAAAACCGATCGATGTTCCTGATTCATCGAACCCGGGAATCAAAGCGGCGGAAAGTTCCCAGCATCACCCTCCAGTGCCGGACAAGGCTGCGACGCCTGACGCTCGAGACGTCGTCATTGAAACTGAGGGGGTAGGCCCCCAGTACGTCTACACCCTCCATCTATCCCTGCGGTCATCGGCCTCACGGCCTCACAAATCGGACGTTGCACCCCCTAATCCGAGCAAAAACACAAAGTTGGCCTGGAGAAGCTACTGGAGTTACAACAAACTTACGGATGACTGGGCTGAGTTTAGGCTCCAAAACGATCGATCCTTTGTCTTCCGGCGCGTTCGGGGCTGGGGTATGAGCTGATGATTTATGAATTTTACTATTCTTCACTTTGTAAATAAGCACCAGGCGCAGAGAGAAGAAATGGCGTACGATTTATGGCAAGAAAAGAGAGGGACACGGGTATCTATACATGATCTCAAGACATGATAAACAGAAATACCATTATATAAAGATAGCAAAATATGAATGAATATAAGCTAACACTCAATATTATCTTTACCATCACACTGTCGTGCATATAAAGTCGTAGAAAGCCATACAGAAAGAACCACGCCAAGCGGCTTATCGATAAGCGTCCCTGGGGAAAAAATTTCGGGGCATTGAAACCTCGACAGAACCACGCAAGAGACACGAGACCACGACATAGAAAGGCATTCGTTATCTAATGGCCAATTTGACGATTCATCTGACTTTTTGATCCTAATATATTCGAATTGTTACCCCCATCTGCCAGGCGACAGCTCACGATGCCGGAGAAGGTGCGCACGGTCTTCAACGACTCGGATGAGGAGCCCGTCATCGCGAAGAAAGAAGCCCCCTCAGAAGACAAACAGCTGAAGAAGGAGAAATCGGTGAAAAGAAAAAACAAAAGCAAGGAAGATGATAGTGAGAAGAAAAACAAGAAGCGAAAGCATGAGGAACCGGTCGATAGCCCGCAGACGACCGAGGTCAAAGGACCATCACCCAATGCCGAAGAGAAGAATGCGACCAACGGCGAAGTAAACGACAAGGTCCGTAACTTGAAGGATAAAAAACACCAAAAGCAGAAACAAAAGCCGTTCAAAGATGCGAAGCACAATTACGCCTCCTTAAAGGACAAAGCTAGCGCACTGTATGCGATCCGCAAGAACCTCCCCATCTTCCCTCACGGCGATGAGATCCGACAAAACCTGCGCAAAAACGATGTGATGCTCTTGGTCGGAGAAACTGGTAGCGGAAAGAGTACGCAGATTCCGCAGTTTTTGGTCAACGAGCAGTGGTGTCGTCCGACAAAGGCGACTGTCGTGCGGGATAATGGCTCGAGCAGAGATATCACAGTTGGTGGGTGCATTGCTATCACCCAGCCAAGACGAGTGGCAGCCATTTCGCTTGCTCGACGAGTGGCGGAAGAGATGGGAACACCGTTGGGATCTTCGTCGCCGGCGAGTAAAGTTGGTTACTCGGTTCGATTCGATACGTCTACGTCGCCCGGTACGCGGATTAAGTTTTTGACTGAGGGAATGCTGCTACAGGAGATGCTGCATGACCCGCATTTGACCAAGTACAGTGCTGTCGTGGTTGATGAAGTGCACGAACGAGGTATCAATGTTGATTTGACGCTGGGTTTCTTAAGGAATCTGGTGTCTGAAAAAAAAGAAGGACGAGGCGGAGTGCCACTCAAAGTCGTGGTCATGAGTGCTACGGCTGACATGGAAAGCCTTCTAGGGTTCTTCAAGGAAGGGCTTCAAGCTCCAAGCCCTCGGAACAGGATAGAGGAGAGTGCTGCCAAACCGGACTCCGAAGACGAAAAGAAAGGCAAGGAGATTTCTGCTTGCCATATAAAGGGTCGTCAATTCCCAGTCAAAACGATCTACTCACCAGAACCGGTTCATGATTTTGTTGATGCAGCTCTTAAAGTTATCTATCAGATTCACTACAAAGAACCAATGCCTGGTGATATTTTGGTATTCCTGACTGGACAGGAAACCGTCGAGGCCCTTGAGCAGTTGGTCAATGAGTACGCCGTTGGAATGGACCCTGCACTCCCCAAAATCCAAGTTCTGCCTCTCTTTGCTGCTCTTCCCCAAGTAGCTCAACAGCGAGTGTTTATGCCAGCTCCCCCTCGCACTCGCAAGGTGATCTTGGCCACCAACATTGCCGAAACATCCGTGACGGTGTCTGGGGTGCGGTTTGTCGTGGACTGCGGCAAAGCAAAGGTCAAGCAATTTCGCACAAGACTTGGGCTGGATTCGCTCTTGGTTAAACCCATTTCAAAGTCGGCAGCTATCCAACGGAAAGGTCGTGCAGGTAGAGAAGCACCCGGTCAATGCTACCGACTATATACAGAGAAGGACTACTTGGAACTTGATGAGACGAATACTCCCGAGATTCTGAGATGCGATCTGAGTCAAGCTCTGCTCAACATGAAAGCCCGTGGTGTCGACAACGTCATGGGCTTTCCGTTTCTCACACGACCCCCACGCGAGGCTCTAGAAAAGGCACTACTTCAGCTGCTAAGCATCGAGGCTCTAGGGGATTCTGGTGAGATCAGTGCTATCGGATCGCAGATCGCCAAACTTCCCCTCACGCCTACACTTGGACGTGTGCTCCTCGCTGCATCCGAACATGGGGCGGGCTGTCTGACAGACGTGATCGATATAATTTCTTGCCTCAGCGTGGAGAACATCTTCCAGAACACGACCTCGGAAGAGAAGAAAGAAGAGGCAGAGAAGGCCCGGCGGGATCTCTACCGGAGAGAAGGTGATCACCTTACTATGCTGACGACGGTGCGAGCCTATGCTGCAGAGCATTCAGACCGCAAGGCCTGGGCATCAAGACACTTGGTTTCGCACCGCGCCATGCAGTCAGTGATGGTATGTCCTCTCCATTTCATCATCTATTTGAAAGTCTACTAACCTCCCAAACCAGGACGTTCGCAAGCAACTCACCATGCAATGCCGCCAGGCCAAACTCCTCCCCAGTACCGAACAGGAGAACCCATCCTCCATCGTCCGCGAGCCGTCTCCGGTCTCCATCCTGAAAAGTTTCCTGTGCGGCTTCTCAACCAACACTGCCCGGCTGGTCCCGGATGGCAGCTACCGCACAGTAGTCGGCAACCAGACGGTGGCAATCCATCCATCGAGTGTGCTGTTTGGCAAGAAGGTCGAGGCCATCATGTACAACGAGTTTGTGTTTACAAACCGCAGCTATGCGCGAGGAGTGAGTGCGGTGCAGATGGATTGGGTTGGAGAAGCGTTAGCAGGTTAGACAAAAGTGCGGGGATTGCATTTCAAAAAGGCATAGATTTATACCCATGATTTATTTCAAGTTTTTCTCGTCATTCATCTTGTATCTAGACTAGCTAAGTTAAATAGACTTCTTAGTACTGCATACAGACCTGCTGAAAATCCCGTGTTTACTTCGCATCAGCACCATCGACCAGCCACAATAAACTACAATATATGATGATCAACAGCATACATTTCGAATAACCCCTTGCATATGTGCCCAAGCTGTTTCAGACGCATTGCGGATGACATGTCAACTGTAGGAAAACACGTCAATTGATGCTTCACGTATGACGATCATTATGTGACATCCTTGTCCAGTACTTTTTACTCTGCGATCCCGTATAAAACAACAGATATAATTGTCCTTCAGAAATGATGATATCATACGAAGTCTACTCTTGGTTGCCAATGCATTAAATGCAAGAAAGGCATCATGTCGAATTTCCATTATCAAATAGAAAGTTAAAGTTTTGACATTGATTCTAATATGAATTAAGTACAGATAGTAAATGAACCATAAATATCTGAGACCATTGAAATATTTCCCCTAATTATGCTCAATCCATACATATTTCTTCAACCTTCTTGACCCAATCTTGGTCTTGGTCTTGGTGGCGGCATATTCTCGTCCCTCAGGCAACTCACGAAGGGAAGTCGGAGACTTCCAGGTCGATAGATGCACTCCGGGGCCCCATAACCGGCATCTGGGGAGTCACAACCAGGCTCGGTGAAGATGGAGAACTCGCCTCTTGGGAGCGTTGGGGAGCGTTTGGTATTTCCCACTGGGTCGTTTCCAGGAATCGTACAAACACATCGAAAGGGTTGGTGTCAGGGTCACCAAGTTCTAGCAGTTTGCCCTTGCGGATAATGAGATTATGGCCGTTGTGAAAGCCTGGATGATCCTGCCGTGCTGGGGGCCCATGAGATAAGATCATGACCTATTCAGAGTTAGAAGATAGGAGATGGGAGATATCATAGATAGAGTTACATACTGGAATGGTCAGATGCTGGTCGAACCTTTGAAACAACATTCGACTCTCGATTGCGGCGATGATTGCAAGCACTTCTCCTCTTAGGAGATTGTCATCGCCGTTGATATCATGTTTCATGGTGAACATGATATGGGGCTTTTTCTCTGGGTCTTCTGTTCCTCATGCGGCCACGGGGCTGAACTCGGGGCTCTTCTCGCGGAATATTGTATCCACGATGTTGTCTTTAAATATCGATTTAGTGAAGCCCCTAGAAACGGAGTATTTAACTTTGATGGTCAGTAAGCAACAGAAGCAGATGACTTACCCTCGATATCTCCATTCCGTCAACCGTATAAAGGGGCCTTCTTCTCTCTCATCCTCGTCATCTTCTGGCGTGTTTGCCCTACATAAACCCTCCACCTCCCACGTAAGACGGCTGCAAAGAGCGTTTGCAATGCTGATTGCGGAGTGCCTTGGCATGTTCTTCAAAGTATCGTCCAGCATCGCCAAATGAGACAGTGTCTCCTTATGCTCTGTAATAGGGTATGCCTGTAACTTTGCAGCCGAAAGTGGCCTGAAGAATACCGGAGCCTTTAGTGGCTCTTCTGACATGGACAGCTCCTGGACCTGGATATTGAATTTGACGACATCGTAGATATCCTAGGTGGGCTTTGGGTGGTCCTTGATGACCCGGAATAATTTGTTGAGGGTCTTTCGCAACTCCTTCATGGCCTTGTCTTTTGTTGGCAAAGGCTGCAAGAGGCTTCGCGAAGGTCTCAGCGATAGGTGTCTTGATGCCATAGTGTTTGATTGAGAGTAATGATGTGAAAGCTGTATTATGTCTTCAATATGAGGGCTACAGTAGATATCTCGAGTGCAAGGTGTAGTGATGAATGATGGATGCTTGAAGGAGTGGAGATGGAAGAAGAAAAGTCTTGATGCTGCCTGGAATAACGTAGATAGGCAGAAATACCACAAACAGCCACTTTATAATCTTGATGTGACAGATCGCCATCACTTTCGCAGCTGATTTATTGGCCAGAACAAAAGGCATCTAGGACTGGATATCAAATCCCCGTCTTGAAGACATCTTTCGAGGCAGCGATTATCTGGCGATGAGGCTTTGACAGAAACCACTTGAATTATCCAAGGCAAACGGTAGGATTTTTTTCGTCTTTCATCTTTCATCTTTCATCTTTCATCTTTCTGTTCTCCTGCTTTCTTCTTCGAAGCCAAAGCTAATGCGGTGTTGCTCCAGCGCTCTTTTTTCCGCACAACATGAGGTCTCTTCGACTTTCGCAGAGCCCGATGCACACTATAAACGATATCCTGATAGTAAACACGTAAATAAGGACTTATGGGGTATGGAATATCATGGGATTGCATATGAGTTAGCAACGGCAGTGGTGGCATTTGGCATTGACGATACTCGTCGCCTCATCAGTCAGCCTCATCAATGCCTGAAGGGGACGAATTCTCAGGGTATAATATTTGATACATCGCTATAGGGCAGTCAGATGATCCCAGCATCTTAATCTCTTTTTATATTGCCTATTTGGGATATCACCACGTCGATGCGATGCCGCCGAAAACAGCCCGACGAGTGGGTGAGATGGAACAATCGAGGTTTCAGCAGGCTTTGGCTTGATCGGCCAACGAACAATGGACTGCTATCTTATATCTCCTGAGATTCAAATCAAATTACCAGCCTGAGCCTGTTGAGCCTGTTGGGCTTGATGGCTTCCACTTTGGCTTCATGATCAACTTAACTGGTCACGTCATTATTTGTGTACGAAGAGGGGACATCAGGAGATGATCATTTTTTGCCAGCAATCACGAACTCCTAAACTTCTCAAACCCGGAAATGCAGTAAATTATGCTCTAATTAAAATCTACGCCCAGACTGCAATTCTCCCAAGAGCCACCTCTTTTGCCTCTTCCACTGCGTGTCTGCTGACTCGTCACAACGACGACCTCTGGTACATATCGACTTTGCCCGATCCTTGCTACATTTCGCTCGTAGGGGATCAAATGGATCAGCATACGATCCTCTGACTCTGCTGCGATTAGCCGTCCGAGCAAATCCTACCTGATGGCCTAATTGTGTCTCATCTCAGCCTGTCGTCGCGTTGTCGCTCCGTGATCGCTTCGATTCGATCAGTCGATCAGCTTCCCTGCTGCTTCCGTCACCGTCACCGCATCCACCGCATCCACTGGTGTTGGAATAGTTACTTTCTCCAGCTTATCTTTTCTTTTTCCACTTTCTTTCTTTCTTTTCTTTTTCTCTGCTTTATCTTCTCCTCTTCTCCTCCCACTTCGTCTGCATCAATCCTCTATCCTACTTCCTATCAGCCTACGTGGGGAAACTTCACCCACCCGACCGTTCTTATCTCTACTATCTCCACGCATCATCCTCTTCTCCATCTAACAACCCATGGCGTTTCGACTACCAGCCCAAGCCCCTCCTCGTCGACATACTTCCTATTCCAACTCTCAATATCCCCCTACCCTTGATATCCCTTCGACAGACGACCCCGACCCGACAGCGCAATGGGTTCTCTTCTCCCCCTCCCAGCCCTCCATCACCGCCCGCACTCACACGACCTCGACTGAACGTACCCCACGCACAGCTGGTGCCTCCCGCCTGAGTGACTTTGGGTCCTTTGGCACTCCCACTCGCTCTACATTAGCTTTAGAGGGTGATGAGGATAATGATGAGGTTCTCGACGAGCCCTTGGACGAGGACGGTACTGAACTAGACAGCTTGGATGACGGGCTTCATGCCTTTCGGGCCCCGTCCGTGACCAACGACGAGTCCACACAATGGGGCCAGGGTGCCCAGGCTGTACTTCCAGCCCACGATGGGCTAGGTAGTTTCCAGGCGTCTAGTCAGACTGTTCAGGATCAGCTGTGGCAGCACGAACAGTACAACCCGCGGCGCAGGCCCGAGTTACGGCTACGACGACACTCCAGCGTTCAACGTGAGTTGGATACGATCGCGGATAACCAGCATGTCAATACAGAGCGAGACCGATGGCAACGCATCGAGAAATGGAGGATGGACCAAAGTCGAGTACTCTTACAGGAGATTGAGAAAGAAACACGACGGCGGCGGAACAGTCAAGCCAGTCGGTCGACAGACCAGGTTCCTTCTCAGTCGATTGTCCCAGACTCGCTAGATGACATTCCGGAGACGCTCAAAGAGCACACGCCTGTTCCGCCGGCAGCAGAACCAGAAGCTGACGACGAATCTTTATGGCGACGCATCACTCGGAAGGTGATCCAGGACCTAATTGGTATTGACGACTCCTTGCTCTCGGTTATCTTTGGTGAGTCGTTGCCTGAGGAGGAAGAGGAGCTCCGAGAGCAGAGCACAACTGCAGGAACAGATAGCGCTCTCAGCATAGATGACTCGATTAATCGCGAGCTGGAGTCCGTGCCCGACGATAAAGATCTCTGGCAGAGTAAACTACTTCGGCGTATTGCGCACGAACTTGGTGTTCTAGTCCACCAGCTCTGTGAGCACCCCGGGGCTTTTACAACATATCTTAACTTATCCAGCGATATCAACAACGAATATGCTGGCATGCCTGTCCGGCCCCGGCCAGAAGGGAATGACTCGCAGACGCGCTCTGGGTTGACTGCCCTCTCCACATCAGCAGATATGACCAATGACGCCACCAGTTCGATTTTGTCCCCGCAATTTACCCCCACGCTGCGCGATCCCAACAAGGAGCATGCAGCCCAATGGGGCATCGAGGAGGAAGACAACCTGACCCGCATGGCACGTAGCAATACACCTGACCCGTTGTCCGAATCGGCTCATCTACATAATGAAAAGGAATATTGGGAGCGTGAACTGGACGTCACTATGGTCTTCCGTTATCTCCGCAACCGTTTTACTCGCCGCAATAGTAATACTGACACCAACTATACCGCCTCTCGTCGACACTCTCAAGATGCGTCTCGCCGCGCAGCAATCATTCGACAACATCATCCTTTAGTTGCCCGGGCACAATCTCGTTCTCAGGCACAGGTTCGACGTCAGTCCCAGTACTCCGGAGGGGTTGCAGGCCCAGTCAGAGTCTCGTCCCCTCTGCTCCGCCAGAACTTCCGTCGGCCCAGTTCCAGCTGTGCAAGCCAGAGTGCCAAGCTATCAACCATTTCCAGTCATCGAACTCTCACTGGCTCCAGTCGGAACTACTGGGACATTGGCGGGAGCGTGGAAAGTGGAAGCCCCATTGCACCCGTCGGAGCTGGTCTCGGAGCCTGGGGAGATGTCTAGTCGACCTCTGGTAATTCAACTTTTAATTAATTCCGGCAATATACACCTTTTATCTAGCATGCAGGCCATCTACTGTTGATAATACTACATATATCAAGGAGTCTGATCGGTGGTGTCTACAGCTTCAACATATCTTACGATCTGCGATGTCTCATCTGGACGTGTTTCATTTCACTTGGCTGGCCCTTTTTTTTGCTCCTCAGCTTTGACATCTCTCATATCTACACCATCATACTACATCATACATACATATTTCTATCTTGGGATCTTGGGGTTTGGGAGTTGTGTACAGGGCCATCTATTCGTTTCAATGCATATTGATATTGATTGGTATATTGATTTATCGGGGCTTTTTGCATTCGTTTATTCTGGGCTGTGTGCTTGTCCATGGTGTCATATGGTGTCATCAATAGGTTAGATGGTGTGGATATGGAAGATGATAGTGCCGCAAGGCTTTACTGTATATTTCTCATCGATCGGATCATTGCATCAATATACTCCATATAAACATTTTGAGTTTGATATTGTCTGAACCAGCTATGAGATCATAATAAATAATAATTTGAATTTATTTATACCAGACCCACGTGCGTAGAGAGCTTTAACGTATCGATACGTTAGCCGATATCGGATCAAGCTCGCAGAAAAGCAATGTTCGATGCTAGGAGACGTCTACAAATACGGCATACAGACTACTGGCTCAGACCCTCAGATACCATTAGAGATCATCGTGTTTGTAAAATTCTTATCGTAATAATCTCTTGGTCACTACCATTACCACAGGTCACTGCCATCAGGGTTGAGGTGTGTTGCGAGAAGAAACAAGCCGTGGAAAAACCATGATTAAACAACTCCGTCGTGCGTGAGGGGGAGACACAAGGACATCAAATTGAGGGGATTAACACAAAAAGTTCGCTTTTTTCAATTCCATATCTAAGCCTGAGCAACGTTCTCGTAGGCGTCGGGGAATCTCTTCATGTTCTCCTCAACGGGACCGTGACCGCGCAGGAACTGGACATAGGCACCGTCCTGCTTGAGCTTGCCCTCCTGGCGGAGCTGGACGTAGTCCTCGCGGCGAACGGGGGTGAAACCCCAGTTCTTGGACACGACAATCTTTTGGCGACCGGGGAACTTGTACATGGAGCGACGGAGAGCCTCGATGGCGGCGGCACGGTTGGAGTCACGGGTGCGGACGGACAGAATGATCTGGCCAATGTTCACACGGGCGACGAGACCGTTGGGCTTACCGAAGGCACCACGCATACCGGTTTGGAGACGATCGGCTCCGGCACACGACAACATCTTGTTGATACGGACGACGTGGTAGGGGTGCACACGGATACGGAGGTGGAAACCTTCCTTACCGGCGATCTTGACAAGGTACCTGAAATAACACCCATTAGTCTTCTGTTCCTCTTGTCTTTATGATATCTCCCATCTCGGGTTGGTTGTGTCGGATACATACTTGTTGGCACAGATACGGGCGGCTTCGAGAGCCTCGGAGGACAGCTGCTCGTACTCGTTGGAGACCAAGTGCACACAGGTGGGGAAGTCGTCGACGTTGGCCTTCTTACGTCCGAGATCGTAGATACGGATCTTGGGGTCGGGGACACCACGGTTGAACCGGGACTTAGGGTAGGGCTATCATCGCAAAGTCATGTCAGTATTATCGTCCATCTCGAATCTCGGTAGATATAAAAAATTCTTGGTCTGAAGCAAAAAACAAAATCCATTAAATGATATCGATAAAAGCGACACGGTGACGTTGGGCAGACTCTGTCCGTCATTTCAGGCAAGGGTGTTGCTGGTGCCTCTGCCCTCTCCCCACAACCGAAAATCCACAGAAATCAAGATAGAGAAAAAAAAAAAAACTTCAAGACTTCGCACGCACCTTGTTCTTGCAGTAGCGGTAACATCTCGCGGGACGACGGGCCATCTTGAATGCTGGAAATGGGCTGTCTGCACTTCCTGCGAACTGAGGTTGTCGAAAAAAGGTGTTGTCGGTCGGTCGGAGAGCGAAAAGGAAGGGGATTCTTCTATGCGAGGCACTTTCGGCGTTGATTTCCAAGCAGCGCCCGCTAACGAGTGGCAAAGCCCTAAGCCCTAGGCCGTCCACCAATTATGTCTCCGAGCCGAGATGACGCATTTGTCATGCTTATCGATTAGGCAGATTCTGGTTGATTTTCAGCTACAGATAGCGGATTTAGATCTTCCATCTACAGACGAACATGGATAGCTACAAAGATCTTCATGTTATCTACATGGCTTAATCTACGGAATAATGCATATATTTATTGCTCAAACCGCAAGGTGTAAATTGCTTTTTTTGTCATTATCTAACATATGCTAAGACATGCAGACGTTGAGATATAACATCAATCGTAATTTCCCGGGTTTACACCTTTACTGGCCGGAGAGGATGTCGGAGTCACCGGCGTCCAGGATGGCCATGGTAGAGCAGCGGAAGAGCTTACCGCAAGCGGTTCCGAGCTCAATCTGTATATCAAAAGAAAACACCGGTTAGCCATTTGTCTGTACCCTCCAAAGCCTTGGATTTTGCGGCTTCTTCTCAGGGTGGCTCCCATCTCATCCTCCACGTGGGAAGGTGATGAGGGGCCCAGCTTGAGCAAGGAGTAGATGTATTGTCAGAACTTACGTTGTTGCCAGAGAAGTGGTGGACGGGGGCCTTGGCAAGCATGGCGTAGTACTCGAGCTCACTCTTACGGAGAGGAGGAGCGTTGGCGGAGATGATGACCAACTTGGCCTTGCCGGAACGCAGGGTCTTGATGGTGGACTTGTAACCCAGGGTGACTGTTGTGAGGGGAGCGCAGTTAGCCATCTGCAAAATTTCATCTTATCTTCCTGCAGCCGATCAGAAAAACGTACCCTTTCCGGACTTCATCACAAGCGCAAGGCGCGAGTTGATGTTGTCACCGGACTTCTTGCTCTTGTTGGCCATCGTTACGCTGTCGAAGAAGATGAACTTCTAAATTGACTTGAAAGATTGAAAATAGTGCGCTCCGGCCTGGTTTTCCTGGGATGCGTTGAGGTTAAGAAGTTGAACGGACCGTCGAGAATTTTGTGTGGGTTTGGCGAGCCCCGATCGGCCGGAGAAATATTGTCTCCGTTCCGTTATTGCTGAGTCACCCCGCTGTTTGCTTCCGGCGGTATTGTGTATCAATGCATTACTGTATCTTACATCACCATAGATTACGGGCTGTCTGTCTATCTGTCTCCCTGCCTGACGATGAGGTGGTGGTTGACCAGCAGTATCACCTGCAGACGTGGCGCAGTATCTCAGAGTTTGGTTCTGGTGGTTCCCTACCGGACAAATGAGTCGATGATCAGTGGCGGGCTTTGATGACTTATTATTATCTCAGACACAAAGCAAGGTAGAGTGAGGTGCTATCTTTATCGACAGCCATGAGTTAGTTGAATTCGTCCAGAAGGGGGGGCCGTTTTTACCTCGTAATATGGCTAGGCCCCGTACTGGCCCCCGTAGTTTTGGGACTAGCCTGTAACTTTAGTCTGACTGTAGTAGGGGAAACCGCATGTATTATTGCCGTTTCCATACGGATATTTGCTCCTAACAATAATTATTATTCCACTCGGGGTCCGCCTCTTTTCTCTCGCTCCCCTCCCCAACTTCCCTCCTTCATCACCCATGCATACTGCGTCGGATTGATTTTTGACGTGATTTCTTCAATTTGATCTGCTCTCCGTGGCAGTCTTTCTTCCGAGGTGGCTAGACGGTTGCCCGGCTGCCAGCCATTTGAACCTTCCCCCACCTAGTGTCCACACTGTGTTTTGACCGCTACTATATAACGTCTCGTTCCTTTAAATTCATCAGTAATCTCCGGCCGTTTCATCACCGTCTTTTGAGGTTACAGATCTTCTCCTTTTCCTTCCCCTGTCTGGAGTCTCTTGCTGTGTCTCCTTCAGAGTTGTTACACCTCTTCAACCTTTTCCATTGCCCCCCGCCAACATGTCTGCGTCACCTCGCAAGCCTGGGACGCCAGCTCATTCCAGGTCCTCGACCGCAGAAAACCATCCCGTTAATGGCTCTTCCCCTCGAACCCATTCACGATCTCCAAGTGCAACGACCAACGGTGTATCTCGCACTCCATCCGTCCGTGGCTCGACCCCGGTCTCTGCGCGTGCTGCGGCCAGAAAGCCAACTCGCTCCTCCAACCTCAGCATGTCGAGTGTCCCCAAAGTTGCAAACGATCCGTCCGAGGAAGAGGCGCGAGCGCAAAATGCTGCCCTTATCGAAGAATTGAGAGAACAATTGCAGAAGGCAGAGACCGCCTCGGAGCAATATCGCAAGCAGCTCGGAGTTCTGCAGATGCGGCTCGACGAGGCGGTCAGCGAACAGGGCAAGCTGGAAGACCAGGCCCATGAGAAAGATGGCAGATTCGAAGCATTGAACGGTGAAATTCGTGAGCATGTTCGCCAAATCCGTGATTTGGAGCAGACGCATGAAATGGAGCGGAATGCCATGCTGCAAGAGAAAGAACAGCAGGCCAGCCGTGAAGAAGAGATGCAGGCAACCATCCAGCGTCTCAAAGAAACAGTCGCCCAGAAAGACATGCGGATCAACGCTGATAGCGACAAGAACGTTTCTCGCTCTTGTAAGTCCTCTGCTCTGCTTCCCCCTTTTGCCACATCTTGTTGCTAACCTATGTTGAAGCGAGCTTCCGTAACAGATCTTCCCCCGATGTGGATGGGCAATTCGCGCCCTCCTCCCAGATTGAGCGAAGCCCTTCGCGCAACAATTCAACGCTGCTCTTGCAGAAAGACAAGCTAATTGAGTCCCTCAGACTTGAGCTGGCTGAGTCTCAGATCAAACTCGTGGAGATGGAGAACAAGGGAGGCGGCCGCCAACGCGAACTCGAGAAGGAGCTCCTGGAAGCTCGCATGGCAAATGCTCGCTTGATGGAAGACAACGAGAGTTATCAGTTGCTTCTCAGCGAGCGAACTCTCAATGGCGACTTTCACAAGGGTGATTTTATGCGCGAAGCCCATCCTGACGCCGCCGAAACCAAGGAGCCCAGCAATGGCTTGGGTTCGTTGGCTGATGAACTCGAATCGGTCGACGAGAGAGTTGAAACAGACAACACGCGCAAGTACGAAGCAGAAATCAAGGCCCTCAAAGATCAGAACAAAGCTTTGACTCTCTACATTGAGCGCATCATCAGTCGTCTGCTTCAGCACGAAGGCTTTGAGACTATCTTGGACAAGAATGAAAACGAAACCCCAGCTACCTCCAAGCCGGGAACTGCAAGCAGTGACAAGGATCTTCCGCCAACGCCTCCCGAAAAGGATGATAGCCAGACATTCCTGCAGAGGGCCAAGTCCGTCGTCTCGGGTCAAAACAATCGGCCTCTGCCCCAGCCGGCTGTGCCTCAGCCGGCTCTGTCTCAGCCGAGATCGCGCCCAGTTAGCTACATGCCCCCGGCATCTCTCAGCTCGACCCATGAAAATCCCGAAACCGCCCCCAGCATTCCCATCAATCGTGCTCAATCCGTGCGGTCTGGCCACCGCAGAGCCCGCTCAGACCAAGCGGATGTGGCAGCTGCAGCAGTTGTGGGGCAGATGTATCGTGGTCGCAACTCAGGTGGCCCTATCAGCCCTACGATTATGGGACCTGGATCTCGCCAAAGCGCCTTCTCCGGGGCTAGCTACATGTCAAGCATGAGCGCTGGTGGTCGTGCCCCGTCCCTGTCTAGTCAACCCGACCAGGGTAGACTTAGCAGTTCCGGTAGTGTCACCAGTGATCTCCACGGCGAAACTGCGTCTACAGGTGCAACCTCAAGCTCACCACGTTCGAGCAGTGGAATGACGAATTACACCGGGGCAGTCATGACCCAGAGTAAACTGCGCCCGCTGCGACTGGTCAGTGAAGCCTCGAAGTTGGCCGAAGAAGAAGAAGCCGCTCGCAAAAAGGCGAACCGTGGAAGCTGGATTCCATGGTTCAATAATAACAACGCCCGCCCAAGCTCCAGTGAAGCCGCTCAGGGTTAAGTCTTTTTTGGTTTCTGTTCTCCTTTCTTTTTGTTTTCTCCATCTTGTGTTTGATATGACCTACCTTTTCTGTAAGATTGACTCTCACTTGATGTACCGTCTGACCTTCCCTGAGGGCTTGGTTTTGGGCGGTCACAGGTTACCTTCTTATCTTTATGTTGCAATACCCTTTGTTTTCGATGTCATGATGGTGATGAGCTACTGTGTGATTCCTTCCGACAACCAGCAGAAGGACATATAACTGCCTATGTTCGAGATGCCATGGGGTCTGCTTTGGATTATTTTCGTGTTGGCCATCTTGACTGTTATTTATGGACTCTCCTTTCCTGGATATATTCTTCCCCAGTTGCATGATTATTTTAAGGAGAAGGATTGAGATGATCATACCCCACTTTCTTTGACGAACATACGAGTTATATATCAGGACCCCCTTGATAGATTTAAGGCATTTGTAAAGATAATTAATGAATATTTTAAATTGAACTGAATGGCTCTCAATTATCGATGTCGTAGCGTTTCGGGTTTCCTCCACCCCCACTAACACCAATAAATCTACAAGCATCTCTGTATAAATTAGAAGATTAAAGATCTCCTATCTTCGTATATTCAAATTTTGATAAAAAAAAACACCTGATTCGTTGATGTCGGCATCAAAAGCCAGCGTGGACTTTTGATATAGTCCGGAACAACATTGTGGCGGCCTCCGGATTGCGGACAGATAGACTGTCAATAATGCCGACCATCAGTTGTATCGCAGACCAGCAATTCCACTCACGTTCGTCAAGACTCGTTCCTTTTTAGCACTTTTTAATTTTTCAATAAAGGTTGCCCGCCATGCCCGGTCCTTTGTCTCTCTTCTCCGTTAATGCGGTCCTCCTTATGTCCGCCGACGATGGTTCTCGCATCTTTACCAAATATTACTCGGCGCCTCACCCCCCAGCAGGTGCTGCACCCAATGCGACTGATTACCCTGGCGCCAATCCTTATCAATCAGTGAAGGAACAGAAGGCTTTTGAACAGGGTCTCTTGGAGAAGACAAACAAGCAGTCCAGCGATGTGATTCTCTATGATAACCGGATTGTCGTCTTTAAGATGGAGAGTGATGTGATGCTCTATGTGGTTGGAAGCGCAGATGAGAATGAAGTGCTCTTGTACAACGTGGTCCTGTCGTTGAGAGATGCCTTGGGGATCTTATTCAAGTAAGTTTCTGTCTTTAGGTCCTGCCAATTTGAAGATATGCTGGTCTGACTGAACATCTCTCAGGGGTGCCACCGACAAGCGCACAATCGTCGAGAACTACGACCTGGTCGCCCTGGCCATTGACGAGATTATTGATGACGGCATCATCCTGGAAACCGACCCCGTTCTTATCGCCTCTCGTGTCAGCCGTGCCCCTGCACCGGACGCACCCAACATGAAGAGCATCGATCTGTCCGAACAAGGTCTGCTGAATGCCTGGGAGTTTGGAAAGCGACGCCTGGCCGAGGGATTGCGACAGATGTAGATGGACGTTTGAGATTAAACATTTTTTTCAGTTTTCTTTTGATGGGAGCATTCAATGCTGTTTCTTGCCCTGGCTTTTTCCCCTTCCCTAATTTCATCTGGCTGGTCCGGCGCATTATTGTGTGATGTTCATTGTTTTATGACCTCTGTTGCCTCTATTTACCAAAATTACTCTTTGTTTGCATTCACCTTGGGGCTTCTCTAGAGATGGACCTTTTTATCAGCGAGGCTGTTCCTGGAGAAAGATTCTATCATAATACCTACAGACTTCTTGACAGGGCAAATGCAGAACATTTAAGGGAGAAAATAAAAAGCAGCACCCTATAGACATTTAGCTATACATAGAAAAAGCCATTCATTTTCATGAAATGTTTCTCCGCATCGCGTGGGCTCGAGGAATGGGAGTAGAATGTTATGGAAAAGCGATGGATTAATATGCTTAAGCCCTGCCCCGCATACGTCACGCCTTCCAGTCAGATCGCCTTCAAAACTTTTGAGCATCAAATTATTGCCCTCCAACCACACCAATTTGTCCTAGAGAACCCTGAATTAGCAAACTGTGAATATGAAGCAAAGGTTCTCGTCTTTGGATGTCAAGGTACACATTCCAGGTATTCAACCCACCCGCATTGATCGCATGACTTACACGACACCAGGTCATCACCAAGGAGCTCGCCTCGGAGATAGTCAACCTGCGAGTTTCCAACATTTACGATCTCTCATCGGTGAGTTATACAGTGCATCTATTGTCCTTATATATCTAGGCTGACTCGGTGCTTCACCCACGCCCAGAGAATCTTCCTATTCAAACTTGCAAAACCCGATCACCGCAGACAACTCGTCGTCGACTCAGGTTTCCGATGCCATGTCACCCAATACTCGCGAGTAACGGCTAGCACGCCCTCTAACTTCGTGTCTCGCATGCGCAAAACTCTCAAATCACGTCGGATCACTTCTGTCGAGCAAATTGGGACAGACCGCATCATCGACTTTTCTTTCAGCGATGGCATGTACCATATGTTCCTGGAATTTTTCGCCGGTGGCAACATCATCATCACCGATCGGGAATACAATATCATCGCCCTATTTCGCCAGGTTCCTGCTGGTGAGGGACAGGAGGAGGTCAAGCTCGGGCTGAAATACACAGTGGCCGACAAGCAAAATTACCACGGGGTCCCCGAAATTACCCTGGACAGGATTAAGGAGACATTGCAAAAGGCAAAGGAGCTATTTTCCAAGGAAGATGGAGCACCTAAAAAGTCCAAGAAGAAGGGGGTAGATGTTCTGCGGAAGGCTCTATCGCAGGGATTCCCGGAATACCCCCCGCTTTTGCTGGATCACTGCTTTGCTGTCAGAGAATTCGACCCGTCAACGCCATTAGATCAGGTCTTGAGGGATGAGGACTTATTACAAAAGGTCAATGGTGTCCTGGAGGAAGCTCAGAATGAATCCGCAAAATTTTCCACTGGTGACAGCCATCCTGGGTATATTGTCGCAAAAGAAGACAATCGCCCAGCTCCCGAACCGACCACTGAAGGCGAGGCATCAAAAAAGCCTGGTCTTCTCTATGAAGACTTCCATCCTTTTAGACCAAAGCAATTCGAGGGCAAGCCTGGCCTAACTATTTTGGAGTTCGAACGCTTCAACGCCACAGTTGACGAGTACTTTTCGTCGTTGGAGTCGCAGAAACTGGAGTCGCGGCTTACGGAGCGCGAGGAGGCAGCGAAGAGAAAGCTTGAGGCCGTGAGGCAAGAGCATGCCAAAAAGATTGGTGCTCTCCAAAATGTCCAGGAATTGCATATCCGCAAAGCTGGTGCAATCGAGGATAACGTCTATCGAGTCCAGGAGGCGATGGATGCTGTCAATGGATTGATCGCTCAAGGTATGGACTGGGTGGAGATTGCGCGCTTGATTGAAATGGAGCAAGCAAGAGGTAATCCAGTTGCGAAGATTATCAAGTTGCCATTGAAACTCTACGAAAACACTATCACGCTTCTTCTTGGAGAAGAAGAGGAGGAGGAGGAGGAGGAAGAAGAAGAACTTTTCTCAAGTGATTCCGACGAAGAATCGGAGAGTGACGAGGAGGAAACCGAAGTCAAGAATAAGCAAAAAGAGTCAACGATGCTGACTATCGACATTGATCTCGGTCTTTCGCCATGGGCAAATGCAACACAATACTACGAACAAAAAAAGATGGCTGCAGAGAAGGAACAAAAGACGACCCAATCATCCAGCAAGGCGCTCAAGAGCCACGAGAAAAAGGTGACACAAGATTTGAAGCGAGGCCTGAAGCAGGAGAAGCAAGTCCTTAGGCAAACTCGGACCCCTTTTTGGTTTGAAAAATTCCTGTTCTTCATCTCTTCGGAGGGATACTTGGTACTAGGGTAGGTGTAAAAACCAATTTCTATCTTGTGCTGTGTTTGTTTATGTTCTAACTTGAGCAGTGGCCGTGATGCTATGCAAAGCGAGATGCTTTATCGGCGACACCTCAAGAAGGGCGATGTTTTTGTGAACGCCGATTTGGATGGAGCCACACCAATGATCGTCAAAAACAGAATTGCGACTCCTAATGCCCCTATACCGCCAAGTACCCTTTCTCAAGCAGGTAATCTCTGCGTTGCCACTTCAAGTGCTTGGGACTCCAAAGCAGTGATGGCTGCATGGTGGGTTCACGCAGACCAAGTGACGAAGACATCTGCAGCGGGTGATCTTCTTCCTACGGGAGAGTTCCTACCTAAAGGCGAGAAGAATTTCCTTGCTCCCTCTCAGCTGGTCCTTGGATTTGGAGTCATGTTCCAGATTAGCAAAGAGAGCCTTCGAAACCATAAGACGCATAGGTTTGATGAAGTTGCAGCTACAGAGTCGCCTTCCGGTGATGCCAGCACCCAAGACCAAATCGTCAATAACGAGAATTCAGCCACACAGGAAAATGACGTTACAGAGGAAGCGAAGCCTGCTGGAGATGAAATTCGCCAAGAAGAGGAACAACTTTCCGAGCAAGACGATGAAGAGAAGGCTGACGAAGTCCCTGCCACCAACCCATTGCAGCACGGATTGTCCGAGACCCTTCAAACACAAGAGCCTTCAGCGGAAACTCAAGACGGCGAGTCGGATGAAGAGGGTCAAGAAGATGATGAAAACGAAGGGTATGTCGAAGAAGAACAGACAGAGGTTCCCAAGGAGGCCCAGGAATCTTTGGATGAGGTAGAAAGGGCATTGGCAGAGGATTCATCGCAAAAACAAGGAAAACGACATCTGTCCGCAAAGGAACGTCGCATGTTAAGACAGGGCAAGCCTATCGATGCCATTAAACAAGACAATAATGAGAGTTCGCCCAAGGCAAAGGCCGGTACACCCGCATCAACACAACCACAAGCCTCAAGACAAGTCCAGCCCCCTACTCGTGCTAAGAAAGCAAAGGCCAAGAAGATCGCAGCCAAGTATGCCGATCAGGATGATGAAGACCGTGAGTTGGCTCTTCGCTTGCTAGGTAATAGCAAAGCCAAGGCCGAAAAGGCTGCGGCCGCAGCTGCTGCCAAAGAGAATCGGGAACGAGAAGCTCAGGCGCAAAAGCAGCGCCGCAAGGCACAGCACGAGCGTGCAGCAGAGGCAGAGCGAAAGCGACAGGCTCTATTTGAAGGAGGTGCTGATGATTATGACGAGGAAACCGCGGCAGCAGAAGCGGCAGACGTTGCTTGGATTCCTGCACTAATCGGAACTCCTTCTCCCGAAGATGAGATTCTGGCTGCCATCCCCGTGTGTGCACCTTGGGGAGCACTGGGCCAATACAAATACCGAGTGAAGCTGCAGCCTGGTACAGTGAAGAAAGGAAAAGCCGTCAAAGAGATGCATGGACGATGGGTGTCCGAAATGACTACCGGAAAGGTCAAGAAGGAGCACGCTGAGGATGCTGGGCTTAGCCGCGCCGACGCCGAGAAACTTCGGGCACGAGAGGGAGAGCTGGTCAAAGCATGGAAAGATACAGAGATTGTGAACGTCCTGCCTGTGGGTAAGGTGCGAATTATGTCCGCACCGGGTGGAGGAGGAGATGGAAAAGCGAAGGGTAAAGGAGGAGGAGGTGGAGGCAACAAGGGAGGAAAGGGTGGAAAGAAGAAATAAATGATCTACCTGTGATTCCTATAGGTTTGATCAGTTTCGATGTACGCTGTGATAGCTGTTAATATTATCTTCATGTGAAGCAGTCGTTTGTATATAACTAAGACGGTGGGACTACTAGATGTTGGATGATTCGATTACTCCCAGCAGCTGGTAAAAGTAGAATAAACCATTCGACTATTCATCTCCCTATACTATATCCCTCTATGTATACTTTGTATTTATATCTAAATTATTTTCGGGACATTTGAAGCCATTCGACTGCATTCAGACAACCCCTTGCTTAGTCAGTAGCTCTGGCCAGATCGACGTCATTACAAGAAGATTTTCGATCGCAGCAGCCTATGGACAAAATCTTGCAAATAAAGATCGATGTCGATCACTTCTGACATCTAGAGCAGCTCGGAGGTCTCCAATTCCCCTAATCTAATATTTTCTGTGATAGGATTGCATGAATCACACCAAACGCGAAGCACAGCGACTCCACACGAGATAATTCCTTTCCTGCCGTGACTCAACCCCGCGACTCGAGACGATACCCTCCTTGCCCCTCAGTTCCGTCGAAAGGCCTGCCATTACAGACTGGCCAAGTTGTTTTACTTCACCCATCGTCTGTTTGCTGGCGGCCGTCCGCGCAGCTTTGCCAGATTCTTTACAACCACAATGGCGGCCAAAGAAAATACTCGTATCTTGTCTGTCCATCGACTGAACCAGGAGGGTCCTGGTGGGCAGTCTTTGGCGGAATGGTGGGCCAAAGAGTGCAGTGATAACACACCTGAAGCCTCTGCGATTCAAGAAGCAGCCAATCTTCTCCGAACGAGCGATATCCCCGTTGCGTTTCCGACAGAGACGGTATATGGGCTGGGAGCCGACGCGACACGGAGTGGTGCGGTGCAGGGAATATACAAAGCGAAACAAAGACCATCGGATAACCCATTGATTGTCCATGTTGACTCTCTGGATATGTTGGAACGGCTACTTAACCCCATGCAAAGTCACCCATCGTCTACGACAAAGACGCCCAAAGCTTCTATCCCTTCCATCTATGAATCTGTGATCAAGCGCTTTTGGCCTGGTCCTCTGACCATTATTCTCCCCAACCCATCGGGATCGGTTCTCGCTAAGGAGGTTACCTCAAAACTGACGACATTTGGCGTGCGCATGCCTTCTTCGCCACTGGCGCGCCTATTGATCCATGCCGCGGACCGACCCCTGGGTGCTCCCTCAGCCAATGCTTCTACAAAGCCATCCCCGACGACGGCACAACATGTGTATCATGACATGAATGGACGTATTGATCTCATCCTTGACGGCGGCCAGTGTGGGGTGGGAGTGGAAAGTACTGTGGTTGACGGTCTTTCTGACCCCCCGGCTATCTTGAGGCCTGGTGGAATCGGAATTGAGGAACTACGACAGTGTGCCGGGTGGGAAAATGTACAGGTTGGATATCATGACGGTACACTAGATGCCAAGGAGGCGCCTCGCGCCCCAGGGATGAAATATCGACATTACTCACCCAAAGCCCGTGTGGTCCTGTTCGACCCCGGCTCCGATCCTACTGCGGTTACAGCACGTGTGCGTCAGGATATGGAAGATTCTGCAGTGGGAGCACACATGGTTGGCATCGCGAGGACCCAGCACTGGAAGCAGGGGTTGGGATTAATATTAGAGGAGGAGATGAAGAAGACGCTGAACCCTATTTCATCGTCGTCGATTGACCATTTTGTCAGCTTCGCTGTTCCCGTGAAGGACGAGGCGAATGGCTGCATGACAACGAAGACCGCTTTCGATTGCCATCTGGGAGCGGATGCCGAGTCCATTGCCCACGGGCTTTTCTCGGTTCTCCGGGAAATGGACGAAAAAGACGTGGATGTGATCTACGTCGAGGGCATCTCCAACCTCGATGGAGATTTGACAGCCGCCGTGATGAACCGACTGCGGAAAGCGGCTGGAGTGGAAATCCGGGTGTGATGACGGATGGAGAAGATATCGATATCATTTCTTGGAGTATTGGCTAGCGCTTTATTCTTGACATTTATTCTCATCATTGTTATATATGGCCATTTACGACTGATGTGCATTGGGGTCGGTCAAAAAGGTAGATAGAAATACTAATAGAAGACAATCTCCATGATCCAAAGCGGGGTGAAATATGATGATTGATAGCTTGTCAGCCTATGCCGTGAATAACCGGATTGAAGCATATCATCGTCTCTAACAAACGGGAGCCACTTGCCTCTATGGTTCATGTAGACGACGAGAGGGTGATGTCTTGATATCTTGAATTGCTATCTAGCGTATTATTAATGAACTCGTGACCAAGCTATCCGTATCAAAGCCGTCAACACCCATGCCATTTGACTCATGGCCTGCAGTTAAATACCACTATGACAGCCTATACAAGCCAAATGCGCCCTGTCATCTCTGCATTGTTCTGTCCACTTGCCTCAAGGGCCATTTCCCCGCCTCTTCGTCGGACTTCTAAGCTTCTCCACACATCATCCAGCGTCCTCTATTCTCATCCTCCATCTACATCTACGCCTACCTTTTTGAAATCCAGAACAAACACATCACCTACGTCTCTTCGAAAACGAACCATGTCTTCAGAGCAGATCCCAGACCGATACAAGCTCATTTTCTTCGTCCCGAACCCCAACGCCGAAGAGTGCAAGGAGGCCGTGTTCGCGGCAGGAGCCGGCGTTTTCTCCGGAGGCAAATACACCCACGCCTGTTTTCAGACAAAGGGCCAGGGCCAATTCAAGCCTGGTCAAGGGGCTGCTCCTGCGATTGGGGCGGTGGGGGAGTTGGAGCTGGTGGAGGAGACAAAGGTGGAGGTTATGTGTGCTGGGCGGTCGGTTATGCTTCAGGCGGTTGAGGCATTGGTGAAGGCTCATCCGTATGAGGAGGTGGCATATGAGGTTTATAAGATGGAGAATGTTTGATGGTTGATGGTTTTGTTCGGATATTGAGATGTGGTGTTGATGCGGTCGGCTAGGAATTAGTAACAAAGTGCCTTCATCAGAATATTCTGAGATGGACAGCCTTTAATTGACCATTATTTCATTAAAACGATGGTATTCAAAAGCATTAAGAGAAATTAAAAAAAATCTCCAAAACAAAAGAAGAAGAGAAGACGCAGACGAGGCTATAATCCGTCCTTTTATTGGTACAAAGGCGGGAGTAATCTGTCGCCGCTGATTGGCCAGCCGCAGCTCCCGCAAAACGCCTCTTCGACCCATCGTCGTCCATCTCGAAAGTCCACCTCCAAACCCATCGCTGTCGACCCCCTCGCTCCATCCCCTCCTCTCCAGTCCCTCCGCATCGCAATGGCTTCCAAGCTGTTCCCTGCCGCCCCGCGGGTCGGTCGTCAATTCTTCCAGCAGATCCCCAAGACTCAATGCAGACCGTTCTCGGCTGGTCCGCAACGTTGCAGCGACTCCCTTGCCGTGGTACGTTGAAATCGAAGTAAAAAATATGAGTCCGTGGAGGAAGATGTTTGAGAATACAAGGCAATTGCGACAGATTGGACTGGCCTGGTTTTTGGATTATGGCAATTGCAGATATCCGGGGGAGTATCATGGCTGACCAATGTTTTCGTTTCAGCACCGCAACAAGCCTTCCAACAACCCGAACGTCCCGTTCCAGTTCTCCGAGCAGAGCAACAAGCTTATCGATGAGATCCTCAAGCGCTACCCCCCTCAGTACAAGAAGGCCGCGGTTATGCCCTTGCTGGATATCGGTCAGCGCCAGCACGGCTACACCAGCATCAGCGTCATGAACGAGGTCGCCCGAGTCCTTGAGATGCCCCCGATGCGTGTCTATGAAGTCGCTACTTTCTATACCATGTACAACCGTGAGCCGGTGGGCAAGTACTTTGTCCAGATCTGCACTACAGTATGAGGCTGGCCCAATTGCATATCATCCGGATCATCTGCTAACACGGTATCTATCAGACACCATGCCAACTCGGTGGCTGCGGAAGTGACAAGATCGTTGAGGCTATCACAGAACACTTGGGCATCACCCCTGGACACACCACAGCTGACAACCTCTTCACTTTCATCGAGGTTGAATGCCTGGGTGCCTGTGTCAATGCCCCCATGGTCCAGATCAACGACGACTACTACGAGGACCTCACTCCCGAGTCCATCAAGACCCTCCTCACCGCGCTCAAGGATTCCGCAACCGCTACCGATGCTGGTAAGGTGCAGGTTCCCGCCCCTGGCCCTTTGAGCGGAAGAGACACCTGCGAGAACAGTGCGGGTCTCACAACCTTGCTCGAGCCCGTGTGGAACCCTGAGACAATGATGAGAAAGGATGGTGCCTTGGACCAACAATAAAAGATTAAAAGTTCCAAGCATAAATGATATTTCGACTTTAGTTCCTTTTTTTTTTTGTTTCCATTTCCCTTTGATCTCCTGGGTGGTATAATGGATGGAGCCTGTGATATGCATCTCTCCGAGACTTGACCAGCGAGAAGAAACGGTAGAGAGAAGTGCATGGCCCAGGACAAGGACCCCCAAGCGTTGATTATGTACAGTATGTTGTTCCTGATGGTTATTTTATCTTTTGACGAGGAAGAACAAGCATGGTGGAAGACATTTGAACTACCATAGAAGGTTTATCCAGCAGTGCGGAGTACCCAATGCATTTCTTTTCCATTTTATAATCATTCCATGGATATTAAACAATCTTATGTAGGGTTTAGACTGAGTATCTGAGCTCAAACGCAAGACCTCAATTGGTGGAGCAAAGATTCGTACATTAGACAGTGGAAACAAAGAGTGCTGTATCAGTGAAGCTATTCCAACCCATGGTCTAGGCCAGCCTGCAGTGTTGCCCTTCGCGTCTTTTCCAGTCACGCTCTCTTCTTCCTTTTCTCTCAACGCGTCTTCAACTCTTCTCCACCCACCCTTTTCATCATGACATGACTGTGAGAGTATCAGGATAATAAATGAAAAAAAAAACACACATAAAAAAGTTGAAAACAACCAGAAAACCAAAAAAAAAAAAAAAAAAAAAAAAAAAAAATGAAAATGAAAAACTGTGTGTATAACTCCAACATTTGATGCCTTTCATGGTCAGATCCCCCGCTCATTCAATCTCTACCCTCACATTATTGAATCAAACACAAGATATCTAACAAGAATAGGATAAAAAGAGACAAAAGAAACCCCCAAACCCCAATATAATCATCGAATAAGATCAGCCAATTTAAAACGCATTATCAACTACCAAGGACGGCCCTTGACAACTGATTACCTCGGACTCCAACGCCTCATCTTGAGAAACAAGAATAGCCTCTCCATTCCTCTCAACAAGAACCTTCTCCCGACGCTCTTGGTATATGTTCACGTCGATCGTCTTCTTGGCTAGGAGGTGGTAGACGTGGACGTGTCTTGTCTGCCCATAGCGACGAGAACGTCCTATGGCTTGAGTCATTGCAGAGTCATAGTCGTACTGCGTCGGCGTCAACAAAGGCGAGAGGAAGATAACATGATTTGCACATTGAAGGTTTCTAGAAATATGTCAGCCAGTCCCCAAGTTCCGTTCCATTTCGAGTCTCTAAATCTAACGCGGTGACTTACAATCCAGCAGCCATTTCACTCCCTAGATTCAGAATAAGAACCTTGTCTTCGCCAAAGCTGACCTTTTGGAATTGTTCAACCTTTTGTGCTGACCTGCGATCGGTGGCTGAGATCGCCGTGTATTTGATTTTGGCTAGGTCTAAAGCCTTTGAAGATATCTCCATTAGGTCTGGGAATTGGACGAAAAGAATCGCCCGCTCGTCTGTGGGAATAGACCGGATAATTTCGACTAGCTTGTCCATCTTGCTGCCACCGTACATGGAGCTTCTGTCTTCATCACGACCAAGCGTTGAAGCGTTCATGACATTAAATCTCTTGCCCGAGCCATGGCACCCTTCGACCACGCACTCTTCTTTCTCAATAACGTCTGAGATACACTCTGCACAGAGCGCATGGCCGCATGATCCAAGGACACTGATTTCATCTAGAGTTTCTGGCGGCTCCTCGCAGCTGTGGCAGCTGGGGATCTCTGAGCTGAATTGCACAAGGCGAACTGTTTTCAGGAAACGGAGAGCTCTCTCGCGAAGCACCCATTCTACAATGAGATTGCGGATGGTGGTCGTGACTTCTCGTAGGATGGGCTCGAACTCTCTCGGTCTCTTTGGCTTGTTGGGAAGCGTGGAGACTTCAAGCTTGTCTTTCTTTGTGCCTTTGCCTGTCTTTCCCTTTCCTCGACCTTTTGTGGGCGGACTAGAATGTTCGTAACTCTCATCGTCCATCTCAATGGATTTGCTCTTCTTGCTCTTCGATAGCTTCGCTTTTTTGACAGGGCTCTGAGAGATATTGTCGTCGTCGTCCTCATCATGGGAGTCGTCTGTTTCTGGCTCAGATTGGCTCTCTTGTGTCTCCTTTGCCATTGTACCATTTTGTGCTGCAGAATCGACAAAAAACTCTTGCCAGTCATCATTTGCCGACGTAAAAATGGCATTCTTGATAAGTGGGTAGATTTGTTCAGTCACCGTAATATCACCAAAGTCGTGTCTCACAATACTCTCGATAAAATTGTGGAAGTTCTCATATCTCAAATCACATCCACAATATATCCAAGCCGCCAATTTCAACTTTTTCAAAATATCTTTTCGAACGTCTGCAAGCTGCTTTTCTCGGATAGAAATCAGAGACTCGCAGGTAACGACCTCAGGCTTTCCATTGTCCCACCGTCCTTGAAGTGCCAATGAAGAACAGCGTTTGAGCAAGGCCTCTTCGGCGGTTGCACTGCTGCCAATGATCTCGTCTAGCCGCTCAACCTGATCGCTGCTGAATCTACTCTTGCTGCTTCGACGAAGCTGACGGTTTTGTGCCATGAGCTGCTTGTAAAGCTCGAGATAGATAGCTGTTTCAGCTGATGACTGGGGAACTAGAACGACGTATTCCGTGAATGGAATTTCGTCAATTTCAGCGATGTTCTTGCGCGCAAAGCGATCAAGGAATCTTTGTGCGACCTCGTGTCGACGTCGATGCCATGCTTCACTGCGAGGCGCTCGGAAGGCCTGAAAGGCTTCGGCATCGGATCGTTGCTTGCAGATAACCTTGAGTCGTTTGTTTTGCGACTGGCCTTCTTCGTCATCATCGACTCCAAGATGAATCCCCAGAAAGGGAGCAATGGTTTTGACATCCGCGAAATCATTCAGTGGCGGAGTTCCAGAAAGAATCCATTTTGAATGGGCTTTAAGCGACAGCAATGGAGCGAGTCTCTCCGGGTTAGCATACGTAAATTCATCAATGACGAGTCGGTTGAATGAGAATGCATGGAGCAAGGGTGTTTTGACTATCTCCCAGTCCTGCGCTGTCTTTGCTTGATTGATATTGAACTCTTTCCGGTCGTCCCATCTTTTTGCTCCGTTTTTTACAGTAGTCGGCTTGCCATTCTTTCGTTTTTTATCCTTTTTTCCCGGACCGCAATCCTGCCTTACACGGCTTTCTGTTGACGAATCTTCGTACTCGGTGTACTCTTCTTGATCTGTCCCCGCAAGTTCATCGGCATAGTCAGCTTTGTTGATGGTGATCTCTTGCGATGGGCGAAGTTTCATATACTGGTCTATATTTGCTCTGAGCTTCTCTGGATCCTCATCGTCGCTGTTACCAGACTCTTCCTCGTTGCTCGATAGTTCAGCATAATGTACACCATACTCCGTGCCTGATCTCTGGTACTGATTGGCATCTGCGTACTGTTTGCCTCTAAGACGCTTAGATGGGACATAGGTGAAGTCAGCCTGGGTGTTCTTGACTGTTTGACGCTTCATGCGTATGGAACCTAGCATGGCATGCGGCCCCTGGTTCATCAATATTTGAACATGGGTTTTCAGGGAAGCTTGTGCATCATGAAACCAATCATCGAAGTTGCGGCCTGCCTTGATTGGAACCCGGGGCATGCCAGTGAACTTGTGCATTTTTTGGTAATAACCAGCGTTGTTGAAAACAGACCATGATACCAAAATGATATCTGCATTCTTGACATCACGGATTGTCTTGCTTGAGAAGGAGCCTGCTGATTGAAACACGATGACTTTGTACTGGCTGCCGACAAATTTGGTAATTTCTGACTGCCACTGGTGAACCATGACATGAGGGACCACAATTAGAGTTGCCTTTGAAGGGATGAGGCCATCCTTGGGCTCTGAAACGTACTGCTGAGCTTTCTCATACTGTGAGTCGATCAGTCCTAGTATGATGGCGGTTTTGCCATATCCAACATCATCTGCTAGGACGCCTCCGCGGACGACTTTTTGAATGGTGGCTCTGCCTTCTGCACGCCATAGCATCAAAGGTAAAAGGGTCTCTTCCGTCTCTTCTTCGTCGAATGGTGCAATCTCATCCTGTTCCTGCTCTATCATCCATGACAACGATCGCAGTTGCTCTGGTCGTAGGTTAAGGAGGAAGCTTGGCGGTTGGCGAGACTGTGTATCTTGTCTATTACTGACGAGGCTGAACTTGGGGAATATTAGGTTCCTTGCATCATAGGCGTTGGGCACAAGCCGCCAGCATAGTGAGACGTTGTTATCATCAGTCGAATCAACCAGTTTGTCATATGCCTGATGCAAAAGAGTTTGAACATTGAGAGTAACACGTAAAGACCCAACATCATGATCATCGACCTGTCGGAAAATCAAAAATGGAGACGGCCTTGCTTTCACCTGGCGCTCATAAAGAGCGGCATCTCGAGGATCCTCGTAGGCTTTTATCCGCCCCTTTCTATCACGCCCCCATAGTATGGAGGGTTTTGGCGGAACGCAGATGTCGCAAATAGACTTGCAGTTTCTGTCGAATGTTTGCTCATGGGTGACTTTGCTCCAATCCCGAAAGTCCGAAAGACCAGCAGCCCTTTGAAGCAACCAAGAAAAGTTCCGCAGCAATTCCGGAGAGTCTGTAGGATCAGTGACTTCCCAAGGACCTTTATGCCATAGCGAGTCGATGGCTGTTGCCGGGGCCGAGAAAGACAAAAGAGTGATGTTGGCGTCACGGCATTCGACATCTCCAATTGAGAGAGTCGTTCCCGGTTTCAAGTGACAACAGGAAATGGGAGATCCAGGACTGTAAGGTTCCAAAACGGCAGATGGAATCTTTATCCATCGCCGGTAGTACACGTTTACAAGCTCTCCTTCCTCGCTTGCCTTTGAAGAGCGCCACTTATGAGTCAATTCTGCAACAGTCAATCGTGATGAATAGCCAGTGATACGCCGGTTATCCAAAGAAAACACAAGCGAATCGTTTTTCGGTTCGCCAAGTTTTGTCGGATCCAGAAACAAATACACAGCTGGCGAGTCTTTGGTGGCTGCCTTTTTATGCAAAGATGCATTCGCAGCGCCACAATCTGGCAGGAGCTCGTATGTTCCCCGGATGTCGACTTCAAGGTCTTGCACAGCTTCATCAGACCCCTGGATGGTGAGGTGAGTCCAAACTTTTGATTCAAAGAATCCTCGCATTTCCAATCCACATCTCGCTTCGTAGGACTGAATTTGAGAACCAGTTCCAAAAATGTTCAGCGCACACCCGGAGCTGATAGGCGCGCACACCTCCCAATCGCCTTCAAAAAGGGAACCCAAGATAGGCGTCATTCGAGCAATGGGCTTTGACAAGATCTCACGGTTAAGACATAGCGCAGGATCCGAGTCAGAGGGCTTTGCAAAGAACACCCATTTGGCTCCAGTGGCTCCAATGACAAGATGAAGGAAGGAGGATTTGCCTTCATAGACCACCGTCCAAATCTCGCTTCGTTTGATATCCAAAAAGCGTAGTTCGTCGCCAACAGCTCTTGAAACAGCACCTAGAAAATTATCCCAGACGACGGGAGGGCAGTCCAAAGAGGATCCCGTATTGAAAGCATCGTAATGGGCTCTAGAAACACCGTTGAAAATTAACCTCGCGGGCAATATGCTTTTCAAGTTGCTAGCAAAATCCAACGGCTGGCTGCGTGATAGACTAGTCCAACGTTCATACTTATGCGAGGGGTTGCCCCCACACTCAGAGCAAGACGTATGCTCGCATAGAGTGCATCTCGAGATATTTCGTTTGATTGCGGACTGTCTTTCGCACATGCAATACCTGGCACTGCTTGCTGCCTGTGTTTGGAGGTCTGTCATGTTGACGTTGACGATTTGACTGAGTTTCACGTTACTTGTTGTCAAATCATAGTCATCTCTTGGAGCAAGTATTTTGTGCTTCGACACGCTTTTATTTAGACCTGGGGATGGTTGTCCTTTTTTAAGAACCTTGTGACCGACAATTAGGGCTGAGAGGACGGCGGCACCGACAACAGTTGAGCTCATGGCATTGCCAGCTAAATCTTGCAACTCGCGCTGTGTTTCCCTCGTCAGTAACAATCTATCCAGCGGCAAGCCTTGCAATGCAAGTGACTCGAGGCCGCAAAGTGGTCCACCCCTCGTGGTAATATAAGGAATGCCACATGGTGTGATACAGCCAACAATGCCATATGCACGAGAGTCAATTTCTCGATCGAGTCCTTGAGAAAGTTCAATACATCTCCTGAAATGTATTAGCACCTGTTATAATATAATAGGGAAATTGTCTTACTCTTTGTAATTCATATCATAACCCTCCACCAGCTTACGCAGAAAGTTGACATCCAAAGTGTCCCAGACTCTTTCGGGCAAAGACTTGACCCAGGTTTGCCAGGCAAAATCAGGCATCTGACACGTCCCGTTATCCTGAGACTTGCTCACAGGACGTTTATGGCCAAGATTCTGGTTCAACCGGTAGCTCTGGTGGCGGACTTGGTATTTTGCCCAATTGACGGTAGCACGGGAAGTTGATGACGAGATGCGTAAGGCCATGTCTTTTTCAATCTGCTCTAGCCGTCGATTATCGCTATCAATCAGAAACATACCCGCTGGAGAGCTCGCAGGACGTTTGAAACGCGCAAAGACAGTAGACCACTCTTGCATGTCTTCCTCTGAGAGGTGGTTCTTCTTTAGAAGTCGCCTGTCCACACAGAACATGTACCCTCGCTCGCGGGTCTGAGGTAGATAGTACGCTTTGGTGTCTACATCCATATGGACGGCAAAATAATCTATCTCATTCCAGTGCTTTTCAATCTTCTCCCATGGGGCCGTCTTGACGTTTTCCAAAATGACCATGCGTGGTCGGTAGGTCTTTGCATAGCGTATGATTCCCCAGAAAGTGCCGCCTGACTCGCCTTTTTCATCAAGCGTCTTTCTTTTGTTGTTCAAACCTGAAAAGTCGACGCATGAGAACCCGGCAACCAGGATGTCAGCGTTCTTAGGAATCTTTTCAAGAGAGCCATAGGCGGTTTGACTAAAGCAATTAGCACGAGATTGAAACGAACCGACATTTTTCAAGAAACAAGTTAGGGAAAGGGAGATGTAGAAAGAGGATACTCACGCCACACGATCTTTCAGCTCAGCTACATCTCGAAAGATGAGAGGAGGATGAAAGTTACGCTCGATGTACGCTTGCTTGAAAGGAACAATCTCAGCGCTGAAAAGATGGCGAAAATCAAAACCCCTGTCGAAATGCTTTCTAAGATCTGTTCATACCATAAGAATTGGAACATACGTTTAGCTTCTACTAGAATAGACACTTACTATCCTGCACCATCTCCAACGCAAGCAGTGGGCTTTCAGTCCCCGAACAGACCGTGACAACGCGTAAAGGCCGTGAACCCAGATGGGCCAAAAAGCCATCAAAGTCAAGCTCCAGTGCCCGGGTAGTCAATGACTTGTAGATATCTTCAAGCTTGTACAGGGGAGGAAGACTCAGAGCCAGTTGAGTCCGGGCAGCCTTGGGGCCTGAATATGGCTGAGACCGGACGACTTCTGGAATTTCTGGGTCAATATCAGCTGGCGTTGTTTGTGTATCTGCATTGTTTGATTCTTGGACTGTTGCTTCGTCTCCAGTTGGGTCTTGTCGAGTTGGATGTCCACGGCGTTTGGTGGGACGTGGCGAGGGGCCCGTCGAGGGAGCCCTTCTCCTCTTGGGGGACATGGGGATATTTGTTTCAAAGATGAAGAGAGACAATGGCTTCAAAGAGTAAATGGTTGATATGATGAGAAGAGATGTGACAGTAGGGCACGTACGAGTCACGTGGGTCTGAATGGCATCAAAAAAAGAAGAGAAAAATGGATGTTTAGGATTATGCAAGGAGAGAGAAAAGGAAAAGAGAGAGAAGAGAGAGAAAGAGGAGTGTCGCGGTGAATTTAAGAGTTGTGTTTGTGTGAACCTCCCAGCCTGCTTAGTCGGTGCCCTGTGATCCTGTGCTCTTTCGATGCCCATAAAGAGCCATTCTGCTTCAAAGGCACTATGGAACTCTCAAAGAACCATAGACTTAAATAGTTCTGGATTGAAGGAACTACGTTTCTTCAAGCCTTCATAGTGAGATAGTAATACTCAAAAAAGGAGCTGCGATTGATCTCTAATCTATGAATAATCTAGAGTAATAACAATCTGACAATAGGGTAATAATATAGGGAATGCAATTAACGCTTCAAAAGCACTAGGTATAGAACAAAGCAGAAAGGAATAGAGTGTTTACAGTTTGGAAACACGTTGCCCATTAACCCAACTGGCGTGTGTCGAGCTACTAAGCGAGGCCATCAAGGGATTCAACAGCCGGCCATCCCGAATGGCTTCATATATAATTGAAATCCAGGAACCGACTGTCTTTTTAGCCCGACCGTTCAGCGTGTCATCTTGGGCTGTGGGGTGTTCGATAAAACCTTGGTGGAAAGGAACCCCCAAGTCTCTTCGGACAGTCTGATACAAGACCTTCGAGCCCACGCCGAGGAGAGATTCAGTGTGTTGGGCGTGGAAAAAGCTGTCGGATGTGTCTTTGAATACCTTGTTCAACAGGGCAATGGCTTTGGATTTCCAATTGTTCAAGTCAACCAGATTGGGCCCGCTACCGTATGATGTGAAGACATCAAGGAAAACAGAAATCGAATTCTTAACGACGGTATTAGAACGGTCTTCCAGACTTAGGCGGTTGGTTGTGGGCCAGGTATTTGCAACATGCGTGCTCAGTCGACTGTTCAAATCGACTAGCCATTGCCCCGAAAGATGAGCTGCGAAGATGTCTGCTGTCAGGGCATGAAGTTGAGGCATCAGGTTCTCGAGGAAGCTTAGATGCATGGCACGCAGGTCTAGCGCTTGACAGCCAACATAGACACTGCAAGCACTCATGAGCGACACAACCTCCACTGCCTGCATGCTGTACCTGCTAGATACAAAGGCCATAGAGTTAATAGCCTGATTATGCATCTCAGCTGGCTGTACATGGGAGCTGACAGGATTGGCAAGGTAGGCCAGCTCTGCCATATAGGATGCCATGCTGATATCCACACCCTTCATGGTAAAAGAAAGTCGTGGATCATCGGCCACGAGATTGGTAGGCAGTCCGTTGTTATAGTTTGGATCGATCATTTCTGTGGCTTGCGAGAAAAGCAGTTTGCCAAACATCTGAAGGGACAATCTTGTCTTTTCCATGGCCGAGGTGATAGAAACGGCCTGGAAGTTGCCTCCATAGAAGATGTCCTCACTTACACCATCAATCAGCGGGTTATCAGTGGTGGAATTGAGTTCGACGGAGACTTGTTGATGGGCCAAAAGAAGATCCTCTAGCTGAGGTCCAATCCACTGTGGGACAGTGCGCAGAGAGTAACGGTCTTGGACCAGGCCTGCACGATTGCGATCCTTCTCTTGTTGAATTCCATGTGCTAAATGTGAACCTTGGAGAAGTCCCATCAAATTAGCGGCACATTCTTTCTGGCCATCATGCGGCCGTACATCAGACATGAAAGGATTGAAGCTCTCTGAGGTCCCCATGAGTGCTTCAACAGCCATTGCAGAAATAGCCTGGACTAGGACGGCTAGTTGATGGGATTCATACATCACCAAACTAGCAAGTGCAGCAGATGAGGACGTCCCATTGACTAAACCCAATCCTTCCTTGGGGCCCAACACCTGGGTGTTGATTCCCTTTGATGATAGAGCATCACGGGCAGACATAACGGATGGCTTATCGGAGTCATGTATTTGAACATAAACATCTGGGCTGCCCTCGATGGCACCCGCAATGTACGAAAGCGGAATCAGATCACCAGATGCTGATATGGTGCCTCTCAAGGGAACAATAGGTGTAATATGGCGTTCCACGAGGCCCAAGATGGTCTCAATTACAGGCACTGAAACGGCAGAGTGCCCGCGTGTGTTGGTATTACCCCGAACCACCATGGCAGCTCGTACCCAGGGAGCGGGCATGGCATGTGTCTCCAAAGCACGTTGGTTCTTTGAAACCTTTCCATTGTTCTTGTCTGAGGAAACAAGGACTCCGGCCTGGAGGAGCTGGAGCAGCCCGGATTGCAATGCGATGACTCGATCTGTTCGGACATCGGCGCTGCCCCCAAAACCAGTGTTGACTCCTGAGATAGGATTAGCTTTTAAGGTCACTTCAGAGAAACACATGAATCGCGTACCATATACAAAATGGCCTTTATCTAGATGACCCTTCAATACTCGCACGCTTGCTTCAATGCGTTCTATGACAGCGGGATTGGTCGAGAGTTTGGGAACGCAACCGTGGCTGCTCAGAGTTAAAAGATGAAGAAAGAACATGCGTCCCTGAAAACTTACTATGCCACAGCCGTCACGGCGGCAATATCAAGACTCGTGCCATCCACTTGAATCTCCTGGCGTGCTAACAGGTGCTGCATTCGCTGCCATGTCTGGTGTGCAGTTTGCAGATGTGATTGGGAGGACGGAGACTTCATAGCGAGAGATTTTATCACAATCCTGTGCTCTGCAATGATAATAATAATTAAGAATCCGAAGACTTCTTCAAGACGTGGCAATGGACGCTTCTTATAAATGATGCCGAGTCCTTGATCCACCTTGCTATTGATTTAGGTATGCAGAAGAGTTCCTCTGCACAGTGGCCTGGAAAAAGAAAATAAACTTTTTGCTTTTTTTCTTTCTTCTTTCTTTTGGTTGTGTTCCTTCGCGCTGACCTATGGAAAGGTCAATTAAGGATGATCATCTTATCGACCCTCTTTGTCTACTTCTTATTTCGTTTATCGTTGCGTAATACGATTGGAATGTGCGACGGTGAAGATCTGTCTTAGCATGCAGGAAAGATCGTGCATTGAGCCGGAAACTGGCAGGCAAAAAAGGCCGAGCATTTTATCCCATCACTTCACCACATCTTGTACCTTGTGCCTTGTGCCTTGTCATTTCTTGTTTCTTGTTTCTTTAATCTCATGGTTCGATTTGAGTTGCGGGACACGAAAATTCGGGATGGGACAGGACGGGATCAGTCTGCGCCAATCTAGACGAGCAAGTTAGTCACCGATGATCATCCAGATCGATCTACTGCTAATGGTATGTATATTAGGCAAAATAATTGCTAAGGCGTAGGGATCAACACTTTCACCTTATTGCTTATTGGCGGAGTGGACACTGGATACGTCCAGGAGCTGATTAGGTGCTGTGACACTGTCACATTAAGTGGAGACTGCATTGCATCGCAGCAACACCGCCATTTTGGATGTGGTCGTGACGATTGAAAGTCGTGGATGATACAAAGAACAAAATATTGGGGATGGAAAGGCGAGTTGGCAAGGAAGAGAGAACGTGTTGACCAATACGACATGGAAGGGGGGATAGGTGGGGGATTGAACACAGCGTTGCCTTACACGACAGAACTCGAATTGGAAATAGGTGAATATCGAAGAGCTGCATTACGCTATCAGAAGAAGTATGAAAGAGATCTGCTTTAAATAGTCTCAGCCCTGTTATTTAGGTAGGTATACATTCGCATTTCGCTATCAATATGCGAGTCCATCACAATCAGTCACATTTGTAAATTCCTTTGCGCCATCCCAGTACCTGATAAATACGGCCGAAAAAAAGAAAAGAAATAACAAGGCTTTTTTTTTGCCATGAGAAGAAACCGTAACAAACAACCAGTACATCCAAACACGAGCAGCTATCACCGCATAGCTCCCTGCATTAATTGCTGCCGAAGCAGCATGATCTGGCTACGCTCCATCGGTGGAAGCGCATCGATAGCTGACTGGGGCATAGCAAGAACTTGCTGCAGCAAATCTTCTTGGCCTGGCATTTGTTGTTGCGGTGCTGGCTGCGGTGCTGGCTGGGGGACAAAAGGTGTGTTGACCATCGGTGGCGTAGAAACCTGGCCTGGGACAGCACCAAAAGGTTGGAAGGCTTGAGCCGCGGGGGGAGGAGCAGCAGCAGCTGGTTGCGCAGCCTGTTCCACGACGGAGCCCAGAGTACTGTAGTCGACGAGGTTCATCAGCAGCAGCGCCTGGAATATAGCGTAGGCCAGCTGAGGAGCCTGTCGTAGCAACTCAGTGGCTCGTGCTGGGTCGGCCATGACCAATGACTTCATCTGGGAGAGAACATCGAGAAGTTGATTCGGGGGTAGTGAAGAAAGTGTTTGAGATATGGCGTTTGGGCAATCCAGATGAGGCGGCAACTCCACGCCAGGTGGCAGAGGTGGCAAAGGAGCAGAGGACTGTGGAGTCTGACTATCCTGTGCTTGCATCTGCGACGGTTGAGAGTAATCGAGCGGCACCGAATCTTTCTCGTTATTGTGAGGCCAATCCACACGGATCTTTCTTCCCATGATCTCGTAATCATTCAGGTTGCGAACTGCAGATGCAGCTGCATCGGCATCGGCAAAGTCCGCAAATCCATATCCCTTCGGCTTCCCCGTTTCAGGGTTCATCATAAGGCGAAATTTGGTGACTGTGCCAGCGGAACTAAGGATATCCTTCACCTGTTCCTCGGTGAGGTCTGGGATTGTGCCGTTAGTATTAGGAATACTGGTGTTGGAGCATCGCAGGACACATACTATACGGGATATTCCCGAGGAAGACACTCTTCCCAGCTCTTTCTGGGGCCATATTTGTGGCGAAATTAAATTGCTGAAGCAAAGAAAAGCTCTTTTTGGTCAATGGAAATAAACGCGGTCGGCGTGACGTCCAGATGAACAATGCGAGGCGACAATGAGGGCAACACCAATGCCAATCAAGACACAAGCAGATTAGCAGCTTTAGACTTGGATTAGATGCTTGAAAACGAAAGAAACAATATTAATTGTATGATAGATAATTCACCCGTTCGAGTGCACGAGCAATGCTGAGGCGGAAGACCGACTGAGCCAAACTGCCCAAAGCGCCTCCCAAGGCGGTGTCGCAACTTTTGAACCTCGCCGGCTTTGCTCATCCATCTCCACTAGCAGCACATCAGCTTCTATCTCCACAACTCATCATTCATCATGGCTCGGAACCCTAGGGATCAGTGGGAAAGACTGCAGCTTATTCTGCAGAACCGCGGAAACCGTGGAGGTTTCGGTTTTGGCGGTTTCCCATCCGGTGGGGGTCGCGGTGGTATGGGCCTCACGGGAGCTCTGCTCGTCTTGGGTATTGGAGGATGGGCCATTTCGAACTCGCTCTTCAACGGTGAGAAAGCTTATACGGTTTAAGTTTCGATGCAGTTGATCTGACTGGACTGTTCTTCTAGTTGACGGTGGTCACCGCGCGATTAAATACTCCAGAATAGGTGGTGTGAAGAAGGACATCTACAGCGAAGGTATGGATGACGCCATCTGCGATGATATTCGACGTGAAATTCTCATCTGACCTGACAAATCTACCCTTTAGGAACTCACCTCGCAATTCCTTGGCTCGAGTCGCCCATCATTTACGACGTTCGTGCAAAGCCACGCAACATCCCCTCGCTTACCGGTACCAAGGACCTGCAGATGGTCAACATCACCTGCCGTGTCCTGTCGAGACCCCGTGTGGATGCTCTTCCTCAGATCTACCGTACTCTCGGATCCGATTTTGACGAGCGTGTGCTCCCATCGATCGTCAACGAGGTTCTGAAGAGCGTTGTTGCGCAGTTCAATGCCAGTCAGCTGATTACGCAGCGAGAGAATGTCGCCCGATTGGTCCGAGACAACCTCGCCCGACGAGCAGCTCGCTTTAACATTGCCTTGGATGATGTGTCTTTGACTGTAAGATTCTGTTGAACGCAATCCTTGATAGCCGATGGCTTTCGTGGCTAACCTTAATCTCTCGGCTTAGCACCTGACCTTCTCCCCCGAATTCACCGCCGCTGTCGAAGCCAAGCAGGTTGCCCAGCAAGAGGCCCAGCGAGCTGCTTTCCTCGTCGACAAGGCGCGTCAAGAGAAGCAGGCCTTCATTGTTCGTGCTCAGGGTGAGGCCCGCTCAGCCGAGCTCATCGGAGACGCGATCAAGAAGAGCAAGAGTTACATCGAGCTTCGGAAGATTGAGAATGCCAGACAGATTGCTCAGATTCTCCAGGAGAACGGTAGCAAGAACAAGCTCTACTTGGATACTCAGGGTCTGGGCTTGAACGTCAATGCAAACAGTGATGATGACAGAAAATAAGGGGTGTTATTTCATGAAGGGGAAGGAAAATGGAAAGAAAGAAAAAAACGCTTAAGCTGCCCATCAAGGGCCTATGGCAGCGATTTGGTTTTTATTAATTCTGGCGGTCCTCATTCTTACCGGCGCTATTAATGTCGCTCCGGGGTGGGCGATCCAAGGTGTGGAATACGGTATCTGTACAAATACTTGATCTTCAGGAGCATCAGAGCAACTGGGCGAATTGTTTCTCTTCTCTTTACTGCCGTTTTGATGCTTGAATGCGATAGGTTCAATCTATCCCAAGACCTCCCCCCTCAGGTCTCACTATAGTGAGCCTACATTAATAACATCATCTCTCGCAAACATTCCTTTGGATCACTGGCTAAGCAGATACAACTCCTGGTAATTCATATCTTCATATCCCCATTTGTGCCTTTCTTCCTTAATCCCTCGTACTAATAAAAGCAACTCCTTTCCTCCCTCCCACTTACCACTTTCAAGAGTCTTGGTGAGATGCTTTCCCCAGCAACCAGCCTTTCGATCGTAGACACTCTCTGGCTTTGCCCATCTCCAGGTCACAGTAGGTCCACCGTCAAAGAGAGAAACTTGACTGCTGCTTCGGAGTGGGATGGTGAGCAGGTCAATGGCATTTGCATCTGGTACTGGATCTGTTCTATCACGTAGACTGTTCAATATTGACGCATGATCTCCGAGTCCGATTGATGGATGATAATGCAGGATGTGAAGAACTCATGCATGCTCACGATGTCAAAACCCTGCACATCAGGGAGCCAGAAAGTGCCCAGTTCTTGAAAGCCTCGGATATATTGCAGCTTTTCAGGAGTCAGGCTGCTTGGGATAGCGAGGGATACTTGCGGGTTGATGTGATTCCAATGGTGGAGGACTGTCAAGGGTGGCTGGCCTTGCTTTTTTGTAATATTGATGAGCAGTTGGTGAGGATGCGGGCATCTATCTATGATAGAATTTACAGCTGCTGTTTTCTTGATGATAAAAGATGCCATCTTTCGCCGAGTGATGTTCATATCCACTGAACAGAGCATGGCTTGTACAGAGTAAGAATGTCTGACGTGAGGATGATCCCCAGTATAGGCAGAATCCAAGATATCTAGACAGCCTCTTCTATTTTCTGGTATTTTATTCATATCCACTTTATATAATATTCCAAATGCAGAAATAGGTGTTTGTATCGATGCTCCCACGTAGATGTCACATGTCATTGGGGACATCGAGGGGTCTTTCTCCACTAAAAAATTAATTGGCGATAGCGATATCCATCAAAAGTTAAGCTCTCCAACTCTCTCCTCCATTACCCAACAAGCCTTGGATTTCTATAATTTTACGGAGGCTTTTGGTGTCTGTTACATTCTCTTATTAATTGAAAATAAAAGTCAAGTAAGTTAATCTACTGACTGTCAATCGATCCTTTGATTTCTATCACCCCGCTTTGACGGCACGATAACCATCAACCAGCCATTTTTCCTTTCAAGGGCCCGTCAATTGCCAATATTTATCTGTGACGGCTACTAATTTTCAGTAGAATGGCAGACCCAAACACCGAAATTGACGTCGATCTCGACGTCCAAGAAATCCTTCTCACAGCCTCTCAGCACGACATCCCCAAACTGCGCCGACTCGTGCGGGCAACCGAAAAGTTCGCCAACCCTGCCAATGTCAAGGATTCCGAAACCGGCTACACACCCCTACACTCAGCCATTGCGGCCTGTGAACCCGAACAGCCCGAGGAGGGTGCGAATGGGGAGACGAACGGTGTCCACCCCGACAGTGAGCACGAAAAGGTTCTGCAATCGGGTGCGGAGACAGTGCGCTTCTTGCTCCAGGAAGGTGCCATTTGGAATGACTTGGATTTGAATGATGAAACACCCGGGTGCTTGGCAAGACGCTTCGGTCTGAAGGAGATCTATGAGATGATTGTCGATGCCGGAGTCAGGGCGGAATTGCTGTTGGGCCGACTGGATGGTTATGAAGCTCTTTCTGGGGATGAGGATGAGGATGAGGAGATGGGCGAGGAAAAGGAACAGGAACAGGAAGGAAATGACAGTGAACAAGAGGAGCAATCGGCTCCCCAGCTTGTTGAAGCTACCGCATCGACCGAGGCCGCCACAACAACAGAGACCCCAGCAGCAGAGCCCGATGTCAGCAGCTCCCGTTACTTGGACTCATCTTTAACTTTCCAAAATGACCGGCTATTGGACCAAGACCAGAATGGCGTTATGATGGCCTGGGAATCGGACATCATGGCCAAGTCTGCCAAAAAGCTGCTCCCCACCACTGGACTGCGTGTGTTGAACATCGGACATGGAATGGGAATCGTAGACCGTTTCTTCCAGGAGCAGTCGCCTGCCTCGCACCACATCGTCGAGGCACACCCGGCTGTCGTGCAGGAGATGAAGAAACAAGGCTGGCATGAAAAGCCGGGAGTGCAGATCCACGAGGGCAGGTGGCAGGATATCCTCCCCGCACTGGTGGGACAGGGCGAAACATTTGACGCCATCTACTATGATACATTTGCCGAGTCATACGAAGACTTCCGCGAGTTCTTTAGTGAGCAAGTCATCGGTCTGCTGGACCCTGCAGGCAAATGGGGCTTCTTCAATGGAATGGGAGCGGACCGACAGATCAGCTACGATGTCTACCAGAAGGTAGCGGAGATGGATCTGTTCGAGGCTGGATTTGATGTTGAATGGGAGGAGATCAAGGTCCCTACACTGGAAGGCGAATGGAGTGGAGTCCGTCGCCCATACTGGGTGGTTGATGACTATCGCCTGCCCTTGTGTAAATACATGGATTAATAGACATGCGCAAAGGGAATTTCTTTTTTTTTAAAAAAAAAAGGGGGGGAACAGGATTCATTTTTTGGACAATACTACTATACGATGATTACAATGATTAGAATACATGACATGGTCATTTACTGATCCTACACCCGACATCGACAAAACTGGCAGAGCCTACAGAGTGCCCACATACTGGCTCATGTGGTATGCAGTGGTATGACCGGTCTTTTCATCCTTTGCCCACTTGGACACCATCAGATGGAGGTCGTCCTTCTTGGACGTCGACCAGGGATGAATGAAACCCCCGTATAGCGAAGGCTCTTGCTGCCAAAACACCTGAACTGTCTCCTCGGACCATTGCTTGTTCGGTCCGGCTGCTGTGCGAGAGACAATGTTGAGCTTGTCAAGATTGAGATACACCATTGCCCAGGTACCATCGCTCAATTTGCGCACAGATGGTTCGCCAAAGTTGCCCTCGAGAATGGGCGAGCAAGGCCGTCCCCATGCCCAGTCACTTCCATTCCATCCCCAGCCTTGAAACGCTGTCTTGTCCGTCATCTTATCCCAAGGTACCCGCTGCAGCATCATAGGCCCAGGCTGGCGTCCTGCGCGCACAGAGAAGATATACACCCAGTCACCGTCACGCTGCATCGTCCACATCTGAAACGGGTCGCTGTTGGCATCGTCGTTGGGCCACTTGACATCCAGCCGAGTGAAGGTATTCCCATCCTTCGAGTGTGCCAGCCCGGCATAGCTAGTCTTCCAAGGACCCGACCAGTCCCGGACACTCATGTAGGAGACGATCTGCTCGCCCGTCTCAGGCAACCCAATGCCATCATTAGGGATCGCGGATACCTCAAAGGTGCCGGCACCATCATCGCCACGGTGGCCGTTGTGCATGATCTCCGGGGCCAGACCATCATCACCTCCCACACCTGCAGCACTGTCGAAGATAATACCCGTTTCCTCACCAGGATGAACAGCCGAGCGTAGCATCACGGGAGACCGCCAGTTTCGGCCATCTTCAGGCCATTGAGTGCCGAATGTATCGCCGAAGAGATAGCCTATGGCTCCGTTCTCGAGCACGTAGGGAATACCCAAGTCGGTTCCGGCGACACCCCAGCGATGGCCAGTATCGAGGTCTTCGCCTGTAAGACGTTTCTTATATACCGATTGGCCTGTTTGCGCCGAGACAAGAGAGGAGAAAAGAAGGGGGAGAAGAAGATGACGCATTTTTGTTCGCAGAGTATGGGTGGTGTACTAACAAAAGGGCCGGCTGATGGAGAAATAGAGTCTTCTGTATAGCAGCCTCTTTTCTTTAAATAATAGTCTTCGATGCGGATCGCAATATCGACTAAGTCTTCGTATTTAATCAACCACTGTCTACGCACATACGGTACCGAGAGGATCAGCATCAACACGAACATCGACGACGATCATCGATGGGAATGATGGCAAATACGAATTGGGGCTCTTGGCAATTTGAATACCGACTTCCTTTTCCAGTTGAAGGAAACAGCATGGATAATATAATTCGATGTTGTAGTGGCGATCGCTTGGTGAGTGTCACTATATTTAGTACTTCTCATCTGATCTCGGCATGAATTAAAATTGGGAATGATGGTTTGACTTTTGATCTTGATGCATTTCGAATGTTAATTAAGAATATATCATCTCTTTTACCTTGAGCTTAGTAAATTCGATATTAGTTTGATTCTTCTATCGCCAGGTAGTATACAAAATGAATGAGCGTAAGAGAAACGACAAAGGTTCAATATATAAATTTCCTCGAGACTAGGGTTGTCTTTGGTATCAACTGTATAGTTCTCAAATCCACAACAGCCAGTCTTCTCAGTATAATACTTTTATTATTGTTATTATTGTACAGGTATACATGATATACATGAGGACCCAAATGTACCATGTCCTCCACACCAGAATGGTGATTCTATGTTAGACATAAGACTGATAAATCTTGCAACGTCCAGCGTGCAACGTCCAGCGTGCAACAAACGACAAGAAAGAATATAATATCATCACATCATAGCTGGGGCCGCTCATCTACAGTTGAATGAGATCGACTTCAGAGAAATCCGGTGGACTGCGACTGAAGATGGTCCTGCATTTACCATCCAGCGCTTGGTACTCGTTGCTGATCCATATGTGCTTGCTGAAACGTTGTGTCCGGTACACTTCATCGGCACTAATTCCTAGGTCATCTTGAGGAATCCAGATCACAGGCCGCTTGGCCCGCAGGGCATCGTGCCGAAAGGCTCGTTGCACTAGCTGGTCACGTTCATCTGGCGTGAGATCCTCCAACTCATCGTGAATGCCAGCAAAGAGTGCTCGGCCAACTTGGGGTACAGGAGGTTCTTGAGATTCTGTATCTCGAGCCACCTTTTCTTGCATCTGTAGCACGCTGGGAAGCGAACTCTCCGAGTTACTCCCGTAGAATTTGGAACGCTGCTTGGAAGACCGATCGGCCCATGATTGTCGTTTAGGCCCAAGTGGGGGAGGTGCCAGATTGCTTTCTTGTCGGGATTTCCGTCGTTTATCGGCCTCGATACTCTCCATCTCGATGTCATTCACTTTGTGATCATCGCCCCCGTGAAGCTCCCGTCCCGCCACTTTGCTTTCAGCAATGTCCACCTCATCATCATCGTCATCATCATCGTCGTCTAAACCCAGTCTGCTTCGCTGGGCGCGGCTAAACTCCTCGTCCCTGCGAACTGCGTCGTCTTCTAGGGTTATGGGCAGGTATCGGATCAACGGACTGAAAGCTTCATTCAAAAGGAATTGATACCCGACTGTGAGAACCATGACAACGATCATGCAGATGGCTTGCCCCTTGCAAGCTACTGTGCCCTGTACATCACGAACCAAGAAGAACAGCCCGATTAAACTGAGCTCCATCACGTAGATCCCAGTAAAAAGCTGGTTGATAGCTCGAGGGAAGAGCAAGCCACCAGTGTCAAAACGGAACTTGGTGACGTACAACGTATTGTATCGATAGACGAACCAAAAGAGACTAAATGTGATGACGTTGAACACTAGAATGAGAGGGGCGATGACGGAGTAAATCAAACCTGTTGTTCGAAAGTCAGATCATCATTTTCATGTACACGCACATGCACTTCGGAGAGAGAACATACCAATCGATGCAAGGGTCGTGTAAACGGGAAAGAAGGTGCCCCATTGCATCTGGTTCAGATTTGTCGTACGAGCCCACTTGGTCCTGGCAGTCGTGTCTAGGATCGGTGCGAGGATAAACCAACTGACCAAACTGAATATTTGAACCAACGCTCCAGCACTCACTGACATCGCCTGAAGAATCATGTACGAGAAGAAATAGTTGCTCGACAAGGGGATGTTTTGCGCCAAGAGTTCCGGCCAGCTAGTGACGTCTGTGACTTTGTTGATGATGGTGGAAAAGCTGGAGGAAATGGCAACAACGAGAAACAGTTGGACGAACAGAAAAGCAAAGTAGTAGTTCTGAACAGTGAGCTCAACGGCCATTCCGGTATGGACACCTTGGGCCCGGCACAGGAACCGAAGGATAAGTGGCAACACGGCCATCAGAATGGCTAGAAATAGGGCAGGTAGGATACCCTGAATCGCAGAGATAAACCAGTGTGGTAGTGTTTTCAACCATGCAAGCCAAGGGAACGTATTCTCGAGATACGATAATTGCGAAAGAAGACCAGTGAAAGCGACAGGGAACGCCCATCCAACGACCATTCCACAGACTAGTGTAATAATCCCAAAAGTCCGAAGATACCGTTCCCACCATTTGATCGACATGTTGTCCCAAATTACATCGTCAGGGGATATCTCCACAATGCGCGGGGCCATCTGTTTGGGAAGATGATGACTGACTGCCTGACAGGCCATGTGCGCGGCAACTTGGTGGTTGAACTGAACGAAGGCCGAGTTCATCAACGGGAATCGTTCAGGATGTTGCTGATCGAGTTCAATCTCCAAGTTCAGACGTGCCACTTCCTTTCGGCAATAGTCAATTGTGTCCACCTTTTTCCCAAGTAGCCAAATAGATGGCATCCAGCTAAGACCAAATATGGGTAATCGCATGGTATCTCGATCTTTCTGTCCGATATATTTCATCCATTCCGGGTTCCCAAAGTCCTCATTATCAAATTCCTCGTTGTATGCAATCGGGTATTCTTGTCCCTCTATTTCTTCCCCTTCTTTATGGCTTTTCCTTTTCTCTTTTGTGTCTTTTCGGTCTTCCTCATGCAAACTTTCCCGATTGGAACCTGGTGTTTCTGGCTCGCTTATAGGGGTCTCTGGACGTGTAAGGGGGTACTGATCCGGTTCTGTTGTAGCACTTGTTTTCGAATTTCCTGATCCTCGGCTCTTCCAAAATGGTCGTTTCGGCACAGATTCCGGTCCGGTTTCAGCGCTGCTTGAAGCTGCAGCGGGTGTTTCCAAATCCTGAGTTGGTGTGACTTGTCGAGAAGGTTCAGCACCGTGGGCATCGCTGCTTGATTGGGGATGATCATTGTTAGGATCAGCACTGTTGGCCGCTGGTGCTCCGGATGTAGCGTTATCTTTCCCTCCGGGGAAAATGGCACCAGTGAGAGCCAATGCTCCATCTAGTCCACCCTCAACCATCTTGAGACCACCCAAGACGGATTTGCCTAACATATCCATTCCCTGACCGACTACTTCCACGGCAGGATTCAGAGGGTTGTGTCGTTTCCGCTCACCGGAGTTCTTGTGATGATGCGAGGGGTCGCCACGATGCAGGAGCTGGTTTAGGGTATGGGCTTGGTGTGGGTTACCAGAACTTACACCTGCCCCCAAAGCAAGTTGCGAGGCCTTTTTATCGACATTTGTTTTTTCGTTATTATCGACCTTCTTGGCGCGTTCCCCAGCCTTTTTAGCCGCAGCTTTCGCCTGCTTCAGTTGGGCCTTTTTACACTTGATGACCAAACTGGTCTCTGCCGCCTCTAGTGTCAATGCCAATGCATCACGCTGCTTGACCTTTTCGTTTAGATCATCATAGTTTCTGTTGATCCAAATATTGCGGACACCACCGGGAAAAACATCGTAAAGGCCTTCGAGGGATTCCACGGAAAGTCGGTGCTGAGGAATTGCTGTCACAAGGACTGTCGTCGCAGAGGCCCGAAGTCGATGCTGCGGGGAGGTCAGGTAGGCTTGTCGTAGACGGATGTAGCCCTTTAGTTCATCGAAGAAAACCGCGCACACATAGACGATGACAATGATAGCCATGATCAAATGCCCCCAATAACGATCGGTATTTTCCGGTCTGACGTTTCCCCAAGCTAGCCGGTCGAGGCCACTAACGTTCCATTGCCCTCCAGTTGCGGTGCCATTTTTAAAGGTTTGGTCTTTTCCATCGATTTTATTTAACGATAGGAGGACAGGAAGTAGCAGACATGCCAGTGGGACAAAAATCTTGAGTAACATGCGCAGGTACCGTAAAAAGAAGTAGGCATCCAGGCCACACTTCTGAATGAATTCGGAGCTGGATGTGCGGAAGATGGGACCGATCCAGCGAAAGAAACCAGGAGGAGACGGGTCGGTGCGTTCTCTATCGGAGACCAGGTATGTTCGAGGTTGGCTATGGTAAGAGAAGTCAAAGTTAGCGATCGCTTCCAAGCATAGACAGTTTTTTTGTAGATACTCACTAGATGCGAGTGAGCTTCCCTTTCAGAACCATGAAGAGTAAGAATTCGACGGCAAAGACAATGATAGCAGTGGCCAGCGAAGCCAGAAAGGTTTGGATACTAACACCCTCGCTGGACTGACCAGTGCCACCCGCATGCTCCAGGGCCTTCCCAAGATCTGTTGACATGTTCGCCATGGTGATAAGAGGGAGCAAGAGAGGCTCCAGGAACAGTTTTGTTCAATATACAGAGTATGTTATCAGAAATGATCAAAGTGGGATGAATGCAAGGACGCAGTTCAACCGCAAATATCACAGTGGGGTTGAGTCAGTAAGGGTCCAGCATAGACATCACGAGGATCAATATCAATCAATCCAAGCTCAATTGGAACACTAGTCAAGGTCAGGGAAAGAATCCATCCCGTCGTAAAAAAAAGAATCTTGGAAATAATAGGAACTAAGAAGTGCCGTGAAGCAGATAGTTCCAGCAAAGGGGATAAAAAAACAAGACAAAGGCGCGGGGCGATCAGGTAGGGCTGAAGGTGTTTAAGAGAAGAAAGAGGAACCAAAAAATAGTGCCATAAGGGTATGACAGCAATGGCACCAACGATTCAAATCGACGATCGCCAAGTCAGCAGCGAAAAAAAAGCCAGCGAATGAAGGTCTCACTCATCCGAAACACCATGCGCAATAATCTTCGTAGATCCTCTGCTATGACATCAAGCGCCTGCTGAAACAGGCCGGACTGTGTAACGGTGCCTTTTTGTTCCTTGTCGGTTTTGGAGCGCTTCCAGGGCGATTCGCCGAGTGTTTTGTTTGAATTGCTGGTGACTTGGACAAAGGGATTGGCTGAAACTCCGTATTGAGATGAGCAACGGCGACAAATGAATCTATTTTGAGCTCTTCCTTGCCTTGATCTCCTTTTTCTGCTCGCCCTGAAGCTGATTGTGGCATCGTTGCCCAAAGGACTGCCCACCCACGCTAACCGCATCCGGCGTGGTAAACAAGCTTAGGTACTATGTACTATCCCATAACAGGCTAAAGCAGTGATTGGCTGCCTTGGTTGGGGGGTGGCGGTGCAGGCACATTAGATGCCTCAGGCGGACGCCACCGCCACCGCACTAACCGCTTCTGGAGACGATTCCACGTGAGTGGCTTGAGAAACGCGCTCCCCAAAAGAGGAAAGCACTTTACGCGACCTCGCGTTCCGACGCGTTCGGTGCGACTCCACGGAAAAGAATTCAACAAACGCCAATAATTCAATCTGGACTCCGACTGCCACAACCACCTTTGCAACCTCATCCCCTCACCTCCACCACAACCATTCTTGGTCGGTCCTTGGACGTCCATCTTTTCAGTGGACTATTAATCGCTAGGACCGGCTTTTCACCACCATGGCTTCACCAGCCTCTACTCGTCGTAGGGGTCGTCCAACCAGGGATTCATCGGCCACTGCTTCTCCCGCTCGCTCAACACGGTCTCGCCAACAACCCCAGACTAGCAGCCCGACTCCCAGGGCAGGAGAGGAGCAATTGCAGACGACTCCCCGTGCATCGCGTCGTCTACGAGGTGAAGATGCGATTCAATCATCCCCCATGTTCTTTCAGACCTCCCCTACTGGCGGGAACAACAGCAGCGCAGAGACTCCAGATTTGAGAATGGAGGAGCCCAGCTCGCCTATGAGGGCATCTTCTGCCATGGACGAGGGGGAAACTACTCCTCGTGGAAATGGTCCAGCCATGAGAGGTATGGTGTTTGATTTATCTGGGTTTATCACTGTTTGCTGACGGGTTGTTCTATTTATCAGACTCATCTCCGATTCGATACATGTCCAGCTCCAGTCCAACACGTGGTCAAACTCGTCAAGGACTGCGTTCAGATATTCACAGCGATAGTAGTGGGCTTTTCGTATCTTCCAGGCCCGGCGGGGGCCGAGGCGTTTCTCGACGCAGTGACATTCATTCTGGCGGTTTTGGATCCACACCAAATCGCCGACGAAGAGTTTTTGTCGATGGAAACGGAATGCCTGTTGCGGATGGCGAGCCTCGTTCAGATGCAACCTTTTCGAATATCCATCCTGGTACTTCGGAAGCAGAGGCCCTGGGTGGCAGCTCGACCCGTGTGATTTGGGGTACCAACATCTCGATTCAAGATTCCATGTCCGCGTTCAAAAATTTCCTTTACAACTACGCAACCAAATACAGTCTTTGGGCAGAGGGTGCCACTGAGGATGAGACCAGTCGGTTGGGAGATGCGGCAGAACGGAGGGAATATATCACCATGTTAAACACCATGCGACAGCTCGGTGTGACCAGCCTGAATCTGGACGCCAAGAACCTCAAGGCGTATCCATCGACATTGAAGCTATGGCACCAACTCCACGCGTACCCCCAAGAGATTATTCCACTGATGGATCAGACCGTGAAGGATGTTATGGTAGAGCTTGCGATCAAAGAGATGGAGCATCTCCGGACTCAGAACCAGCGTAACCAAACCCACGCAAGAGGATTGAGCTCCGGTCCCGCGGCCCCAAGCTCTGATGCTTTGAGCGAGACCGGTCGAATGCCCCAGACGGAGATTCCGGACCTTGTTGGTGAAGTTGAGACCAAGGCATTCAAGGTTTTGCCATTTGGCCTCGATTCCACTGTGAACATGAGAGATCTTGACCCAGCTGGTAAGTCGAATCCTAATTTAGTATCTGCATGTGCTAACATCCCACTCAGATATGGACAAACTCGTGAGCATCAAGGGTTTGGTCATCCGGACAACACCTATCATCCCTGACATGAAGGAAGGTTAGTTGCCAAAATTAAATCATAGACGGGAAAATGGGATTACTGACGAAGTTTCACAGCCTTCTTCCGATGCCAGATCTGCAATCATGGAGTTCAAGTCGACATTGACCGTGGAAAGATTGCGGAGCCTACTATTTGCCCTCGGACCGTTTGCAATGCCAGAAACTCGATGCAAATCATCCACAACCGTTGCGCTTTTGCTGATAAACAGGTGATCAAACTGCAAGAAACACCTGATAATGTTCCCGACGGTCAGACCCCTCACTCAGTTTCGCTGTGCGTCTACGATGAGCTGGTAGACGTCTGCAAAGCCGGTGACCGGGTGGAAGTCACTGGTATTTTCCGCTGCAATCCCGTGCGCGTCAATCCCCGCCAACGTACACAGAAGACTCTCTTCAAAACTTACGTGGACGTTTTGCATGTCCAGAAGATTGATCGCAAGAAGCTCGGAATTGACCTGTCTACCGTGGAGCAAGAGCTGTCAGAGCAGGCAGCTGGTGAGTCAGAGCAGATCCGCAAAATCAGCGCGGAGGAAGAGGAAAAGATCAAGCGAACTGCTACTAGACCCGACGTTTACGAGCTTCTGTCTCGATCTCTGGCGCCTAGTATCTACGAGATGGATGATGTGAAGAAGGGTATTCTACTTCAAATGTTCGGAGGCACCAACAAGACTTTCCAGAAGGGAGGTAACCCACGTTACCGAGGCGATATTAACATCCTGCTCTGTGGTGACCCTTCGACTTCCAAGTCCCAGTTGCTTCGTTATGTTCACAAGATCGCCCCGAGAGGTGTTTATACTAGTGGTAAAGGTTCATCAGCTGTTGGTCTTACAGCCTATGTGACCCGCGACCCTGAAACTCGTCAAATGGTCCTCGAGTCAGGTGCTTTGGTCCTTTCAGACGGAGGTATCTGTTGTATTGACGAATTCGACAAAATGAACGAGTCCACGCGGTCTGTTCTGCACGAAGTCATGGAGCAGCAAACCGTTTCGATTGCCAAGGCGGGCATTATCACAACACTGAACGCAAGAACTAGTATTCTTGCTTCGGCCAACCCTATCGGCAGCAAGTACAATCCCAACCTGCCGGTCCCGCAAAACATTGATTTGCCCCCTACTTTGCTATCCCGATTCGACCTGGTGTATCTTGTGCTAGATCGCGTGGATGAGCAGGAGGATCGCCGGTTGGCAAAGCATCTGGTCAACATGTACCTGGAAGACAGGCCTGATAACGCTAGCAATGAGGAAGTCCTGGTATGTATCAAGAACTCTCTTAACTATGGCTATCTCGACTAACATTCCTATCTTCAGCCTGTCGAATTCCTCACGGCGTACATTACCTACGCCAAAACCAAGATTCACCCCAAGCTTACCCCTGCTGCTGGTAAAGCACTGTCCGATGCCTATGTCACCATGCGTAAGCTTGGTGATGATATCCGATCCCACGATCGCCGTATCACGGCGACAACTCGCCAGTTGGAATCCATGATCCGACTGTCAGAAGCCCATGCACGTATGAGACTGTCGCCTGACGTGACAGCGGACGATGTGGAGGAAGCGGTGCGATTGATCCGGTCGGCCATCAAGCAGGCAGCTACCGACTCCCGGACAGGTCTTATTGACATGGGCTTGTTGACGGAAGGTACTAGTGCAAGTGAACGGCGCCAACGCGATGCAATGAGGCGCGGTTTGCTGTCGGTGGTTGATGAACTGAGCAATACCGGAGGCGGGTCCGCTCGCTGGGCGGATGTCTATCGCCTTCTGAGTGAGCAGAGTAGCGTTGAGATTGATGGCGGCGAGTTCCAGCAAGTCGTTCAGGGCTTGGCGACCGAAGGCATCGTGAACATTCTTGGGGATGGTGCGCGACGGAGCATCCGCCGTGCTGAAGGAACGCGTTTGTAGACTCGGCAGGGGAGTCGAATGATGAGACCATGACGCAACGGAATATTTAATATTTGGCCGGTGACTGGGAGGGATGTGGATTACTATATTGATGTGCAAGCTGAACGAGATTTACACTGTGAGGAACAGAAGGTGTTTGGTGTTGGCCATGTTATGTATACATCAGTAGCACTAATAAGCGGACCTAGATCCTGCATGAAGATGAATCCATGATGATAACTCAATTTGATATCGCCAATCCATCGTTCGCGACAGAGCAATACGAATAATACCACTAGTCCATATATAGCTAGCGTTCACTGCTAGCGCCGGCAGCTGGGCGGCACGTGCCACCATGAGTGGCTGGCAGCCAAAACGGGCTGGAGAGAATGGAGACAAGCACTAGAATTGGACGGGGGATTTAGTTAGGCTGGGATCTGCTCTATGACACATGGATATGACTGGCAGACGGAATGCATTCTATCTGTCTCCCCTCTCTCCTGAGATTATCCCTGGTCGTATATTAATGCTTATCCATCATAAATGGCAATAATACTGCATTGGCCATATGATGCTGGACCTTGTAACCGCAACGTATCATCAATACGCACTGATCCGGCCTAGCGTTGAGATAGGTAGGGATCTGGAAAGACAGCTCCCATTAGGTTCACTCCGCCACTCTCTCGCCGTACCTTTCTCCTCTTCCTTCTGGCGATCGAGAATTTCTTCGTCGATTTTCCCCTCCCTTCTCGCTATGCTCGCCTGCATCGATTGACAGGTCTGATGCTTTTTTTCTCTGTCACCATTGGATTTCATACACTCCTTCCTCCTATCTTTCGACAGAAAGTTAACTCGTTCGCTTGCCAGTTTCTTTGGACTAGTTAGAATTGAGCACATTCATCGTGCAACTAGCCCATTATGAGGTACGTCGATCCTCACTCTGATTCTTTCTCACGTTTGGGCTTTTTTCTCACCTTCCTCCCCTCTTGCTCAGGTTCGGTGAACATCTCCGGTCGTCTATGATCAAAGAATACTACTGGTACTACATCGCCTACGAAGACCTCAAGAAAGCGCTCAAAACAGATCTCGTCGCTGAACCTTTCCCCGATAATACCAAACCCAATCGAAAGGCATGGACGGAGGAAGATGAAAAGGGCTTTGTCTCCCTGCTCGAAAGCGAGCTTGACAAGGTCTTCAATTTCCAGAAAATAAAAAGCCAGGAAATCGTCCGTCGTATACGTGCCAGCGAGTCTGAGGTCAACGACATCATCTCCCGCCTAGAGGATGTCTCGGAATCTCGTGGTCGTCGCCGCCACAGCTCCCGATCGAATCGTGGAGTTCCATCTGATGAAGACTTCCTTCTGCTTGAACAAGTACTGAGTGACATCATCGCCGATGTTCACGACTTGGCCAAGTTTACACAATTGAACTACACGGGGTTTCAGAAGATTATCAAGAAACATGACGTACGTTTGTCTTTTGACTTTCACTTTTTCTTGTCTTCGTCCTCAATTTTTTAATGACTTGGATCACAGAAAGAAACTGGTTGGCATCTTAAACCTGTTTTCGCCGCGAGACTCAATGCGAAGCCATTCTTTAAAGATAATTACGATGCTTTCGTGGTCAAGTTATCAAAGCTCTATGATTTGGTCCGGACTAAAGGCAACCCCGTCAAGGGAGATGCCGCCGCTGGTGGCACCCAGCAGAATTTCGTCCGTCAGACCACCAAGTACTGGGTTCACCCGGATAATATTACTGAATTGAAACTTATCATTTTAAAGGTATGTATAACCTAGTCCTTGAAGTCCAATTTGATTATAAACTAACCATCCCAGCACCTCCCCGTTCTCGTCTTCAACCCTAGAAAGGAATTCGAGGAAAAAGACACAGCTATCACTTCTATATACTATGACAATCCGGAAACCTGGGAGCTTTACCAAGGACGATTGAAGAAAACTGAAGGAGCCGAAGCTATTCGACTAAGATGGTATGGTGGTATGGAAAGCGATCAGATCTTTGTCGAACGAAAGACCCATCGTGAGGATTGGACTGGAGAGAAATCAGTCAAGGCCCGTTTCTCTCTCAAAGAGAAAAATGTCAACACTTTCTTGGCCGGTCGCATGACTGTAGAACATGTCTTTGACAAAATGCGCAAAGAAGGAAAGAAAAGCGAGGCTGAAATTGCGGATCTAGAGCAATTGGCGCGAGAAATCCAGTATCGGATTATCACCAGAAGCCTGGTGCCCGTCACGCGGACCTTTTACCATCGGACAGCGTTTCAACTGCCTGGCGATGCGAGAGTCCGTATCTCTCTGGATACAGAGCTTACAATGGTCCGGGAGGATAATTTAGGCCGTCCTCGGGCAGGGAGCAATTGGCGTCGGATGGATATTGGCGTCGACTTTCCATTTTCGCAATTACCTGCCGAAGACGTTGAAAGATTCCCTTATGCCGTCCTGGAAGTCAAGCTCCAGACACAAGCCGGACAAGAACCGCCCCAATGGATCAAGGACCTGACAGCCAGTCACCTGGTCGAAGCAGTGCCCAAATACAGCAAATTCATCCATGGAACTGCAACTCTTTTCCCCGATCACATTAATCTGCTTCCGTTTTGGATGCCCCAGATGGATGTCGATATTCGAAAACCAGCAACACGTCGGTTTGGTATCGAGCGGCCACCGACGAGCACACCCTTGTCTACCAATGACGAAACCCAAGAGGATTCAGACAACTTGTCGGACGAAGCGCAAGCTGGTCGGGCTCATCCCCATACCAATGGCCGTGGCGGTCGTCGTACACAAGCATCGGAACACGATCACTTTTTTGCTGACACTGACGGCAATTCTCTTGACGTTGAGGAGCGCATTGCTGCGGAGCCCCTACCTGGAGATGAGGACTACCCTCTCTATGATTCGGATGAAGAGTCAGTCGACTCCGACGAGCTTGAAGAAGCAAGGAGAGTCGGAGGATCATACTATTATCGACTTTTGGCTCAGCATTATATCCATCAGACAGGGCATGCTTTGATGAATGGATTCAAAGCCATAATTCCACGGCCGAGGCCAACACACATGCCACCTCCTACTCAATCCGGAATTGCTGTCATGGGAGCCGAGCGAACTGCCAAGCGATTCGTGGCTCCAAAGGGTAAACGTAAGTTCATTTGTCCTATCATGTCAATCTGTTTGGGGTATCTAACCGACTTCTAGGCATTCATGTACCCATCCGTGTCGAACCGAAGGTCTACTTCGCCGCCGAACGAACGTTTTTGTCATGGCTGGAGTTTTGTATTCTCCTAAGTACCATTGCCGCCACCCTTCTCAATTTCGGAGAAGATTACATTACGTTTGTTTCCTCTTGGGCTTTCACTATTCTTGCTGCCGTAGTCCTTATATACAGTCTTTTCCTGTACATTTGGCGTGTGGACAAGATCCGCAAGCGCCGAGATGTTAAACGGGTCTACTACGAAAAATGGGGGCCTACCGTGGTGGGGGTCGGACTGGTCATAGTCATCTTGATCAACTTTATATTACGAGTCCGGGAAGCTGAATTCACATCTCCAGATACTGGATCGGGTCCGGACCAAGGCCGAGGGGAGTTGTGATCGACTTGATTGGGCCTTGCAATATGACGATTTCAGATCTTTTCTTGTTAAATAGCATACTATGAGCGTCTATGACTATTTTCAGTTTCCTCTCTGCTTTCATTTCATTGGAATCAGATTGGATATGTCGGTTTAGTGCAATTAGGGATGACTTCACGAAAATATGAATATGAAGCATTCACCTTCTCCGTTCACCACCAAATATACATACATGGGGCAAACATGCATATTATTATCAAAACAAACACATTGGCCCTACTTCAAACGAGTATCATGCATTTATATCGTCATTTTTACGTATGCCAAGTTTTAATTTGTAAATAAACTTCCATAATACCTTCTCTGCAGAGCTCCACGATGCAGTGTTTCGTCATTCCTTGCGGCCTACCAATCAACCATCACCAGGAAATAGTATTCTTGCAGGAATATTACCTTTACGGGGTAGAGTAAAAAAATAAAAATAAAAATACTTTGATTTCATAAATACATTTCTATGATATGAATTACCACATTCAAGTACGCCGCCAAGGAGTTTCGAATTGCTGGATATGCAAAGCCATTCGAACTGAATGCGCAGATTCCATAACCCAGGGCGCAGATGCGCTAGAGAATGACCAGAAAAGAAAACACTCAAAATAGAAAACCGGAAAGAACGCCTTTTTCTGTCGTATAACCAGATGTACAATTATCAAATAAGGGGGGAAAAGGGCATAAGTAGATAACGATCAGTATTCAAAATCATCATCCACGCCTTTCTTGCCGGTGTTTTCTTTCAAAACTGCTTCTTGCTTCCGGTACATCTCCGCCACAGCTCTTGTGGTTGTGGCTTGGTCGGGCTTCTTGTCGTCTCTGGATTTGATGAATCGTGGGAAACGAAGGGAAACTCCCTTCCCTCCTCCGGTGGTTCCCTCGAACTCATCAGCTGCTGCTTGATAGCGTGGACTCAGTGTCAAGTCGGCGGTTTTCACCTCCCATACCAGTCGTGGCTCAAACCACACATCTGGTTGATCTTTGGGAACGGTTGAGTGCGAATAGAATGGTTTTGGTCGGTCAATAGTGAGAGGAGAAAGTGTGCTGTGGAACTCTTCTAGAATTGCTTCGGAAAAGCCAGTGCCGATATTGCAAATTGTCTCGTAGGTCTGAGTATTCGAGTTGTATGCGGCCAGGAGGAATGCTCCATATACGGAGGTACGCTTTCCACGGCCATAGTATGCGCCGAGCACAACAAGATCCAGGGAGTCGCCGATTCCACTAAGATAATCTTTCTTGACCTACAGAAGGAGAAAAACCATCAGCCAAGGTTACTTTCACACAAAATTTCGACATAGATGGACATACCTTGAGCCAATTGCGACTCCGTTTGCTGGGTTCATAGCCACTCTCACCTGTATCCAACATCTTTACCATCAATCCCTCGCATGATGCCTTCACACTATCATCAAGCAAAGTTTGGATTTCGTCCAATACATTGGTATTACCAAACTGAGCAAATTGAAATTCACCTTCAGCAAGCTCAAATGACTCATGCAGGAGCTCCCGGCGTTGCCGTAATGTCTTTTGAACGGTAGGCTGGATTCTCAATTAGTACAATGAGCGGTTGAGTGCTGAAGCAGAGGTCTTACCTCTCCGTTTAAGAAAAGAAGGTCAAAGGCGAATACACACACTTTGACCTTGACATCTTCTGCCTTAACATCCTTCCGCTTTCGAGTCATGAGTTGTTGAAATGGCAGGACCTTCTTGTTGACTGTATCCCATGCAACAGTTTCACAATCAAGAACGAAGCTCTTGACACCGCTCTTGATCCAGCTATCGAGCTTGGATAGCACATCGGGATATTTCTTTGATAGGTCCTCGGAATTGCGAGAGAAGATGGCGCAAAGCCCTTTGCTATCATGTTGCAGCGTGGCTTTTGCCCCCGGGTAGTGATGAACGGAATCCGGCGCTACGTAATGAATTTGAGCTCTTTCTCCATCATATTTATATTCGCACGTAAAGTCTTTCCCTTCGAACCGATCAAGTACTTCGGTAATAGACTTGGTCGGCTTGGCGAGCATGGGCTTGATAGGAATACCAGGTTGCAGCTTGCACACCTCGCGCAAATTGAATAGGCCATGCTCAAGCATGGCAGGGATGATTACTTCATAAGCCGGGAGCTCACTGTAAACTGTCTTCAAAATGGCCTCGCCCTCCGCCATCTTCTCGGTCGAGGGAGATTTCTCTCCGTTGACAGCTGCTTCATGCGCGACTACTGCCTGTGCAAGTGCCACAAGAACAGTTCTCTCGGCAAGCCCAAGTCTCAACTTACCCTCCAAAAACCGAATAATGTATTTAGCTTCGCTGGGCCCGCCTTTATCCTTGGTGATATCGATTCCTTTGTTTCCTTTCCCTGCCGTTGCAGCATCTGCAGCAGAAAGGAGTTTCTTGATTCCTGACACCTTCTTGTCTTGGGAACCATGGCCCTGTACTTTGGCGATAGATAGAAGCCCTTCATGCACTCCCCTCACGGTCAAAGCCTTCGGTTTGAACATAGTGGGTTGGTTAGATCGACTCTTAGCAGCAACCAAGCCTAGATCACCAATCTCGTGCTGGTCTGCTTTAATCACAGAGAGACTGCGCCCAGTACTCTCACCAATTGACTTCATGATCAATGACTCGCCAATTCCCAATTCAATGCCAGCGTAATCCGCAGCCAGCTTGTTGATCATTAGTTGCACAGTGGGGAGTAGATCCTGTGGAGTCAAGCGAAGAACCTGGCGAAGAAACAGGGAACAATGTGCAAGAATGACCAAGCGCTTGGTAGTCATCTCGACAAGTGAAAATGTCGTGCAAAGTGCTGCGTAGGGCACTGGATCACCGGCTTTCCAATCAGGATATGGTTCGTTCCCACTGGCCTTTAATGTTGCTTGCACCTTTTCCATTTCCTTCTTCTTCATTTCCGGCTTCTCATCTTCCTCTTCCTCGCTTGCTGATTGTGGCTCGTCTTTCTCCAAATCGGATTTCACCCCCTCTTCTTCTGGTGTGTCTTCACCCGACGCCTTCTTTACAACAGCTGGCGGCGAAGCATCCTTAACCTTCGCATCTGTTAACTTGGAAGCCTTGGGCGATGGTGACTTCTTCTTTGTAGCCAGGGCATCTGCGGTCCTTCTCGAGCTCTTCCGCTGTCGTTTTGGGGCAGGCTGAACATCGGATTCCTCACTTTCTTCTGGCGCAGCGCTTATTTCTCTTTTGTGTTCTCCTTTCCCATTGGATTTGGTGGTATCGTACTCTGGTTCCGCATCCTGTGCTATAGCCTCATCGCTGCCATCCTTCTCAACCTCGTTTTTATCAGTCGCGGGAGATTCCCTTGTAGTTTTTGGTTCAGTCGCTTTTTCGCCAGATTTGTCCTTCTTGCCTGAGAAGGCTAATGTCGTCTGCTTTTTAGGCGCATCTTTGGATGAGTTCGAGTTAGAGCCGAAGAAACGCCTGTAGAGTGTAAAAATTGATAGTCAGTTGTTCAATTCTCAAACAGTAATGCATCCAGCGCCCAGTCACCATGACGCACCCGATGGTCATTTGAGAATCCCGAACATACCCCAATGTAGCTTGTTTTCCTGCCATTGCGCGATGAGGAAATGTTGAAAAGGGAGGATTAACCGCGAAACAATTCCCCCTTAGCTGCTGATAAACTCCTGGATACCTCGCGACAGGTATTGGAGAGGAGATTATGAGTTTCAACGGGTTGAAATTTCCACAATCAAGAGTCGAATATGAGGTTTTTGGGAATGCAGTGCTACCGACAGGTCCTCGGCAACGCAATGAAGGCGCAGAGAACGCGGAGATGCGGGAAGTGAGCATAGACGTCGCAACGAACGTCTGCAATAACAGCACCAAACACGCTCGAGAAACAAGTCAGACGCAGTACAATATATAGACCTTAATCCGAAGCCGAAGCCAGATTTTCGATCGCAGTCCCACCAAGGCAGCAGTCGATGCTGATCACAGGCTCACAGGCAGCGAGACAGGCAGCCCTCGCGGAAAACGCGACGTGACGTGACGCGCGATTAATTAGAGTCACGTGCAGACAGTGGCAGAGCTATGTTATACAACTTATAGGCACATTATGATAACTAGCGCTGTATCATACTAAGTAAGCACTGTTTAAAGTAATGACGAGCACATATTTTAAATATTATCTTGATTCGACACGATGGAAAGAATCACTGAACACGCGAAAATCATCGAGTGCAAACAGTGCAAAATGATCTCTCTCACCGCCCTGTGATGGCCGGCAGAAAATGCGGGCACAAGCGGAGAAACGATGGCGACGATCTGGATTGATGCATCTCACAGGACTTTTCCATGACATTTGGGGATACTTAATAGGGGGATATGATAAATCCCAGAGCTTTACGGCCCTCATATTCCAACATCGTCTCTATCAGTTGCTTTTTTGGAGCTCTTTTAGCTAGACATAATGGAGAACTTGCGACAAGAGTCATTTAAGAAGGTATGCGACTGTTTAAACCGTACAGCATCAAAATAAAAACTAATTAATTTTTCTCTCAATAGCTTCGCGCTCCATGTGTCGAGCTCAGCTCCGTTGGTCTAGCGTTTCGTGGTAATCAATCAACTTCTACCGATGTCGTCCGAGCCCTCGAGCCTGTATACAACATTCTCAGCGAACTAGGCGATAAGGAAGCGTTGGACTCAAAGCTCGCCGAATACGCATTCTTTCCTCTATCACATATTTTCAACGAAACCCAGAGAGTCTCTGCACGTTGTCTGGAGCTGGCCGTGAACTGCTTGAGGGTTCTTGTTGGAAAAGGATGGCGGAAAAACCTGTCTCCACAGATGGGCAAGCAACTTATAATTCTTCTGACGTTGATTGTCGGTGGTGCACCCAGTAAGATCAATGGCAATAAACCTGCAAAGCCTGAATCAGAGGAGCTGGCTATTGCAGGCTTCAATTGTCTCTCGACTATCTTTAGCGCCCTGGAAGGGCCTGTGGCGGAACAAACAATATTTCACGAAATTGGCACAGCAACGGTTGTTGATCAAACCGTTTATATATTGCTGGAAGGAATCGCTGATGAAAGATCCGATGATCTATGTTTGGCTGCTGCAAAGGCTCTCCAAGCCCTATATCTTCGCGTTACTGACCGGGTAGTGCTGGCCAGTATCATGCCGCGAACTGTGTCTGCTTTGGCACGGGTACTGAAACCAACGACCCAGATACGCCGTTCCTATCGCTTGTTTGATATATGTCTCCAAGTGCTCAGTAGATTACTCAAGACAGTTCTCAATGACCAGGTCGCGAGCGTCATACCAGAAAAGCAAAGCCAGCCTCAAAAAGCCAATGATCGACTAGTGCTTGATGAATCTTGGCTCAAAGCTACGGCTACTCAAATGAAACTCGCGCTTGCTAATATTATAAAGATTAGACGCCATGAACGTTCCGAGGTGCAAGTCGCACTTCTTAACCTTTGTCTGGTTGTCATCGAGGACTGCCAAACTACATTGGCGGAATCGGTGCCCATGATGGTTGAAACAGTTGTCGCACTGTCTGACTTTGAAGATGACCAGGTTCCAAATAATGCATTTACAACGCTGAAGCATCTTGCCACTACTTACTTGGTGGTGCTGGATTCTCTAAAAGACTCTCTTCATACTTGGACTACATCGTTCCCGAGGGCAATGCAAGGCAATGACGAAACCGCCAAACAATGGGGCATTAAGCAGATATCTACCGTATTCCAAGTTCTGTCCCAAGTTCAGTCTGGGTCTGATATTCTTACGACAAGCTTGGCATCCGGGTTGTGTGATAGTGTCGCTACTGCAGTCAGCCGTTCAGACAATGCTCCCCAACCTTTAAGCTCCGACTTGTCCAATGATCTAAGTCTGGAAGTACTGGGCCAGGGTGTTGAATTAACATCATTCCCGCCAGTATTGCTCGGACATCGGAGTCAGCATCAAACACTTCAAGATCTCCAGTCCATGATAATCAGGCTTAATATATCTGAGTCCGGAAGTGAGATCACACGCTCTGTTATAAACCGAGTGCATAATACGTCTGGTGATTCCATAATTGCGCCTTTCTGGTTGGTTTTGACCTTCCTCAAGAATACTTCGCAACTCATATCTAGCTTTGATGATTTCATATCCTCTGACCATGTCGAACTTTCAATTTCATCCCCCACTAGGGCGAGCATGGTCGAAGAATTATATTATATATCGTTACCGGCACTAAGTGAACCAGTTTTTGACGGTTCCCGAGATTGGCGTGTTCTAGCACTTGCTTTGGAAGCGGTTGCACTGCAAGCACAGCAGCTTGGCGAAGCATTTCGACCGGAGCTCATGGATGCTTTATACCCTGTTCTCCAACTTCTAGCATCCAACAATCCGGGTCTTCAGAAGCATGCCATGACCTGTCTCAACATACTTACATCAGCTTGCAATTATCCAGATACTAGCACGCTGATTGTTGACAATGTCGACTACCTTGTCAACTCAGTGGCTTTGAAGCTTAACACCTTTGATGTCTCGCCCTATCCCCCTCAGGTCCTATTTATGATGGTTAAGTTGTGCGGTGCCAGGTTGATTCCGTATTTGGATGATTTGGTGGGCTCTATATTTGGAATCCTAGATCTATATCACGGATACCCGAAGCTTGTTGAGGTGATCTTCAAGACTCTGGCCGCGATAGTCGAGGAAGGGACAAAGAAACCGGCATCGCTGGCAATCACGGATGGTCAAGAGAAAAACCTTGTTGATCATCGCAAAAGACAATACAAGAGCTTGCGTATTCCCACACTCGCAGAGGACTTTGCATCCCGGAAAGCCAAACGTGCCAAGTATGCCCAGGAGGCAGAAGATATGGATGAAAGACTTGCACATCCCAAACAGCCATGGGTTACGGAGTCTCAGAAAGACAACGTTCCTGATATTGAGGATCTGGCCGGTGAAGGACAATCAGAAGAGCCATTGCCACCACCACGTGAACCCGAAGATGGCGAAAAGCCCCTGAGTAAATCGCACTCACTTCTATTACATATTGTCAACTCTATCCCATCGCACCTGACCTCACCTTCTCCACACCTCCGTCGCTCCCTGCTCTCTATCCTGATTCAAGTCCTTCCCGTTCTTGCACAAAATGAAAACAGCTTTCTTCCACTTATCAACGATCTCTGGCCGTCTATCATATCCAGAATAGTTTTTCCATCTTCGTTTGGATCTGAGTCATCTTCGAAAGCTCTCATGACAAGTGATGCATCTACCACCTCTGACGACCGACCTACAACCGGTGGTGGTGAGTTCGAATTAAAAGAAGAAATATACGTTATTACGTCCGCCTGCAAGACCGTGGAGATAATGTGCCAACATGCTGGAGACTTCATGGCATCCCGCATCGAAAGCGAGTTTCCTCGCTGGGAACGTCTCTACCGCCGCTCTTGGGAGAAAGTACGTCAAGACGCAGAAAAGGCGATCGAGAGACGAGCTCAACAGCAACGGAAAACCAATTCCACTAGCGATAATAATCTCGAGTCGTCTCGAAACGGGTTCGACATGTTACTTTCCCTTGGTCTGTCGCAGACCATGTCGTTGACAACAGCTGGGGCTGCCTCGGGTGCTCGCGCATTCACCCCCCACCACAGTCTTTGGCGGGCCTTGGGCTCGTTGTTCATTACCCTCCTCACGCACGTTCGTCTCCCCTTGTCTGTAGGAGACCAGATTTGCGAATTCCTCGGTGCGTGGATTGCACGCTTTGCCGGGCCAGGTTACTATCTCGTGTCTCATCTACAAGCTACTCGCAGAGAAGCAGGAACAGAGGAACCTCCTAGAGATCTCGAAAACCAACAAGCAGATATCCGGCCTGTTGAAGAGGCCATCCGAGCTATGGAGGCTTGGAACGCCGATCTGACCTGGTTCATTTTCCAGCAACAGAAGACACAGGTATTTGGTATCATGAGCAAAGACAAAGTAGGGCATGCATCTGGAATGAGGGTCCCACACCAAGACTCGAAACGCTGGAGCTTCCTTGGAGGTCGGTTAATGTTTGCAGAAATGGCATTTTAGATGGCCCCTTCAAGGGCGTATATAAATTGGCGTACATAGCCGAATATAATGATTGATGTTTTTGAATAGACAGTGATACTGCTTTCTGGCGTGTCGCAAGAGTATCCTACCTCTTGTCCTAGATGCAGACCGGCTTGTTTACGAGGCGTTTAGCTTACGATACTATGGAAAATCGGGTGCAGATACGACATGGAAGATGTTGAATTGATAACTAATCTGGTTGACTTCAGGCAAGCTGCCACTGGTCAACACATCCAAACATGTACTAGATGCTGCCAAAGACATGGCTTTGGCGTGCTTGTAAAGAGTGTAAAATCACTGAAGGATAGGAAATAGAGGAGCAAATCAAAGCAAAACGAACATAGCAACTAGACTGATCTGATGAAGATCATAAGGAGTGAGATGATTTGTCTATTCCTCATCGCTGCTTTCCTCCTCATCGCTCTCGGCATTTTCAAGCCACTCGAGGAATGGTTGGGCGGTTTTGCGGATCTTCTTGCTAGTTGAAATGTCGACATACTTCTTGCTAGCCTTGGCACCCCATGCCTTGAGGGTTTCCTCAGACACAAGATCCTCTTGGTAGTAGCCCAAAAGGATGGCCGGGATCTGGGGCAAGAGCTCAGGACGATCCTTGCCGACGAAGCGCTCAGTGCCTCCAAGGAATGCCTTCTCGTGGCGCTCAGAGGTGATCAACTTCTGAAGCAGCGCTGCTCGGCTAGGGATCTGCTTGACAATCTTGTCATCGAAGATAGCCTGAGCGAGAACAGCCAAGGTCTTGTGCTTGGACTCAATACCGAATTCCTTGGCCTTCTTGTAAATGTCCACATCGCCGACGTTGGCGACACCGCCCTTCTCCTCAGCAGTGCTGATGATCCAGCTGCCAAGCTGGTCGTAAGAGGAAGCACCGTCGGCACCATCCTCGTCACCATCTTCAATCACAAGAGAACGCTTCAGGTCGTCGGGAAGCTCTTTGGCACGAGCCTTGACGGCCTCTTCAGACACATCAACGGCCCATTCGTCATCTTCGATCTCCTTTTCGGCTTCAATTGCCTGGGCCTCAGACTTGATGCGACGAGTGAGCTCATCGTCACTGCCGGCCTCGAGGGCAACTTCCTCGTCGCCATCCCCATTCTCAGAGCCATTGCTGTCTCCAGGGCTGCCATCCTTTTCACCATTTTTCTGGTTCTTCTGCTCACGGCGGGCCTTCTTGGAGGCCTTGTCCTTCTTTCCTCCCTTGGTGGGGGTATTCCGGACGATGAAAGTGCTCAGCTTAAGACGAGGATCGACATCCGAGCGCTGACCACAAGCCTTGCAGTCCAAGGTGATCTTTTCGTCCTTGATGTTAACATCCGTTTCAGGATTCTTGCACTTCTTGCAGAGGACGAATTTGGAAATGAAGCCATCAAGATAGTCCTGGAGCTTAGGAGCATCGTGGGCACCGTTGATGATCCAGCGTTCATCACTGGGTTTGGCGTTGGCCTGGGCACCCAGCTCAAATCCGAAGTACTTGATCACATAAGAAGGGGGACGACTGAGAGAGTTGGCAACAGAGTTCAAATTGACGATGACAGTCTTGATTCCGTTACCCTTGCCTTCAATCTTGGACTGCAAGCGTTCCATCTTGTAACGGTAGAAGGGATCGGAAACATCCCGGCGAATGTTGACAGTGGCCATGGTGACGGTGATGAATGATTAATTCTTCACGAAATGGGTATCAGTAGGGAGCGAAGGGAAGTCTGAACTAGGGATATCTTGACGAAACAAGACATGCGTAGTGAATTCCTTGATTGGGTGGAATGGTGGCGGTTTACGATCGTCTCGAGGGAACGATTGTCACAACGTGCAGGATAGTCCAGGGAATTTCAGCCACAGGACTTAGAGTGTATACTACAAGGTTTCGACGCGATGCGAAACGTTTGCAGCTTGAGCGGCAGATGGTGTTCGAAATCTCTGACGTAGGGCGAATACATAGACAAGTTCTCGGCCGACGTTTTGAAATTTGTGGCTTTCTCTGGCAAGGGGAGAGAAACCAAAAGATGGTTTATCTGCAAATGAAGAGGCAAAAACCCAGTCAGATCTCTTGGGACACTCAGTGGCGGATGACTGACGGATGACCGTACAGGACTGACCAGAGTGACTTCTTTATTGAGCAAACCGTGAGGCTGCAGAGTCAAAAACGCGTCGAACAGTTTGAATACGATGGAATCGACGATGAAACAGCGTCGATGGCTGTCGATCTGTGATGGAAAATATGGTGGCCTTTTAGTGGTCGGTGTGTGGGAGAAGGAAAGAAGAAAAGAGAAAAAGATTTCGCTCTACGCCAAAACATAAAAACGAGAGGGCAAAACATGCAAACAGCTGACTCAGCAGAAAACGCCGATGTTCGGATCCGAGTCCTCCGAGACCACGTGCCTGAATGCCTGGATACTGTGGCCTGAGGCAAAAAGACAGGCGTATTTACTTTACCGTAATTTACACCATCATCGAGAGATTCGAAGATTGCTTCATTCTTTCTTTTTCATATGAACAGAAAGCAGTCATTTTTTGATGAGAGAAGCTTCATCATGATCTCATCATCAGGTCTTCTATTACTTTTTAACAACAATTCAGGAATGAGGACTTGGTGAGATGGCCTCATTTCCTGACAGTAAACTTCGTCTGCCGTCCCCACAGCGTCCCCAACGTCACTTAGAGAGTCATTTTTGCGATTGACGACATATTTCTCACTTGTCGCTTGCTTCGTGCGTTCATTGTCAATTGAGAATCTTGTAAGGTGAGTCCACATTGATGAGTTTTTTTCTATCAAGTCACGGCAATAATTCTTTGTCTTTCCGTTGGCAATTGCTGCGATCCTGCCCCTCCCCGCCGCCAAAACCCCTCTTCATGAAAGAGCTTTTCTAAACAACAGACAGAGCACGGTCAAGATGCCTTTAGATCTCTCTCTATACTTGGTCACTGACTCAACCCCGGCCATCCTCAAAGGTCGTGACCTTTGCAAAGTGGTGGAGGAAGCTCTTAAGGGAGGTCAGGCGAACCCATCAACCCAACTCTTCATTGTCTTCCCTTGCTGAACGAATCACGTGTAGGCGTAACCATTGTTCAATACAGAGAAAAGAAGAGTGACACTGGAGTACTGATTGAAACGGCCAAGAAGCTGCACAAAATTACCCAGGCTTATGGGGTTCCATTGCTAATCAATGATCGTGTCGATGTTGCCTTGGCCGCTGGGGTTGAGGGTGTTCACCTTGGCCAAGATGATATGAGTATGAATATCCGCCTCATCCTTTAATAACTTCTGCGCCTCGGTCTAACTACGAACAGGCATCACAGAGGCCAAGAAGCTTCTTCCCGAGAACTCCATCGTCGGAATCACTGCCGCTTCCATCGAAGAAGCCCAAGAGGCGGTTAGGGCAGGTGCCGATTATCTCGGTGTAGGGACGATGTTTGCAACTCCGACGTAAGCATTGAACTAATCTAATGATAAAATGTCACATCTAACAACCCACAGTAAGACAAACACCAAGTCCATCATTGGCACCGCAGGCACCCAGGCCATTCTCGAGGCGATTTCAGATGAAGGTCGTTCGGTTGGTACCGTGTCCATCGGTGGAATCAATATCTCCAATGTGCAGCGAGTTCTTTATCAGTCCCAGTCCCCCAGGAAGGGCCTGGATGGGGTTGCCATTGTCAGTGCCATCATGGCTGCTGATGACCCTGCAGCTGCAGCCGCTGAATTTGCGAAACGTATCAAATCCCCGCCACCATTCGCAACGGCGGCCCCAAAGTCTCCACGGGCGAATGAAGCTGCTGCTTTGCTTGAAGAGGTACCACATGTTGTCCGTGAGTTTGTCGTCGCACATCCGTTGGTACACAACATGATCAACTATGTCGTGGCCAATTTCGTTGCCAACGTAGCCTTGGCAATGTAAGTTTGTTTTCCGTGTCTGACTCAAATTCCAGCTAGACATGCTAACTACTAACAGGGGTGCATCTCCCATCATGTCTCCTCACGGAGATGAGGCCGTTGATTTGGCACAATACGACGGTGCTCTTGTCATCAACATGGGTACCCTGACCAGCGAAAGCGCACCGAACTACCTGAAGGCAATTAAGGCATACAACGAGCGTGGTAACCCGGTTGTCTATGACCCGGTAGGCGCCGCTGCCACCCACATCCGACGCGATACAGTTAAACAGCTCATGGCCGGGGGTTACTTTGATCTCATCAAGGGAAACGAGGGGGAAATCAAACAAGTTTCAGGAAGCAGTGCTGCCAGGCAACGTGGAGTTGACAGCGGACCCAGCAGTCTTGACGGTCAACAGAAGGCTACACTGGCCCGAGACCTGGCCCGCAGAGAGCGTAAGATATCCTCATACCCCGTGGATTTCACTCTAAGCGAATACTAACTCCTTTCCTCATAGGTAACATTGTGCTTCTGACTGGAGCCGTCGATTATCTCAGTGATGGAGAACGTGTGATTGCAATCGAAAACGGACATGAATTCCTCGGGCAGGTCACAGGCGTATGTTTCCCATTTCTTCAAAAATAACCCACGTCCCGTGCTCTCCTTCATGATGAAATTGCTAATTCCCAATGCACTCCAGACTGGCTGTGCCGTTGGTACCTTGTCGGGCTGCTTCTTGACTGTTCGCCCATCCGACAAACTTCTGGCCGTTCTTTCCGGTCTGATGATGTACGAGATTGCAGCAGAAAATGCCGCCTCCAAGGAATACGTTCGGGGACCAGGAAGTTTCGTCCCTGCATTCCTAGACGAGCTGTACGCCATCCGCCAGGCTGCTCTGAAAGGCGACGATAGCTGGTTCACCGGCCGGGGGAAGATCCAGGAGATTAAGCTGTAGAATGTGGTTGGCTGTGTTTTATATACCCTCTTATCCTTGGACTTAAAAAAGAAACATATGTACAGCTTGTGATGCTCTGACGAAAATAAAAATGAAATTTTCTGTCGTTACAGCAGAATTCAAAATTCCATGATGGAGGAAAGTCGGACTGTAAAATATTCATACCTTAGTGCCTTATCCCTCAGGCATGAACATTCTCCCCGCACCGCCGCTATTTTTCCCCGCTCGAATCTCCGCAGCGCCATTTCTCATCGATCGCAGAACGACTTGAACTTCATCAGTTCCTTAATTCTTCATCTTCAACAATTACTCGAGATATACAAAATCAGATCAACATGTCCATGTTCGGGAAAGCCTGTCGGATCCGTAAGAATCACCCAGAACCAATCCATCCTAGATGCAATATACTGACTTGTCTTATCAGGTAACCCGGCCTTGTTGTACGTTTCACCATTTACCAGACTGAAAAGAAGGGATTGAAAAGAAGGGATTGAAAAGAAGGTCAAATTAACGAGACCCAGTATCTGCGATATTCAAGAGAAATTCCGCCCCGTCATCCATGAGTACTCGAAACTGTACGTTGATAAAGCCATCATCACCATCATCATATCAGCCCACGCCATTCCAAGATACCTAACATGAAATAAATAGCATCTCCACAACCGACAAAATGCTCAAAGCAGCCTCCACCCTCCAAATCCCCTTATTCGTGACCACCCAGAACCGTGCCCGACTAGGTGATACAGTCTCCGAATTACAACCGCACCTAGCAGGTCCCAACCTTCGCGCCAACGTCGACAAGACCTACTTTTCCATGGTCACGCCGGAGATCTCTTCTCTACTCAACGTGGAGGGTGAGGAGAAGTTGGATGTTATAATTGTTGGTATCGAGACGCATATTTGCGTTACGCAGACGACGCTTGATCTTCTATCAAATGGGAATAGGGTTTATATTCTCGTGGATGGAGTGAGTAGTGTCAATCCCGAGGAAAGAGGGATTGCCTTGGATCGATTGCGGGATGCCGGTGCGATCATCACTACGAGTGAGAGTATTTTGTTTGAGATTTTGAAGGATGCGAAGCGGCCTGAGTTTAAGGCTATTAGTGGGCTGGTGAAGGAGACCAAGGAGGAAACTAAAAGTGCTCTTGGGGCATTTTCTAAGATTTGAAGTTATATATGTTCATGCTGTGGCTTCGTGGGCTTTTTTTATAGTCGATGCTATGTAGTATGTTTTATCTACTTGGGGTGGGGTATATATATGATACTACCAGAGTCGGCACTGCGTAGATTGTCATATGTTGATGGTATTTCAATTACTATGCCAACATAGACTGCTACTGCATAGCAAATGTGCAAAGATCCTCATATCACTATCTAAACAGAGATCAAAGTCAGCCTCATGCATAGCAAATGTCATGATCGACTAGCACTGGTAGTGAATTGATGAACAGATCATGTTGCTCGTTGATCCGCATGCTCAATATCAGGACCCAGCAAAATTGTGACATGATAACCAGCAAATACAAAGACATGAAAGTGAGAAGGGGTTTAAAGACTACTATCCAAGTCGTCAAGACCAACCAACAGTGATTACTTTGGGTTCGTCACGACACGTTTCGATGGCTGAGACGAATTGAGCCAGCCAAACGCCGATGCACCGCCGATTGGATTAGACGCCCACTGTTTGCTTGCTCGGGCCTCGTCTGAAGCGCCTCTAGATGCTGGCTGGCTGGACTGACGAACAGGTTCCGGCTGCGACGTTGGCGAATCTGTGTTATCAGCGCCGGCGCTACTAAGAGCTGTTGCCGTCGACGTCACCCGCGAAGAGGACTTTGTGGGTCGCAAGACTTTCATCGTACGTCCCCTGGACGATGTGCCCGTTGCGGAAGCATTCGGATCTAACTTGGGGTCACGTCTCCACGAGCTCCAAACTCCGGCACCTTCGGGTTTAGCAGGTGAGGTAGGCTGGGAGTCCATCGCTGCGGTTGGTTTTGTCTGTGTCTGTTGGGTGCTGGGGTCCCCAGTTGTTTCGAGAGGGGTGGCAAAGTGAGGCTTCCGAGTATCCTCGGGTTCTTCAATAGAAACCCTGGCCGACACAGGTGCGGATACGGTTTGCCGAGGGGGACTCGCGGGCTGTCCATTGGTAGGAGGCTGATCTACAGGAGGGCCCTGGTTTGCGGCACGGTCGACAGGGGGCGTTTCAGACACGGTGCTTAAGTTCTTGAAAGCCGAGTCATTTTCGGGGCGCACTAGAGGGATGGAAATCTTATTTCTCTCGTCATCAACCATGATGATCTTGTCTTGTGAGAACAGTACGTCAGCGTTGTGGGACCGAAGCACATCGCTTCCAAGAATGATCTGGATGGAAGCGTCGTTGGGATCGACGTCACGAACGAGGAACCGGATTGTCAAAGCTGGGAGCTGCGGCAGTGGGCTGCTGGAACGAGAGGATGACTGATGGAGACTGGCTTCCGGAAGGTACAACGGGAGCTTGATGTACTGTGAGTCTTCCTCCTGCGTGATGAGGTCGTCCAGGCCGAGTTTCCTAACCATCGGATAGCCCAAAGACGAAGCATAGGAGCCCGAGCACACGGCGGCATAGAGGAGCGACTCGTTGGAGAAGTTGGTTGTCAGCCAGCACCGAATGATACACGGCACGGGGCCCAGGAGGAAAAGGCCAGGCGGAGGGATAAGAGGAGATCCGCCAGCCGAAGAGCTCATCATTTTACTAGTCGTCTCCAGACCCAGGCTGTTGGTACGAGCCGAATGATGAGAAAATCCCGACGAACTCTGCCTCCCATCGGAGCGATGAGACAAAGATCGTTCGGTCAGCGGATGGCTTCCCATTCCGCTTCCTGTCCTCAGCGGAAGCTCGCTACTCGATCGACTGGCCTGTCCATAGTACCCGTGGATTGCACTTTCATCGAATCTAACGCTGTTTGCTCTGGACGCACCGCGCCTTGGCTCCTCTTCGCTATCTAACCCCATTGCACTACTCACCATTCCGTGATTCTGCCCCTGGTCGAAACCCTTGAACGCATCAGCGTGGGGATGGAACGTCGGCTCTGCAGAAACAATGGAACGTCAATATGATAAACTGGAAACAATGGGGATAGTATACTCACCTGTTGGTATTGCGCCTCCAATTGCGCTAGGAAAAGGCGATAATGGACCCCAGACACTCTTCAATCTCGCATCCTCATCCCTCCGCCGCTCCAGTCGAGCAATCCGCTCCGCCTGCTCGAACTGAGTGGCGTGCAGCTCCTTGAGCTCGTCGAATACACGCCAGATATCGTCGCGTGAAGCAAAGGGATATTGGGCATCCATATCCAATCAAGAACAAGACGGAAACCAAAACCTCACGAGGTGGCGATATTCAGGATGACACAAAACCAAAGGACCAAGACCAATGCTGCCTTGATGCACGCATCCGCCAGATTTAAAGCACCACTAGCTATGTCTTTTTCGAAATTCAAGAAATTTTTTTCTGTACTGTCCGTTTTCTTCGTATTTCCTCTCAAGCTCCTCCACCCTCGTGCTCTGCGAGACGGCCGTACGGCCGTCCACCCAGTCTGCTAATATCGAGTATCCGTTGTTCTTGTCAAGGCATATAAATCAAACCACCACGATAGCGAGAGACAGTAGAGCGATGGTACCGATAGTGAAGCGACCGAAATGAACAGGGAGGTAGCAGGCGGAAATAATCGGCTTTTCGGGGACTATCGTATGGGATGAAAAGAAAAACGGGGAGATGTGGTGTGCAAGTCGATGAACACTGAATCAGAGTTTTAAGTGACACAAGTCGATCATTCACTGGTTATTAGGAATAAGAAAATAAGGACGCGAAGGTCTGGATTCACCAGGAGAGACCGTGTTATTTGGACAGCTGAGGGGGGTGGCAGAAGGGAAGAGCTGGCTGTATGGAGAAGCTCCTGAGGAATAATAGATGAGTTGGAGAGAAAGGCAGTGAGGAATTTAGGGAATAAAGCCTGGGATAATTAGGAGACTGGCTTAAGGACCAGATGGAAATGTCTGGGATCAGGGATCCAGCAGAGAAAAAGTGCAGAGATGAACTGCTGGCTGACTGCAAGTGAGGGGATCCAACGCTGTTTCATGGACAAAGGATGAACGGCGTCTAGACCGCTTTCCGTCTCCGCCTTTTGCTGTCATGATGATCTTTCTTTTATATTATTTTCTTTTGATCTCCAATTTACTGATTCTTGTCTTTGATACCATTTCTTTGCTTGAGAATCTTTGTTCTACGATTTCTGCATATTTATCCCCAACCAATATCCCTCATTTCGGGGCCTCAAGCCATCCAGGAAACACCATCGGGAGCTTCTCGGGGTCTTGATCCGACCAATTCGCTCGAATCGTCTCCATCACCAGCTTATATAGCACTCGATATCCATCCGGAGTCAAATGCAGCCCTTGAAACCAGCTGTCAGCGGCCAAATAATAGTCAAGCGACAAGATGGGACGGATAAAACAAACCATCTGTCAGCAAGCTCTGCAGCTTTTCATTATTCGGCACATCTCTCGACCCAACCAAGGGCTGTCCTTCCTTCCAGCCAACGGTCGTCATAAACGCAGTCCAAAGATCCGCAACAGGCACTCCCAATGAAGTGGCGACTTCGCGAGCAGCCTCCGCGTACTGTTTCGTATAGCTAGCTGTTCGACTGGGGTGAGGCGTATTCTTCGATGCGTCAAAGCCTTCCAGTTGGTATTCATTTATCGGTGGCGGGGTGATGAGGATAATCCTCGGGTTCTGGGCTAATGTTGCCGGGTGTTGGATGATTCCTCGTAAGTTTTCCTTGTAGTCGTCTAGTGGAACATGCTGCTCTCTCTCGGGAACACATGCATCGTTGGCCCCGAAGAAAATCGTCTATCATGATGGATCGAACTGGTCAATATCGATCGTCTTGAGAAGCATCCAGCCAGGAATAAGGTGTTGTTACCATGAATCGCACCGTAGCCGTCGATGCCGCAGGAAAGAACTTGGGAAAGACCTTGATGGCATGGGCGGTAGTATAGCCCCTTTGAATCGGTCAGTTCAGTATCTTTTTATTTGTAAATTTCTGGTACGATGCGGCATACGAGAATCCACGGTTGATCACATCCAAACGTCGAACGTAGGCTATCGAAGTGGTCAGTTGCTAAGTCCACGAAGAACAAGGGAGCCAAACTCACCATCCTGAAGTGCTGGATGGAATCCAAATCCTCTTTCTTGGGAGCAAGACATCTGGGTGATTGAGTCCCCAAAGAGGATGAATTGATCGTAGGGTTGGTACAGGACATCGTCGTTCTGCTGGCCGTTGCTGGACATGACAATGATCACTTTATTCGATGAACCTTCAATTGAGCCTTGAAAGTGTAGATAGTAAGTGATACTATTCCGTACTTTGTATGTATATTGCGCGGATGTCTCTTGGATGAGGGGTTGGCGGGGGTTGAATTTGGCGAGTCGCGGTGGATCTTCGACTTTGAGTATATCATCACGAGCATCAATCGGTCTTAGCACCTAAATAATATTGCTGATATTTGAGGAGAAATTAAATCAATTCTCATATTCAAAATCAGCCATCGGGATTGATACACAATTTATCCACCAACAGCCTGCTCCATTTATCCGATTACCTATCTCAAATACCATTGATTGGATATACATAAAGAGATAAAGCACACAAGCACAATACCTAAATGTGCCAAGGTCATCTACGGTTCTCTAAAATACTCATACTACTGTATACCAATCGATTCATCATATCATAAATAATATACGTACATAAATATCCATAGAAACATCACTGATCCACTTTGTTGGAAGCTCGCCATTTCCTCCCCATAGCATGCACGGGGATAGTAAGCAGCAAACTAAACACCACCAAAAGTGCACACGCAATGCCCGAGCTAGCTGCTACTCCGACAGTATCGAACATATCAGGGAACCTGTTGGATGTTAGTCCTATGTCCAATATACCTAGAAATAGAAACAAGTAGAAAGGCAATCACTCACCAAAACGGACCAATGAATCCCCAAATCTGTCGGACAAAAGTAATAAAAACTCCTACACTTCCTGCATCTTGGGGGTAAGAATCAACAGCATACGTGATCATTACCGTTGTGACAATCTGATTTCCAAAGGCCGAAATGCCAGTGCCAATGATGGGTGGTACAACCCAGTGCCCGGGTGCTTGTTCGGTGCAGACCAAGAAAACAACGGTGCCAGCTATTGCGAGAAGGGTACCTGGATAGCTCAACCAGAGACGATATTCTGGTTCAGGCCGTTGCTGGATTTTGCGTGCGCGATGGTTCATCCAAAAGTCGGACATTGAACCCCCTACTTGCTCACCAAGGACGGATCCAATAATCACTCCGAGAAACTGAAGACCCAGTTGTTGGGTGTTGAGACCAAATTTGGCTTGTAAAAGCTGAGGTACTTCAACAGTAATGAGAACACTTCCGAACAGGAAGACCATGGCGTAGGCAACAGCCGGGATTAAGACGGTTGGTTTCATGAACAAGGCCAACGGGTGGAAGAACTCGCTGAGTCTCAGTGGACTAGGATCAATTCGGTGGAATGAAAAGTATTGGGCCTTCAGGTCAGACGCCTGGCTTTGGTTACTACCACCAAGGTAGCGCGTCTCGGGGCCAAAGAAGATGTATAAAATAAACTGAGCGGCATTTGTCATGGCGAGGACCCAAAAGATCCACCGATAGCCCACACGATAGGCGACAAATCCAAAAATAAAGGGCCCTGAAGAGCATGTTAGTTAGAATTAGAAGAATATCTGATAAGTGAAGAATCTACCAACTGGAACACCCAGTGTAATCAGTAGTGTCCAGATACCCATGTACTTAGCTCGCTCTCGTTTGAAAAAGGTTTCAGCCACCACCGCACTCCCAATGGCAGAAGCAGGGGAGATGAAAAAGGCAGTCAGAGCTCGGCACGCGGCCATAGAAGTATATGTTGGGCTTTTTGCGCATCCAACGTTGCAAAACAAACTCAGGATTGTGGACAAGAGGAAGACCGGGCGACGACCGAACCGATTCGACAAAGGTTTCCATAACAAAGGGGCACCTCCCAGGATAGCAATCTGAAGAGAAGTGAGATAGCTTGCTCTTTGTAACGATACTCCAAGATCTTCGGCGATAGTTTCATATGCTGGGATGATGCTTGCCGCAGTGAAGGTTCCCATGCAAGCGTGGAAGGCGACGAGGATTAGGTTGATCAGTTTCTACAGAGGACATACCCAGTCAGCAACCTTTAACCACAATGCTATAAAGCAGAACATATCATACCTTCCAGGTAGGCCAGTTGTATGGATCAGCATCCGACATGCTGGGTATGGGATCCAGCTCCAAGGTTCCATGGCGCTGAATGAGATAGTCTTGATGAGTTTGGGATAAGAAGTCCGCAGCAATGTCGCTAAAAGACTTTTGCTTTTCTTCATCTGCTTGCTCGAAATATTCGCTGTCACTCTTTTCTAGGCGTAGCATGTCCTTGCGGGTTGAAGATGGAGGAGAAACCTCTGACAGTTCGATAGAGGGCATGGTACGGTTTGGTCTTGTACCAATAGGTATTGCCAATTAGGGGTAGTGAGAACCGTGAGAGAAGAAGACAGAGAGTCGAGTCACAAAGAAATGAGTCTCGGGAAGGTGAGAGACGTAGGTCTATAAAGAAAAACCTGCGATCAGACCTGGTGCCCATTCCGCTGTCTCCACGCCCGAATAATCTGCATTTCCGGGGCACCCTAAGTCCCTGAAACCTGGGGTTGACATCAGTCTGGAGAATCTATAATCTGGGGACTGCAGAAGCTGAGGCTAGGCTGCGGATGATCAGTGTGGGATCGGGGAGGCGAGGTCAGCTCTCCACAATACATAGCCAATCTCGGGGAGGTGATCATTTCTGTCGCCAATTCCGCGTTGATGCTGCAAGGTTGGGAGCTCAATCATTCCGTGTCAATCATGTTGGTTGCCACAAAGTCATGTATCTGAGGCGAGCAAATTGTGGGGAGGGCGCATACTCGCCCCTCACGGGGTTAATGTCTTTCCCACCAGCTTATCAGACTGTTCGGGGGAGAGGAAGGCATTCAATCTGTAGTTCCAGACTGCAGCAAGGCCCTTCTAATCCATCTTGTTATGATCCAACATCCCCACTGATGTTGGTTTGATGGAGGCGTTGATTGTCCCCAGATGGGGAATTCCCCAGACTCCATAATCGCGAGGACCATCCACTGAAGAACTGGAATTCACAATTCTTTTGTGGTTCTTACGACATCCTTCATGAATCATTAATAAGGATTATATTTTCACTTCAGGGGGCATCTTCGCATTAAAGCTCTATCTGAGAACGTCCATCCACAAGCCATGAAGTGTGGCCAAGTAAAGCTGATGAGTGTGACAGGCTGATAGCCGGGCCAGCATTACTGCCTGGGGAATTAAGTCCGACAATAACAGAGTGCGTTATGGTATGCGACGACCAGGGGTAAGATGAGGGGAAATTCCGTCGATCGTGGGACGGTGGGAGGAATGCGTGGGGATCCCGTGATGCAAAGCCACGTTTTGTTCGACATACTGTCCTTTGGAGATTTATTCCGGGGTATATAATAATCGAAGCTTCTGCTTGATATTTGAATCGAGTCTCTAGTCGTAAAGTCTCACGATACCATGGATTTCTAGTTTGGTATAAGACAGGGTCAGTTCAAAATATTGTTTCAGAGACCATAATAAGAAAATGCGAGAAAGCCTGCTGTGGTAGTGCTAGAGCTTGAATAGTCAGCGATAAACAAGAGCCTTAAGGTAGGTAGTGATTTATTTGAACTGTTTCATCGAAAAGATGATAGAATATGCATGTTTCATGCACCAGTGATGAAATATAGCCTGGGGCTACCTGGGGTTCCATGACCAGGCCGAATAGGACAGGGACTTCCTTGAATCCTTTTATATACGCCATTTCATTGGCATCAGCGCCCGCAAGCCAATATTATCAAATAGAAGTTGGGTCACTTTTCATCTGCATCGTCGATCTGATATCTGATGATCCAGAGTCATTTCGCGGGGTACAGTACATGGCTGACGCTGTCAATAACGTCTGCATGGGCGCGGACTTCCAATATTCCAGCTGCACTGGCAGTGATCCGCTTCTCACATGTGCTTCTGCCCCTCCTTGCCTTTGCCATCGTGATATCTGACACGGACGTGGAGGGGCAAATCCAGACAGACGGTTCCTATTCGACAGCTTTGACGGACGCATCAAGCGGTGACACCCTATCCACTCTATCTCTGGGCCTCTGGGCTATTTCGGGCTTTCTGCATATCGGCGACAGTCCGAATCGTCTCCAAAAGATTTTCGTTGTCGTAGATGCGAGCAGACACCAATTCTGAAGGATGGTGCTAGCGACATCGAGGATTGTGGAATACTGGAATTGTGTGCTACCATGTTGATCTTCTCAGGGATAGATAAATAATCTCAGAAAGATAACGGCTTTCAAAGGCAAGTCAGGAAATGATCGTCCTGGATAGTGGAGCGGTTTGTGACACTAGCAGTAGAAAGCAGCATCGTCAGTCAGCAGCGAGACGGTAAGCAGCAATCAATATCATCATAATGCAAGCAAGCAAGCGATGCTTTAACAAACTCAAGGCAAAATTAATAAGAGATCAATTAAGAGAGCAACTCAGATGATCTGCCAGTGCCATGTCTTGCTGGGAATGACTCGTCATGGCTTGGTGTTGATCCCATCAGATGATGGTGGTTGGAGGCGACTAGATAACTTCGCGTCTTTGGTGGAGGTCATCTGCGCATCTCCTCAGTTGGAGCTCTTATTGCGATTCATATTCCGCTCTTTTCTTTTCTGCGCGTTTTTCTTTTTCTTTTCCTTTGTTTTCTTTTTCTCTTTCTCCCCTCCACTTAAGTCCGTTTCTTGTCCTCAGCCATTCTCGTTCTTTTATTCTGCTCATTTCCCCTCCCCGCGCAATCCCGCTATCCACTTTCTGCTTGTTTAGCGGTCAACTCCAAGTGGGAGATTGCACCTCCGACTGTCAAGTTTAGCCGTATTTCTGTCGAAACACTTTTATTTTTTATGGAGGATATGCTGGTTGGTGAGTGCTACAATACTTAATCCTCCAAAATCAATCCCATTTTGATCCTTTCTCCCCTAAATGAAGCTCTCCGACTTCCGCAGAGGGTCCTCCGGGCGTGCGCATAGCCGAGGATTTCTCCATAAACAACAGCATTGCTTACAAGGTTCAGATCGCCACATTTAGTACGGAAGCTCTTTGGCTTCAACACCAATCATCATGCCTCGTTCGATCCCTTCATATTTTACCTCCGTTCCTCAGGAGGATCGACCTCCCGGTAGGAGTAACAGCCCGTCTACCACCCCCGGGCCTCGAACGGCACCTCCGTCTCCCGCCGCATATAGAAGAAGTCACAGCCTTCTCTCGGAACCTCACACTGGATATCAATCGCTAGAATCCCATATGGAGGTCGGAGAGACGACTAGTCTTCTGGGTAAATCCAAAGAGGATCGCAGAGGTGCTCCGCGACGGTCCTACACCAGTCTTTCTGCGTCTTCGGGGCCCGAAGTCACCTTTAGGCAGTCCCTGTTGGCTGGGAGCATGCGTCGGTCACGGCAGCATAGTCGGGCTAATTCACAGGTTAGGAGATTTACTCCCCAGCTACCCAGTAATGATGTGGACGACCATCCCAGCGCAACCCCGCCGGCCAAAGATGCCATGATCGCATCCTCCTTTCTGGATGAAAGAACTTGGTACGATCAGTTTACCTCGACTGATTGGGTGCACGACAGCATTGCAGATGGGGCCCGTCTCCGTGAGCTACGGAGTAGAAAGGACATACGTGGTCGGCTATTGGCTTCATTTGATGGCGCCCAGGGCTGGATTTTGGTCGCAGTGATCGGCTGCATAACTGCAGCGATCGCATATTTTGTGGACATAACGGAGGAGGCTTTATTCGATCTCAAGGAAGGGTTCTGCACCACGAGATGGTTTCATGGTCGGAGTACTTGTTGTCGGTACATCGAAGAAGACGAAACTTGCAACGCATGGCGGTCATGGTCCAACATTTTTGGATCTTCAGATTCGGATAACCAGTGGGTTGATTTTGGCATGTTTGTCTTCTGGGTTGTGATCCTATCTGTCATATCATGCGCTTTGACCCTGTTGACCAAAACGGTCGTGCCCTCGTCAGTCTCCCTGACAACGTTGGATGAGAACTTGGGTGCTGGTTCATCTCGAGGGTCGCATGGTGTGAGATGTAATGGGGAAGAGGCAGACTCTCCGGCCTCGGTTGTCAGCCCACATGCAGACTATGCAGGCCCCCCAACGCGCCCCGCTATGGTCTATTACCCTGCTGCAGGGAGTGGAGTGGCTGAGGTCAAAGTCATCAACAGTGGCTTTGTTCTGCATGGCTACCTGGGGCTGAAGACCTTGGTTGTCAAAACAATTGCTTTGATATTCAGCGTTTCATCTGGATTAAGTTTAGGAAAAGAAGGGCCCTATGTGCATATTGGCACCTGTGTGGGAAATATCTGCTGTCGAATTTTCCCCAAGTATAACCTCAACGATGGCAAGAGGCGTGAGGTCTTAAGTGCAAGTGCTGCCAGTGGTGTTGGTGTTGCCTTTGGAGCACCTATTGGCGGTGTGCTCTTCAGTTTGGAGGAAGTCAGTTACTATTTCCCCCCAAAGACTCTGTTCAGAACGTTCTTCTGTTGCATTGCTGCCGCCTTGTCTCTGAAGTTCCTCAACCCTTACGGGACGGGAAAGATTGTCTTGTTCGAGGTCCGCTACAACAGTGACTGGCTGATGTTCGAAATGGGTTTGTTCATTCTGCTCGGTATTCTGGGTGGAGCGACAGGTGCCCTCTTTATCAAAGCCTCCGGTTTTTGGGCACGATCTTTCCGACGTATTCCTTTAATCAAGCGTTGGCCAATGCTTGAGGTCATTCTCGTTGCGCTGTTGACGGGAGTAACGAGCTTCTGGAATCGATATACCAAACTTCCTGTCTCAGAACTCTTATTTGAATTGGCCAGTCCCTGCAAACACGATTCGGCTTCGCCAAATGGGTTATGCCCTACCGAAGATGGTATTGGTGGTATAATCCGCTACCTGCTTGTGGCGTTGGTGATTAAGAGTTTATTGACTACTGTAACCTTCGGAATCAAGGTCCCCGCCGGTATCTATGTGCCGTCCATGGTGGTAGGGGGTCTTATGGGTCGCATTGTGGGCCACATGGCCCAATATATGGTTTTGAAGTTCCCAAACTTCTTCTTATTTCAGTCATGTCCCGTGGATGCGGGAATGGAGGCTTGTGTGACTCCCGGTATATACGCAATGGTTGCTGCTGGTGCAACCATGTGCGGCGTGACCCGATTATCAGTTACTTTGGCTGTTATCCTGTTCGAACTGACCGGTAGCCTGAACCATGTGCTGCCATTTTCGTTGGCGGTCCTATGTGCAAAGTGGACAGCGGACGCGATCGAGCCTCGGAGTATCTACGTATGTAATGAGGTTGATACAGATGGCTGAGAATCTACAGCTAACAACTCATAGGATCTCTTAACTGACATGAACTCGTACCCATTCCTTGACAACAAGCTCCAGCCAGTGTCAGATGCAGAACTCGGGGATATTGTTCGACCGGTGCGAAAGAGTCGCATCATCGACGTCTCTAATACAGCCTGGGTGCCCGCGACAGAGCTCCGGTCAAAGCTCGAACATCTGTTGATGGCGGGTGAGCTGGACAGTGGTCTCCCTATTTTGCGCCACAAGGCCTTGTCTGGATTGATCCCGGCGCCTGATCTCGAATACGCCCTTGACAATCTTAAAGACGAAGAGAATACCTTGTGCCTAATGTCGATTGATCCTTCGACCCTGGTGACTGACAGTGAAGATGAGGACGACAATATCGCCTATCGGGCTGACTTTACTCGGTATATAGATCCAGTATGTTTCTCTAAGTCATTTTATATTTCTAAATGTATTAACACAGCTTCTAGGCCCCCGTTTCCCTCGATGTACATTCGCCCATCGACCTTGTTTACCAATGCTTTGCCAAGCTAGGCCTACGCTACCTCTGCGTGCTCCGAAATGGACAGTATGCAGGTTTGGTGCATAAAAAGGCTTTTGTAAAGTACATGAAAGAAAATGAGTAGAGGATTTTGACCTCTCGGTACAAAAGACGGTGCTTGAACTGTCCATGGAGGCCAATGGCATACGCCTCGTGACGCCTCTACAGATATTTTTTTGGATATGATCAGTATCTAGCAGCATGTCTTGGAGTTGGATTCCGTGCTTTTGAGTTGCATCATCTTACTCACAGCATCATCCTGGTTATGACTCTAACGGGTGATACTTGTGATTGTCTATATGCACCTTGATGTATATTTTTTGTTTTATTAGCGAGTGCATGTTTATGAGCGTGATGATTTATTGGACATGGCTTATGAATTCTAGTTGAACATATGTGGCTCATGATCTCGAGTGGTGTAGATTAGACGATTTCCAGACTGTCTGTTTAAGTATATAGAATCAACATAGTTATCTAAATACATTGTCTCTATAGTATCCATAAAATTATACCAGTTCAGCCTTCAGAACCATCATGATAACCGTTCATATCCAACCATCCTGATAGAAACCTCTCCTTCATCCCTCCACTCCCCTGTGACCTCCTCCCCAACCCATTCAGAAAGTTCACCGGGACTTGCTTCCCTCCAGCCATTCTCCTCCGTAAAGTTATCATCCACAGGGAAGAACGTATCACATTCATATCCCTCATCGCCCTTGCGCTCCACCCTCGTCATAACAATCCTCACCCCTCGACCAACAGCCCCAGACCCCTTCTGCAACGCAGTAGCGTAAATCTCCCCACCCCCAATCACAAATACCTTGCCCAATTTCTCCTGCGCACCATACGAAGCCTCCAATGTCTCCAACGCAGCCTCCATACTCGAACTAACAATCGCATCCGTAGCAGGCTCCTCCGTCACAGGCTTCGCCTTCCCCTCCGCAGCAGCAGCAGCAGCCTTAGCAGCATCCCTGCCTCTCTTCGCCTCCAACTCCCGTCTGACCTTCTCCCGCACTGCACCGCTTTCATCGCGCGTGATGACGGCGCTGATCCGCTTGCCTAGGGGGCGAAGGTTGGCCGGTACAGAATCGTAGGTTTTCCGGCCCATGATCATGGCATTTGTGGCTCCTGCGTGAGGGGGGCGGGATGTGACGCGGGCGAAGAAGGACATGTCGGCCTTGATGCGTGGCCAGGGGAGGGTGCCGTTCAGGCCGATGCCGAGGCGGGGGGTGAGGGAGTCGCTGGTGCGGACGGGAGTCGTGGCGACGATGAGGGTGAGAGGGGCTGTTTGGGGTGGCATTTTGGTTGTTGGGAGTTGGTTTTGTATTTTTTGGTTTTGGAGGTGGAAGAATTGAATTGTTGATGAGGTGAAAAGAAGGCGGCGGCGGTGATAATGGATTTATGCGATTCCCCGCCTAAGCTATCATGTTCCGATTATCGATTGTCTACAACGAATATGAAGACACTCACTTTGTACTCAATTAAATATGCCAATACTTGAATGAAGGGTATCTAGATAGCTGCAGCAGTATACAGTACAGTTCAACTCAACCAAATCAAATCAGCAGAAAAAAGAAACACAAACGCCGTGCATCCATTACGCCAATTCACCCCCAGAACAGAGATAACCAAGGAACTATTTTGACGGCTTCAACAATTCTCCCTCTTCAATTGCTTTCTGAATTGCAAGGGCGTCATTCTCCAGCTCTTCTCTGCGCTTCACATCACGTTCGTCTTCGCCTAGTGTGTCGAGTTTCCCGAAAAGCCATGTTTCTTTCATCGTGCGGGTCAGAGAGAGAATATCCTCTGCGGCGCGGAGCTGTATCATCAACATCAGGTATTAGTTTGTGTGTTCCGGAATTTCAAATTCTCCAGAGAGTCGGTGTTTACCAAAGCTGTTGATTCTACGTCGAGCTGGTATGTTTCGACGGCGGTAGCGGTGTGACTGGCGTTTTCGACCTGCAGGCATCATGAGTTCGTATTCAATTTGGCGTGCGCATATCATATCATGAAGTAAATCAAGACATCGGTGTCATACTGTAGCAGTCGCCATGATATTCTCGAATCGTTGCAGTAGCTGGGAGATGTTGGTGTTGATACGATCTGCGGCAATTAGCATGTGGTTTTGGTAAAATAGGTGGGCTATAGCAGTGAAATATTACTATGCATCGCCTTGGATGATGGCTGGGATTCCATTTTTTCGTCAATATATATCTTCTGGCTCAAGTATGAGACGACGAATGTTCATCTCCGGCTTGTGATCGGAGAAAAGGCGGAGGATATGGCGGTGAGGCTTTTATTGCAAGCCTTTTGGGGTTCTTCGTTATCAGTCGCGATGGCTGAAGTTGTTCCGCAGGCGATTGCAGAAAACATGTGAATATTATCTTAAGATGATGGATTCAAATTAAATTTGTTAATGAAAATACAAGTCTATTCAAGAGAAAAACAGGTAGGTTATGTATTGGAGTGCAGAGACAAGCCGAATAACTCGATAATTGCGACCCCCATGCGCTGACGAAACCAGTTTACAAAATGAGAATTTGAGAATGCTTTTGGTGGAATTGAGATAATCGAAAGGCTGCTGTCAAAGACCATTGTCTTAAGGTAGTTGATTTGAATATTGTGGGTATCATTAAAGGCCTCAGCACGTCGCAAAATTTCCCATGTCTTGTGAACCCTCAGATACCTATCGAAGAAGAGGACCCGCAATTTTCTCGTCGGGGGCGTTCTCGTAATGTTGTTCAAGTAGGGTTTTGCAGGCTGGTGTCAATGGAAAAGCCAATGGTAAATCCTCTTCGAAGCGGTGGAAAGGGTGTCATAGCAATTATAATGGGGACAGGGTGAAGATGCCATCATTTAGATGCAAGAATTGCCCTATACACTAGCTATGCGAAAATCGATTTGAAAGTGTCGATGTAGAAGAGCAACTATCCTAACGGACGTATTTGGTCTAGAGCTGGAGTTAGAGTTGCAATAAAGAAGGATCATCATATGGCACATACCATGAATCTCTTGTGGAAGTCGGACCGCAGCAGATCCTGTAGGCTTGGAGTTAGTCGGGGCCTAGATATAATGAAGAAATGGAAGAGCATACGTTGACAAACTCTTTGCCTCTCTTGTCCTCCGTACCCCGAGCCTGGTTTTTGAACACAACATCGTCGTCCCATCTCCGCTTCATACTAAAATCCTCGGTATTGAGCAGTGGGTTTCCTCGTGCGATGTCGACTTCGCGTTGTTCTTCCTCTTCCGCAGCACGTTCACGTTCCTATACTCATCAGCATATTTTCGTCATGATAGGATCACCAAAGCATTACCTCCTTTTCTTTCTGTTCAAGTCTTTCCTTCTTAATCTTCTCGAGCTCTCGCATCAACTCAGCGGCCTCATCCTCCTCGTCATCACTAGACCCGTCAGCATGGATCATTATATTGCGCGAAACAACAATACCTTTCTTCCTCACTACTATCATCCTCTGACCCATCCGAATCCGCATCTATATCTCTTGTTTCTTCTAATACACGCCGCCGTTTGGCCTCGGGATCTTCTTCGCCTGCTTCATCATCACCATTGGACGGTGCTCCTTCTATCTGTCGCTTGGGGGCCGAGTTTTCGACAATAGGTTCATCAACGGGAACTCCTCGCTTCTTCGCAAAGTGGGCAGCTTCAGCCTGGAGCAGTTCTGCGCGGAGATCGCGTTGCTGGGATTCGCCTTCACCACCTTGACCTTGTTGACTGCAAGAATGAAACTAGTAAGAATTGATCCTCGGACTACCACCATGCGCTGACTTACCGGACTTTCAGGTGCATGTGCGCCGGGAGGAGTCGCTGGTGATACGCGGGCCCACGCAGGGCTTCTTTGCCTTGCGCCTATTTCCTGGTAAGTTTTGGATTCCAAACAAAGTAGGTGAAATGGTGCATACGGGGTCGAATGTAGGTCTGTGAGCTATAAGAAGTCAGCATATATCATCGAACTGGCTGTAAGAAACAAGATAGCTTACCTGTAGTCATGGTGCACTGCGATTGTCAACGACGATATTTGGATGGGATCTGAAAGCGATATTGAGCAGTTGTTGCTTTTGATGAAGTTTGAGGCCTCAGGCTGTCATATGAGTCAGCATTTTTCACCGCCTGGCAGTTCACTCCCTCTGATTGGCCTACTCCTCTCTGGAACATCATATCTCCGGCTCTTGCGATGACGCCGCGGAGGCCTTCAAATTTCCTAGTCGATTGAAATTGTTCCCCGCTGGGGCCGAGTCCGCCTCCGCAATCATGAACAAAGAAGCACCTCTCTCGATTGCTGAGCGTGACTTCATCCTCAATGCGCTGCGTGAGGATGTGCGACTCGATGGCCGTGAGGCTGATCAGCTTCGGCCTCTGAAAGTGTCTTTTGGGGATGAGTACGGGCATGTGAAGGTGCAGCTGGGCAAAACCAGGTTTGTATTCTTTCTCTCTACGGACTCGAAGATTGATTATATATGCTAATTGGTATAGTCTTATTGTTCGAATCTCATCAGAAGTCACAAAACCTCGAGATGACCGTCCATTTGATGGCGACTTTACAATTGCCATGGAATTAACTGCCATGGGCTCTCCCGCTTGGGATAACGGACGGTATGTTGAATACAATCTTAGTTCAAAGGTGGCATTTACTGATGGGTGTGTGGTATTAGATCAGCAGATCTCGAGCCGTATGTTACCCATGTTCTCGACCGGGTGGTTCGTCATTCGAATGCCCTGGACACGGAATCGCTTTGCATTGTCAAGGGAGTGAGTTGCTGGAGTATCCGTGCGGACGTCCATGTGATTGACTACGATGGCAATTTGGTCGATGCGGCCTGCATTGGTATCATGGCTGGACTCCAGCACTTTAGACGCCCGGATGCGGTGGTCAAAGACGGACAGGTTGTTGTCTATGGCCTGGATGAGCGTGTGCCAGTGCCGCTCAACATCACTCACAAACCCCTCTCAATCACATTCCACACATTTGATGAAGGCAAGCGGGTGATTCTCGACGCTACACGGAAGGAAGAGCAGGCGTCGGAGGCGGATGTTGTGATTGGAATTAACAATGCAGGCGATGTCTGTTTTGTGTCCAAGTTCTCGGGAGCTCCTGTGGATGCCATGGTATTTGTGACGAAATCATCCATTGCTCTGGAAAAGGTCAAGGAAATTAACGGTGTTATTGATAAAGCGCTGCAAGCGGACCTCTCAAAGCGGGCTAAAACCGGACAGGCAGACCAGTCGAGAGCGGAGAACGATCGGTGATCTTATTTTTTTCAAGCTCTACGGAACACTCCGAAAGAAAATGACATAAAGAAATGATGTATGATAGATCTTCCATTAATCAAACGATACCGATCGCTATTGGCCTGGTATCTAAACTCTGGTAGAGCAATACCTGATCCGGAAGATGATGGATCCAATGTTCTCGCCTCTCAGGGGTTGAAAATAACTCGAAAATTCCAAGTAAATAACATAAAACGAAAGCAAAGACCTCTTAATGTTAATATTACTATCCGGTTGGAAATGCCTCTTATTCGTACTGAGCTCTTGTCTTCTTGCACTACATCCACATGTGGGCCAGGAGACGCGCATCGTCATTTGGCTGTCGAACGTCACAAAAAATAGGATCAACCACGAAAAAGTCTCTTAATTAGGGGCTAGCTAATTTCACGGAGTCTTGACTTGATATCAAAGAAGAAAAAACAACCTCATCTTTCTTGGAGGTGCCTGGCAGATTTCCCAGCGATCGTCGCGTACCTTTTAGCCGCTAACCAACGGTCCCAAGTCAGACACCACGACGACCTCTGCTAAGCCACGCCTTTTTTGTCCTCAACTGTCTATTATTATCCTCCCCCATCACCATCACGCATATCAGAGTTGCCTTTTTTCCTTTCCCTTGCGCACATCTCGATTGACTATTCGATTATTCGTCACTCTTTTTGCTCTCGTTTCTTTTGCCAATCAATGCCTCAGGGGCCCACCGGTCACTGCGACTCGACATCAGTGAGGGTGTTTGTCCGCCCCGACCATCATGGCCAGCGGTAGGCCTCCAGGAGCCCATCCAGCCGCTGGCCGCGATGAGGATTTGCTGCAGCTGGAGGAGTCGACTCCGATGTATAGTACGGGCCAGCCCCCGCCGGTGAACGATGACCATCTTTTGCGACAGTTCAACATCGACGACTCCGACCAGCCGCATCCCCCTCAACCCCGACCCTCCGTATCTTACGATCAGTTCGTCGGCGGCCAGGCGTCGCATACAGGAGCCCATGCAGCCCCCGCGCACCCTCCCGTTCATTCCGCAGGGCATCTCAATGATCCTTACTCCGGTGCCGATATGTCCCGGACCTATTCGCAGACTTCGGGGTTGAGCAATTACCATCGTTATTCCCTCGACGACTACGAAGATGACCGGTCAATCCATGGTGGCTACTACAACATGGCTGGGGATGATGAGCATGGCCCGTCCGCGGAACATCTTCGCAAGGCCCAGGAAAGGAACAGTATTATGGGCTTGGGTGGTGGATTCATGGGGAGAGCAAAGCACATGCTGGGGATGAGGGCCGAGTACTCGGAGATGGACCTCCCGCTGACAGAGGCCGGAGCGAGAAACGCACGAGTGGACAGCGCTGAAGACGATACGACCGCGCCCAAGCAGGGGAATAAACCTAAGAAGTCGGGCTTCAGTTTTGGACGGCGGAAGGTCGATCCCTCGACCCTCGGGCCTCGTATGATTGTGCTCAACAACCCACCCGCGAACGCAGTGAACAAGTTTGTGGACAACCATGTCTCCACGGCCAAATACAACATCATCACCTTTATTCCGAAGTTCCTGTTTGAGCAATTCTCGAAATACGCCAACCTGTTTTTCTTATTTACCGCGGTCCTCCAACAAATTCCCAATGTCTCCCCGACAAATCGATATACTACAATTGCTCCGTTGTTAATTGTGCTGCTAGTCTCAGCCCTCAAGGAACTGGTGGAGGATTACAAACGAAGATCATCGGACAAGTCGCTCAACTATTCCAAAACCCAGGTCCTCAAGGGATCCGCGTTCCAGGAAACAAAATGGGTCGATGTATCAGTAGGAGACATTGTTCGGGTCGAATCTGAGCAACCATTCCCGGCCGACTTGGTCATGTTGGCTACTTCGGAGCCGGAGGGTTTGTGTTATATCGAAACTGCCAACTTGGATGGTGAGACCAACTTGAAAATCAAGCAAGCAATCCCGGAAACGGCACATCTCGTCAACCCTAGTGATCTCAGTCGGTTGAGTGGGCGGATTCGATCCGAGCAGCCCAACAGCAGTCTGTATACCTACGAGGCCACCTTGACTATGCATGCCGGTGGAGGGGAGAAAGAACTTCCACTAGCACCCGATCAACTCTTGCTTCGAGGAGCTACCCTTCGGAATACACCATGGGTTCATGGCATTGTGGTCTTCACCGGACATGAAACCAAGCTGATGCGAAATGCCACGGCAACCCCTATCAAAAGAACAGCTGTTGAACGCATGGTGAACATTCAGATTCTGATGTTGGTCAGCATTCTTGTAGCTCTCAGTGTCATCAGTTCCGTTGGTGATCTGATCGTTCGGCAAACTCAGTCCAGCAAATTGGCATACCTCGACTACGGTTCCGTCAACCCGGTCAAGCAATTTGTTCTCGACATTTTTACTTACTGGGTTCTGTATTCCAATCTTGTCCCTATCTCCCTTTTCGTCACCATTGAAATTGTCAAATATGCCCAAGCATTTCTTATCAACTCTGACCTGGATATCTACTACGACAAGACGGATACGCCTGCAACTTGTCGGACTTCCTCTCTAGTGGAGGAGCTGGGTCAGATTGAGTACATTTTCTCTGATAAAACCGGAACTTTGACATGTAACATGATGGAGTTCAAACAATGCACAATAGGTGGCATTCAATACGGTGATGACATCCCGGAAGATCGGCGAGCCACTGTGGAGGATGGTGTCGAAGTCGGCGTTCACGACTTCAAGAAACTCAAGGAAAACATGTCCTCTCATCCAACCCAGAACGTTATCCACCATTTCCTTACCCTCCTGGCCACTTGTCACACAGTCATCCCCGAGCGACCTGACGATAACCCCGACAATATCAAATACCAAGCAGCATCACCTGACGAAGGTGCTCTGGTTGAGGGTGCCGCCACTTTAGGCTATCGTTTCACCAATCGAAAACCCAGGTCTGTGCTTTTCACTGTAGCCGGGCAAGAGATTGAATACGAATTGTTGGCAGTGTGTGAATTCAATTCAACGAGAAAACGAATGTCGACTATCTTCAGGTGTCCAGATGGGAAGATCCGAATTTATACCAAAGGAGCAGACACTGTCATCCTCGAACGCTTAAATGACGACAACCCAACTGTGGAAGCGACGCTGCAGCACCTAGAGGAGTATGCTTCAGATGGTCTTCGAACCCTGTGCTTGGCAATGCGGGAGGTTCCTGAGGACGAGTTCCAGCAATGGCTTCAGATTTATGAGAAGGCTTCTACCACGGTCGGCGGAAACCGAGCCGAAGAGGTGGACAAGGCTTCAGAACTTATTGAAAAGGACTTTTATCTGCTGGGAGCCACCGCCATTGAGGATAAACTGCAGGACGGTGTCCCCGATACCATCCACACGCTCCAAACAGCGGGAATAAAGATATGGGTCTTGACGGGTGACCGACAAGAGACAGCTATTAACATTGGAATGTCTTGCAAGCTCATCTCGGAAGACATGACTTTGTTGATCGTGAACGAGGATAATGCTGAAGAAACCCGTGACAATTTGACCAAGAAGCTTCAGGCCGTTCAGACTCAGGGAACCTCTGGGGAAATCGAAAGTCTTGCGCTTATAATTGACGGTAGATCCTTGACGTTTGCTCTTGAGAAGGATATGGAGAAACTATTTTTGGATTTGGCAGTCATGTGTAAGGCTGTCGTTTGCTGGTAAGTATACATTGTACAAATCCTACTTGATGACAGAGCTAATAATACCCCACAATAGTCGTGTCTCTCCCCTTCAAAAGGCTCTCGTCGTTAAGCTTGTCAAGCGTCACCTCAAATCTTTGCTTCTGGCTATTGGTGATGGTGCCAACGATGTTTCCATGATCCAGGCGGCCCACGTAGGTGTCGGTATTAGTGGTGTTGAAGGTCTTCAGGCAGCCCGGTCTGCTGATGTGGCAATTGGTCAATTCCGCTATCTTCGAAAACTGCTCCTTGTCCATGGTGCCTGGAGTTACCATCGGATAAGTCGCGTTATCTTATATTCGTTCTATAAGAATATTGCTCTTTATATGACACAGTTCTGGGTGAGTTTTCCATGCCACTCTCCGCGTCAACTCTTGTACTGACATGTCTAATAGTATTCTTTCCAAAATGCGTTCTCTGGTGAAGTTATCTACGAGTCATGGACCCTTTCCCTTTACAACGTTTTCTTTACTGTTCTTCCACCCTTCGCCATGGGTATTTGCGACCAATTCATTTCTGCTCGGCTTTTGGACCGGTATCCTCAGCTTTATCAACTTGGACAGAAGGGGCTGTTCTTCAAGAGGCACAGCTTTTGGTCGTGGGTTGCGAACGGCTTCTATCACTCCCTGCTACTCTATATCGTGTCAGAATTGATCTTCCTTTGGGATCTTCCACAGGGAGATGGCAAAGTGGCTGGCCACTGGGTTTGGGGATCAGCGCTTTACACCTCAGTACTAGCTACTGTGCTTGGAAAAGCCGCGCTGATCACTAATGTCTGGACCAAGTACACGTTCATTGCCATCCCTGGCTCGATGATCATTTGGCTCGCCTTCCTGCCAGCATATGGTTATGCGGCACCGGCGATCGGTTTCTCTACGGAATACTACGGCACCATCCCCCGTCTTTTCCAATCACCTATCTTTTACCTTATGGCCGTGGTCCTTCCTTGCCTCTGTCTCATCCGAGACTATGCCTGGAAGTACGCCAAGCGCATGTACTACCCGCAACATTACCACCACGTCCAGGAGATCCAAAAGTACAACGTCCAAGACTACCGACCACGCATGGAACAATTCCAAAAGGCGATTCGGAAAGTTCGCCAGGTACAGCGCATGCGCAAGCAGCGCGGTTACGCCTTCAGTCAAGCAGACGAAGGAGGCCAACAGATGAGAGTCGTCAATGCTTATGATACCACGAGAGGGCGCGGAAGATACGGAGAAATGTCCAGTTCAAGGAATCTGGTGTAGGCATGTTGATATTATTATTGGTAACTTTTTTGCTTCCCTTTTTACTTCTTGTCTCTTATTTGTCCTATGTATCAGTCCTCTCCTCATTTTTATCCCTTCCCAGCTTCCCTGTATCTCTGGAACCTTTTGCATCCAATCTCTGCCGCTGGGCTGGCCTGTTGTATCTTCTTTTCTGATTTTTTTTCTCTCTCTTCTCTCTGACTCTGAATGACCCAATGTGAAAGTCCCGTTCATGATGACTTTGACTCTTGATGACTCCTGAAATGCATTGTGGGCGAATTGGCTTGGATTGTGGGTTACGAGGTAATATATCAAGTAGGAATGGAAACAAGTGAAGAACTTGAGGATTGTATGCTACGTAGTCTAGAAAACTGATATGTTTCTTGTTTCTAGATCATATAAGCTGGTTATGATTCATACGCAAAATATCATATCATGGTAGGATAGTATATAAGTATAGTGACACAATGGCATAAATTTACAGTGTACATCTTTCCTCTGCTGGCCTCCATCCCACCCCTATTGCCTCCATGACCAGCTTCTCCCTCTCCTCCCAGGTCTCTCCACCACGCTCAAGATCGAGAGCCTGCCCACCACTCGTCCGTTCTCGCACCCCACTCGAATCGAATTTCCACCCGTGCGCCTTCTTCGCATACCGTCGCAGATCGCGCTCAAAGGTTTTATCACCCGACCAGCCCAGCACGGCGCATCCAACAGTGCGCCAGGGGGAGATGATGATATCCACGCGCCGATGGGGGTTAGGATTGCGTTTTCTGCGCTGGCGGTGTTTCTCATCGTGGTCTTCTGATGCATGGGATGGCTTGTTGTCGTGGTCGTCGTCAAAGTTTGGGTCTTGCCATACTACCAGGGCTTTATCTAGACTGTCGAAGTGTTTCCCTGCATCGTCGCCGGTGAAAGGGAGGGTTTGTTGATCGCGCATGGAGGTCGAAAGGTTCAGGGCTAGTGTATGTGTGACCCAGCCTTCGGTCTCGAGACTGCTGACGATGTCGACGACTAGGTTCTTGGTTATGGATTCGTCGCGGTGGCTGAGGACCAGGTCGACGTCGCCGGAGCTTTCTTTGCCTCGTCGATATCCGCCCACGATCACGCATTCGACGCCTCGTCCGTCGTATGAGGCATTTGGGCGCACGAGGTTTGCGTGTCGCCGGACGGTTTGGGCTATTTCTTCGACTTGGGCTCGGGGTATTCCTTCTAGAAACTCGTCGTAGTATTTGACGCCTATCTGCTGTACGCGGGAAAGACTATCCCAGCCGTGTTCGATCACGTCGTCAAGGTCTCGCCAGTGCCTTGCGTAGTAAAAGTCGCGGGCTGTCTTGGCTCCCACGCCCCAGATTCTATATAATTCATTCAAGATTCTCAAGTCCGGGTCGGTGTCGAGGGACTGTGCAGCTGGGATGGTGCCGTGGGTACTGTTTTTGAACTCGGAAAACAGATTCGCAATCTTAGCGTCGCATCCTGGCAGCGACAAAACTTCCGATCCTCGCTGGAACTTATATGGATAAGCAGCTATAGCTGCAATGGATGTGCTATAAGCTCGAACCCCGATCTCATCTAATGTAAGCTCCCGTATGGTCCTGATTTTCACCAGCTGTGCAATGAAGTCTTTGTTGGGTGGGTTAAGCGGCGCAGAGCGCATGCACGCGTAGAGCACATGGTCTTTGACCCAGTCAGGCTCAGGAGGAAGCGGAACAGCTTCATCGTGTTCGGATGTTGTCTGCCGGTACAGCTTTGGAGGTTTATGCTGACTAGCGGTTCCGTCATGGGGTTCTTTCACTCGACGACCGGATGGGGGTATAGCTGGGGGCTTGAATACTGCATCTTCTTTTGCTCGTTGAATAACCCGGCTTCCATCCGCGGGATTTGTCTTGGGAGGCTCGATCTTGCGAGCCTGGTACACGATGAACGGATCAATGGGTAGAAGTTCTTCTGTTTCAATCGATCTATCCAGCCACTCAAGTTTGACCACCTTGATGTCAACAGACTGGTCATGAAAAGGCAAAGACTTGGGCTTTCTGAGATGTTTGCTCAAATCATGCTGACTCTTCGCTCCATCTTCCTCGCTTTCTGTCTCGGTACTCAAACCACCACCTTCAGGTCCTGCAGCGGACCTCTCTTCCTGGGAATGTCCTATCCGTCTTCGTTTCGAAGGTGGTTCAGGGCTAGAGGGTAAGGCAGCCTCCTCGGTCCAGACACCGCGAGATCGCAGCTCCAGAGCAGCACGCTTCTTCTGTCCGATTCTCCCAAGGACCAGCCTCGCCTCGGAGACGTCATATGTCAGACATGCACCTCTTTTGACGAGGCTGTCCTCTACTGCATGTAGCTCTTCCAAGCTCAAGTGGGTTGAAAGGACAAAGATGGGTGGACATGAAGAGAAGCTGGGAGGGCTGGCCGGGGTTCCATCATTTCCATCTTGCATTAGTAAAGTATTCAGTTCAAATCAAATGATATATATAGCAAATGTCAAAAATGTTCAGTGTATATTCAATGACATTCAGCTATGGAACGCCACAGCCGGAAAGAAGCTCGGGAATAAATTGTTGTAGCCGAGTATCATGGTCAGTAAGGCTGGCGATCTGTTGTTCCACTTGGGTACAATCTTGCCCTTATATTGTCTGATTGAGACAAGCCTGTAGGATGAGCTGAAGATGAAGTTATGGACTGTTGCAGTGGAGAAGTTGAAGCTGAAAGGAAGCCGGATCTGGTTGACGTCACATACACTGATGCCTGAGGCAGATATTATATATACAATGTTTATACCTCAATTTTCTGTTTTTGACAGTGACTCTATTAAAAAATGTTGATAGAATACTGTTCTGTAATAATAATAATAAAACAGCCCAATGAATAGCACAGCTCTCGAATACAGCAGAACTAGCATGGCCATCGTCCACAAGTACCATACAACGGAGCAGAAGCATTCACTGATCGATATCCAAACAGAGAGATTCACTGTTTGTTCGATCAGCTCCATTCGCTCGCTTGCTGAGCACACAACCAGGCTTAATGATATCTTTCCTTCAAAGATTGTATTTCAGACAGCGACCATCACCACTTCATCACTCCACGGCTCTCTTGACAGGTTTGCGTCTCGTTGATAGATGTGCGGTTAGCATATTTCATTTTCTACTTTACTTGTTTGAAGCCATATGGATTACCGTTGAAAGACTTTGCTAAACTATGTGGTTTCAGATCTACACCTTTTTTCCCCAATCCTCCACGCCGTTACAATACCAAATTCAACGCGACTTTCACTGGTTGCCGCGAGTTTGTCCAGCAATATAGCTTCGCAGGGGAGCACCCAAGGTGCTGAAGTGTCTGAAGACACCCTCTTCCCTGACCAAGTTATGTACATCCCTATGTCGATGGACGGGACACTCAACAAAATCCCCGTTCTGAAAGGCCCAGAAAACTTTGATATATGGTATCAGCATGTTCAAAACGCATTACAAGAGCACAACATGAGTGACTTGGTTAGACCGTGGCTTCCCCGTCCAACGCATAGGGATCCGAGATACGATTCCTGGAGAACGTATTCAAAGATGATAAAGTCATGGCTGTTTACCAGTCTATCTGATGATATCGTCAAGAAGATCTCATCTCCTGGGGAATACTCTTACGCCGACGAGCTCATGGCCGCAATCAAAGATGCAGTCGTAGGAACTGGTCGGCCTCTATCCCACTCTGCCTGGGTAGATGCAGTTTATATCAAGCGCCAGGACTACAATTCGATCGAGGAGTTTATCAACGTGCTTTGTGTGAAGGTTGAACATTCTAACAAAATGCACATGCCTATCACGCCCAACCAAGCCATGTCCATTCTTCTTCAAAGCGCCGGGGATGAATTACCTCCAGCCATCAAAACCAGCTGTGAATACTCTCCGAAAGACATGACATATGCGGACTTTTTGAAGATTTGTGGTGCAGTTAAAGATAGCGTTATCGAATCCCTCAAACGCCAACAAGACGATTGCAGCTGCAACACCAAGAGCAACAATCGCACAGATGCAGTTGCTGAACAACACTCACAGTATTTCTGAAATTTTGGCACGATATTTATTATACTGGATCTTGATAACATTGCTGGATATTGGCTTTATTCTATCAAAATTATCGGAAACAGCACGACCAGGGCAAGGATGCATTGTATTGCACACTGTGGGCATGTACTATTATCACATTCCGATTGCTTCTTCTTAGCCATGATGCGTTCATAGAATGCAATCAGACATACTGTCATCGCCATAAGAAACGACTTCATAAATAATCATCAATCAATTATCATTCTGTTAATCTGATCTAAACATATATAACCAGCATCAAATCCACCTCATAAACCCACGCAATGCAAATCATCAAAAATCATCAATACTTTTATATCATAAACCATCATCAAGCCGGCCCATCAGCCGGTCTCACCGTAACCTGCGACTTTGCCCCCTTCCCAACAGCCTCACGACTAGCAGTCTGCTCGAGACCCTCACCTCCCTCAGGAGCCTCATCCCGATATCCGCCCTCAACATTCGCAACAACGACATTCTTCCCATACTTCCTCGCCATCCATCTCCTCCACGGCTTATACGCAACAACACTCAATCCACCAATAATAAGGAAACACCCGCAAATCCCACCACCGATGGCATCATAGTAATCGCCGGCTGTCTGCACGCCATCCCAGAATTTACCAGTCGGGTTAGCCACATTAAGCACGAGAGTAAGCAGCTGGATAACGCCAATAACGACGGCGACGATGACGGTCAAAACGGTCAGCACGATGGAGTAGTATAAGAAGGCGATGGGGTCGCGGTGGTTTTTGGGTTCTTGGTTTTCTATTTCGTTGGGGGCGTTCTCGGTGTCGATTTCGTTGGCGTTGGCGTTGGCGTTGTCGTCCTCGTAGGGCCCGCCTGTGAGGGGGTCTGTGGAGGACACGCTGTCGCGCTTTTGGGGGAGGAAGTTGGCGGCGGGTTGGATGTAGAGGGAGAGCATTAGAGCGCCGTCGATGGTGTCGAGGAGACACATTCCAGCTGTTATTGTTAGTTTCATTCTACCATCTTCCATGGTATAGGTGACATACCAGTAAAAAGAACGGGAAAGATGAGAATAACCCAAAAGTTGGTACCCTTTGCAGCTTGCACGGATGAGATACCCAGAAGCGCAATTTCAGAGGACGTGTCGAATCCAAGACCGAACAGAATTCCCAAAGGGTACATTTTCCACGGACTGAACAGATATTAGCATAGTATATGACTATAGTAGTATGCATAGTACATACCGATCAATCAGCTTAAACATCTTCTTCAGAACAGAGAATAAAATGCCACCACCCTCAATCTTCCAAATCTCATCTTCCTGGCCTTCAGGGAGCGTAAAGACCTTTTTCATTTGCCTGATGAGCTTGTAGAGGATGTACCCATTCATCAGACCGAGGAGGATCAAGAAAGCCGCACTGACAGAGGTACCGATGATACCGCCGATAGTGCTGAAGCTGTCGAAGCGGGATGACACCGCCGCAGCGGTAGCAGCCACCACGATGGATGTGATGATGACGATTCTGAGATTTGTTAGTACTGGCAGGGAATGTTGGGAGTAAAGTACTGACGTGGAGTGGCCGAGGGAGAAGAATGTGCCCACAGAGACGGCTTTCTGGCCGGTTGCTAGCAGTCTTCGGGTCATCAAGTCGATAGCCTGAGTCGTTAGATATTGGGTCATTTAAAAATTGCAAAGCTTGAAACATACCGAGATATGATCTGCGTCGAATGCATGTCTCAATCCAAGAGTGTAGGCAAGCACCGCATTAGAAACGAGAGATCTACCCCAGTCAGTAATTAACAATATCCAGACATATCAAAAACATACGGATAATAACGCTAGAAAGGTCAGCATATTCAATATCCAGATAGACAGCATAACATATAACATATAACATATAACATACCAAAACAATCGCCGCAGCAATCCACACCACCACGTTCAAAAACGCAATAAAAGCAATGATGGCAATAGCGCGCAGAGGAACCTTTCTAATTCCAGGAACACGATTATGCGAACGATGAGCCTGGCGAACAAAAGACTTGACTGTCCATTTCTTCTGGTCGTCGCTGGTTGACGAGACGGGATCGTCGGTGTACGAGTCCATTGCGGGGAAGGGGCAGGAGTTCTGCTTTTTGGATATAACTGATTCGAGTCGATTATATTTAATAAGTGTTTTTTAAATTCGTTCTTTTTTTGGCCTCTTTGTGTCTTTTTCAGCTCCAGTTCGGTGGATATGCGTTTTTCCCCGCTGGAGAGATGGAAAGAAATCAAGAGTTGGACATGGAGGGGGAAGGGAGTTCGCCAGCTAAAAAATGCTTGACAGGACGCTAAAAGAGGATAAGATAAGACAAAAATTAATATCGAGATGCCGATTGCAGATCGGAGCAGAAGGAATCAATGAGACAATCGCATTAGGTCAGTTCAAGAGGTCCTCGAGGTTGCATTCACGATGATGGCCGATGGTGGAGATGCATGCAGATGCAGATGCAGATGTTTTTTTCTCTCAATCTTGCTCACTCAACTCGATGGATATATACTGTTGTTGGATATTCTGTTTATCAGGTATCGGGTTCCATAGTAGCAGAATATATCAATATGCAATTCTTATTCTTTTTATTATACGTTTCTTGTTCGTTTTCTTTTCTGAAGATATCTTGAATCTCGTCTGCCGAAAGCCCCACCACGTGATATTGCCGATGCCCCACTCCAAAAAGCCGAATAGGTTCAAAATCATGATTCATTCATTATTCATCATCATTAAATATTATTATACAGATATACAGGTCATTTCTCGTTAGCTGGTCTGTAGACTCAGCGACTGGTATCCAGTTCTTGTTCAGGGTCATGCACTCATATTGAGGATGTGCCTATATGCTGTTAGTGGTGTGGCCATCTTGATTTGGCGATTGACAAACATACCATGATTCCATCAGATTATGCTTTCGGTTGCTCATGTCGGGACGACCGTGGCGTAGTGTAATCACAGACTCTGCTGGATTTTTTTTAATCATATATCATATATCATATGCCATATAACATCAAACAGTTCACGCAATCGCATAGACAGTCGGAGACGGCGTCCACTTGGTAACAGTCGGCTGCATCTTGTGCAACTCAGACCCGACCAGGATATTCCACTCATTCCTCGTGATAGGCGTCACATCCGATGCCGACAGGGGCGTCTTGGGCCCTCGCTTTGTCGGTCCCCCGATGAATTTCGGCGGAGGGGGCTGCTGTCGGCGTACGCGAGTTGCCCGAATCGGGGATTTCCGCACATGCATTTCTGCCCTGGGGCGCGGGGGTAGCACGATGCCTTCTTGCCCGTGTTGGAGTTTGTATTCTGCCGCCACGCAGGCGAGGAGGTCATCGCGGACGTCGAGCTGTTCGTAGACGCGGTGGAAGAAGGCCTTGCTGAAGGGACGGCCCTGGAAGTCGAGGATGGTGCGGTGAAGGAGGGTGACGCAGGAGGAGATGTATGCGTCTTGGGGTGCATGGTCGCGGTTGGATAGGATGCAGAGTCTGCGTTTGAAGGTGTAGATGCGGTCCACGTTGAGCAGGGTCAAGCCCTCGCTGCTGAAGATGACCTCGTTCTGGAGGATGGATTGCTGGATGAGGTACTCGTTGGCGTGTCGCTCGTGCTGACTGCGGGTCAGGGCATCAGCCCAGCTCTGGCCCAGGGAGAACTTCCTCGCTCCCTTGGCGATGGTGCGGTGGAGGGTTCGCCATGCTTGAGATTGAGGGTCCAGCTGGGTGATGGGGATGACCATGAGATCGGAGGTCTGGCCGGTGGGATAGGGCTTTCCACGGCCCACCAGCAAGGTGACATGCATCATCTTCTGTTGCAGCTTGGAGGAGATGTACTCGAGGGCAGGGATGACCGAGGGAGTAACGGTCTCCGAGTCAAAGTTGAAGCTGGGGGAGAGAGGCGGGGAGATCATGTCGGCAGTAAGGGTGCGAGTGGGAGAACTGGGCACGTAGATGCCAGTAGGACGAGGAAGACGAAGGACGCCCATGGTGAGTGATATGGATAATTAGATATAGAAATGACGACTGAGAGAATATCGAGAGAATCAGGCATCTTTAAATGTCCGTCTTCTATACCATCTTCCCCTTCAAAGCCACGCAAAAGAGGGGAAATCCCAACACGGAAAAACCGCCAAATTAATCCCTTTTAGCTGCAGTTGCGCCTTCTAATCATAGCAAATCCACCGCACGGGAACCGCTCTCATCCAATCATTCGCAGCAGTCCTGTCCCGACACAGCGGCACCCAATCAGCGGCCGTCCTGCCACTGGATAAAAATAACCTTAAGCGCCGAGGATATTTCCCCGACCAATCAGAAGCCTGCATTTGCTGCCCTTATGCACGCCACAGCACAGGGAATGATGAAAATAGAATCAATTAATCTCCTTTCAGCCAGTCTCACTCGATTCTATTGGCTGAGATTGGTGTAAACAGACCGGGGTGCCCTTAATTAGCCAGGTAAACAAATCACGATGACAACATCCAACAGACCCGCTATCCAAACACGGTGATTGGCGTGATTATCGCCCACGGAATATTGTCGCTGTGAAGACCAATCCATACCCGACCTCCCAGGCTGTCGGGACGACTATTGATATTGTGCAGATGCAACTTGCAGACACTATTGATGTTCTAATATCGGGGCGGTATCCTGTTGCTTTTAAGAGGGTTTGTGTTGGACTGATGTCCGTTTTGGTCGTTTACCCCGCTTGTGCTGACGCTTTAGGCTCCGCGGGATTTTAACATATCTCGATGTTGTGATAGATGTGTTGTGCTCTGTGGGCTTTTATAAGCGCTCGATTCCAATAGTTCATGGCAATTGGAAAATGGACTGGTTATCATAGACTGTAGTTCAAGTTCACTTAAGTCAACTCAACCATAGCCAACCACCCAAGTCAGTTACTTGCAAGCCATATCTGAGTGATCGCCACTTCATAGAATACTATCCATGTAGAGATGTGATGTGGAGGTAGTGATCACCTCATACAGGCAACGTGCTCGTACCCGCCAAAAGATAGGCTAATGCCAACAAAAGTGAGGAGTAATTGCCTCCGTAAATGCCTGAATGAGGCATTTATTGAGAGGCGATCGAGATGGCTATATGACTCTCAAGCAGACCATAACGACTTATACTTTAACCTTGATCGGACACCCAGAATGACAGCAGCACCGACCAGCATCCCACGGTTCCCCCAGCTGCCCTAGCGCCAACGTTCCCCCGGTCTAAGAAATCTACTTTATAATGCCAAGCACTGCCAGTTTCCATTAATCATAAATAACATTTCTGTCACATGATTGGCCAGATATTATGTAAAAGAATGACGGCCAAGAGCCCTCCAGCTCCAATTCCCCAGATTACCCCATGTCTTGGCGAATTACTGCCTTGTGTTAAGTGCTGTATATCAGGCATTAACCCCATACTCGTTACCCCAGACTCCATTTTCGGGATCCCCGGGGAAGTCGGAGTGGATCTGAAAAGGAATGAGGGTCTCAATGCTCCGTGTTTAATACTGATATATGACATATGCTGCGACATATTGTTCAATTGCCAAGTTGAGTCGGGAGGCAAATTGTGGGGTAAATGTGGCCGTTTGGGGTCGATTCTGTCGTTATTCCCGAAATAAGATCGATTCCCGAGCGGAATCCGACATCCCGCGGTGGGCCTAGGTAGTACGAGTAGATAGCACTATAGGTAGTCCGGATGGAGTAGGAGTATCTAGGAGTATACCTACAGTGTTGGTAACTGATAACAGACAGTATGAACACTACCTACTACCAGGTACTAGGAGAAGACAAGCATTCAGAACAAGCTTAAGTTAAATGCCTCAGGTACGTCAGCCCAGATAAGATTGAAGCCAAGAAAGACTGAATAGCATTACCTAACGATACTTTGAGGCGCCGCCATTATTATAACACTTTTCTCTTCAATTCACTTCTAGAATCGATGCCAAGTGATAAGAAGGTTTGCAATCCTGGCTTCTGATTGGTGCTCTGTAGATGCTGGATAACAGCTCTTGGCGCCAAGGGCGTATCTTCGGAGGAAGCAGTGATAGCTACCGTCAGTTGATGTGATAATTCTATTACTGATGGGAATTACTCTCGTATACAGATTGTCACTGCTACTGCTGCTACTGCTGCTACTACTGTTAGTGTTAGCAGAAATGTTGCATAGGTATAATATCAGCTGCCAAGCACGTGCGGGGTTGCATCGCGCTTTGCCTCGGACTCTTTTTGTTTCTTCCTGCAAATGCAAATCCACGAAAAAGCCAGACTCTTTGATTGGCAAGGCGCAAGGCCTAACTATCCCGATCCTCAGAAGCCCTCATATCAAACTATGTCAAGCCTCGTGGCTGACCTTTCCGCCAAGTCTGTCCGCTGTCGGCCATCTTTTCCCTCGCTGGCCAATCACTCCATCCTGGATACGATGGTGACAGTCGCACGGTGCCCTTCCTGGCCGAATCCGTTTAGCCTCTAGGGCGCGGACGTGGAGAAGATGAAGTCGACGGATGAGATCGTGAATACTGCGGAGAATAATAATAATTAAATTCATGGGTGATTTGCCCCGTCAGCCATGGCATTCGTGCCTGCCAATCTTCGGGCTGTTCTTTATACACAATAATATTATTTGTGCCGCTTATCGCTGGTGTTGCCCCCCAAGGGCTGCGATTCCTTGGCTTCGTCTGTCTCGCTTCTTATATTTCGCTTCGTTTCCCTCTCTTCTTCCCCTTGTCTTCTTCATTTTCCTCTCTACTTTTCCTGGTGCTTTTCTTATCCCCAGGCTTAGGGCGTACTGGTGGTTATCCTGCCTTCCCTTTCACAGTAGCCTTTCTTTCTTCAATACACTCGAGGCGTCTTGCGCTTCGCCAAAGCCCGTCATGGGTGATCGCAAAGAAACGGATTTCTCTGCGGAGAATCCCATTCAATATGAAAAGGGCAATCTCTCAGCTGCAGAGGAGGGCGCGATGCAGACAAAGGAGGGCACCATGGAGCCGCATCACAACCAAGAGCTCCATCGTGCCCTCAAAGCCCGTCATATTACTATGATTGGTAGGATGCCTCGTGACCCGAAAATGCGCCTGTCAGCTAACCATCGCAGCCATTGGTGGTGCTATTGGAACTGGTTTGATTATTGGTACTGGTGAAGCTCTTGCAAAGTAAGTAACTAGAACTCGAGATTCATGGTATTAGAGCATAGCTAACTGACTGTTTCTAGAGCCGGAGTAAGTGATTGTCCTTCCACTGATGCAACCCCCGATCTAACTGTCCCAGCCCGCTTCGATTTTAATCTCCTACTCTTTCGTCGGATTCATTGTTTACTTGGTCATGTGTGGCTTGGGTGAGATGGCTAGTTGGCTGCCGCTGTCCTCTGGTTTCACTGGTTATGCTGTTCGATTCTGTGACCCGGCACTGGGATTCGCCATGGGCTGGACGTAAGTCGATGCGCACTTTTACCCCTTGCGTCTTATTCGGCTGCTGACAAAATTTTCAGTTATTGGTTCAAGTATATTATTGTCACGCCAAATCAGTTAACAGCTGGCGCGCTGGTCATATCATATTGGGTTGATACAGAACGAGTCAATGCAGGTGTTTGGATTACAATATTCCTGGTGTTGATCGTCTGTATCAACTACTTCGGTGTCCAATTCTTCGGTGAATTCGAATTCTGGCTGTCCTCCTTCAAAGTCATCGTCATTATCGGCTTGATCTTGCTGTCCTTCATCCTCATGCTGGGTGGTGGCCCTGACCACGACCGCAAGGGATTCCGGTATTGGAAGGAACCCGGTGCCTTCGCCTCCTATATCGATGATGACCACCCTGTCGGCAAATTCTACGCATTCTGGGCTACCATGGTCTCAGCCACCTTCGCTTATCTGGGAACGGAGTTGGTCGGTGTAACCGTCGGCGAGGCCCAGAACCCCCGCAAGACAATTCCCCGTGCCATCAAGTTGACCTTCTTCCGGATCATCTTCTTCTACGTTCTGAGTGTTCTGCTCGTCGGTACCCTGGTCCCGTACAACTCTCCAGAGCTGGTCTTCGCCACCAATCAGTCCAGCTCAGCAGCAGCCTCGCCGTTTGTGGTTGCTATCGTGCTTGCAGGCATTCCCATTCTCCCACACATTCTCAACGCCTGTATTTTGTTGTTTGTGTTTTCGGCGGCCAATTCCGACCTCTACATCGCAACCCGAACAATCTACGGTCTCGCTCGCGAGGGCAAGGCGCCTGCGGTGTTCGCTCGGACTGACCGACGTGGTGTTCCGTACGTTGCTCTGATAGTAAGTGCGCTCATTGCCTGTCTTGCGTACATGAACGTGTCGAGCGACTCGAAGGAAGTATTCGGCTACTTTGTGGATTTGGTCACCATTTTCGGCCTGTTGACCTGGATATCCCTGCTGGTGACACATATCTACTTTGTGCGCGCGCGCAAGGCCCAGGGCGTTCCCGACAGTGATTTGGCCTACAAGGCTCCCCTGGGAGTCCCCGGTTCCTACGGTGCGCTGGTGTTTTGCATTCTTATCTCGCTTACGAAGAGTTATGACGTCTTCGTACACAGCCCCAAGTACGGTAACTTTGACTACAAGTCTTTCATCACCGCATACTTGGGAATTCCGCTATATCTGATCATGATCTTTGGCTACAAGCTCATCACCCGGTGCAAGGGTGTTGACCCGCACGAGGCTGATCTCTGGACGGGCAAAGACGAAATCGACCGGGAAGAGGCCGAGTATGTGGCGCGCAAGGAAGCAGAGGAGGGAAACCATGCGGGCGCAAGCTGGTTCTACCGGACGTTTGTATCCTGGCTGTTCTAGATTATACCCCTCATATTACTTGTTATTTGCTGGAATCTTCAAGATAATTACGAATGAATTCATGAATTGTTCTGATATCATCCTGCCACGAAAGGTCTTGTGTAACCTGGCTCGGTCTCACCGACGTTCAGCCTCAGGCTTTAGGTCTTCTATCTAAATGTAAAACGAGGCTTGTGATGATTTACCTGCGATAGGAACTGACAGCGAATTTAAAGAATAAGTTGCATATGAAGCTATTCTACTTTCGTCAGCTTCAACTGCTCTATATAAGACCTGCATACATTATTTAATATACTAGCCACCAACCGACAGATCAAATGATACCAATAAATGTTCTATAAATATACATGTACAAGCTCATAAAATAAATAACAACAATCCATATCTAAAAACCACACCCAATAATAAACAATATAAAGATCTAGACTCCCCCGCAAAACCACCAATCACGTGACTTATCTATCTATCTCCAACTTTTGCCATCAACTCCGAAGAACCATCACCAACCAATTCATCCATCATCCATCCATCAACCCACTTTCCTCCCCTCAATCGAGAAAGAAAATGCCACCCCTCTCCCTCGGCCTCAACCTCGCATCCAAAAAACAACCCGTGAAACCGAACAACGCGCTCGGCGCCCAAAAACGCAAAAAGAACCTCTTCGACTCGGACTCGGAGGACGAAACCCAATCAGGGAAGGGCGATAATGGCGGCGCTGTGGAGATTTCGACAGTGGGTGGGGTAGAAGAAGAGAAGAAGAAGCCTACGGCGCCGAAAGCAAAGGGAAATGCGAATGCGGAGCAGCCACCGTTTAAGAAAAAGGTTACGTTGGGGGGAGGGAATAAACCGGCCGTCAAACCGCTGAGCAAGAGTTCGATATTCGCCGACGAGGACGAAGATGAAGGTCCGAGTGAAGCGATGCCGTTAGGATTGAACACGGCGAAAAAGCCAACCAACAACAACGACAAGGACAAGAAAGACAACGCAAAAGAATACACCAATCTATCCGCAATGCACAGCAGCAAAAAGCACGCCCAAGAAGCCCAAGAACTCGACCCGTCTATATACTCCTACGACGCCGTGTACGACAGTCTGCACGCGAAACCGGCAAAAACCGCCGAAGCCGCGGCCGCGGAGGCGCAAAAGGCCGAAGTGCCCAAGTACATGACGGCGCTGTTGCGGAGTGCGGAGGTGCGCAAGCGGGACCAGCTGCGCGCGCGGGACAGGCTACTTGCTAAGGAGCGCGAAGCGGAGGGTGATGAGTTTGCGGATAAGGAGAAGTTTGTGACGGCGGCGTATAAAGCGCAGCAGGAGGAGTTGCGGCGGATTGAGCAGGAGGAAGAGGAGAGGGAGAAGATGGAGGAGGAGAGGAAGAGGAAGAATGGGGGATCGGGGATGGTTGGGTTTTATCGGGATATGTTGTCTCGGGGTGAAGAGAGGCATGGGGAGGTGGTGAAGGCTGCTGAGGAGGCGGCACGACGGGTGAAGGATGGTGAGGCCGTGCCGTCTGAAGAGACAGCCGAGGAGAAGAAGGAGAAGACGGAGGCGCAGATGGCGGCGGATCTGAACGCTTCAGGGGCAAATGTTGCTGTCAATGACGAAGGGCAGGTGGTCGACAAGCGCCAGCTTTTGTCGGCTGGGTTGAACGTTGCGCCCAAGCCCAAGTCGTCTGCGGCGGGCACGGGGGCTGGTGTTTCTCGACCGGCGATGGTCAACCCGCGCGCCGATGCTGGATTCCAGTCTGGTCGGGCTGGACAGCGGGCACGCCAGACGGAGATGATTGCGTCGCAGCTGGAAGAACGCGCACGACAAGAAGCCGAGGCCGAAGCCGCACGGCAGAAGGAGATTGCAGAGCGCAATCGCAGTCGCAAGACCGAGGGGGATGTATCCAGTGCTCGGGAGAGATATCTGGCAAGAAAGAAGGAGCGCGAAGCTGCTGGCAAGTAGTTTTTTATCTTATGGCATGCATTTTATCCTTCTGGTCATTTTCTTTTTCTATACGATAGTTGCATATATCGGCGTTGGGTGCTATATACACATGTATGATAATGAACGGGGAAGAAAGAATAATAATACTGAACAGACTTGGCAGTATAACCATATGGTCCATAGTCGTATCGACTAAGATGCAATTTATACCATATTGAACCAACAAACACACAAAACAAAGCTCGTCGTAAGTCATAGGGAATATAATCATGCAACCTATGTTTAGTTTTCCCCTTGTCCGATACTCCAACTCGGTCCCACGATGCATATCAAACAGATGCAACGCAAAGTCTATTCATCAACCCAGAAACGCCCATGCGAGAGAGAGAGAGAGAGAGAGAGTATGTGAAACGCATTATGCTGTCAAAGCAAAGCTCATCCCCATCAGACCCATCCCCGCGATGGCAAATCCGATTCCCATGCCCCGTTTATGTGTCAGCCCCAAGCCTTCACTGAATAGTTGCAGCGCAACCGAGGTCATGATCCCGGAGGTGGCGGCGAACATGCCACCGTAAACACCCCACGACGGACCCATGGTGGTATCGTCGCCGGTCTTCTGGGTGCTCCAGATCCACAAAGCTGCGATGCCCGCTCCGGCCGGCTGGCTGATGCCACCCAGTAAGCTGGACCAGAACATAGCCCTCCAGCGGGAGTTGAGGGCCAAGTAGAGGGGTAGGGCCATGACGAAGCCTTCACTGATGTTGTGAATGAACAGGGCGAGGAAGACGGTCAAACCAAGAGTGGGGCTGGCATGGTTGGTCGCGTAGGTGATGAAGCCCTCGGGGAGCTTGTGAAGCGCAATGGCCAGCGACGTCTGTAGGCCGATAGACAAGAATGCATTCTGCGGTACGTGGTGGTGGTGCTGGCTGCCCGAGAGAGGTGCAGACTCGAGATCATCACCCTGGCTTTTAGATTGATATTGGTGGAATTCCGAGTGCGACGAAGAGCTACTCGCATGGTGCAATTCTGGTGTGGGAGCGGCGTCGAAGTAGTCTGATCGCTGCACGCCCTCAGAGAATGCTCGGGGGTGGTGTTCAAGCAATCCAGTTGAGACTGTGCCAGTTTCGTGGTCACCGCTCTGTTGCGTGAGGGACGGACGACGAGATTGCCCATCCACTGTCGGGGCTTTGGATGAAGCCGTCTTGGTGCACTCGCGACCACAGGTCTGCGAGAATCCGTAACATGGTCCATTCTCGTCGCAAAGCGGCTTGACATCGCCCATGAGCTGATTGAGACGGCGCGTCAAGCGTGCCCGGAAAGGTTCCTTGGGCAGCTGGCCCGCAGCCATGTGATTATCTTCTGATCTCGCCCGTCGCGTCGCAGCAGGACCCGACCTCCATGACTGTGGTGCCGCCCGCTTCAAAAGAGGTGTGCGCTCTGTACCCCCGACTGTATCTGGCTGAGAACCCGCCACTTCGGACGTGGGGGGCTCCCCCCGCTCCGCGTCGTGATCGTCGTGGGTATGAGCGCAATCGACAACATGAGAAGGAATATGGGCGTGGATAAACCCGGACACGACGCGAATGACAATAACACCAGCCAGAAAGAGTCCGATCAGAGTGTATGCCGATGCGCGGGCAGAAAGACCGGCTCGAGTCAGGTACTGTTTGGAGGTGGGCAGCATGCTATAGAGAGAGGTGAAGAGCTGAGGCCGTCAGTACAAATTTAGAAATTCCACAAAAGAACAAGGCAGCTTACCATGACGCCCGCGCTGAGGCACAGCGAAGCAGACAAGAAGCCATTGCTGTTGGCGATCTGGAAGTTCTTCTGGCGAGAAAACCTCCGCACGACCAAATCGGCGCAGATGACGGCGGAACCCAAGACGCAAGCTGAATCAAATTAGCCATTTGGATAGATGGAGATGGATGGAAGACAAACCAACGCCAGAGACACCGCTCATCACCCAGCCCCGAAGGTCATTGCTGGCAGCCATACTGGGGAAGAGATGCGGAGTGGAAAGAGAGAAGAAGGAATGAATGGAAAAGAGGCGGAGAGCGGGAAGCTGAAAGCTGAAGCGGTGATGTAAACGAGGCGATGTTTCTGATCTTGTCTTCACTTCGACTTGGTCAACCCCCCAGAGACAGAGAGAAACACTCTCGAGGATGAGGAGGACAACATGATTTATTTATGAGATGGAAGGGAAAGAAGAAAAGAAGAAGAAAGGAGCACAAAGAGAGAGTCCAGGATGAGGCTTTTCCCACAAGGTCCGCATGGCGCTGCCAATGAGGAGAAGCAGTCGTAATCAAGGGGTGAAGCACTGCGAATTATTATTAGAAGAGGAGAAGGAGAGCAGAGAACGGAAAGATGAGGCTATTCGAGTCTCCTGATCTGGTCACTTGAGGCGATGCGTTGGAGGTGAAGAAGAGTGAAGGCATTGCAGCACAACTTGTTCATTTTCTTTCTGTCGCTATTTAATCTACTGTCTCCATATTGCATCTTCAATCTATTTATTTCTCCCTTTTAATTCATACCATTTGTATCACATTGATCTGTCTATTTCCAGTTATTGAGCGACTGCTGCTAATCCCGCCCTCTGATTGGCTCTCCGCTGTTTTCCCTTCTTTGGCTTCAACTTCTCCATCTTTTCTTTTCTTTTCTTCTCTTCTTCTGTCCTCCTCGTCATCCTTTCTCGCCATGTCCAAAGCAACCCTTGCAGCCATTGCGGCTGCTAGTGCTGCTACCGGTGCTGGTGTCACTGCTTTCATCTATTCTCAATCCTCTCGTCCTCTTCAACAGCAGCATCAACATCAACAACAGATTCCTCCTCCTTCGGGCCTCTCCAAAACTCCCGCTTCGCTGCCCCCAACTCCCTCTCTCGCTCCCAAATCTGCCGACTCGCCCGTTGATCCGTCTGGCATTCTTCAATACGGTTTCCCGGGCCCCGTCGCCGATCCTCTCAACTCCTTGCCGTTTACCGGTGCCTTTGACCGTCGCACACGCAACCCATCCTGGGTTGCTGAACACATTACCCCTCAGTCCCTCGCCATCAACAATGGAGACCGCAAGCACAGCACTTTCTTCGAGGATACCACTATTCCTGCCTCCTTCCGCGCCAAATTGTCCGACTACTTTCGCTCGGGCTATGACCGCGGTCACCAGGTCCCCGCTGCCGATGCCAAATGGTCCCAGGAGGCCATGAACGATACTTTCTCCCTGAGTAACATGTGCCCCCAGGTCGGAGAGGGTTTCAACCGGGACTACTGGGCACACTTTGAGAACTTCTCTCGCGGCCTGGCCAAGACCTACCCCTCTGTTCGCATTGTCACAGGACCCCTGTACCTCCCCCATCGTGACCCTGATGGTAAATGGCGTGTCAACTACGAGGTCATTGGCAACCCGCCCAATGTCGCGGTGCCGACTCACTTCTACAAGGTCATCTACGCCGAGGATGGCACTACCAATCCCAACAGCAAGGTTGCCCTTGGTGCCTTTGTCCTGCCCAACGCTCGCATCGGCAACGACAGGCGTCTGACGGAATTCGAAGTCCCTCTTGAAGTCGTGGAGCGTGCCAGTGGTTTGGAATTCGCTTCCAAGTTGGAGCCCACCCGTCGCAAGCGTCTCTGCCAGGAGGTCCGCTGTGAGGTCGTGGTGCGCGAGTTCAACAAGGCCAAGAACCGTTCCTAGACCTTTTACATGTACATATACCATTTCAGGGATTCTGTCCGGCGTTTCAGGATATCACATTTGTACATCTATTTGGTCCATTTTTCATGGATTCTCAGCCTTATGTATTCCAGCCTTAGCATCCATATATACCGTATTCAAATTCAAGGATATATTTGCAATCACCAACCGTCCGATATAAATAGACCCATGTTTTGATAGATACATACACCGACAGCACAACCTTAACTCCAATGCTCCAGCAAAGCAATGTCTATACATCATAGCTGAAAAACAAACACAAGAAAGATATCAACATTGAAACGCCACCCCAGTTTTGGTCGCAACATTCCCTCCGCGCCCTGCAAACCCTGTTCCCTCAGAACTGACCTCCACCAAACCAGGTTGGATGCCATTCTCCTTGTCCTTCTTTTTCGACTTCTTCCCGTTCTCCTTAATCTCAGCTTTCGGGTTGCGAGGTGTGACATCAGTCTCACAGACGTAGCACAGTATTCGGCCATGAAGGGCAGCGGTATGCTCCTGTTCTTCCTTCGAGGCGTGAGGGTCGGGTGCATCGTGTGGTGTCATGAACTTGTTCACGCATGGTTGGCAGATCATGTGGCCGCAGGGTTTGGTGACTGGGATGAATTAGCAATGAAACTTCATAATTGAAAATATCACATACGCATCGCCTTGAGCCCGTTGCTCAGGTTCTTCTTGCAGCTGGGGCAGACCCGAGCCACGGAGCCATCGGTAGCCTTTTCTTCTGTAAAGTGTACTTCCACCAGCGACTTGAGCGAGTAGCTATGGCGGTTGGAATCCGTAGATGCAGGACAGATTGGTGTTAACTTGACGGCCTTGTTGGCGGCGATTTCGTTGGGATCAGTCCCAGGTGTTAAAGATGGTACCCAGAAGGATGGAAGGGCCGATTTGCTAGACTCAGACTACACACAACCGTCAGTAAGCAATATAACATAAAAGGGCATAATGAAGATGCACCTTTTCCCGCTTCAATTCCTGCTTCAGTCGCTCTTGTTCCTCTTTAGCCACGCGGGCCATCTCTTTCTCATCCAACTCGAACACCTTCTTCCGTTTCCCATCAATCTCTACCTCCCGGGCTTTAAACGCAGCCAATGCCTCTGTTTCCTCAGCTTTCCGCTTCTTATGATTCTCATTATTATTTTTGCTCCCCGCCGCTTCTAATCCCATGCTGACGAGCTCGAAATCGCGCAGCTCTTTCGCGCGCGCCTCCTCCAGTGTCCGCTCGTCATCCTCCGCGATGCGCTTCTGGGCCTCGCCCTTTTCTTTCTCGAGCCGTTTGATTTCCTGTCGCTGGGCGAGGAGGTCGTTGATCGCGCATTCGCGGCAGAAGAGGTCACCGTTGGTGGCGCAGGCGACGACCGGAGCTCGTGCGGGCTGGAGACAGAGTCGGCATGAGGCGAAGGGGAGGAAGGAATCGCGACCGATAACACCACGCTTGGTGCCCCAGCTATTGCGGAGGAGGCCTCGTTCGTAGGAGGTGAAGTGGGGGAGGGATGTGTTGCGTTTAGAGTGGGCCATAGTTGTGTGTAAAGGACCAGATCATCGATTTTGGTGGTGAGGGGATTGCGGAGAGTTGAAGATTCTTGGATGGCGATGGTGGAGATGGCGTGGGAAATGGGTGGAACAGCGATTGTATTTCAAAAGAGACTATTGGTTTGCTTATCTCAAGACTGGAATTAGATATTCATACAAAACAGAAAAGCGGAATGAAAAAAAAAAAAAAGATCATCGAGAGGAAGAAAAGAAGGAAGAGAATTGAAGCTGTTGCAAGCATGACATGGATCACATGACATGACGCTGCTTCCTCCGCATCGGAATAACTTCATCTTCGCTTCTTCTCCGTCTCAGCATCGCCGTTGAAACAAAACGCCCAAATACAGTTCCCAAATGTCATTCCAGCATTTCCAATAGACCATATGGATCACTTCTTCTCGTGCACTTCAGCACTGGCTTCCTCCACTGTAGGCAGGCGGGATCCCTCAGTCACCACCACTTTCTTCCTGGCCACGTTCTTCACCACCGGTGTCTGAGCAGGCTCCTTGCCCTTTGAGGATGGCTTCTTGGTATTCGCAGGCTGAACCTCTTTCTTCGTGGTCTCTTCGGATTTGCCTTCCTCCTTTGGCTTCTCATTGTCTGGCTGGGTGGACAAGAAATCATTAACCAATTCGAGCCACAGATCCAAAAAGTCCTTTTCAGAGTCCAAGCACTTCTCGTAGTTTTTCACCTCATTGTCTATGTTTGCCTTGGGTTTGAGCTTGGTTTTGGGCTTTTTCTTAGGCTTGGGCTTCGGCTTTGTTTTGCTCTTGCGCTTGCGCTTAGGCTTAGGGTTAAGCTCGGGGATATACTTCCTTCTCCTCATATCTCCAGGGCTTTGGGCCCATTTTCTGACACAAGGTTTTTCAGGCTTGACAACAGGATTCTCGCTGGGTTTGCCCTGCGGCATTCTGTCGATTTCCTTTGGTTCCAAAATCTTGAAGGCGCGGCCATCTCTCTCTTTCATCTCCTGTTCCGACAGGCGACAGTATCTATTAACTCGGACGTACTCGTCTGGCTTTGCTCCAACCATAAAAAGGACTTCTCTGGATAGCGCTTGGTGCTTGAAGATGAACATCGCATCCTGCACTGTAGAAATCCCTCTCGTAGTGACTCCAAACCCGGGCATGAGGCTCATATCTTCAGACCACCTGGCAAGCTGACGATAGAGAATGCCCGTCGGTCCCTGGAGAACGACTCCCATCCTTCTAGCCTTGGTAAGGAAACAAAAGGTGCGAGCGAGATCAGAGTGAAAGGCGGCAATTAAGGCGCACTTCACCCAGACCATGGTCAAGCGGATGTCCGTGATGCGAGTGCTCAGCAGCTTTGAGATTAAGTCGTTCGCCTGTTGGAATATCCCCGCAGGACTGGCTTCAATGACATCTTTCCAGTGCAGAAGTAGCTCAAACTGTGTGTACCTGTCCAATGCGGTCTCCCACAGTTTCACGGGCGCCACGCAGGCTTTACAGGCGCATCGGAAGTCGTAAAGCAGTGAGCAGTAAACCTGCCTGTAAGAAGAACATCCTTTGGAGTAGAAATAGCTGATGGTGATCTCCTGGCCTTTCAAAATATCGGTGCTTGCTCGAACCACAGCCCGACCCATAATCGGCTTTTCCGTCGTCGCCTTTCCATTTTCATCATGTGGGTAGCGATTGGTCAGAGTAAAGTAGCCATTTGGGGCGCAAGAGTGATTCACATATGCCAAATTGGGGCCCAAGACTCCGCCCTCAAGTCCGTCCCAGACCATCGGGAGATGATACAGGTCCCATCTTCCCCCAAATGGTCCCAGAGTTTCCGACTTGGGGTTGGGAAGGTCCAGGAATGAACGTTTCCAATCCGTGTCCATAGTCCCGATCTTTTGGCAGACAAGTTCATCCAGCTGATCGTCAGTCTTGCATGCCTTTTTCTCTTCTCTCTTCACCCAGATAACCTGGTCTGAGATGACGATGCTTCCAATTGGGATGTTTTCTGTAGCCACGAGACCCATGCCTGTGCCCTCGTTGATGAACTGCTTCTGAAACGCATGTTTCTGTAGTATGAGCTCTTTGTCGCAGTCCAGACACACTTTACACTTTGTGCAGAGGGGTCTCGGGAATGTCGCCTGAGGTGGCGGTAGTCTGGGAGATTGGCCACCAGGATGAGGGACCCCTGAAGATGGAACTCCCGGTGATGGGAATCCAGGAGATGGAAACCCGGGTGATTTCACTGCAAGCCGAACTCCAGGAGGAAGAACCCCAGGCGGCAAAACTCTTGGAGGCGGGATTTGGGGTAGTGGGCCTGTAGGAGGTGGGATCTTAAGAGGCGGAGGTCTATGAGGCAGGGCTCTGGTAGGCAGTGAAGCCGGTGGAGGTGGTCCCAGGAGGAGCTTTTCTGTCAGACCTTGAATATCAGTGGTGTTGTTCATCTTCATTTGAAGTTATTCCTTGTCAACCAGTATAGGGAACACTCACGTGACGTGTTAAGACCTAAAAGGTTCTCCATGATGAATTAATCTGTGACTGATTCCTAAACAGAACAATCCATCAGTCAAACCATTCACAAAGAGAATAATTTATTGCATCGAGGTTTCTCTATTAGACTTACCAGCCAATTTCACGTGTTGGAAGGACCACAAGAAGATCTTCTTTCAGCAAGCCTTGAAATGCCCCGAGCCTAACGAGTATACCCAGTAGATATTCTCAGTCTCCAGACAAAGTAATAGCAGAGCCAAATATAAACCAGTTTCTACTCACAAGCTGTCCGTCCTTTGTGTTGTAAATCTTGTTGGGATTTTCTTTTCAGCCGTGGACGAAAGAGAAAAGAAGACAAGATACACAGACTGGTAGGTCCATATATCTTGCCAGCTTCGGTAGATGCGAAGCAAGACAGCGGACAAAGGAGAGGGGGTAGGACAAGACAAGGTGAGAGAGAGAAAGGACGAGAAGAAAAGTGGGAGGGAGAGACAGAATATTGATTTGTGTGTGCAGAGCTGTTCTCGGCGTCATGATCCCCTCTTTCTACCATGATTAGTCGTAGGCTGAGATGGAGTGAATGGAATCATGGAAGATCGAAAAGGGGATTAGAATACTTCAATAGGCTATGTGGCGTCCAAAAGGACTGGCAACAAAGAAGTGTCAGACAAGCAAACACAAAACTCCAAGATGCGATATATAAGTTGAAATATTATTAGGTTTATACTTTTTTTTTTTGATCTCCTCAATTGGTACATGTTACTCAAGTCCGGACCTGAAAATGCCTGCCTGTCTTCTCCCATATCCCATACCCACGCCAGTTACACCAACCGCTAGTCAAATACATGTCTCCCATTCCCAAGGGAAGATGGGGATTTTGATTGCTCGCCGATCCTTTAAAGGAGCGACGATTCAAAAAGAAAAGGAAAAGTTCAGATAATGAGGCTTTTAAGCCGGTGCCCGAGTCTATCAAGTTGACTTCAGAACAACAAGGAGGAAAGGAAAATGTGAGCGAAGGAAATGTTGATAAGATCGTGGGTAGAGCAGTACAGCAAAATGCCCTGTTTTGTCTCGTCCACAATGAAATTGGCTGGTTTAACCAAAAGATCACTGAGAATCAACGAAAATCGAAACGACAGAATGAGACAGACTTGTGGCAGTGTTTCCAAGAGGACTCCCATTGCAGAGATCAACAGAGAAAAAAGAAAGAAAGAAAAAGGCAGGCCAAAAACAAGATATGGGGTATAAAAGTCATAATGCGGAAAGAAATCAGTCCTGATAGCTGAGATAGACGGGAAAATGTTGTTAGTCATGCGCTGACAGCCTGCTCTGGCGGGCTTTGCTGCATCTTGTCCTCTGCTGGTGTTTCATCGGCAACATCATCATCCGCCGATGTCGAGGCTGTAATTGGTTCGTCATCAGTAGGTACGGCGAGCCGCCCATTGTGCGTGGGAGCTCGTGGGGTTGTTGAGGGTGAAATTGATTCTGTGTCCGACTGCTTGGAGCTTTGGTCCTCTGCTCGAGCAGCCGAGAACCGCTTCTCATCTTCTTCTTTAAAGAGGGGAATCGCTTCTCTGGGTTCTCCAGACTCATCGGGGTTACGGAAACTCTTTCTCGTCGCAGTGCTCGCACTTCGTACAGAGTGCGGACGCAGTCCGTTCAAATTGAAAGGCTCAGAAGTGATCGAGTCGCCACTACTGGCAATGCTAGGGTCGGACATCCTTGGCTCATCCGATGGTGTAGGCTTGCGTAGTTTCAGTCGCTCCTCTGGCGGCATGTTTTGCCATTCAGACCCAAAAGTCACAATAGAAGCCTTTTTGCCGTGAACAGTGAAGCTCGGGTATTTTCGCGACAGACCCTCGCCTTCATTCGTTTCTTTGGTTCCATCTTCGGATGGAGCTGCACTAGAAACAGAGTCGCGAGTCTTCTTGTTTCGAAGGTGATGTCCATTGTGTCCATGGTGAGATTCACGAAGAGTGCGGTGTAGGCTACGGCGAACCCGGCCGGTTTGCTCACCTTGGGCCTCTTGTGAATCGTCGGGCTTTTTATCGGAGTCAATGCCATTAACTGATGTGGCTCGCTTTCTTGCCTGGGGGGAGCTGTTGACCTCCAGAAGACCGGCCTCGCGAAGAACCCGTTCTTCACCATCATCAATGCTTGGGGCTGTGATTTTAGAAGCCCGAGACCCAAGGCTTGAAACATCCATCTTGCTGCCAGCGCTAAGAACCGATGCTTCACGTTCCAGCTTATTCGCTCGATCGGGCGAGTGTGACTTGGCACGCTCCTTCATTTGGTTCACAGAGAGTCGTCTGCCGGGGTGGGCAAATTCGGAAGATGTGACAGATATTGGGATACTTGGCCTTCGGATATCGCCAACGGCGGATTGAGGCGAAGAAGGATTGTCAGACATAGCCTTCTCTGGTGAGGATGGTAGGGCGTCCTTAGTTGGAGAGGTTTGTTTGACGCTTTGAGCCCGATCTATAGTTCCAGTTTCGGAAATGGATGGGTCGGTTGTAGGGATCTGTAACTGAAGAGATTGTTGGTCGGCAAATGGTTCCGCCTCCACCTTGTCTACATCTTCACCCAAGTCGCGAACAAGAACTTCGCGATGGCATTTGGTGCGCCAGATATCCTGTCTCACCCATTTCAATTTCGCCGACATGCGGCCTGCAGCCATGATGACCTGCTCTCTTGCCCTAGAATGAACGGGCGTCAGGACCTGCAGGTGTCGAGCGTTCCGCAGGAGATCATCGAGCTGCCTTTGGCCCACAAAGAGCTTTTCGTTGGCCTCGCGGACCCTCTGGGCCATAAGTTGTCGGCGGGCTGTGACCAATTCCTCGGCGATTTCGGTGTCAGGGATAATTGGTGAAGGCGGTTCCTTGTCTGCAGGACCAATATCATTATTCGACAGCACAGTGCTCATGCGACCCATGCGATCCCGCTCGGCCTCGTAATTAGTGATCATCCCCTTCGTTCTAACACCCGTTGTGCGGAAGGCTGAAGCATAGTTTAGTTTCGCGAGCCAGTCATTCATATCCTCCTCGGTATTGGCAAGAAAGACCTCCTCCAGAGAGTTGTGTCGAACAAAAACGAAGGCGTGCTTGTGCTTCTTGTAGTTCGAATCCAGCAAGGCCACTGCATCATCTGTTGACATGAGTCCATCCGGCTTGAAATCGGTAACAGGTGGTTTAAAAATAACAGGCCGACGGCTGCCTTCGTTCTGCTCGGAGTCGTACTGAGACATCAACGACTTCACCCAATTGACGTCCCTGAAGAAGTATAGCTGCGAAAAGGTGAGCAAGGCACCCCATTCTTGCCATGGAGAACGGCCCCTCTTTTTCTTGGGGTCCTTTCGCCAAAGTAACCCGACCTTGGCTACCTTTATGTCCACAAGCCCAGGGTTCGAATCGGCTGGGTTGTCAATGCTTGATGGCATGAATGCATCTGGTCGCGAGCGAGGAGACACAATTTGTATTATACCAGATTTGGCAAATGCTCTATGAAGACTATCCATGTCAGGGTGTCCTGCGGTTCCAGTACAGCTATACGTGTCTTCCAGCTCCATCACATCCTTAAGACTTGGTCGAAGAGAGTCGAGCTTGCCGTCGAGAATGAGTGTATATGGGTCCACTGGCTCTCTAGAAGCGCGAGATAAGTGCTCCGAGCTGGCGGTCTTGAAAAGCATGCGCCGGGGTTTCGCGAGATGGCGTCCGTTAGTATTTGCGTCTTCAATGTGGATGAAAGGGGTGTAAGAGATATTTTCATAAAAGCACTCCAAGATTTCATTAGATATGCCTTCGCCGCTAGTATTCTTGACATAGTCAGGCTTTTGCATTTTGCGCTTGTTGTTTTTATTGAAGACGTCGGTGTGTAGGATGAGTATTGAGAACGCAATGAAGTACGCTTGGTCTAAACCAAAATATAAGTCAGTTCAAACCCCGAAACAGCTAACGGTCACTATGTGTCAGTCATACCTGTCGAAGCGAAGATCCCCGGGTTGCATTCGTGATACCTGTCCGCGAAGGCCTGTATAAACCGGTCAATCTGCTGTGTCTCCTTTGGCAATTCCACCTCCATCAAAAGTTTCCGAATGGCCATATCGATGGGGTCACAAAAGAAGGCGAATCCTCTCATGTACTTTCGCAGTCCTGTTTTGTAGAATTCATCAGGCGACTGGGAAAGTACACCTGCGATAGCGCCTCTTGGTATACTTTGCTCTAGTCGAGCTAAGTACGAGGCAGGAGTATCATTCTCTTCGCGCTCCGGATGTGAGGAAACAGTGCGAGAAAGCGAGGATCCTGCTTTGGGCAGGCCCCCTGGGCCACCTGCGCCTGGAGATCCAATCCGAGAAACTGGTTCTGAATTTTGTCTCAAACGCTGCGGGATGCTGAAGATATCACCAAAGCTTTTGCGTCCGCTGGTCGACGTCGATGTGCGTCCCGATGAGACCAAGTTGTTTGGCCGGTGCCCATCCTGAATGTCAGGCAAAGAATCCATTGTAGAAGCTCTCTCTCGTCCCGGTTGAGGTGCCCGGTTGCGATTCGACGCGGTTGAGTTGACTGAGCGGGCAGAGGTTGCCGAATCATTCCTGAACAATGGTTGGCCGGGAGATGAAGAGAGGACCGCCGAGGAGCGAGATGGTGATGGCAAAGGAGACACATGATCCTGTTCTTGTTCATCTGAGATATCCGACTTTGGGTTTGAGTCGCCTGTGGTGGTTTTGGGCAATGTTGGGCGACGGCCGTTCGCTGATTGCGCACCAGTTGGTTTCGGTGGTAAGGGGAATAGAGGAGCGCGGTTCCTTTTCAAACGCGGCATGCGAAATCGTTTACTGCTGGAAGTCGAGCCTTCGTTGGGAGAAAATGTACGCTGGATACCATGCTCTCCCAAGCTCTGGTCTGATCGTGAGGATTCGGAGAACCGCGCGTCCGTCACAGATGAGCGATGGGAATCGTTGTGGGGTTCTCGGCCACTGCTTTGCATCGACGTGGTTGACAGGCGCCCGGGGTCATCACCACTCCCTCGATTCGTAGCAAGGGAGGGATCAACGGTCTGGGAGTCTGTCGAGCCCTGGGCGCCGTGCTGAGGTTTTGCGGTTCGGTCTTGAGGCCGACCGTGCATACTCGCGGATAAATCCTCGACGGAAGATTTCTTAGGGCCGGGAAATAAGTTGAACTTGCTCTTTCGCTTGGCAGGCTGGTCAAGCTCATGGCTTGTAGGTGCGGTTGTGATGATTGTTGCTGTTTGAAAAAAGGGGATGATGGTCAGTCAACAAGATAAGGCCAAGACCCAAGGAGACAACTTACGGGGAGGTAAGGAGGGGACCGGAGGAACTTTCTCTTCGCCCTTGGCATAGGACTTGGACAGCTGTGGATCCGATGCGTACCGGAGTCTCATAAAACTGAATCGGTTCCTGCGCAAATTCGGGGCCTCGCTGGGGGCTAACGAGGGGCCAGAGGTGTCTGTCTTGGATGCATGGTTGTTGTTGTCCGTGCGGAGTTCTGACACCGCGAGCCGCGCACCATTAGCATCGTCGCCTTTGTCGCCATCATCATCTGGTCCGGTCAGAGGAGGAGAACGAGGAGCAGACTCTGAGTGTCGAGTAGCAAGCTGGGTGGTTGAGAGGGTTGTACGAGGCAGTTGCTCACTATGACGGGATTGGGATTGGGGATCGATGAAGCTCTGCCTCTTGGACTCGGTGCCAATCCGCAACCCTTTCCAATACATGGTTGAGGCGAGGACAGGCGAGGTGTGTCCAGGCTATGCGATCCTGCTCCACAACCGACCCAAGAAGCCCATTCGAGATGGTGCCCTGCACTAAACAAAGAGTATTGAAAGCTATCCCCACTGCGTCGGCTGTCTGCGTGCGTACTCGTCTGGATCGCGAATAATGTAATCACGGTATGTTCTCCGAGAGAGTAACGGAACGTAGTTATCGGAAATCAATCTCAGCAAAATCCCATTGCGAGCAAATCCGGAGAACTGAACCAACCGTCCCAGCGAAGGAGAGATTGAGGGGAGGCGGAGATGGAGGAGCGGATTCGGTCGTGGGAGCTTCGAAAAGGGGAAGGGGGACGGACGGAGGAGGGGGTGGAAGCGAAAGTTGATCGCCAGCTAGTTAAGGGAATCCGGTCAAACAGAAGAAGAGTTGGTATACGACGATCGCAACTTCTACATCGCCAGATCAAACGTGAAGGGGAGGGGGGTCAAGGTGGAGGGGTGGTGAAGCAGGAGAGACGTCAACGTCGTCAGCCGCAGGAGGGGAGAGTCGAGAGAGAGACTTGAGGAGGGGCAAGAAAACAGGTTTTGTTCTCGCCGGATGCTCCTTTTAGATGACAGGGAGTCGGGTGAAGATGGGTATTGATTGGAAAAGAAGACAAGGAAAAAGAATGGAAGATGGACGAGGAGGGAGAGTCGAATCGAGATGATTGTCTACGGCTACGGGATTGTTTTGTGAATAATGGCAAAACACGGGCCGAAGAAAACGCAATGGCAGCACGTGTGGACGATGGATCTGCTCTTTTTGATTATTGGTATTATTTATTAATTATAGGACATATGAAGCAGAGTGCTATTTTGGTCAGGATGTCTTCGGATTCTAGATCCTTTTCTTGCTTTCTTTTTTCTGCTTCGCTTTTTACTCTGGTGGAGACGTAAACTCTCTCTGGAAGCTTCCCTGGGCGAGGATACGTATAGCTTCAGTTTCAGATCCAGACTAGGGAGAGAACTATTTAATAGACACTTTTTGTACTCTATTCTGGGTGAATATTTAGAAATTGGTCTTGTGTGAATCGGGTTTTACTTGGCTGGTGGATTGTTTCTATTTTAACCCAGAGTACAGTCAGTTCGCATACTATGGTTTAGAATATCAACACTCCAACAATTAATCAATGACGAATGGATTGTAGCATTGGTTTCAAAATTAATTCTCGAATATTTATCTTGACAAAATATTGTTCTTTTGTTCTAGACAATAAGAGATTGACAGCACCTTACCGAGTACATATGTAGGTGGACATAGTGAGTTGTGGTATAGATTCACACCACCGCCCTATCCGGTTGCATTCCACTCGGTAGGTATATTCATCAGACTCGCAGTCCAGACTCGAGGTTTTGTTGGCCCAAAAGTTTACGAATCGGCCAGAAGCAGATAGCCTTCCTGTCGACCAAAGGTACCACCGCCGACCCACTCGGGTGATGTGTCGTGCCTTGTTGACGGCGGTTATCCACTTTGTATGGCCAGACACCCAGAGATCTACATTTCATAACATGCATTCGATCTGGTATCCTCAATGCCTGGTTCAGTAGTTATATTCAATTCTCAATTACGTCTAGAGGATCCATCACATCTTGTGTCCTTCATGAATGTGTAGCTGCCCAGTCATCGGGAAGTTTAAAATCCGGTGGCAAACGATATTGTCCGAGGCAACTGCCGGGTCCTTTGCATCGTTCAAGATTGCAGCGCCCATACAAGCGGCAGTAACACTCGTCAGCGCGCGGGCATGCTTGCGAATTGAGTCGATCTAGGTCGACTTCGTCGTATGAGTCATGCTTAATGAACAGAATGTGCCATAAGTATGACAAGATGCGCCCTGCGGTAAGATCGGAAGCTGGTGCGGCACGAGGATTCTTCGAGTGCTTATCGACGCCATTGCCGCTGCTTCCATCAAGCAGCCATTGTCGCAGAGCAACATACTCTTCACGCGAATGCTGCCACACGCTCTCGCGCGAAACAACAAATTGCGCACAGCATTGCGATCGAACGGCATCCGTACGACCCAGAAGGAATCCACCGCCGTTTTTAGCCGAAAGATGGTCATAGCCACCAAATAAGGCCGCAAGCGCGCGCGGCAATGCCTTGTCAGACACTGCGCGGGCGTTCCATGGCTCCAACGCAGCCTGGAGAGACACCTCTATGCTTCTCTGCCCTGCCGTGGATGGAGGACAAGTGCTGACACTCCAATCGCATCTCATATTATGATATCCCCATGGAGCGACTGCTGCGGGTACATTGAGCGCAGCAAGCAAGGCTGCATTGTCGTAGTCGGGCGCATCATTGTGCCACGCCCAGCGATTGCCATGTACAAATACCGCACCAGCCTTGGGGATGTGATCGTAGTTGTCAATCAGGAATGTCAAGTATGCCATTGATTCATGTCCGCGGTTTTCAGGCACTTGGAGATACTTTGATTTCGAGTTAACCGGCGCGTCGACTGTGTAAACGCAAAGATGGTACAAGTCAGACAATGCGTCAAGCCAGCTAGGGTCTCCATCGGCTGCCACTCGCGACACGATCAATGCTGGTTTGGTGCTCTTTTCTAGGCCAGGGCAAATGCCGCGGGCCTCAGGCAGCTTGGCCGCCGTCGTTTTATAGCGGATCCGAGTCCATGCAAAGGCCTTCTTCTTGTTTGATTGCGGACGATTAATGTATATAATCAGAAATAGAATGCAACCAAACAAGGTAAGGTGCACGAGAGATCTTCGCGTCCCCCGTCTCATTTGGAAATTATCATTTCACCCAAAAGAGGTGAATTGTCGATGCGATGCCTTCATGGACGATTTATTTCCACCGACAAACAGCGGAAGCCGGGGAAGCCGAAGAAAAGAAAGTCCGCGCCGAGTCAGGTGATCAATATACAACTCGATATGAAGTCATTAATTAATTAAGAGGTTGATGAAGAGAGATATTAATTGAGATTAAATATACGCTAGGGATTGTAGATTATGAACTAAAATAATAATGTGGACTGGTTGTGGATGAGGAGTGTGGGTAGTTAACTCATCGTGAAATATCCATTATAGAGAATCATTGACCAGCAGGAATAGCTTCATCATCAGAATAATAAATCTTCAAATATCGACTCCAAATATCGTCCTCATCTTTGTCTATTCTACGATAGTTTTACTTCTCAAAGATGGATTGAGCTGTCATACAAGCGGGTCCAGCCAACTCCCGCTCGATCTTCTCCGCATTCCCTCTTCTCTTCTTCCTCCCACATGCTGTTCACGGCCACGATGACGACTTGAGATTCGATCCGTCTCATCCCTTTCCATCTTTCTCATCCTCCTGTATCTAGTTTTTATCATATCTTATCCTCACCTCAATGCATTCCCTTTATTCTCTGCTTTTCTTTCTTTTCCTTCTGTCAGCTTGCCTGGTATCCGCCGTCCCCGCAGGCTCCAGTATTACTCCTCCACCTCCCATCGAACCAGTTCAGGTTCTATCTCAGTCTCCCGATCCACGGCGGCCATGGATTCGTTTACGGGACTGGGCTATTGAGTCTATCTGGGGCATCTCAAAGCCAACTTCTTCCTATCTCCATTCTCCCTTCAAGGAGGCTTCGCGCAACCGATCTCCCCCCTCTAAAGTACTAGCCCGCTATGGGAGTGATGTCGTTCTTCGTTTCCAGCTTCGCAGTTCGGATGAAGCTGAGGCATTGGCCCAGGCGGCCGATATTCTCTTCCTAGATGTCTGGGCCTCAACATCAAAGTTCGTCGACATTCGGCTAGCTGAAGAAGTAGTAAGTTGGCACCCATACCTGGCTACGAATATTCCTAACCATCGCTTCTTCCTAGATCCCATCGTTGTTAGGGTTGTTGCCAGAATCCCTTGGAAATTCGTATACTCCTATAATTGATAACCTCGCGGAGAGGATCTATGCCTCATACCCTACTGGACAGCCGGTCGGACTCGAGGGGCAGTCTGGATCCATCCCCTCCTCCAATCGGCCACAAAGCGATGTCTTCTTCCAGGAATATCAACCTCTTTCCGTTATCGTTCCATGGATGCGATTGATGGCCTCTATGTTCTCGTCCCATGTCCAAATGATCAACGTGGGAACGTCGTATGAGGGTCGTGAGATCTCGGCCCTCCGGATTGGAACTCATCTCCCGCGTTCCGGCACCAGGTCGTCGACACCTCGCAAAACGATTGTCATGGCGGGCGGCTCTCATGCCCGCGAATGGATCAGCACATCGACAGTGGCATTTGTCGCGTACCAGCTGATCACGCAGTACGGCAATTCCAAGGCGGTTACTCGTATTGTGGACAAATTCGATTGGGTGTTTGTGCCGACCGTTAACCCGGATGGGTACGTCTACTCTTGGGAAACCGATCGTTTATGGCGCAAGAACAGGCAAAATACTAGTCTTCATTTCTGTCCGGGTATCGACCTCGATCGGGCTTGGGATTTTCAATGGGACGGGGAGACGACCAGTACGAACCCATGCTCGGAGAGCTATGCGGGCAATAGCCCATTCGAAGGTGTGGAAGCACAGCAATTTGCACAGTGGGCCTTGAACGAGACACAGAACAACAATGTCAACATTGTTGGCTTTCTCGATTTGCATTCCTACTCGCAACAGATTCTCTATCCGTTTTCGTATTCCTGCTCGGCAGTCCCACCTACTCTGGAGAGGTTGGAGGAGCTGGCTATGGGCCTCGCTAAAGCCATCCGCTTGGAAACCCATGAGATATACGACATCACGTCAGCATGTGAGGGCGGTGTCTTCTCGGCCCATGATAAGGCCGGAAAGCAAATGTTTCCCTTTGGAGGCAGCTCCGGGGGAAGTGCACTAGATTGGTTCTATCACCAACTGTATGCCAGTTATTCGTATCAGATCAAACTTCGGGATCGGGGGAGTTACGGTTTTCTCCTCCCGTCCGAGAATATAGAGCCCACCGGCAATGAAATATACCGAGCTGCCGTACTGTATGCAAGATTTCTTCTCGGGGATACGATCAAAAGTGTCGATCCAGAGATGGAATTACAAACAGGTTCAGAGCAGACAGCAGAAGAATTGGAAGACTGGGAAGAGGAAGAGGAAGAACGCCATACCTGGGAACTCCGAAGGTGATGTTTCCCCGGAATACTGGAGGTTTTATGATTCACATCGTTATATAGTAATGAGTAATGCGTCTTGGACAGTGTAATGAACATACATATTTAATCACCACTACTTCCATTGAACATGAACATGTCTTCATCACTCATACAAACACCAATCCATACAACTAAGGGTTATTGTCATCAATAACAACATAACTCTGGCCTGCCTGTCCCAATTTCTGCGTCTTGTTTGTCTGGAAATCCGCCACAATGTCTCCAGCACACTCCGCCTCAGCAAAGATCAGGGCGTATTCGCTGGGGCTCAATCCAGAGACGGTAACATCGTCGCCCTGGGGGAAGGTGGCGTCTGCGCAGGGGATCGTGCCAGTGCCGTCATGGGTGCCTTCGGAGCTGGTGATTTCCCAGGCTTGGACGGCGAGGGGGAGGAGGAATGCGAGAAGTTGAAGCTTCATTTTGTGGATTGACTGGAATAGATGGGTTAGTATTGAGAAATTGAATTGAACGAAGTCAAATACCTGGTGTTTTGAGGGGAAGATAATGAACTGATAGAATTAAACTCAACAATAACAGAACCGAAAGAAACGAAACGAAGCCCTTTTATATCTCAGCTGAGAGGCAAAACTAGCCCAACTCCATCGTAGATCGACTCGATAATGTGTGTCAATGTCGCACAAAGTAGTAATTACAATGACTACTATTGTGGGCCAGCGATGATGATCCGATCCATCTCGGCGTGATGGTATCTGCATGAAACCAATAGTCCCTGCATCCTCGCCCTATGAGTGATTTCAACAAACCATGTTTCAGTTTTGCTATTCTGGGATCATCCAGGCTCTGCCTTACTTGGGTTTAAGTCATGAGGTTGCAATAGCTAGCTACTCCGCACATCTGGGCGATTTATGTAGACCGATTGTTGGAGGTTCAGCTGAAGAGCTGGATTCGATTTCAGCTGCAGTGGGGTTTGGGTTCCATTGATTGGACTGGTTTCATTCCAGGTGGTGGTTTGCATGCTATTATTCATTTCTGGCTGCAGTAATCTTGATTAATCTTGTTGCTGCGTATGTCGATCTTTACAATTTCTACGTGGTAGATTGTCTGTATGGAGTATGCCGGACTGTGGTGTTCCTATTGCTGTCGTAATTGAATATCTACGTAGAATGAGAAAAATATGCTGTACTGAGTTTTCAGGGAATAATTTTCATATTTCCAATTCCAAAATGATCTTCTAAATAATTTAAATGGTGTTGATAGATTATACAGTAGACTTGCATATTAGAGGTCGTCGAGATATATATCACCGGATGCATAGTAACTTATCTACCCTACTGATGCTTCATATACACCCATTGAATGATTTACAAGAAAGAATAAATAGTACCAAATAAGCACCAATAATTAAACATTCTATAACATCAATATCGGCAAATTGTTGATAGTACCATACCAATCACGTGATAACCACCATCAACTCCGGAGAATCACCGCAATCACCCTTCATCCCCAGACAATCCAACCCCACCACTTTCACGATATATCCAAACTACACCATACAAAAATCCAAAATGTCATACTACTTCACCATTCTCTCTCCCGCCGACGCCCCCCTCTTCAACATCGCCTTTGGCACCTCCAAAAGCGGCGGAGATGGCATTGCCCGCTTCCGCTTCCCAGACACCGCACAGTATATGAACCAGTTTATTATCCACGCTAGTTTGGACATTGTCGAGGAAGCGCAGTGGACGAATGGGAATATGTATGCTTTACCTCTTCTATCCATTCCACTCAATCCAATCCCACATGTTGCAATTGCATGAATTGAAACCGTTATTGACAATGTATGTGGTAAGGTATCTCAAACACGTCGACACCTACCCCCCAGCCTCAGCGTACATCTCCGCCTTCCTCACCCCCTCCGGAACCCGGTTTTTGCTCCTCCATCAACCCCCACAGCTCCCTTCCACTGCGTCGACGGGCGCATCGTCGCTGCTGGGCTCGTCTTTCTCTGCTTCTGCGTCTTCGCGTGCTTCGTCGAGTTCCATCGCGGCGAACCCGACCTCCCCGCAGACGGAGGAGGCTGTGCGCCAGTTCATGAATGAGGTGTATGAGAATTATGTCAAGACAGTCATGAGTCCGTTTTATCGGCAGGGGTTGGAGATTCGGAGTCCCGTTTTCCGGTCCAAGGTGACTGCTGCTGGGAGGAAGTGGCTATAAGCGTTCTATGCTTTCTTTTCAACCGTTACGTTTGTTTGTTTTTGATGCTATCTTGCTCTTTTGTTTTTTTTTTTTTTTTTTGTTTTGATTGCATACAGAGAGCTGCAGACGATAAACCCGTTCGTATGATACCCAGATAATCCGAGATGAATGTAATCTTTTTGCAAATAACACTGTTCTCCAAAGTCATGATGTTGGCCCCAGTCCATACGCTAAACTCGCTGGAAGAAGAAATCCCAAAGCCACAGGCGACAAGCAAAACCACGGACACGCTATGAATATCAAATCCTCTGAACGCCTGACCTAAGAGTCCCCACAATCCAACCCGATCCCCTGGTTCATCTGCCCTTAAACCGTCAACTGAGGAGCCAGCTTCTTCACAGTGACGGCCTTAAAATTCTCAACAGCGTGTACCAGATCCTCTACTTTGGCCACGGCTCCGAAAATCCCTCCTTCCATCTTGATCGAATCAATTGTGCTCAGGTGAAGAGACGGCTCGCCGGCGGCCGATCCATCCTCCACGAGCACACAATCGAATCCTCGATCATTGGCTTCTCGCATCGTGGTGGACACGCAGACATCTGTAGTGACTCCCGCAATGACCAGGTTCTTGACACCCTTGTTACGCAGGAGTAGCTCAAAGTCAGTATGTGCAAAAGCACTCCGGCCTGGTTTGTCGATGACTGGTTCCCCGGGAATCGGGTACAGCTCATCAATAGTATCGTGCCCTGGTTCCCCACGGATCAAAAGCCGACCCAAGGGACCCGGGGAACCGATTCCAAGACCAGATGCATTGTTTCGAGAACGGTACGCTTCCCTGCTGGAAAGAGTCGACAGATCAGGTCGATGCCCTAGAAGAGTTAGTGAACTAGACCGATACTTTAAACGATAAGGATAGAATTACCTTCTCGTGTATGATATACAGGAAATCCCGAGGAGCGAAACACACTGAGAAGATGCTGAATCTTGGGGATGATTGCTTGGGAAGCTGAGATGTCGTAGCCTTGAAACTCCATGTACCCCCCAGATGCACAGACTATTTGATTTGATTAGCGGTCAACCCCGAGAAACCAATCCAAGAAACATACAGTCTTTTTGCATGTCAATAATCACCAAAGCCGTGGTATATGGCGTAAGAGTCGCGTCATGCGGCCAATCGTATGGCATTGCAGGAATCTGACCCTTCCGGACTTTGTGATGGGGCACTTGCCGGGGCTTTTCGATGACTGGGCCATGGTTGTGCGTCGCATTGAGGACGGTCAACGTCCAAATGCCAGGAGTACCAGCTGCGACCAGCATGAACGGACAGTCCATCAGACGAGATGTCCTCCGCCGTTTCCGCGTTTCTTCTGTCAGGCCGTTCCGTGGCCGATAATGCCCACCTCGATCACACCGTAGCCATACCTTGGCCGTCCGTCCGGGTTTCTTCTCGGTGGGAGTGCTCGAAGACTTGACGACGACATTGTAACCATGGGCTTTTCCGTGGGCTTGGACTGCAGCAAGAAGAGATGCTCTTCACATGTCCCAATGAGCATTTCACCCCGCAAGCCACGTCAATGCAACGACCGAGAGGCACTTACTTATCAGGAAAGGTTCCTTCTGGCGGCGGAACCAGTTGCATGGACATTTCAGGAATATCCTGAAGGTCGCTTGGCGCGTCGAGATTCAGATCGGTGGGGTCAGCCATCACGACAGATCTGGTGGATCTGGTCGGAGAAGAGAAGCTCTGAAACGAGGCATCAGCATTATCGTCACTATCATCGTTTCCCATCTTGTATCCTAAATAATTCCCCAATAGGAATGAGAGCCATATTAGAGATGAATAATGAGTGCGTGGAAGCAATCACAAACAACACAAATCAACTCGCTCGTGTATCGTGCGTGGACATAGTGAACTCGGTGCCTAGAGACCATAGGTTTCGGGGGAGGCGATCACCAGTTTCCAGAGAGAGCGAGAGCGAGAACGCAGGGGGAGGGAAGATTAGAAGGGGGAACCCACCTGAGTAATCCTCTGAGATGGATAACGAAAAAAATAAATAACACGAACAAGACAAGCGATCAATCAAGGAACGAGATCCCCAGATAATTTGCCCCAGACTGCCAAAGAAGGCATGCCCCAGAGAGGTCAGAAGAGACGGAGTCGTAGTCGGTGTTAGTGACAGTCACAGCCGGCCTTGGGAATACGCACAACCCCCACTAGGCTAAGAATAGCATAGCGCCTCTTCCCCTGACGACAGCATGTGCCCGTCGTCATGTGCCCTGCGCCAAACCCGTGGATGGCCAGGCTGAACGACAGCCTGAGATACAACAACAACAGCATCCCGCCCGACGTCGACCTCCCCTTAACCCCCCCCTCTGTGAGGGGCTGTCGAAAAGGTAAGTCTTCGGGTGAAATCGACTTCAATTTATTCTTGTCATTATCTTTTTTCTCTTTTTATCTGTTTCGTTTTTGGCTTTCCTTTGTTTTCGGCTCTTGGGTGAGTCAACTGTCGCAACCAGAGAGCCCTCCCGGGTATCTGCGACACCGCCTCCGCGAGGGGTCCCTCCCTCCTCCACCAACCGTTCACGCACGGTTGCTGGGATTGTCCTGCGTGGATCAATCTTGACCAGCTTGCGTTGAGGGAAACAATTACTCGATATTGCCATTGAACATCGATCTCCCAGGGTCCGACTCGGATTTCCTAACTCCCGCCTGGCCCTTTATTCGCACTTCGCTTGCAAACGGGAATAATGCCATCCGCCGATGATTCTTCGTCCCGACCAAGCGGTTCGAGCTCTCGGGCAGACCAGCTAGCTTATTACAAGGCACAGTATGAGCAGCTAGAGTCAGAACTGGCGGATTTCCAGGCCTCGAGCCGTGAGTTGGAGAGTGAACTGGAAAAGGATATCGAGGCGTCTGAGAAGCGAGAGCGGCAGTTGAAGGAGAAGGTGGATGGTTTACGATACGAAGTTGACGAATGGAAGGTAAGCATTGGGATTTTGCTTTTATCTGGGCTGGCTTGATGCTCATCGTTTTACCAGACCAAGTATAAACAATCCAAGTCGGAGGGAAATTCGGCCCAGAACACGTTGCAGAAGGAGATTACGACCCTGCGAGATACAAACCGGACGCTACAACTGAGACTTCGAGATATTGAAGTCGCAAACGATGATTATGAACGCCAGGCCCGTAACACGACTTCGTCCCTGGAGGATATGGAGTCCAAATTCAACGTGGCCATTGAAAGGGGTGTCTTGTTAGAAGAGGAAATCAGAAGCGGTGAACTGGAGCGAGAGGGTCTACGGATTGACAACCAGCGGCTGCGTGATGAACTATCGGATTTGAAGATCGAGGCCGAAATCATTCAGGAGAAGCTCCGCAACACCGAATCGAATGGGCGCAGGAAGCCCACTCCTTTGTACCGCAGCCCGTCCACGCCCCAGACTCCGGGATTCGACCGTTCTTCTGGTATTTCGACCCCCCCGACCAAATTGTCGATGGCATCCATGGCTGCCACGCCTCCATCACCACCCATATCCGAGACGTCAATTAACATGCGCAAAACCATCAACACAACACCCGCTTTCCCGCGCCAGAAGGCTTCGGCTAGTACCGAGCTTGGGTCTCGATCCTTGTACGGGCCGAGAGAGTCAAAAGGACACAAAGCGCCGAGTAGGGCGCCGAACAAGACGCCGATCCGAACCCCTCATACTCGGGCTACGTCTGCTGCTACTTATAGCAACAACAGCCAGAATGGCCAAACTAGTCAGCCCAACTTCAACGGTTTTGGTTTCAGCGGCTTCAACACCTTCAATGGTCGTTCCAACTCGTCAGTCTCATCTCGACCTGGCGTCCCGCTGTTCAACAACACCTTCACCAGCAGTATCAACAGTAACAACCCCAACAACCAGAAGAACCCACCCGGGATGCCCAAGTCGGGATCGTTGTACCAAATTCGCGGCCTTATTGGGAAGATGCAAAAGCTGGAAGAACGGGTACAATCCGCCAAGTCCAAGCTTCCTGCCCCATCTGATTCTCCGTCCCGCGGATCTTCCCGTTCGGGATCTGTGATGGGCGAAAGCCCTGTTCCTTCTACCATCACTGTTCGACGGAACTCCCGAAAAAGATTGAGTGGCAGTAGTTTCAACTCTTCCGTTCGGGAGGGTGATAGCATGCCCTCATTCGTCCCATCGAGCCGACAGTCCTTTGGTACTCGCACTCAAGGGGACAGTCGGCCAAGCAGTCGCACAAGCTATTCCAGCCGTAGCTCTGTCAGCCACAGCACGCACCCGAGCATGACACCATCCACCCGCCCTGAGAGTCGCCAAAGCCGGACCAAAACGCCCTTAGGTCACTTTTCCACGAATCCGACCACCGAAAGCCGACGGCCCCGGTCATCGCTCAGCAACCCTGCTGCTTCAGTGCCTCCCACCAACGGCATGTCTCACATTGATGAAGTTGACGATCTTTCACTACAAATGTCCGTGCGAGCTAAGATAACCGAGGCTCGCCGCACGTCCGCCTCCACTCCTCCTGACCATGTAGCTGTGAAGAAGCGATCTGCTAGTGGGATAACCGCCATACCAACACCCCGGACCCTAAGAATTAGCTCTGGGATCCATCACCGGGAAGGCAGCATGGGGCCACCAGCAACCCGGAAGCCAACGCTTACTGATTTGGGTGAAACTTTCTAATCTAGAAGCACCCGTGATCATTTTCTTCTTTTTTTTTTCATACCAATCTCAAGGCGTTTTACGATTTACGGCCGGTATCCAGGGTGTTTTTCATTTTCATTTTCATTTTCATTTTTTTTTTTTTTCATCCAGAACCTTATTATCAAATTCAGACTGTGATCTTGAATTTTGTTTTCTTCTATTGCGTTTATTTATTGCAACATCCCCTTTGTTTATCGAAGGTCTACTGGAATCTCCCCTCTACGTTTTCGAGGGTCGGATGCAGTTGGAGCATTGGCGCTCGTATGAGAAGGTTTGGGAGGTTCAATAGATCAGGGGGTCAATCTCACCTATGAGACCTTTTAGTTCTTTGTCAGATACTCGTGGCACAGTCTGTACATTTCTGATTGGGAGAGGGATATCGGTTTTTTGAGTCTGTTTTGTCGCATTGATCTGTCAGCCAGCAGTCGCAGCTGCCGGCGTCCAAGCTGTGTCTCAGCACCACACTTTCATTTTGATGTCTTATTGCACTAGGCGTTAGATAATACCCAGTGGCATTTTTCCTGATTTGTTCTTGTATCACCAGCATATGTAGTTGATCGCACACTTACTATTATATATTGATAGATAGAATGTACTCTGTATTGATCAAGATTACTACTATTCTACCTCTTCCATGAGTTGAATGGCTTCTTGTACTGTATCCCTCATGGGACCGTCGGTGTGTGCATATTTTGATAATCGACTCTTCCAAAATGCCCAACGTTGCATACTCATGCAGTCCCCCTCTTGCCACAGATCCAAATGACTTGTCCGCAACGCCCAACTCTTCTCCTCAATCAACGCACCTAGATGGAACCGTTCCACCAGGACCCGGACACACTCCGCCGCCATGGGGACTCTGAAATCCAACACGGTACTGATTCGGGTCGACGGTCGGGCCTGGAACCTGTTCGATGGCGTGGAGGAGTGTAAGGCAGGACGTTATTTCTGTGTTGGGCCATTCGATCAGGGCGTCGATGAGGAAGTTCCAGAGACTTCTTGGATTGGGTTCGTGTGGGGTGTCGAGTGATGGGCGGGTGATGGCGAATGCGGCTTTGCGGGCGTTGAATTTACCTTGAGTGTATTTATGGAGGGCCGTCTGGATGGCAGCCGTCTGAGGAGTCGGGATGAGGGTTTATTTGGGATTCGAACCATGAGGGGGTCATTTTACTGGTTATCTGTCTATGAGGGAGTTTTTATCAATTTGACTACAGAGAGGTCTATGGAGTACTGCCGGTTATATATGACAGAAGGCAGCAAGGCGCAGCGGCGGCAGTGAATATAGTAGACTGTCGGCAGTTGGTGAGTCATTGTAGATCCAAACAGAGATTAAGATATACTTTAATATAACTTCACAAGATCCATGATTATCTATAATAATACTCCAATTATTACTAGGTTACCAGCGGTCCGCTTACTCCGGCGGAGCACTCCTAGGAGCTGTGAATAGTTACTTGTACTCCGTTTTCGGCCCGGCATTTCCAGCTGTGCGGCAAGCTCTGAGGCCGCCAGCCCCTCCAAGAGGTATCATCAATATGCCCGCAGATCGACCAATCACACCCCGCAGTTTTTGCTGAGGGCGATCCGTTCCACCCGCCTCAACCACACCGGCAAATTGGGCGGCCCCGATTGGCCGAGCCAGCCCACGAGACCAGGGCGGTGGGTTGTCAACAGTGGCTTGATGGGGTTTAGCGCGGGAATGGATCCCCGCCGGTTTGACATGGGCTAAACCGGATGCGGCTAGAAAGGTACCTTGCAGCCTGAGGCAGCATTGCCAGATTCGGCCAGATTTGATGAATTTCGGCCATATGGAGTTTTGGCCAGCTCAGCTAGTTCAGTTGATCAGAACTAGTTAGTCGGTGATCAGGACTTGTTCGGAGTTTTTCTTTTTTCCTTTTCTTTTTTATCAGCAGAAAAAGCTTTGATCTGATATGGGCGCTGTCTGTCCATGTGTTGGATGTGGTGCGTCATTGTGCTATCGTCGACTGTCAGCGTACATGGGAAATACAGTCAACAGATTGAGCACGAGATACGCCGTAGTACTCTGTAGTATTTCGTAGATAGCAGATACCGGTTTATGTAGGAATCGACCAGAGAAGTAAGAATGAAGCTCTCGACCAAAACCAGAAGCTCAATGGCTGCCCAAAAAGCTGCACCAAGGACTGATGGGGGACCACGTCGTATGGGGCAAAATCTGGTGGGATTCGAACGTCACAGGCCCAACAAAGTCCAGGTCCGCCAGCGGAAGTTGGGGAAGCAGAATGTGCAGACAAGGAAATTGGATGCCAGCCCGACATTTTTTTTTTCTCTTCTTTTTCTTTTCTTTTTTGAGCAGCTCCGAAGAGGATCCCCAAAGAGAGAGTGTTAAACTACTTTTACTCCCTTCGTCGATTGTCCTCTTTTCTTTCCTTTCTCCTTCCTTTCTCTCCTCCATAATCCCCATTCATCCAGTCTGATCCCGCTGGTTGTTGGTTGAACGGTATTTTTCTCCTCTCCCCCGGTCCCTGGTTCCTTGCCGCTTGCGATACATTATATCTTCCCCTTCAGCTGCCCCTCGTCATCCATGATCCAACATCTGTCTAATGCTAATCCTCTTCCAGTCTTGAAGATTTCTCCTCTTCTCATCCTTACCCTTACGATTTAATTTTTTTCTATCTCCATCCTTTTAACTTCTCCACTTCTCAAGGCCTTTTGGTTTTATTTTTTTTTTTGCCTCAACTCGTCCTACCTATATCCTCTCGTGTACGACGACGACAAACGACTTCTCATCATTCCTCCTCTTAATCCTCTATAACTCCCAATTCGTCCACTTTGGGAGTGATTGTGTTAAAGATTTCTCTCGCATCAGAAGCGTGTAATTCATAATTGTCTGTTTTGCATCATGGGTGTTACAAACGGAGCCACAAACGGCCACGCCGACATTCCCTCACATTTCATCGGTGGAAACCACCTTGAAGCTGCTCCTCCCAGTGCCGTGAAGGATTTCGTCGCCCAACATCATGGTCACTCCGTCATCAGCTCGGTTAGTATACTCTGATGCATGCTGCGCAGTCTACAGTACTAATGGTGATTTTTTTTTTTTCAACAGGTTCTTATTGCCAACAACGGTATCGCAGCCGTCAAGGAGATTCGATCTGTGAGAAAATGGGCCTACGAAACCTTCGGCAATGAGCGGGCTATTCAGTTCACAGTCATGGCTACACCGGAAGATTTGCGGGCAAATGCAGACTATATCCGTATGGCAGATCAATATGTTGAGGTATGTGCAGCACTTGGCTGCTTCCGCGGAGACGACTCCTGCTGACACCTGTTTAGGTTCCCGGTGGTACCAATAATAATAACTATGCAAACGTTGAGCTGATTGTTGATGTTGCGGAACGTATGGATGTTCACGCTGTCTGGGCTGGATGGGGTCACGCTTCGGAAAACCCTAGATTACCTGAATCGCTTGCTGCTTCCCCCAAGAAGATTATTTTCATTGGTCCCCCGGCTTCGGCAATGCGCTCTTTGGGTGATAAGATCTCTTCGACAATCGTTGCACAGCACGCTGGTGTCCCTTGTATTCCGTGGTCCGGAACTGGCGTTGACGCCGTCAAGGTCGACGACAACGGTATCGTTACCGTCGAAGATGAGACTTACAACAAGGGCTGCACCTTCTCGCCTCAGGAGGGTCTCGAGAAGGCTAAGGATATCGGCTTCCCAGTCATGATTAAGGCTTCTGAAGGTGGTGGTGGTAAGGGTATCCGAAAGGTTGAAAAGGAAGAGGACTTTATCAGCCTGTACAACGCCGCCGCCAACGAAATCCCGGGATCTCCCATCTTCATCATGAAGCTTGCAGGAAACGCCCGCCATCTGGAGGTTCAGCTGCTTGCTGACCAGTACGGAAACAACATCTCTCTGTTCGGCAGAGATTGTTCCGTCCAGCGACGACACCAGAAGATTATCGAAGAAGCCCCCGTCACTATCGCCAAGCCCATCACTTTCCAGGCCATGGAGCGCGCCGCTGTCAGTCTCGGAAGATTGGTTGGTTACGTTTCGGCTGGTACTGTCGAGTACTTGTACTCGCATTCCGATGACAAGTTCTACTTCCTTGAGTTGAACCCCCGTCTTCAGGTCGAGCACCCTACCACCGAGATGGTGTCTGGTGTGAACTTGCCCGCCGCTCAGCTCCAGATTGCTATGGGTATCCCGCTGCACCGCATTCGCGACATTCGCCTCCTCTACGGTGTCGACCCCAACGCCTCCGCCAACATTGACTTTGATTTCTCCAGCGAGGAGAGCCTGCAGATGCAGCGTCGCCCCCAGCCCAAGGGCCACACCACCGCTTGCCGTATCACTTCGGAAGACCCCGGTGAGGGCTTTAAGCCGTCTGGTGGTACTATGCACGAGTTGAACTTCCGTAGTTCTTCCAACGTCTGGGGTTATTTCTCCGTCGGTACCGCTGGTGGTATCCACAGTTTCTCCGACAGTCAGTTTGGTCACATCTTCGCCTACGGTGAGAACCGATCTGCGTCCCGGAAACACATGGTTATCGCCCTGAAGGAGTTGAGCATCCGTGGTGATTTCAGAACTACCGTTGAATACCTCATTAAGCTGCTGGAAACCCCTGCTTTCGAGGACAACACCATCACCACTGGATGGCTGGATCAGTTGATTTCCAACAAGTTGACTGCTGAGCGTCCCGACCCTATCGTTGCTGTTCTGTGTGGAGCTGTTACCAAGGCACACATCGCCAGTGAAGCCGGCGTCGAGGAGTACCGCAAGGGTCTTGAGAAGGGTCAAGTGCCCTCTAAGGACGTCCTGAAGACTGTCTTCCCCGTGGACTTCATCTACGAAGGCTCGCGATACAAGTTCACCGCCACTAGAGCAGGCTTGGACAGCTACCACCTCTTCATCAACGGGTCCAAGTGCTCTGTCGGCGTTCGTGCCCTGGCCGACGGTGGTCTTCTCGTCCTGCTCAACGGCCGCAGTCACAACATTTACTGGAAGGAGGAGCCTGCTGCTACCCGTATCAGTGTTGACGGAAAGACCTGCCTGCTGGAACAGGAAAATGACCCTACCCAGCTCCGTACCCCCTCTCCCGGTAAGCTTGTCAAGTTCACCGTCGAGAGCGGTGAGCATGTCAAGGCTGGCCAGCCCTTTGCTGAAGTTGAGGTCATGAAGATGTACATGCCCCTCATTGCTCAGGAGGACGGTATCGTTCAGCTCATCAAGCAGCCCGGTGCCACCCTTGAGGCTGGTGACATTCTGGGTATCCTTGCTCTGGACGACCCATCCCGTGTCAAGCATGCCCAGCCTTTCACTGGCCAGCTTCCGGACATTGGCCCTCCCCAGGTGACGGGTAGCAAGCCCCCTCAGAAGTTTGTTCTTCTCCACAGCATTCTTGAGAACATCTTGAAGGGTTTCGACAACCAGGTCATTATGGGAACCACCCTCAAGGACCTTGTGGAGGTTCTCCGCAACCCCGAGCTTCCCTACGGAGAGTGGAATGCCCAATCTTCTGCCCTCCACTCCCGTATGCCCCAGCGACTTGATGCCCAGCTCCAGAATGTTGTCGACAAGGCCAAGGCCCGCAAGGCTGAGTTCCCTGCCAAGCAGCTGCAGAAGACCATGCTTCGATTCATCGAAGAGAATGTCAACCCGGCTGATGGTGAGATCTTGAAGACCACCCTCCTTCCCCTGACCCATGTCATCAACCAGTACATGGACGGCTTGAAGACCCACGAGTTCAACGTTTTCATCAACCTCATGGAGCAATACTACGCTGTCGAGTCGCTGTTCTCCGTCCGCAACACTCGCGATGAGGATGCTATTCTGAAGCTCAGAGATGAGAACAAGGAAGACATCTCCAGTGTCATCCAGACTGTTCTCTCTCACAGCCGTATTGGCTCAAAGAACAACCTCATCCTTGCCATTCTGGCCATGTACCGTCCCAACCAACCCGGTGTTGGAAACGTTGGCAAGCACTTCAAGCCTATCCTCAAGAAGCTCACTGAGCTTGAGTCTCGCTCTGCTGCCAAGGTTACACTCAAGGCACGTGAGCTCCTCATCCAGTGCGCTATGCCTTCGCTGGAGGAGCGTCTTTCCCAGATGGAGCTCATCCTGCGCTCCTCGGTTGTTGAGTCGCGCTACGGTGAGACTGGTTGGGACCACCGGGAGCCTGACGCCGCTATTCTAAAGGAGGTTGTCGACTCCAAGTACACCGTCTTTGATGTGCTCCCCCGCTTCTTCGTTCACCAGGATGCTTGGGTTACTCTGGCCGCTCTCGAGGTCTACGTTCGCCGTGCGTACAGAGCTTACACCCTGAAGGGTATGGAGTACAACAACGCCAACGAAACTCCATTCCTTTCCTGGGACTTCACCCTCGACAAGCTCGGACAGCCTGAGTTCGGCCCTGTTTCTTCTACCCACCCTTCGACTCCTTCTACCCCGACCGCTGAGTCCAACCCCTTCAAGAGGATCAACTCTATCAGCGACATGTCTTGGGTTGTCAACGACCACTCCACTGAGCCGTCGCGTAAGGGTGTCATCATTCCTGTCCAGTACCTCGAGGATTCCGAAGAGCTCTTGTCCAAGGCTCTGGAGGCATTCCCTCGTGCCGGTGCCAAGGCCAAGAAGCCCAGCGACGGTCTTCTCGCCAACCTGGAAGGCAAGCGCCGACCTGCTCCCAGGCTCGAAAATGACAGCGAGCTCACTGGTGTCTGTAACATTGCTATCCGCGATGTCGAGGATCTTGACGACAGCCAGATCGTTAGCCAGATCAACGGCATTCTGTCTGGCTTCAAGGAGGAGCTTCTCGCTCGCCGCATTCGTCGGGTTACCTTCATCTGTGGCAAGGACGGAATCTACCCTGGCTACTACACCTTCCGTGGTCCTACCTACGAGGAAGACGAAAGTATCCGCCACAGCGAGCCTGCCCTGGCCTTCCAGCTTGAGCTTGGTCGTCTCTCCAAGTTCAAGATCAATCCGGTCTTCACCGAGAACAGGAACATCCATGTCTACGAAGCCATTGGCAAGGGCCCTGAGAATGACAAGGCAGTTGACAAGCGTTACTTTGTCCGTGCTGTGGTCCGTCCTGGTCGCCTCCGTGACGATATCCCCACTGCTGAGTACCTGATTTCAGAAGCTGACCGCTTGATGAACGACATTTTGGACGCATTGGAGATTATTGGAAACAACAACTCCGACTTGAACCACATCTTCATCAACTTCTCTCCTGTCTTCAACCTCGAGCCCCATGATGTTGAGGAGGCTTTGGCCGGATTCTTGGAGCGTTTCGGCCGTCGTCTCTGGAGACTCCGTGTTACTGGTGCTGAGATCCGTATTCTCTGTACTGACCCGGCCACTGGAATGCCCTACCCTCTGCGTGTCATCATCACCAACACCTACGGTTTCATCATCCAGGTCGAGTTGTACATCGAGAAGAAGTCCGAGAAGGGTGAATGGATCTTCCAGAGCATTGGTGGCACCAACAAGCTTGGCTCCATGCACTTGCGTCCTGTTTCCACCCCCTACCCTACCAAGGAATGGTTGCAGCCCAAGCGTTACAAGGCTCACCTCATGGGTACGCAGTATGTGTACGACTTCCCCGAGCTCTTCAGACAGGCTTTCCAGAACAGCTGGACCAGAGCTACTGGCAAGATCCCGTCGCTGCTCGACAAGCGCCCCCCTGTTGGCGAGTGCATTGACTACATGGAGCTTGTTCTCGATGACACTGACAACCTGGTGGAGATCTCTCGTGGCCCTGGTACCAACACCCACGGTATGGTTGGTTGGATCGTCACTGCACGCACCCCCGAGTACCCCCGTGGCAGACGCTTCATCATTGTTGCCAACGACATCACCTTCCAGATTGGATCTTTCGGCCCCTTGGAAGACAAGTTCTTCAACAAGTGTACTGAGCTCGCGAGAAAGCTCGGTATCCCTCGTGTCTACCTCTCTGCCAACTCTGGTGCTCGTATTGGTATGGCTGATGAGCTCATCCCCTACTTCTCTGTTGCATGGAACAACCCCGAGAAGCCCGAGGCTGGATTCAAGTACCTTTACTTGACTCCCGAAGTTAAGGCGCAGTTCGATGCCAGCAGAAAGAATGAGGTCATCACCGAGCCCATCACTGACGATGGCGAGGAGCGTCACAAGATCACCACCGTCATTGGTGCCAAGGACGGTCTCGGTGTCGAGTGTCTTAAGGGATCTGGTCTCATCGCTGGTGCTACTTCGCGTGCCTACGAAGACATCTTCACTATCACATTGGTGACTTGCCGCTCCGTCGGTATCGGTGCTTACCTTGTCCGTCTCGGACAGAGAGCCATCCAAGTCGAGGGCCAGCCCATTATTTTGACTGGTGCCCCGGCTATCAACAAGCTCTTGGGTCGTGAGGTTTACACCTCTAACTTGCAGCTTGGTGGTACTCAGATCATGTACAGAAACGGTGTTTCTCACATGACTGCCAACGATGACTTCGAGGGTGTTGAGAAGATCGTTGACTGGATGTCCTTCGTGCCCGACAGGAAGGGTGCCCCTATCCCCATTCGCCCCTGGTCGGATGACTGGGACAGAGACATTGCCTACTACCCGCCTGTCAAGCAGCCATACGATGTTAGGTGGCTCATTGCTGGTAAGGAAGACGAGGAAGGCTTCCTTCCTGGTCTGTTCGACAAGGGCTCTTTCGAGGAGGCTCTTGGTGGATGGGCCCGGACCGTCGTTGTTGGTCGCGCTAGAATCGGTGGTATCCCCATGGGTGTCATTGCTGTCGAGACTCGCTCGGTCGAGAACGTTACCCCTGCTGACCCCGCCAACCCCGACTCTATGGAGATGATCACTCAGGAAGCTGGTGGTGTTTGGTACCCCAACTCCGCCTTCAAGACTGCTCAAGCCCTTCGTGACTTCAACAATGGTGAGCAGCTTCCAGTGATGATCCTCGCCAACTGGAGAGGTTTCTCTGGTGGACAGCGCGACATGTACAACGAGGTCTTGAAGTACGGTTCCTACATCGTCGACGCTCTCGTCAAGTACGAGCAGCCTATCTTCGTCTACATCCCGCCTTTCAGTGAGCTCCGTGGTGGTTCGTGGGTTGTTGTTGACCCTACTATCAACCCTGACTTCATGGAGATGTACGCTGATGAGGAGGCCCGTGGTGGTGTTCTCGAGCCCGAGGGTATGGTCAACATCAAGTACCGTCGCGACAAGCAGCTGGACACCATGGCCCGTCTGGACCCCACCTACGGAGAGCTCCGCCGCTCTCTCGAAGACACTTCCCTCAGCAAGGATCAGCTCTCCGAGATCAAGAGCAAGATGGCTGCCCGCGAGGAGCAGCTCCTGCCTGTCTACCTGCAGATTGCTTTGCAGTTTGCTGATCTTCATGACCGCGCTGGTCGTATGGAGGCCAAGAAGACCATCCGTCAGCCCCTGTGCTGGAAGAACGCCAGACGTTTCTTCTACTGGCGTCTGCGCCGTCGTCTCAGTGAGGAGCTGATCGTTAAGCGTATGGCGGCTGCCGCCCCATCTCCATCCAGCGGCAATGGCTCCGTCCCCACCGTCGACCCGGCCTCTAGTTCTTTGCCTACCTCCACCGAATCGCCCCGCTCCACTCACCTCAAGACCCTGCACTCATGGACTGGCTTCCTGAACGACGATCTGGAGGCTGACGACCGCAAGGTGGCCACCTGGTACGAGGAGAACAAGAAGGCGATCCAGACCAAGATCGAAGCCCTCAAGACCGAGAACGTTGCTACAGACGTTGCGCAGTTGCTCATTGGCAACAAGGAAGGTGGCCTCAAGGGTGTCCAGCAAGTGCTGAGCATGCTTCCCGTTGAGGAGCGGGAGTCTGTTCTCAAGTACCTGGGATCCGCATAATGGAGGACCTGATTTGATTGTCTTTTCATTTCTTTTTCATTTCCATCAAAAACTATACCAGTTAATTTCTTCTCTGGCTTATTATATACTACATACATGTATTTGGGATCTGGAGGTTTTTTATTTTTTTTTTTTTCAATATCGGTCTTGTTAGTTTCTGAGAGGGATCGCAGAAACTTGACAATGGCTTTTTTGTTTGTGATGTTTAATGTTTATGCCTTGTGTCTATTGAGCCTTGAGTTTAGCATACAATTGCCTTGAATGCAATTTCTTCACGATTACCTTGATTATCTGAAGTAACTTAAAGTAAAAGCAAAGTAGAGTAGTGTCTTAGATATGATTCTCAATAGATTTGTATGTAGTACTAACTAGTCCATGCTCATGCAATCCAATGAAGCTCTATGAAAGAGCTGAATCCTAGAAAATAGATGCACGATATAATCAATCAAACATGCCAAAGGGGTATTTTCCATCTCATTTCCAGTCATAAAAAGCATCAAAGTGCAAAGATGTAAAATATGTTCACGTATATATACGCCCCGCTCCCAAAAAAAAAAAAAAAAGAAAGAAAAACAATAAATAATCATCATAAAATAAACGAGTTAGGCAAGCTGCCTCTCAAGACTGCGTGGTGGCGTCAAGATAGGTGGCAGGCCACGGTACGGCGTGGAAACCTCGTTGAGACTCCGGTTGCCGCCCACGGCGCCAATCCCAGGATCATCAATTCCAATGTTAAGTCGTCCGATGTCGACGGGAAGTTGGTCAGGTAATCGGAGTGGTGCGCGTGGTCTCGCACCCTGAGATCCCATGGACCTTTGTTGGGACATTGCGAATGCGACAGACTCATCCGGACCACCAGGAAGAGTAACAAATGAAGCATTCAGAGAGCGAGCAATGTCTTCTAAAATGACCTGCATGGGGGCGATGTATGCCGTGTGACTTTTTTCAGACCAGGCCAGGACATGACCGCAGACGCGACCGGTTGATTTCTCAAAAACCCAGGCTCCAGAGTCTCCAGGGACTATAGGTCGAAGGTGACTTAGTATAATGTGTCGGAAGCCGGCGGTTTTTGTTATTGCTTACCTCCAAAGTTCCCATCTACACAGAAGCTGGTTGAGAAGGATTGTCGGCCATGTAACTTGACAAGAGTCATTGCCCTTGATATCTGTCCGGTTTGCAGGCCACTCGTCCGGCCACAGCAATGAACTTTCAAACCGCCCAAATCCTCCATACGGGCCACATCATTCAGATAGATGGGTTCGCTGGGCGGAATCGGCTCTTGTTGGCCCCGCCTCCGTCGGGAAAGGCCCTGTGGCCTAGGAGCTGGGGCTTTTTCAAAAACGATATTGCGTGCATCAACTCGGCCGTCATTGATTCTTATCAATGCCCAGTCGATTTCATGCTTGATTCCTTTCCGCGTCCAGCGCCTGACACCGGAAGATGCGTGCACAAAACCGAGGGAATGGGAAGCCAGATGTTCATCATCTCGATCTTCAGGAGATGGGAAAAAGTCATCGTGGACATCATCGATTGCTGGCTGAGTCACGAACAACCGTGGCTCTTCCCCCGGTTCAATACCGGCTGTATCACCAATTGAGGCGGCATCTTCATCCGCAAATGGATCATCGGCATCAAATCCTTCTTCATCAGAAGAATAACTATCAGATAGCCAGTTGTCGTCATAGGAACTATCCAGATCCTGAGATATTGAAAAGTCGTCATCTTCATCTTCCGAAATCTCAAACTCAAGATCAACCTCAGGCGGATCCTCATCACACCAGCTGTACATGAAGTCTGGATTGGGAGGTGCCATATTGGGGGGTACCATATTGGAAGGCGCTGCTGTCTCTCTGGGCCAATTTCCAGCTGATCGAAGAGGAGCAGCCGCGGATTCGTCATCTGACCCCTCATCATCACTGGGTGCCTCAAGCATGTGGTGAACCGTCATGCCATACGGCATGCCGTCTACCAGAACAGCACCCCCATATGAGACAGGAGGTAAATGTTCTTCGTTCTTAAAAGCACCGATAGAGGCACCGCAGAGAGGTCGGTGTTGGTAGCATGGGTTCAAATCCGGTTGCTCAAACGTGGCAGGTGCCTCTGTTCTCCCAGGCCCGGACTTGGCTGGCCTGCGACGCTTCTTGCGGGGGACTTTGGATCGCTGGATATCACCCCGAAGAACCAGCAAGTCCCAGCCCTCTCTGTCAAGGGGAAAGTACTTTTTAAGAGCAGCCCTGACCTTTTTAGCGCTGCCACAGGTCACGCAAACGGTCGTTCTGGCATTTTCAACTGTTTCGCCAGTCATCATAAGAGTGACGCTGCAGGACTCGGATGAATCCTTGAGGATCTTCTGGAGAAGCTTTCTCAGTCGGGGTAACATCTGGAAATTCCATTCGTTCAAATGTTCCTGGGGTATTTCGATATTGGTGAGTTTCTTAAAAGTCCTCTTCTTTACTTTCTTGTCGTCGAGACCCATTTTCTCCCGCAAAAGCTTCATTTCAGAAGTTGGAAGTGCGTGATAGTGCTCTTCGGGTAGGGTTGGTTGATCTGGTGCGTAGTTGTAGTCCCTCACAGCTTGCTTTGTGGCTGCTGCTGTTTCTGATGCCGGAACTAGAGCAAGCGGAAGACAGTCATCTAATTCTTCGGCAGCGGGGGCTGAGAAAATGTCAATCCTGCAGCACGACCAAGCAACTTTGGACATTGTGTAGAGGAAGTTCATCGAAAATGAGAAAATGCTATCCGGTGCCGACAAATCCAGAACAGGGTAGTGGTAAGTCTGTGGCACTCGCAAGTTCAGGTCGTCCATTGGTTGAGTCGACAGATGAAAGTTTGGCGCGTCAAGACACAGCTGAACCACATGAAGAAAGGCACTGCCACACTTTGGACCCAGCTTTTGAAGATAAACATTTTCAATTCTTTGTTTGAACATGGAATTGTTGTATTTCATCTTCCAGAGTCTGCTGATAGGGGTCCACAGACCAATCTCCATCAGGACTATACCGATAGAGTAGAGGTCATAAGCCCAAGCAGCGTCATCTTCAATGGATCTCTTGTCGTCCGGGTGACGATACATGCTGGACGAGAGTGGCTCGGGCGATGGGCCATTGCCAGAAAACTGAGCGAAAGACGTCAAGTAGGGACGGCGGAGATTCTCCGTGAGCCCGACTTCGTCATTTGACGAACTAGTTAGGCCGGGGAAGATAAGAATGTTACTGCTGTTGATGTTTCCATGCACCATGTTCTGACTTCTTAGGTGAAGTGCGGCCATCAAAAGGTCGTATGCCAGACGGAAACGAGTTTCCAAATTAGGCACCTGATAGTCATCACCGGCTTGGAAGAGGGATACCAAAGGCTTGGGTTTCAACTCGTTCAGCAGGTCGGTAGGGTTGTTGAGAAAGGGAAAGTAGTCCATGGGCATCTGATAGATGAAAGCATACCGGGAGTTGGGCATGTCAATGTAGTAACCAAGAAACTTCAGCAGACCGAGATGAGAGACCTTGGCATTCTGGACGAGCTGATCCAGTGTCTGGTGAACTTGCTCCAGTCGTTGGCTTCCCGGCACGGTGATGGCGTTTTGAGTCTCCAGTGCCATAGGGGTGAATTCGACCAAGATAGAGACGGTGGAGTCTTTGGTGCCTTTCAAGAGAGGCGATGCGGAAGTCTTCATGCGGCCAATGGCACGGGAGTTAGTAGACGCAGCGACCATTTCATATGGCGGGGGGCTGTTGTCGTGAGAAGTTCCCGAAAGCTTCAAGGCAGATCGGTCGATCAAAAAGTTCTGTGATGGGAGGAATGAATTGTGAAAATGCTTCTCGAACTTATGGTCGACTGGTGCAGCAGCGTTGAGAAATGGAGACGCTTCCTGGTGCCTGGGGGAGTAGGCATCTTTGGCGTCAAATGGGTTGGTTTGGTAATGCTTAGAATCCTGATACATATAAAGCGACTCGTCTGCATTCCTCGAGACCGGACTTGGCCTTGTTCGCCGATGCATTGCAGACTGCCCGCTCGAGGACATACTGACAGACATGTTCCGTCGCGAGCGGGACAAGTCATACAAAGTGTCAATGCAAGCAGTCAAATCCTTCAGTAGCGTTTTGGATCGATTGATATCTTCGTTGGTCCAATGCGTCTTGACGGGCAAATTGCTGAGGCCTTCCTTCTCCTTGGATGTTGAACCCGCCCGACTGCTGCCTTTCGGAGGTAACTCGGGAGCCCCGACATGTTGTAGACGCTCTGCCTCATTGAGAAGTTCCTGAATAGACGACATGACACTGGCGACCACATCGCTGAAGCCCGCCTGGGTGAGCGATTCATCGATATCATTTGGCTGGGCGGCACTAGCGTCGCTCCAATCGAGACCCCACGCTAGGAGTCTATCGCGCTGGGTTCGAAAGCTGCGATGCAGAGTCACGAGTTCGGGATCATCGACGGCCTTGGATGCAGTCGTAACACTCTCGCAGGAGGTCTTGGTATCGGTATACATCTTGGTAAGACGTCGCTGGAGGAATGAACCTCCATGACGGAGAACGGACATCTTGGCGCACGAGTCCGGGGCGAATTGATGGGGGGGCAGCAATCAATCAACCAAGCTAAACGAATTCAGTCATGGCAGAGAGGGCAAAACAAAAGAGAGGTCTTATTTGAGATGCATGGCTCTGAACGGGTGAGATAATCCTGCTCTGATAATAAAGATAATGAGCGATGAAGCTGAAGGGAATCGCAGGAAGTCATAAGAATAGATCATCGGTGGGCAGGAATCCTGTTGCCTAACCAATAGGGAGTGGCGAGTGAAAGCAAAGCCTCCCACGCCAAGCCACAGCGCTTGGCACATCACGTGGCAGGCAGCCGCAATCCAGGCAGCGCTGATTGGCTGGGCGCGCGATGACGACGCACTTACTAATACGCAGGATGTCAGGCACAAACATTACTCGATTGGACTAGCGTCAGGCAGCAACTATATGTTCTATCGTGATATCATCCCAACAGCGCTTCATCGCCGTATCTCTGTCTGTACATGTTCACAGCCCGGATCCCAAACGAATACACGTAATTGTGGTACAGCAGTTCACTAGACCGCCAGTCAGTCTCAGGGGTATCAAACAAGACTGGTGCTCTTACCAAGTCACAATGCCACTTCCGACTGGTCGTTCCTGTGGCCATTCTCCGTTGGGTTTCTGTCGACTCATAATCAATCGGATTCCTTTCTTGATCGGCTCTGGATCAGGGTATGATGCATTCATGAGTGCGATGCAGCCCCATGCGGTCTGAACTGTGTGGGTATCGTCCGACTGAGTATATGTTTCTTTGAGGATGGACTATCCAATCGTCTTGGTTAGCAGTGATTTCACACATTGCTTTTGAGATGGAAAGCTCACATCGACCGTCTCTCCCCACCCTCCATCTGGCTTTTGTTTATCAAGAAGGAATTCACAAGCCTTTTTGGCCGCAAAGTGGTTACTGTAGTTTTTACCTGCCATTTCCAAAGCTTCCAAAGCAAACATGGTCCCATAGGTGAAACCGACTCCCCAACCAGCAAGCCATCCGCCATCCGCCCGCTGCTCTTGGTGAATGTACTGAAGCCCCCGAGTAATAGCACGCTTCACCTCATCTGCTCGGTACGACGGGTCCTGGGACTGGAAGAGGGCCAGGGCGGTGATGGCTGAAGAAGTACATTCCGTAAAGTCATATTCCACCATCACTTTACCGAATAATTCAGTTCCATTCAAACGCTCCAAAAGAGGGGTCGTGCGAGTGGGCTCGAAAGTACTATATCCCCCGGTTGTATTCTGAACCAAGAGTAAATTATCCACTGCCAGTCGGTGGCTCTGGTCTGTGGTGAGCCGGGGAAGATTGGTATGCTTCTCAAGCAACAGAATGGCCTTGAATGCTTCTCCAGTACAGTCCGAACACGCCATTCCGCTGTATTTGGCGGTAAAGGGCCAGCCACCAAGTCGACTGAATCGATAACATGGCGGAGAATCCGCCCAGTCTTCCAGATATTGCTGGTCGACCAAGTATTTGTACGCACGCTGGGTTGTTTCTTTCAGCTCAGGTGTCTCTGATACACCAGATTCGACCAAGCTTTGAAGAACAAAAGACGTCTCCCAAGCATGACCCCCATGGATACTCATTGATTGCATCCCTTTAGGGCTCATCCACAGATACTCGAAGCTGTTTTGTTGGATGCGCTTGAGATCCTTGGAATCTGGCCCCCATTTACAATAGAATGCGAGCATGAAGAGATATTGATCAACGCATCCGCCTCCAGTTGAGTTGTTGGCTTTGTCGCAGAGGTAAATCAGCTCCCATACCTTCTCTTCAGCTCTCTGAGCCAAGGCTTGGGTGCGAAAGAACGGAGTCCATATATTGGCTACAGCCCAGTTCAATGCGTTCAGGGCCCAGCTTTTTGGTTGATGACGGTCGTTCTGGAGAACCATGCCTCTTAGTGAGGCGAAGTTTAGGGAGGAATAGGATTCAACATATATCTCTGCTCGGATTTGGTCAAGAAGAGGGTTTGATGGAATGGTGAACTTTCTCGCAGCAAGAAAGCTCATTGCCATATACACCTGGCGAGGAAAGCAGTACCATTTCCACGGGCTAATGGGTAGCCATTCGGGAAGCAGCCTATGGATAATGCCAATTAGGAAATCGGTATCAAATCGCCAAGGTAATACGAACCATATTTCAGCTGGGTATGGATCAGTTCCTTCCCATTCATATAGACCGAGCATGGCGAGCCAGAATTTGGCCCAGCAAGGCAAATACGCCGCTCCGCCCATCTGCAGCAGACAGCCCCTGGCTTTGACAAGATGTTCGTTTTCGGCAGGCAAACCAATTAACCGAAGAGCCACGTAGATCATGATCGTCCCCATCAGTGCCGTCTTCTCTCGGAGGTAGGTTGGCCATCCCCCGTCTTCATTCTGGCTTGCTAGGATATAATTCACCAGTTCAATGGCCTGGGCTTCAGGAATGACCGCTCCGGTGAGATACCAGGTGATAATGAGCATGGGAGTTACGAAGAAAACGCAGCTCATGTCGGCTGCCCAACAGCCCAGCTGGCTGATTTGGACGTTGCTGTGGAATCGTGCCGCATTGAAAACAGTCTCAGACGGCTTTTTGGCTGCTCCAAACTCGGGAGTCAACTAGTCTGGAGTCAGCATGATTCGTGGATGCCCAATTGAAAGACAGAGATACCATTGGGCGCTCGAGGAAGAACCGCGAGGGGGTGTCTTGAGGATAGGCCTCACGCTCCTGTTCTGTGGGCAGGTAATTCCACTTGAGACGTCCAAAGCCTTCTTCGGGGGCAAGACGCCATCCCTCCAGCTCTGTCCTTCGGGACGAAAAGGGCCAGTAGCTGCTCGGATCCTGATAAGATCGTTCAGCAACTGCCTCAGGATCCACTGAGTCCTTAATCTTCAAGGCAAACTCGCGCATGGAGATCGATTTGGCCGCCATGTTTGATTCAGTAGGGTGTAGGATGCTCGACAACATTCATGACATGAACTTTGAACGAGTTAGAAGGGAAGAGGAAAAGATATTGACTTAAGGAAAATCGCATCTTTGCTATTTCCTTTGCCAGCCTCGACCCCGCGAAAAAAGCAACGTGCAATGGAAAGCCTGCGATAGGCCAATTCATATTGAGTCCAGTTAAGGTGAGCTGTCATGATGCTGCTTTGGGCAGCATCTGCTCATGGGCATTCTTGACTGGGTACATTTGAATAAATGTTGCATGGATGCTGCAGCAGGAATGTCCGAGTGTCGACGCATCTTGACTCGGGTTTTGCGAAATGAATAAGCCCGATGCGCACGATCACGATAATATATCAGATAAGAATGCCAGATCTTCTTAAAGATATGGAATTGATCTCGTGGGGCAGGATGACGGTCTCGGTGACTCGACCCGGACTCGAGATATCGTCGAAAACTTCCCCTCACGCTGGGCCAGATTTGAATTGACCAGGGGCAACAAACAGATAGCGGTCAACAGCTTGATATCCTAAAAGAGATTCAACAGTCTAATTCCCGATGTTGCACAAGAAGCAGTTGGGCTGATGAATCAAATATAATCACATCATCCATTGCAGCCAGCGCATATATTCGGCTTCATCGGGTGCCTGCATGGCTTGAGCAGACTGGACAGCAGGATTTCCGGGCTAGTTAGATATAATGCCCTGGTCAGCCCAGAATGATGTGTGACTCACGGAATAATCGATAAAATGGTTGGTGTTCCTGCACTGGCAACCGGCATTCAGGTTGCACCATCTCGTCCCGGACCTTTTGGCCACCAGTTCAAATCTCCAGCCGCCCGGAAAACCCTTTGAAAAAAGACTGGACTCGGCTATCCTCGACAAAGAATTGGCTCGAGTTAGATGCACTACTGGAGTGGAACGTGCGTTTAGCGGAAAAGGGCTGAAAATAAGCTTGAGGCAGTTGATTTCAAAGTCTATCTATTGTTCATAATGAATTTACACAGAATAAAAAATTGCTAGTGCAGCAAAGTCTAGATGGCTTTTTGTTTTTTCCTCGTGCATGTGATTCCCCACTCATCCTGTAATCACTCGTCGAGCTGCCCCGACATCTTTCGCGCGCTTCTCGCTGAAATTATGCAGTCGTTCTCCAATCAAGTACACGTCATCCCGAACATGGACCCTCCAGATTTCTAATTGTCGACGGACCAAGCGGGCAATAATCAACACTAGGCTCATGGTCAAGGTGGCTGGATAGGCATAGCGGTAGACTTCGGATTGCACCCCTGGTGTTGCGTGGAAGACCGTCGAGTTAAGTACAAACCCAAAAGACAGCGGAACGATGACCGCAACAGTTACCAGGAGAGTGATAGGGAGCACCAATGCCCGTGTAGCCAGGCTGGCATTTGGCTTGAGCCAACCATCCCGAAAGACGCTGTTCAGTGCTGCTGCTGGGCGCGACGTGGAATTCCACAGAACAAACTTGATAGCCATTTGGACATAGAGCACTCCCAGGGTCCAGTCCTGGACAAAATGAATGACATGAGCTTGTGGACCACCTAGATATGTGTGTACTGGAACCAGCACATAAAGCTCCATGGTCAGCGCGAAGAGAGAAGGCAGAAAGACTGAGAAGGCAACAAAAATGTAAGCCAGGCGAAGAGCATCAAGTCCAATTTGAGCCAACCCAACACAAGCCTGTCGCGGAGAGCGCAGATAGGAGCTCAAATGATCTTGTACTGCACCCAAGCGCGTCTTGCAATAGTAGATAGAATAGGCAACACCGACAGTGATGCACATGCCTGTGGAGAAAGCATAAATATCATTCAATGGTGAGCGATTGGGGAAATACGACGACATGAGCGCCCGACCAATGACCAGTGGAATAATAGTGATGCCTACACCGGTAGCGGCGGCGAACAACCATATGAGGAGGATGAACGCTGCAATTCGAGTCCTAAAGGACGGAGGAATGTAAACCTTGGTGAACATGTCACTGTCCCGGCCATGTAGCCCGTCGTCCGGATCCGGAGCCCCATCAACACGATCGTTGGCTTCAGTTACTTCCAGAAAGACCTGGCGACCCTTTGGAATGCGGACCTGATCAGAAGCTGGAGCCCGAACATATCTTCCGTCTCGCAAGAAATAAGTGTCTAGATTTTTTTGGTCCACCTGGCTTTGTTGCGCCGGACCGATCACAGGGTGCTCGGAATCCCCTTTCTTCGCTGACAGAACGCTCCACCAAGTCCGTCTCACGTGGTGTCCCTCCTCGTCAAGCCGCCTCTCACCAAAGAAGAAGTTCGTCAATCGAAGGAAGCGAGCGCACTTTTGGAACCACCAGTTGTACAAAACATGTAGCTGATCGGAAGGTTTGATAGACCGGATGGCAAGGGGCATCACAAAATTATAAAACAATAGGTCGACGGGGAATTCGAGCACAGGAATCGTCGCAGACCAGTGAATAGGCAGGACTCCATCAAATGCGTAGTATAGACCCCATACAACCCCACCGAGGCAGACGATAACCAAGGTGCCGTAAACTAACGCACTAAAGGCAATTTTACGAAGCTGCGTAGTAATATTGCGCTCCAGGACATCGCGAACGGGGTGGAAGGTGGGGTCATCAGGATCACGAATGAAATCTACATTGCATGTCAGCCGGAGACCTTCAACTGTAGGTGGGTGAGAATAGGGGAGTGGAGAAAAGCTTACAGAGAACGCCGCTTCTCATGATCTTCCTACACATCGACACAAAGAGAGCAAAATGGAACATGTAGCATGTGCCAATGAACCAGTGCACAAAAAGGGATGTTAAAGGCGACGAAGAGGTGAAGGAAATGCGCGAGGCTATAGTGGCCTGGTCGAAAAGGGGCAAGAGCGCAATGTCGAGTAATGAACCGCAGTACAGAGGGAACACTATCATCTCAATGCCGATGATTAAGATGACTTTCATCACGCCCCCAGCTTGGTGGAGGATATCAGCAACAAGGCCCTCGATTCGCTGTCCCCGATTCATTCCGGAAAGAAGGCCGGTGATGCGAAGGTAGAGAAGTCCGAGCATTGATGCGAGAAGATAGCCCATGGTGATTGCGATGATTCGGTCTTTCGTATCCCAAACTGCCAAGTCATAATCAACAGGCATATTGGCAGCCTTCGCTGCACCAGCGTTAACCCACTTCTTGCTGTTCATCGAGATAAGTGGGTGATTGATAAGGCTGTAGATTTGATCTCGCCCCTGTATCAAAACATTCTTAAGGTCGGCAGCATGATAATCGAAAGATAGAGCCCCTGGCACTCCAAGGGTAACGATTCGTAGAGGGAAGTCATGCAACACAAATTTTATGACAATAAAAACCGATTTAAAGAGACCAGAGATGCGGGCTTGGTGGATTTTCAAAGCTTGATGAGAAAGAACCGAGAACATTGGAACGTCTGATTCGTGGAAGATGAAAAAGGCATTGGCCACCTTTTTGAGACGATGGCTACTGGCATCAATGAGAGACAGTGATGCGCTGGTGACGGATTTGGTCTGTGGGATCCAATCTCCCAGGGGAACGAATGCACTGACAGGGCTCAGCACCAACTTGCAGATAAGGCTGACCCAATACATGACATATCCCAAGCTTCCGATGAGCGTATCAAGCGTTACGTCCGCTATAACAGAGACAGCAGTCATAGGGACGCCAAAGACCAGTTGGATGGGATTGGCCAAAAGAACCAGTGCAATTTTGCCCCATAGATAGGGGAGCCATATTCCAAGAGCCACCGTGAACGAAATCAAAAGAGCACTGAAAACGCCATTTTGTAGGAGACCAAAAATGGGACCTTGCATTCCAATAAGCTCAAGGATCCCCTCTAGGTCATCACCTTCTTCAACCGCATCAATATCATTCGCATCGATGCCAGCCTCTGCTGCAAGAGGTGCAACATCTTGATCTTCCTGGGCGCCAGCATTAGCAAAGCGACGGTTGTTCTGTACCGGGATAAATGGTGCTTCTAATGCGGGATCCTCAACAATGTGCTCATCATCCTGCTGTGGAGGGTCTTGTGTTTGGTCATCGAGGGTGATATCGGCCCAGAACCAATCGAAAACTCGATCTGTCAAACTTTTCGGGGGACCGGAATGAGGTTCTGCCTGAGGGGGCACTGGTGTGTGTTCAGACGTCTCAGCATTTGTAACCGGTGCCCTGCTCTCGTTTGATGTTTCGGCAGACATGTTAACCTGGTCTACATTGCCGTGTTCATTGTTCGAAGGTTCCGAAGGGTGATCCTGTGGATTTGGTGTGGCCTCGTTTGTCTCCATATTCTCAGGCTCTGACTCAAGAAAATTGAAAGCAAAAGGCTGCGAGGAGCTGCCCTGCTCACCTTGAGCATGTAAATCACGTAAATCACGTAAATCACCGGTATTCCAAGTGGGACTGGCAGTGACATTCGCTGTAGATCCAGAGGAATGTTGAAAATTGCTCAAAGGAGGCTGTTCTGGGTTGTTCTCCCCAGACTGGTTCAAATCCATAAAGGCGGTAGAATCAGACGAGTTCAAGGGAGTTTCACTATTGTGCACACGTCTTGACATGACGCCAGCGAGCCAAGCAAGTTCTTCCTGACGACCTTCTTCGCGAATTATTCTCAAGACCTGTTCCGGATCACCATTTCCGCGCGTCCAAAGATCCCTGATTCTCTCCCATCCAGGCTGAGCTGGGTTAGTATGGGCAGATGAAGGACCGGTCGAACCATCGATGGTCGAAGCATAATCAAAATCCATGTCACGTCGAGAGGCCGATGAAGCACTGGGGCCTTCTGATGGCATGCCGCCAAATCCAAAGGAGTCATCATCTTCTAAGAAGGAAGCCCTACCATTTGTATCGAAGTGAAATGGAGGACTGGGTAGCGGGTCTTCTTCGTCATGGTCGGACAGTTGTTCAAGATGTTCGTCATCAGTATGATCATCATCCTGTAGTTGCACGGGGGGCTGTGCCTCAGGTTCTTCTTGATTCGGGCGGTTGTTCGCAATCAACTGAACTGCTGCTTCGCGCTCCCCATCCGCGATATTGGCCATCGGTTGTTGTTGAACAACCCATTCACGGATCAGAAAGACCAGAATAAATGAGATGACAACCAGCAGAGTGATTAATTGGCCTTCCAATGTATCAATGAGGATGTTGTTGATTGTAGGGGACGGTGTGAGGGAGTTCAGGAACTTGACATCTGAAAGCCACGAAGGATACCGTTGTTTTAAGGAGCCAGTTGTTGTATTGCTTGAATTCACCGCTCCGTTGGTCGAAGAGATGGCAGGGAAGAATAAGGTTGAGAGAGCCTTTTTTAACACAGTGAGCATCATTGGCTCATTGGCAGAGAAACCGAAAATAGACGAGACAGAAGACCCCGGAGATGGTATACTAGTCACTGTAGATTCAGTAGCAGCCGATATTTCGGCGCTTGTAGTAGTCGTCACATCATTTATCAAAGTGGTGCTATTTGCCAACAACTTAGCGAGACGTTCTTGAGCAGTGCCTTGCTGAGAATTGTCGCCGCCTGACCAACGTCCATCTGCAAGCCAGAAAAGCGCCCTCCATATTGCCCGCATTGACCAAGGCAGCCACCCGAGCCAGACAAATGCGACAAGAACGAACCGCAGCCAGGTAATGATAGTACGAACGCTATGAACCACAAGTTGCTTCATGAAAAGAGGCGCCGGGAGATCACGTGGCATGTTCGGGTCATACAGCTTTGTGAACCGGAATGGCGTTTTGCAAAGCTCACAATATTTCTTCTGAGAGTGCGAAAGCCACTCAACCAAGCAAGCCTGGTGGACAAACTTGATACTGCCACTGCATTTGCAGGGATAAAATAGCTGCTCCTCCTCCGACCCTTCTCCGCGGCATATTCGGCAGGTATCAGGGTCTTCAAACCCCCTGTCTTTCCCTTCGGTATTGGTAGCGTACAAAGGATCGTTCATCAAATCCGGAAAAGACGTTGAGTCCGTATAGTCGCGGGGGATGTTTTCGGGGAACTCCATTCTTTTGTTATTGTCCAAGTCGACAGCCGGACCTAAATTTCCTAACAATATCGACTTGTCATGTTCCCGCGCCTGGAAAGACAACGTATGTTTGTTGGGTTGGATCGAACTATAAGAATCAGAAGACCGGCGTAAGTCTTATGCTGAGTCTGGTCAATGAAAGTCAGAGATCAGTCTGTCAACATTTCTGAACTTCAAAAAGATAATGGTCCCAGAAGGGAACAGACTGCTAAGAAGGTGAGGTTGAGGTAAACCAGTGCATTAAAATGCGGATTGGCAAGAGCGTGGCAAATCTGACGATGATGAACTTCCGTCGGCTTCAGAAAGGAGGGTCTCTCCGCGTTTTGGCGGAGGTCATGTGACTGTATGGGAAATACCAAGGCCAGCGGGATTTTTCCCGGGCAAGACGTGATCTGTCGGTAATACAGTGTACGGCAAAGGGTGCGCCACTTTAGGTCCGAGCGATGACCTCACTGATTAGACCAGCAGAAGAAAAACATTGCCTTCTGGCTATAAAGGATCTGTTCATCAAAGCACATTGTCTATCTTCCTTCTCTTATCGGCAACTTCTGCCATGTTATGTCTTTGTTTCTTCTAATTTTCCTTACGGACACTTTTAGGTTGACTTTTTGTAGCGACCGCAATCTATAGGCTCTCTAAAAGTCATTGCGCCAAGACTTGGAGCTCGTCGCGTACATCCGAGCTGAAAGTCCCTGGCGTAAACTCGACTTCCAGGTTGACCATCACTCGTTTGTGATATCAACTTGCCTGTCGAATCTACACCATCCCGGGGCGCTTCCCAGATGATATTGATAGCCTGCTGACGGGTCGCTGGTTCCGTACGGAGTGCTTTGACCAAAGTGGTCGCCGACGCAACAAATCTGCCATCTCAGGAATCGAGATAGTTAGGAGCAGGGACGCAAACCTTCGGAAAATATTAAACATGGCAACAGCAGAAAATGGACACGCCTTGGAAGGCGTGGATAAAACTATTTCCCTTAATGAACCGACATCAAGGAGAATCAATCCGTTTCGCTGGACAGTTGGATTGGTCGTGCGGTACGTGCTTTTTGCGATTAATTTTCTGAATGTCATTGCTTTCGAATTGAGCTAACAGTGTTTTGATCAAAACCACAGACTTTGCATTTGGTATGCATTGCTCACACCGTTCTTTCGATGTCCATCCCGTTTCTCGGAATTAGAGGATTCCTCTCCGCGCGTTTGCAAGCCTTATCTTATTGCCCGGTCTCACATCGAGCCTCATATTCTCCCTTATTACCAGACCTATGGGGCACCTTATGTCGATGTAGCCCGTCCCTATGTGCTAGTCTTCAACGAACATATCTACTCGCCTGCTGCAAATGTCGCTAAACAAGGATACGATAAGTATGGGGCACCTGCACTGGATCGAGTCCAAGTGTATGGCCAGCAGCAGTGGGATGCACAGGTTGCCCCACATCTGCAGTTTACGCAAGAGAAACTAAGTGATATATACAAGGCCAAGGTAGATCCGTATGTTGAGCATGCAGTGACAGCAGTCTCCCCTTACTACAAGAAGGCCAATATCGTGATTGCTACGGTTTACGGCGACTATGTCCTACCTTTCTATGCCCAATCAATGCCTTTCATTGGGAAGACATATTCATCCAGTCAAGATATTCTCGTGACAACTGTTATGCCACATGTACAGAGCACCTGGTCGTCGGTCATCTATTTCGCAAACAGCTCGTTGTGGCCACGGATCACGGGGCTCTATTCGGAAAATGTCGAACCGCAGCTGGTTAAGATTGGACAGAGGCTAGCAAGCTACAGAGAAGGAAAACGGGTGCGAACGGTTGTAGATGAAGTTGACAGGTAAGTGTAGATATTCGGAAGGGCCCGCGAACTGGCTGACCTGTCCGTCAACAGTACCTCCTCTGATCAGCCGACATCTCCTACTACCTCTGTATCAGTGAGAACCAGTCGTGCTTCTCAACCTTCGTCCACGACATCTACAACTGAAGTTCCCTCGGCGCAAACTACATTTTCCCCAGCAGAGAAGACCGCCCATACTCGTGAGAAGATTTCATCAGATCTTCGCACCTGGCAAGAAAAGTTCGCGGTGGCCGCTGGTAAAGGTGTTGAAGATCTTGAAGAACGCGTGAACGAGATAATCGAAAGCCAAATGAATAGTGGTGTCAAGAGCCATGGAGAGAGCCTCGCAACGGCTTTGGAAGCTGTTGTCGAGCATGAACTATCAACTATCAAGCTCCGTATCAGCACTTTGGCTGGATCTCTACCATTTGAAGATGTGCCGAAAGACGAAAGAACTGCACAGGAAGAACTTCTGAAAGACATTAAACAATCCGCAATTTCGATTCGAGAGCGTGCTCACGCTCTGAGGGAATGGTATAGGTCTTTCGACGGAGAGCTCATGCGCCGGGTCTCTGCGGCTGTTGACTCAACACTTGATGTTCTAGACAACGTGCGTGATCTAGGCCTGCAGGAAATAGGCATGCGATGGGCATGGATGGACGGTGTCACCTACAAAGATTGGGCAAAATACCATGACCTCAAAGCTCAGTTTGACGACTGGAAAAATGACGTACGTCAAGTTGGAATGCAGAATGCAAAAATCGAAGAAGCCACTGGTTTGGCTAATGCAGTGCTGGCCCATGCTATGGATGTAGCCGAGGCCGCTGCAAAGGAACTAGCCAGGCTCAAAGACGTTGGAAGGTGGAAAATTTCAGCCCGGGAAGTGAGCGATAACTTCGATACAAGATCTGGTCCTCTCCCTGCACTTCCAAAGGCCAGAACTGTGCCTGATGAGTCCACGGATGAGAACATCACACTTGAGCCTGAGCAAGCTGATGCAGAAGCCTCTGGAGATTATACCGAGGCTAATCTTGGGAACGTGGAAGGTCAGGATTCTTCAGTCTCATGGGGAGCGGCTGCGGCTGGAATTGTTCCAGGGCAATCCGACCTGTCCCCAGATGTACCCGAGGAAGTCACCAAAGATCAGCTGGCTGACCATTTAACTGCGTCGCCGACAAAGCCTCTACATTACATCTCCTCCGTCGCATCCTCGAGATTGAGTGAAGGCCTTAGTCTCGCTTCTGCACGGCTCGCACAAGTTCAAGCGACAATACCCCCGACAACCACTCCAGACCAAAACCCTATCCTTCTGGACGCACGGCGCCGCTACTACGAAGCTATCGGGTTGGCACATGACCACTATTCTGCTTTCGTCTCCTCTGCCTCTGGGGCAGTATATGGTTCCCCAACCCCGACTCCGCCACCAGGAACTTTCCAGGGTTTCGTCGAAGATGCCAGGTCTCGTTACAGCCAAGCGGCCGAGAACTGGGAAAGTCTCGTTTCTAGGGCGAGTGAACAGGTTTACGGCACTGAAGCACCTTATTCGCAGCAAATATTAAGCCGCGTCCCGCAATACGAAGCAGTGGAAGTTCTTGTATCAGAACTTCTTGTTGGTAAAGAGCCTGCTTTCGCCGACAATGTCATTAATCAGTTGCGCGCTATTTACGAGACTCCGTATCCAGCTTCTGCACTATCGTCAGCGTCAAGCTATGCCAGCGTTGTTAATGAAGCGGCACCTTCGGCCTTTTCCGCTTACGTCACTGACATCCCCGCTGTTGACGACATTTTGAACAGCGCAAATGAACAACTTGAAATTGCACTTGAGGCCGCCAGCATTCAAATCTATGGCACCCCCAAAGGCCCATATGAGCAGGCGACATCTGCTGCCGCTACTGCTTACGCTTCCGCCTCTGATCAGATTAGTGAAGCTGTTTACGGCACAGAGCCAGGATATGTTGAATTTGCTAGTAGCGCAATCGATGGGGCATTCTCCTCTGCTGGCTCAGCCATCAGCGAAGCCATCTACACCGCACCATCCAGTCCGTCTGGACCTACCAGTGGTGCTTACGCCTCTGTCACATCAATCGCTGGGGAGCAGCAGGTGAAGTTTGAAAGCGCTACTAGCAAGCTCGGTGTTGCCGTCGAAAGTGCACAAATATCACTTGCTAATCTAGTCTCCAGTGCTAGCAGCTTTGCTTCGGAGGCCGTAGAAACTGCTGTCTCGTACAGCGAGGAGTTGATGCATGATGATGAGATTGTGTCTTCCAAAGATGAATTATAATGATCTAATGGAAACAAGGCAAAACTTCAGGCTGCCGCCTTATCTCATACAATGCCAGCCAAGTGTTGCGATCTGGGGATCTTGTGATGCACTCGACTCAGTGATTTCTCTCTCTTTCCGGTTTGATTATCCGCATTTCTCAGGTTGATTGATGATAATATCCATTGGCATCTTATGCTCGGTTTTGAGGCATTATTCCCCACATAGTTTGCTTGCTACGAATGTATGCTCATGACAGATTTGTAACTTTGATTTATGTTCTCTTCTTTTTTTATTATATGCCGTTTCTTTTCGCTAACCCTGAAAAATCCAGTGCCCTCCCAAAGGAGGGATCCAGCTAACGGCATATATTAATGTATTGTTAATTGGTTGCTCATGAATGCGAAGCGAAAAAAAAAAAAAAAACCTTTTTTATTGAGATCAAGTCACTGTGGGTAGAATAGCAAGCAGGCCCTATTCTATAGGAGATCAGGGGTAGGGGGGGAAGACTAGGATAGGGCCCTTGTAGCACTACAGTCACTCATTCGTACATCCACCGGAATTACCGGTACTGCATCCGCTGCCCTCCTCGTTTTTCCATCTTCTTCTGCCTCTTGCTCTCACCCGCTGCCTGAGGTGCGTCGGGTGCCCCGCCCATTCCGGCCAGTCCGCTCTTCATACCGGTGAAGGTGCTGTATGCCAGCCAAACGGTATATACTGGCACTACAATCCACAGCCACCAAGCACGGTCTCCAAAAATACAGACTGCACCCATACAGCCCCAGGTCCAGTACAAGACATCCCACATGTATTCCGTAAGACCCGACGCCCCGAGATCCTCTCCCGCAGAGCGAAGAGATCCATCAGCGGCATGGAATTGCGGACGACCCAAACGCTCAAGGTAGAATTCAATGGCGAGAGTCGGGCAAGCGAGGAGAAAATAAGGCTTCATCGCACCGGGGCGGTTAAAAGTCCAATGCAGGAAGAGGAAAACAGCATGGAGGCAGGCGGTGATGATATGGGTGCGGAGCAAGAGAGCGGCATTGCGCGCTGCGAGGTTTTTGGCTGCTTTCTGTGTGGAGTTAGCTCGTGACCGAAAGAAGAGTTTAAGGATGAAAGAGCGCCGAACCTGGGCCATGATGATAGGGTTTATGCAGTAAGTAGCTGTCAGCGCAAGATGCTGGTGTCGTGCTATAGTCACATGTGGTTTCAACGCAATGTGAGGGGTTCAGCACTGGTCAAAGAAACAGGTCCGGAATTAAAGATTAATATAAGACAAAGAATAATAATGATAGTAATAATATATACAAGCCAGCCACTGGTCGTCAATGAATAGATCGATCGACCGATAGACCGAAAGAAAAAGTGAGCAGAGGCGTGGCTCGACGAGTAGGGAATGGCGTTGCCCACCACAACAGGACTGCCGCGCCTCTCCACCAGCCACTCTGGGCTTACAGGCAGAACAGCTTCCAAAACATCGCATGGCAAAAAAGACCGACCCTCCGCCATCTTGAACCCGGCGTCGCAACCCCAGCGCATAGACTTTGGTGATAACCCCTCGTCTACGCGCATTTGAATGTCTGCACTTTGGAACCATCTATCCCGATATGCGATTTATTTCCCGCTAAGCTCGTCTTTGGCCCTCTCAAGGGCGTTCCGAACGTCGACCAGACGTCATTCACTCTTTGCCCCGACACGAGCTTGAATTCACTCGCAGATACTCAGCAGGACGGTGGCTTGGTTTTCTTGGGAATTTTTTAAAGGAGGGCTGTTGCTGAAGACAATTCGACTTGCCTTGCTTCCCCTTATCGTGGGTATTGACAATCTCTTTCGACTACATAGTGAAGAATTGCATCGCCGCTTCCTCACCGTGGGTCGCAACGGATTCAAAGACCCTGTCCCAAGATATCACCGCGATAGACCTCTCCATTTGATGTAATTCCTGTGCTGAAAGGGCTTCTTCTTTTCGACTTTACCTATCTTCGCCCCGCCTTGCCCTTTCGCCATCCTCTTCCATTTTCTCGTACCGTGCTGTTTCTTTGTCTATCCCTACAACACAACGCCTATCACGAAATATGTCGCCCTCAACATCACATATATCCGGCCAGTTGAGGCAGCTCATCTATTACAATCTTGATAATAACCTCGCCCGCAACGCGCTTTTCCTCGCCGGTCGCTTACATGCGTACGAACCTCGATCCTCAGAAGCATCATATCTACTCGCCCTTTGCCATCTACAAAATGGTCAGATAAAGGCAGCATGGGACTATAGTAGGAACGCTGGATCAAGGGGAACTCATCTTGGCTGCTCTTACGTGTATGCTCAAGCGTGTTTGGATCTGGGGAAATACCTTGATGGTGTCACTGCCTTGGAGCGAAGCAGAGGGCTCTGGGCCTCTAAGAACCACTGGAGTAAGCATTCACAATTGTTAGGTGATTTTGATGGTGCTGATCTAGTGTTTGAATTCAGACAAGCACAGTGAAACACGCAGACAACATTTGCCGGATGCCGCCGCAGTGTTTTGCCTGCAGGGGAAGCTATGGCACGCCCACAAAGACCTCAATAAAGCGGTAGAATGCTTTGCTGAGGCTTTGAAAACAAACCCGTTTATGTGGGACGCGTTTTTAGGGCTTTGTGAGACTGGTAGGTCTTGCGCGTTGGCTTTGAGTAGTCTCGCGGCTGGCTAATTGTTTCAAGGCGTCAATATCCGAGTTCCAAACATTTACAAGATGAGCCCTGAGCTATTCGCTATAGTATCATCATCACAAGAAGACACCGATACCCAATCCGACAAATCAGCACCCACAAATGGACCCCTGCAAACACAGTCAAACGTGAATCCCACTTTAGATCCCTTTACCTCCACTGTTCCCCGCAACGATTCCGCTACCTCATACGGCAGCTCTGCTTTATGGGAGAAACTGAACGGGAGCACAGTGAGCGTAGCATCAACGGGAGCAACAGCGCCTACATTCCACGAAGGAACAGAAACACCCGGGGGGCAAAGCAGTGAGTCCGATGACTTTCGCATTGCCAATAGCTCCGGTGGTCCAGAGGCTCCAATGGAGCCCCCTCTGGCTCCTGCCAGGAAAAACAGGACTATTCAAGCAATAGGTGGGGAGTATCCGATGGATCCTCCACCCAAGATGAAACCGACGGGTATCAGACCTAGAACCAGAACAAAGCCCGATTCAGAGGAGCAAAATACCGCACACACTGAAAGAGAAACATTACCTCCTCCCAGAATAGGGGATCGCAAGCGAACGGTCTCTGGACAAGTTGCTCATTCAGTATCGCAGCCGGCAGAGCCAGGGGCACCACAACGGCGAAGTGTCAGACTCTTTAATCAAATCAAGCCTACCACCAGCAAGTTTTCCGGCGCTGCTTTAGGGGTCAAGGACAGCAGAGAAGTTAAAAAAGTGAAGGCAACCGGGGCAAAGGGACGAACAACAACAGTCACCAACGTCGGTCGTGTTGTCAGCGGCAATCGGAAACCTCCTAGCGAAGCTCACGATGGTGACGGAAAGGGGCACAGATTGACTACAGCGCATCATTCAGGTCACCATACTTCTTCCAAAAGTGCAGCAGTTGAAAAGTCAAAGGAAATCGAGGCCCTGAACTGGCTATTAGAAATGTTTGCCAAACTCGCTTCTGGCTTTTTTGCTCTAAGTCGCTACCGCTGTCCCGATTCCATTCAAATTTTCAATTCGCTATCTCAAGGACAACGGGAAACGCCATGGGTTCTTTCCCAAATAGGACGAGCCTATTACGAGCAGGCGATGTACTCCGAGGCTGAGAAGTATTTCTTAAGGGTCAAAACCATGGCCCCGTCCCAGCTGGATGATATGGAAATCTACTCGACCGTTCTCTGGCATTTGAAAAACGACGTTGAATTGGCTTACTTGGCCCACGAACTTATGGAGGCCGACCGTTTGTCTCCTCAAGCATGGTGTGCTATTGGTAATTCCTTCTCTCATCAACGGGACCACGACCAGGCCCTGAAATGCTTCAAGAGAGCAACCCAGTTGGACCCACAATTTGCCTACGCCTTTACTTTGCAAGGGCACGAGTATGTTGCCAACGAAGAATATGACAAGGCTCTTGACGCGTACCGACACGGCATTAGCGCTGATAACCGACATTACAATGCGTGGTATGGGTTGGGCACAGTATATGACAAAATGGGCAAACTCGACTTCGCCGAACAGCATTTTAGAAATGCGGCAAACATCAACCCTACGAATGCGGTTCTCATTTGCTGCATCGGTCTTGTTTTGGAGAAGATGAATAACCCCAAGGCGGCACTTGTCCAGTATGGACGTGCCTGTGGACTGGCGCCCCATTCAGTGCTCGCCCGTTTCCGCAAAGCGCGTGCCTTGATGAAACTTCAGGAGCTGAAGCTTGCACTGGTGGAGTTGAAAATTCTCAAGGACATGGCACCAGATGAAGCCAATGTGCATTACCTCCTCGGCAAGCTCTACAAGATGCTACGCGACAAAGCCAACGCTATAAAGCATTTTACGACGGCTTTGAACCTGGATCCCAAGGTAAGGGCTTCGAAACAATACCAAAAGAAACGCAGTGCTGACTCTACTTCTTCCAGGCAGCACAATATATCAAGGACGCTATGGAATCCCTGGACGATGACGAAGAGGACGATGAAGACATGGCTTAATTCTTATACTCGCGTGGTATCCTTGTTTTCTGGTCAAGAAAGATCCCGCTACGGTCTGGGATCTGCATTCACGATGGTTGGCGTTTGATTGATTTTTTTTTCTTCCGTGAGCATCAGCATTACATGGGGCGTTTACCGGGCCAATTGGTTAGATGATGCATTACACCTGCATCAGGCACTCGCAATGATTCGAGAGCCCTTGTTTCTTGTATATTAGCGTGGGTTGGTATTCTCGTGGCTCGATGGTGGCTACATAGAAGAGACCTGGGCATCATGAACATAAAAGCCTGCCATGCCAGGCACTTTGCATAATTGAGAGTCTATTCTTAGGCATATTCTTATTACTCATTAGAAATGAAGCCATCATCAATACTTCCTTCCCCCTTGAGCATAATATGAAGCTAAAGCCGACCAACCGGTGATAGTCACAGCAGACTACCAAAGGCGGTGAGTCGGCCCAACGAAACCCTCCGCAAACCCCAGCGAAAAAAGTAAACGAGAAGCACGACGAGAAGAACGACCGACCATTGTTATTCTCTCTCGCCGGTGTTCCTGTCCTGACGGTATCCAGGACACTCTTCAAGCCTTGTTGACTGCTGTGACACCCCCGGAGCATGGCACTTTCCCTCCACATCGCCCTGTGAATCCGCATTTACCCGCTCTGCTTCAGTGTCTCTTGACCTCATTCACCGCGTGAGACCCCCCACTAGAACCATTCTTATGCACATGCTTTTACAGATTACTGACATATCATCATTCATTAGTTCTCAGTTTCCTTTCCAGAAATTAAACTACTGTATGCACTACATCATGTCCATCTTCTCCTACATCGCTTCGGGCATCAGCTCGTTTGTGGTCGTCACGGTTTCCCTGTTCGCCCTCGGCCAGAAAGTCCCCCGTGCAGCATTTGTTGCCCGTTGTCTAGCAGCATATGGTTCTCTTCTTCTATGCGCCGCCTACGGAGTTATCGCATCGGTAGTTCTACGTCTGGCTGGCTACGGTCGGGTGTCGCAGTGGGCTACAGCGCGCAGCTTCAAATGGGTCATGCGTTATACAACCGGCGTGCGCTTCGACGTGATCGAAGGAGTGGAGCACCTTTCCACTCGTCCTGCGGTCTTCATCTCCAACCACCAGTCTGAACTCGATGTGCTTATGCTGGGTACCATTTTTCCTCCTTACTGCAGCGTGACAGCCAAGAAATCGCTGAAGAACATCCCCTTCCTGGGCTGGTTCATGGCTCTTTCCCGGACGGTTTTCATTGACCGGGCCAATCGTGAGACAGCTGTCAAAGCTTTCGACGGTGCGGCTGATGAAATGAAAAACCACAGACAGAGTGTCTTCATTTTCCCGGAGGGTACAAGAAGCTATTCCGACAAGCCTGAGATGTTGCCTTTCAAGAAGGGTGCTTTCCATCTCGCTGTCAAGGCAGGTGTGCCAATTGTTCCCGTTGTGACCGAAAACTATTCGCACGTTTTGTCTCCTCGCGCATTGAGATTTGACGCTGGCACGATCAAAATCAAAGGTAGAAAATATTCCTTTCGTCCTCCCCAATTTGGACTTTTAAATTGTGACTAACACAATCTAGTTCTTCCTCCCATTATTACACAAGGCATGACCTCTGCAGATGTCGATGGCCTGACCAAATCCACACAGGAATCGATGCTGAAGACTCTTTTGGAAATGGCTCACGAAGAAGAAGAGGAGATAGAAGCTTCCGTCGCCAAGGGTGCTTCCACGGCTGTTGAGATCTGAGACTCCGACTTTATTTCTATGTCCAACAAAATCATTCACTAGTGACCAGATCGTTTCATCCTTCCTCTTGCCTATATCATCGCAGGCAAACTACCGGGGTATTGAAGGCTCCGACCTTCGTCCAGTTTTTTATTTATAATGAAGTTCAACTGACCCACGACTCTTAATGAGGGGATTTTCTCTGGGTACAAGAAGATGGGATTCCTTTTTTTTGCTCTTCTCTCGGCGCTTGTTACCGTTCGCATGATACCTATTTCGTTTCGACTCGGCTAAAAACATCACCTGGTGACTGACTTGTATGCTCCGAAAACCATCAAACTGCTAAGTTTGGCACTTTCGATCAAGCGTGAGTGGGTTGCATGTCTTTGGTGTCTTCTGTGGGAGCAAAAAGCAAAAAAACATGGTATGATGGGTGATTTCTTCAAGAAACCTTACACTCTTTTATAAGTCTATTCAACTAGTTAAACTTCCTCGGGTTGGTGTTTGGTCTTTCAGGTGTACATAGCATCATTAGATAGATTGGCATTGGGCCTTCTCTTTTCATGATATGACGATTAGAGAGATGAGAAGATAAAGAACTACCTTTTGGGTTCAATCATACGACGTATGTTAAGAATGACAGCCATCCACTGTAGGATCTCAAATATATACATCAGAATTGGTAAACCTGTGCTTGGTTACTACCCTGTATGCATTCGACAAATGTCCTCGCATATTCGTGAGCAAGACTTAATCTAGGCAGCGACACGATCCTGTTGCACAAGGCGCGATATCTTTCTCAATATCAATCTTTTGCATCTGCTGCCAAGGGTCGGTTGAATCGGTGCCGTCCACGGCTGGATGACTGCCAGCTCCAATCCCTCCACCTCTCGCCGCAGTTGCAACAATGTAATCCTTCTCATAGGCAACGACGTCAATCCTCACGTCTTCCACTATTTTACCGTACAGCCAGGCCTGAACACCTGTGTACGGATTATTCCATCCCGACGATTGGCCAAATTTCGGACTCGGCGCGACGACGTTCGTAAACTCCAACTCCCGCAACCAGGGAGCAAGAAGTGCCTCTCCTGTCATTTTGATATACGCTTCCTTGAGCGCCCAGTACGTGTAGAACAGCCGCAAGCCAGCCTGTACGGCCTCGTCTACCGAACAACCAGGTGGCAGGGTCTTGATCGTCTCCAATTCACGCTGCGAGAAGACCTCCGCGAAAATATCTACGAATTCTCTGAATGCCTGAATCGTAGTTGGACCGTTGCTTTTTCCGTTCCTCCGTTCATTCACGCACGTAATATCGATTCCGACCTGGGGAACGGATGAGATTGGAGTAGAAGAAGGATTTGGCTGTGCAAAGACAGCAGTTGTTGGTTGCGTGCCAGGGATATTGGGCGAGGATGGTGTAGTTGTTCCCGCAAGTCCGACAAGAGATGCCTGGTGGCTGACATTGAACTCAATGCTGGGAATCGGCTGGCCGTTGTTCAGAATGGAGGGCGAAGGAATGAAACACGGCCGACTATGAGGTGCGGGAGTACGACTGATACTGACTTCTTTCCATGGAATACGACATGTTCGATGGATAAAGAGATATTTCAGCAAGTACGATGCGAGTGACATGTGCTTGTCGGACAAGTGGTAGTATTTTTTTGCTGTCTCCTGGTCCGCTGGTTGGAGGGTATCCAATAGAGGAAGAGTTGCGGTCGTTGAGGTCAACGGACGAGTATCGACATACCACCGAACCAAATCCTGCAACTGTTCCATTTCCAAAAAATAACGTGCAATATAGTAAATCCAAGGAAGTTGGGAACAAAAATGACTCGATTGAAGTCGCTGTTGGGTGATCAGCTGCCGAATATATAACAATGCAAAAGGCCAGATTAACTGTCATAAATTCATAATCATTAGTCATAAATAACAAAGTCTCGATAGTGAGAATAATCAACTGATATACATTATATCCAAAAAGAATGAATCGCCGTCGACTCTGCTCGCGCTTGATGTCGGACTGAACGATCAACAAAAGCCGTCTTATCAATTGGAGGGGCAGCACGTGCTGATAAACGGGCCGAGATTGATCCGATTACATAACCCCATACATACGAAGCGGCAAACGATTGACTCAGAATAGCGTTTCCAAAGTCTACAAACAGAAGATTCAATGGGCAGTATTACAGTCGGGGTTCTCGCCTTGCAAGGCGCATTCATTGAGCATGTCCAGCTGCTGAAAATCGCGGCGGAACAAGGCTCTTCTGCTTCGCAATGGGAGTTTATCGAGGTGCGAACCCCGCAGGAACTGGAGAGATGCGATGCACTTATCCTGCCCGGTGGCGAGAGTACGACAATTTCTCTTGTCGCAGCCAGATCTAATATGTTGGAGCCATTGCGGGACTTTGTTAAGTATGATTGTCATCTTTCCACCTGTAAATTTCTCGTCCTTGTGTCTGACATCCTCCTTTGTCTAGGGTCCACCGCAAACCAACATGGGGCACCTGTGCCGGTCTCATTTTACTCGCCGAATCTGCCAATAAAACCAAGAAAGGTGGCCAGGAGCTTATCGGAGGTCTGGATGTCCGGGTGAACAGGAACCATTTTGGTCGTCAAGCCGAAAGTTTTCAGGCACCGTTGGATTTGCCGTTCTTGGGGTCATCGGAGGACACTGGCTTCCCCGCCGTATTTATCCGGGCACCTGTGGTGGAGAAGATTCTACCCAACCAGGAAGGTGTCCAGATTGACGAGATTCAAAGAGACGAGACAGTCGTGGCCCCATCCAGACAAGCGAAGGACCAGGCAGCCCGGGAAGCCATGGCAGACCAAGTGGAGGTGTTGGCGAGTCTCCCAGGGAGGGCTGCTCGGCTAGCCAGCGAGGGACGAAACATCGATGCGGACAAAGAAACCGGAGATATCATTGCTGTCAGACAAGGCAATGTTTTCGGAACCAGCTTCCACCCCGAATTGACAGGCGATGCTAGAATCCATTCGTGGTGGTTGCACCAGGTAGAGGAGGCCAAGAAGCAAAGAAGCAAAGCAGAGCAATGATTTTCGGGGTATTTGTGTGGAAAGCATTCTTTTTGTGTTATAGAATATCGTTGGATTTTGGGTATCCGGTAGACTTTTTGAGTCTTGCTTTCTACCGTTTTATAGATAGAAACAACCCTTGTACAAACGCCATTTCTGCGCCAATAGATCATAACCAATTCACAATTACCTACCTTTTCCATAATCTTCCTCCTCCCGTCTTCGTTGGTCGTCTGCATATGCGCGACCGTAACCGCCACGGCCAGGGTCATATTCTTCTCGGTATTCGTCACGCACCTGTCCACCAGATTTACCCCGACTGCCCTCCAAGTTAGAACCCATTGTTGTTGTATTTTCATAAAGGCTGCATCACGTACCCATATTGACGGCCCTCTTCGAAACCAGGGTCAAGGTCTGTCCGAATGATTCTTTCGTCGAGCTTAGTACCACCGATGTACTTCAAGCAGTCCAGCGCATCCTGGTGAGTGTAATATTCGACGAAGCAGAAACCACAAGGGGTCTTGTTGAAGCGATCAAGTCCCATAACAAGGCGTTTGATCTCACCACACCTATACCGTGTCAGTTTATTGAAAATGGTCGATGGATAGTTGTAGGTATCTGACTTGGAAAAGAGTTCGTGGATCTGTTCTTCGGTCGTGTAAAAAGAACTGATTGCTGTCAGCGAAAATCGAAGAACAAATCGGACACGAGAACAACATACAGATTGCCGACATAAAGTGTCGTGGCATTCTTCAGGGGCTCGAATGGGTCTTCGGGCTTTTCGGGCTCATCTTGACTGAACTTGCGCTTCTTCTATTCATGTTGCATAAGTGTCAATGGCTGTTTCCTATCACCGAGAAGGTCATGGGAGATAAATACCTTTCCAGCATAATAGGCACTGGGCCGATCGAGCCTGTCCACTGTGTGATGAAAGTAGGTAGTCATGATTGACCGAGGATGCAGTTGGGGGTGAATTGTTCGTAAGTCAAGGGCGACAGCTTGAAGGGAGCTTCAGCTAAGATCCGCAGCTCTTGGCGCTTTTCGGCGTCAACCTAAAAAATAATACTAGATTCCGGGTTGTTTAGCCTTCTCTTCTCCCACCTTGCAGCACTCTTAGCTGGCAAATTTGTCTACGGATTTACGATGCGAATTTATTGAACTAATTTTCCTCTTTCATCTATTCTTGATATTTGTGTGGGATAGACGCTCCGACAATGCCGAAAGTCATCAGTTTCACGCCTCCTTGGTTGTCCAGGCCTTCCCCAGGCGCCTCGCTCTTCTCCAGCACGTCTGCTAAGGGCCCGGAATACGATGCCGCAAATGACCAGAAGAATGTAGAATATATGGGACCGACAAAAACACAGGCAAAGAGAGGCAATGAAGTGTTTACGGTGGTCGACAACCAGATCCGCTGGTCGAGTCTCACCAGATTGAAGGATGAATGGCAGCAGCAATCGCGGTCAAAGAAAGCTTCTGGAGATCAAAAGCCAAGCACAAATGGACAAGAGAAAAATGCTGAGCAAGCTTCTTATAGGGTATGGAAGGCTGTCTACTTGCTCTGCGCATTGCCATGTTATGATAACTGATGACGATCAGGTCTTGACTGTGCCTGTCTACGCACAAATCAGGCAGATTATCCCCTCTCCGAACGGCGCATTTTTGGCGATTGTAACCGACAATACGGTCCACATCTCAGTTATCCCCGATTCCTCGCACCTGTCTGGTACCGACAGCACACCCATTCGCGTGAAGACATACCAGCTCGGCCCTACGACCCATGTCCTTCCCGAGGCCCCTGTGGTTTCTGCGCTATGGCATCCGCTTGGTCTGCACAGCAATCTAGAGGGGTGTATCGTAACGATCACTGCAGACGCTGCGGTTCGCGTCTGGGAGCTTGATCGGAACAACCACTGGTCGTTTGACCGGCCTACACTGGCAGTTGACCTGAGAAAATTGGTGGATGGAACCTCGTGCGATGAAGATTTCGCACCGTCCGGGTTTGGGAAAAGTAAGGGATTTTCTGCCGATGTCATTGATATGGAGGTCGCGTCTGCTTCCTTCGGAGGGAACGGGAGTGAAAGAGAGGACGCTTGGGCACCCATGACTTTGTGGGTTGCTATGAAGCCGGGTGATCTTTACGCCCTATGTCCTTTACTTCCATGCAAGTGGCAAGCACCGTCGACTACAATTCCCTCACTGTCTGCTTCAATTGTTCCGAAATTGGCAGCGCTTGAGGATGACCCCCTAGATTACGAGGAGGAATTGGTCGCTTGCCAACAGCAGTATGAATGGCTGGCAGAGATTGACAACCAAGAGCCGCTGCGCACACTCCCTGATTCCGAAAACATGGCCGGGTCCGAAGTCCTCACGCGCCCCGCTAACCCAAGTGCGATTCCAAGACTGCAAGGGCCGTTCCGCGTCGATACTGGCGATGAGCTGGACGATTTGGACCTTTGCGATTTGCTTGTCATCCCCGCTAAGGTCGACATGGATGATCTCATGATGGGTGAGGACGATGATCTAGTGATAGAAGATACCGGGGAGGATAAACTGTCAGCCACCGTTATTTGCCTCTCGACTGGAAGTGGCAGGATCCATATTTGCCTGGAACTCGATGGTGTTGGAGGGCAATGGCTCCCCAAAGCTAGGAAGAATGCTTTCAAGACGCCTCTTTCAGAGCCCGCTGATCTAATTTTGGTGGAATCACTTGATACGATGAAGGGAGGAGGCCAGTCTCTGAACAACTGGCCCACTTTCACTAAGGATGTCCATTCGCGATATGGCTTCTTTGTCACCACTGCTAGCAATGTGTTATTCATCTCTCTTGCTTCTTGGGTGCAGAGGCTCGAAGCGGAGTTGCAATCCGAGGACACGTCTGGCTCAGCTTTCCGATTGCAGATTCTCTGTGAAGGCGCAGTATCCGTCAGGGAGAGAATTGTTCAAGTTGATGAAGATGAGGTTGTGTTGAAGAGCAATCCTGAGCATCTGGCATCCTCTTTGGTTTATTATGATTATGACCTTGGCTATTTGCTGCTGACTTACCATGCGTCTCATCCGTACGCCGCCGTCCTAGACGCGCCTGAAGTTGCCTTCCCCTCAGCGGTGGATTTGCGATCCTTGGACTTGGCTGGCCAGGCTCCCGGGTCCCCTGTGCTGCCCCCTCGTCGACCCCCATACCAAGTTCCTGCCGTTCTGTACTCGGATGCTCCTCTGGACTTCTTCGTCGACAAGCATGTCCCACATCGCCAGCGTCACACTCTCAAGGACCAAGTCCGACTTTCCCCCGCGACGCTAGACCTGGTCGCCGCTGCCCATCGGATGCTGTCCGCTCACACGAACGCTTTAGAGCGAGCCGCATCGGATTTGTTTCGCCGCTGCGAAAGATTGCGGGGCGAAATGCGTGATCAATTGAAGCAATTGTCCGACGTTTCCGAGCGAGTCAAGGGGGTTTCCAGCGAAATTGGTGAGGATGGACAACGTAAGGCGGGCTCTCGGAGTGGCGAGGCATTGGACAAGAGGTTACAAGCTGCCAAGGACAGACAGGATCAGCTAGTGCAGCGATATGAAGCCCTGCGTAGCAAGCTTTTGAAATCAGGTGGCCGGCCCATGAGTGAAAAAGAGAAGTCATGGGTTTCCGAAGTGCAAGTATTGTCCGACTCATTCGGCGACGCGAAGCAGGGCGAAGAGAAGGATCAGAACCTATCTCAAAGACTGGAAGCTGTGAGTGTCTTCTTTGTTTGATTAATTGGGGAAAGAACCTGGTGCTAACAATTGTTTTTAGGTCAAGGAAATCGCAGCGGATCTTCTGTCCGAGGCGAAATCTGTAGGAGTCAAGTCCCCTTCAGCAGAGCCTGGCAGTCCGATATCTCCACCAAGTGGTCAGCCGAGAGTTCCACAGAGACTCCAGCGGGCCAAGATAGCAGATGCCATGAAGATGGTCGAACGAGAGTGAGTCGATCGTTGTCATATCCTCTTTCATACGCTAACGTTTCTTTAATTACAGATCTGCCGTTATCGAATCCATCACCTCCCGATTAGAACGACTGAACACGAGTCTATGAAACCTTACCGACATCGAAGACATGGGAGCACGCTGTGTATGGAATTCAGCAGTTTGACTGGTCTAGTCTTTCTTCAGCTTGGGAATTTTGGAATGCTCTTATTGCCAATTTGACCTTCGAATGGAGATCTTCTGATCATTCTGGCAAACATTATGCGCTTTCGCTGCACTTATGCATTGTTGAAATAGTGAAATATCTGACGTTTTAGCCTGGTGAATTATAATTTATTGTTCGAGTGGCAAGAATTAATAAAGCGATTGTTCAAGAATCAGGAAAAACAAAACACATCCCCAACAGCCAATATAGGGATGTGTCTGCAGCAGTCGTGATGGGAGTGTTTTAGTATTTGAAAGGCAGCGCCAATGCATTTGGAATACTTTGGTTCATTGTTACTATTTTACTCTGCAATAAGAAAGAGTGTATATTTTTACATATGAAAATACCTATCAGTTGGTTAAATGTATGAATAGAAGCCACTGAACTTGGAATTAGTACTCTGAAATCGAGGATGATCTTAATATCTGCAGAATAAGGATAACCCAATAACATTCCATAAGTACTTTCAGTAGTGCTGTCTTAAAATTGACAGAATGGAGTATCTATCTTGTTCGATGGAAGAGAGATAGGGCTACTGGATCACGTGATCTAGGTTGGATTGTATCGTTCAAATCGGATGAAAGAATTAAAGCAAGACTTGAATTAGATACATGTTTCAGAATTCAATGATGGATGACACGCTATGCCATGCAGGAGTCTCAATTTTAACGCAGAAGCCATTTCGTTACATCATAATGCCAGCAAATCCACCATAGAAAAGGGTATCGAGTGTCCTTCAAGTGCACACTGTTAGTATGCTTTGTACATAGCACTACGGCAGTCAGAACTAACCTTTAAAGATTCAAATATGATATTTAAAATTCATTTCATGGTGAATGCCGAGAAAAGCCAACGGATCAGATGCGGCTGATTCCCGAGTTGACGTAGAAGCTGTCGACCAGAGGCTTGGCCGAGTCGACTCGCTCTAGGATAGCCTGGTAAACCTCGTCGATGATCTCTTCCCACGACGGAACGACGAGACCCTCGACACGGGACTCCCACTTGGCCATCTCCGCAAGGAAGGCGGAATTCCACCAGCGGCGCCACTGGCACTGATCCATCTCGCTCATGCCAGAGCTAGAGATGGTTCTCTCAAGCGTGACCTTTGCTTTCAGCCAGTTCCTGTACGGAACGCTGATGAAGGACTCGAGCATGTAAGCATACTCCACAACGTACGCGTCGTAGGTACGCTGGTCGACGTGGAAGTGCAGCACGTCTGCCGAGATTTTGGGAGACGGGGCCAGGGTAGGATTGTAGACCCCGTCATTTTGAGTCCAGTCGAGAAGACAGCGGATGGACTCGACGTGCTTCTCGTAGTGGGTTGAGTTGGCACGCGAGCACATCGCCCTGAAGCGATAGGCATGCCGACTCTCAACGATCTTCAGGGCTCTAAAGGCCTCTGAGGCAGCCTGGCACGCGTGGCTGAATGCATCATACGCTTTCCTTGGTATGATGGCTCTAAGGTGGAGTGGCAGGACGAGGTTTTCCTTGTCGAAGATGTAAGGCTGGCGAGTAGTAAACATCTTTTCGGATGTTGTTTGTAAAGTAGAATGAAAAGATTTAGTGAAGGGGTTGAAATGAAGTGAAGAGATTGCTGATGAATAAAGAAGGCACGATGTGTGTTGGTGGAAAGAGAGTGAAGGAGGAACGATATGGGAAGATGGAAGGGAGAAAGAGGGAGAGAAGAAGTGGGTAAATGGAAATTTACCAAAAAACATTGAAGCAGGCATCGATTATGCCTTTTCTAGCAGAAATGGCACCGCAGCCTGTATTTACCAGAGGATTTCTTGAGAACGACACCCAAATCACATCATAAAACTGTCACACCGAACTTGATTTCCACTATATGGAGGCATCCTCGAATATGCTTCAAGGCCAGGCTATTACCAAAAGAAAGAAACTGAGGCTGCTTTCAAACCAATGAAGGAGTGTTCCATGAAGGAAATAGGCATTTCTCTGCTGTTCTAAATACACTGAAGAATGAATGAAAAAGATTTCACACCATCTTACTGAACACTGCAGGGTCGACTTGTCAGCGTATGTTTCAATCTTTTTTTTTTCCCCCAGAAGAAACGTACCGTTCGATAAGATGAACTCCTGATGCTGTGTCAACGATTCCACTAACCTGGCCTGGCTGCAGGGCAAAGGCCGCATCCTCGAATTCCTTTTGCATCTCGCCGTGTCCGAAGAAACCACTTGAAGGCATTAGCATCAAACTCAAAAAATAACTACGATAAAAAGTATCAGGAAGACATACAGATCACCCTTCTTCCTTGCACTGCTACAATCCGACTCTGATACCGCAAGTTCGCCCAAGCTTGTCTGACCGGAATTGATGGCCTCTTCATGACCACGAAGGATTTCAATGGCCTCCTCCTTTGTTCGAGTAATGTTTGCTTCCCTCCAGCTGCTGGGTCTCCTGCTCTCTATATGCTTGACAAGAAGATGGCTGCACCGGATCTTGCCCTCGCCTTGTCCAGCGGCATCAGGACGAGGTGCCGGAGCGCTGTGGTGGTTTGCCATGTAAAACTTGAGCTTCTCTGTGTCCGAGTCGGCGGGGGGCTCCCATCGGGATTCTTTGGTAGAGGCATTGAAATAGTAAGGAAGGTTCTTGGAGTTCGAATGACGAACCTCCCATCCGGCTGGAAGACCTGTTTCGACCTATTCACAATCCAGTCGTCAGTTTGGAACTAGGGAAACGATCATAAGAAAGGTCTGCAGACACGCATACCATGATTATATAGGATAAGAAGCAAAGTTTTCAAAAGTGTACAAAGGTGCTCAGACCAAGAGTAGTATTGAATGACCACAGAGATCGAAGAGCAGCTGTTATGTCGTCAGTTACTGCATTGGGGCAGACAAACTGCGGGGGAGAAGAGGGACACCTGCAAACACCGCAAACGCAGCAAACACAAACATAAGGCTGAGTCTGTGCGCTGTCTCCGACCCAATCGGGCTTAGTCTCTCCGCTGCTTCTTCAGGCTTCCATCGCCAGCTCGAAGTCGCATCAGTCTACAGACCATCGTCTCTGCCCGCGTTCACCTTCATCGCAACACGAAACCCTTTTTATATCCTTCTATTAAAGCGAACTTGACTATTCGCGTGCCCTGCGCAAACAACCTATCTCGAATAACGTGAAATTCCACCTGCTATAACTCGAAAATGTCTGCAAGCCCGTCTCCATCCGCTGGTGGCGAAAAGCAGTCCGACCAGATTCATTTTCGCTTCTGTCGTGAATGGTAAGCCTTCGTGTTGTTCATATGTGACCATTGAGCCTGACTAACTGATTGATAATAGCTCCAACTTGCTCTATCCGAAAGAAGACCGCGTCAACAACCGGTTGATGTTCACCTGCCGAACCTGCCACGTCGGCGAACCCGCTACCTCGTACTGTGTTTACCAAAACAAGCTGCACAGTCAAGTGGGAGACACTGCTGGTGTCACTCAGGATGTGGGATCTGATCCTACGGTTTGTCTCCCAGGCTTTTGCACCCATTGTGGGGAAGAGATCACATGTTTTGTTTGCGGGACATCGCCAGAAGACCCTCTCTCTGAAGGAGAATACGAAGACTTCTCCACATTATGAGAAAGAGTTGGATCTTGTGTCATGGAGAGATTCCAAGAGTTCTTGAAATTCCCGTGGCTAACATGCTCTTTTCCTTCATAGCTTCCCCGATCCAACAAGCTCTGCCCGAGCTGCGGTGAAACCGAAGCAGTGTTTTTCCAGTCCCAACAGCGATCAGCAGAAACTGGAATGGTGAGACCTTATCTTTAGTGCTGGAGATTTTGGTAGGGAGTTGCTGACATTGATTGCTTTCAGAAACTCTACTACGTCTGTTGCGCATGTGGTAATGTCTACATATGATTGTGTCCCTTACTTTTTCACGGCTTCGATACCCGATATTAATTTTACATGGCATGGTTTTGGAGTTCTGGCGATACATGGACAATTTCAGTCTGCATTCATGGTGGAAAATTCTATTGGTACATAAACTAGATATATGAATAAAAACGGTTCGCTTTCCAAATGGTATATGTTTACACGTGCATCGGCGCCAACGACAAGATCTTAGACCATTGCTTTCCTCGTAGTTCCGTAGCCACGACTCCTGTGTGCCAGTCAGTGATGACAATTCGATAATAAACGACGGTCAACGCGCGTAGAATACTGACCGTTCATTCTTGTTCCGATAGGGTCTCCGGATTTGTTTACCAGCACACACGCATTATCATCAAATTTGACGAAAGATCCATCGCTCCTCTGCATTTCTTTCCTTGCCCGAACGACGACAGCGTGTCTGATATCTCCTCGGCGGACTTTGTTCGCAATACCACTGTTGTTTGTGCTTTCGGGGCCGAAGTTTCGCTGCTTTTGAACGACAACCACGATCCGGTCGCCTATATTCCACCAAAATAACTCGATTAGAACAAGCTGGACAATTAGGATTATATCGCAGAGATCAATGACCCACCGACTGTCGCGGGCCGCTTCTTCTTCAAGACATTCACGCACTCGACAACCGCAGCACCGGAATTATCAATGCAGTTCAACAACGTCTGGGGACCATCATTAGTAAAAACTGCACGCATCATGGAATTGTAAATAGGCCCTTGCTCACCTTTAGTTGAATCATCTTGACAGCATAACCTGGTTGAAAGGGAGCAGACGTTGACTGCACTGTGAGCTCGCTGTCCGAAAGATTTCCAGCAAGCCCGGGCCGGAAGGTTTCGCCGACCGCCGACCCCGGACGGGGCGCTGCACCATCGCAAAGGGCAACAAGACACACTGTCTGTCCTGGGATATCGCTGGCTGCCCCCAATTCCTGCGCGCCAACTTCCCCAGGGGAGGTTACTGTTTCCTTTCACTATGCTTGATATTCTCTCTCTCTTTTCTTTTGTCTGATTGTCGTCTCGAACCACTACACTCATTTGTGGGATCACCACTTCCTTTATATTCTCGAATATCCGCTCTTCCGCTTCGATCTCCTTGTCCGATCGACAAACTCAGTCACGCAATTCACTGGCTACGCTTGACGCAGAATAACTAGATCTTGTATGGGGGATTTATAACGACACACTTCATCATGCCGTCCTCCAAAGCAAGATCCAGTCCATCTGTGGACCGTCGCGACCGTTTAACGCTTGCGAAATTAGCCAGCTACGACGACGTCGCGACGGATGCGCTGGTTGATCGGGTTTGTCCCCCTTTTCACTCTTCGAAATTGCAGGTTGCATTCTGACCTTCATTACCGCAGGCTTATTTCTGGACCAACACTCGCAAGAACCGAACCAAATATATCCACATGCGGGGCATCCATGACGACGATGTTGCTCGGATCCTCCTTCATGATGCTATTGTCGCCAAGGATGCAGTCAAGGCTGAACGAGAACTCCTGAGCATGTCTGGCCTGAAAAAGTATATGGCGAGGCTGTCCAGCGATCGAGAAAAAGAGTGGTTCCGTCGACATTTGCGAAAATACATTCAGATGTATCTCCCCGATTCTCCTTTTGAAGTTACCACGACCAATCGCTACACTATTATGGTTCATGAAGCGGCAATATGCGCCCGGAAATTTATCAAACAAGGCCAGGAAATCAAATACCTCAGCGGAACCCTCGTGTCTATGACTCGCGAAGAAGAAAAAGACCTGGACTTGAGTCGTAATGACTTCAGCATTGTGATGTCCAGCAGGAGAAAATCGCCGTCGTTCTTTCTCGGGCCGGCTCGTTTTGCTAACCATGATTGTAACGCTAATGGACGATTAGTGACCCGCGGATCCGAGGGAATGCAAGTAATGGCCACTCGAGACATCTACATCGGTGAAGAAATTACGGTTTCTTACGGGGAGGACTACTTTGGTATTGACAACTGTGAATGCCTGTGCTTGACTTGCGAACGGGCAGTCCGCAATGGATGGTCGCCAAACGTTGATTCTGAGCCGCAGAGCAAGGCATCTACGCCGGCATTAAACGATGAAGCTGCTAATACTGATAATGTTTCTCCGTCTAAAAAACGCAAATACGGGCCCGACTCCGATTCCGAAGCCTCAACCCTTTCTACCCCACGGAAGAGGAGCAAGTTTACACGACAGAACTCCAAGTTGAGATCTGCAGTGTCACTAGCGGAAATAGCGCCTTCCATTGAGCCAGCCACGCCAGAGAGCCCTAAACTCACAACAGAGGGACACACGGAACCAAAGGACACCAATTCGGGAGAGGCCAACAGCGAGGGCAGTGAGCATATCAGTGAAAATACTGTTACTGCCAGTGCTGAAGCGATTGTTCAGTCTTCCACTACTACAGACTGCGAATCACCGACGTCGCTTGCTGATGACTCACAACGTTCGTCAACATCAACCCCGCCAACATCTGAAAGCGAGGCCAATGTCAAAGTCAAGGTCGAAGAAATTACGGAAATATCTGCTGGCGATTCCAAGTCGACGGTTGAGGCGTCTCTTGAACTCACGGCTCCGAGTCAATCGGACGTTGTCGGACGACGCCTGATGGGCAGTGATCACGACGCGCTGTCAGATTTGTCTGATTCATTGGAGCTAGATGATAAATTAGGAACTGTTGTCGACCGTTCGAAGAAATGCCGTAGCCCTCGTGGGAAGCGCACTGTTGTCCCATCTGTCGAGGCCGAGACACACCGTACACGAGTTCCCGGAGACTATACGAAAACTTCTAAACTACTCGCGCAGCCTTACGATCGCTGGGTCGACTGTCAAACCTGTAACGTCTGGTTTGTCCAGCAAAATTCCTACCTCACGCGAAGGGAATGCCCCCGTTGCGAACGTCACTCTATGCTGTACGGATTCCGGTGGCCCAAGACTGACACAGACGGCCCCAATGATGACGATGAACGAGTGATGGATCACCGTACTATTCATCGATTCCTCTATCCCGAGGAAGAGGCACGCATCTCGCGTAAGGACCGTGGAGTCAGTTTTGGCATCACACCGACCCCGGAATTTTCCGACACACGCACTGAAACAGAGGATAGTGAAGGGGGCGATTCTCGGCGCAATACCAGAGCTAGCCGGAGACGCACTCGAGAACTTCGAATGACTATGTGATGATGATGATACTGAGTTGATTCGTATGTAATGTTGGGCATGGAGTTTGGGATCATACACTTTTTTTCGGGCATCTGGCATTCACTGCCGGGCATGGCGCTATTCAGACGGTTAATTGGGAGGTCGTATTATTCTATTTTTCTTTTCTTCAGTTCTTTGGCTGTCTTTGACTTGTTTTCTATAGAGCCTTGGCTGTTCTTGAGCTCTTGGTCTGTATCTTATACAAGATGTAACTATTTATTATTATTTATGCCGATTAAATGATTGGTGCTTTAACAGTGGAAAGTGAAGTTTTTCGAGGCTAAACTACTATTTATTAATTAAAGAGCAATTTCGACTATTTTGCAGAATTTGCGATAGCATTAGTACTAGATTGACTTGATCTGTTTGAGATATATATCGAACGGACTTCGTCATTAGAGTTCATTATTATTTTGGGGAGGAAAGATCTTTATATTGTTTACAGCCTGTATGACAATTGTACAATCCACCCAACAATTTTTCAATTAAAACCTCGTGTTCATCTGCTCCTTCGACCATCTTCATCTTCCTTTCGCCCCCGCATCTCCGCATCTCCAGCTGGAATAACTGCACCAATGGCAGTCAATCATCGTATTACATGCTTTAATTAGATCCATCCAACCGAGATCATCTTCATCAGCACTGCCTTCACTTGGTTTCGTATTTCGGTCTGCGCCATGCCGACAGAACTCTGTGCAGCAGCCTTAAAAGCACCGGAGACAACTCCATCCGCCCCTCGTCAACTTCTCCAGGTATGATTTCTCAAAATGGGGCTTCTATTTTACCTGGCCTTGATCGTCTCACTGTGTCTGACTTTCTCAATCGCCAGTATCGATGATGCCCCTCGCGTCTCTCTTGACTACGGCACTTTCCAGGGAAAATATGACGCAACCTGCAATCTTTCCTACTTCCGCAAGATACCCTTTGCAGCGCCTCCAGTAGGTGAGAATCGATTTCGCGCACCTCAATTTCCTCCAGAAATTAAGGATGGCGTTTACGACACCGATCAAGACTTCGAAATGTGCCCCCAGCGCATGGCCAATGGGTCCGAGGACTGCCTCTATCTCGGCCTGTTCTCGAGGCCATGGGATGCTACTGTATCTTCGCCTATTCTACGGCCTGTTTTGGTGGTATTTTATGGAGGAGGATTTATACAGGGCTCAGCCTCCTTCAGCATACCTCCACCGTCCTATCCAGTGCTCAATGTCAGCAATTTGAACGACTATGTGGTTATTTATCCCAACTACAGGACCAATGCTTTTGGTTTTCTTCCCGGAAAGGCGATCAAGGACTCACCTACCTCCGATATCAACCCAGGCTTGCTTGACCAGCAGTACGTTTTGAAATGGGTCCAGAAGTATATCCACAACTTCGGTGGAGATCCTCACAATGTCACGATCTGGGGGCAATCCGCTGGAGGAGGTTCGGTGGTGGCCCAGGTGCTAGCGAATGGCCGGGGAAACAACCCAAAACTCTTCTCTAAAGCACTGGCAAGCTCACCCTTTTGGCCTAAGACATATGCCTACGATTCTCCCGAAGCGGAAGCTATATATGACCAACTCACAGCTCTCACAGGCTGTTCTAATACAGCTGACTCCCTCGCTTGCCTTAAAACTATCGATGTTCAAACCATCCGCAACGCTAGTCTGGCTATCAGCGGTAGCCGTAAATGGAATACAAGCTCTTTTACCTGGGCCCCCGTCATCGATGGTGATTTCCTCATTGATACCCTCTCAGACGCTGTCGCCAGTGACTCGCTGAACACCGAGTACATATTTGCGATGTACAATACCCACGAAGGCGAGAACTTTATCCCATCCGGCCTGAGCAGTTCCAAAGGTAAAAACGGTTTCAATTCTTCAATTTCAAGTTTCCATTCATGGCTCACTGGGTTCGTACCGGGTCTGTCATCGGAGCGCATAAAGACGATCGAGTCGTTGTATTATCCCCCAACAGGACAAACAGAGACTATTGACTCATATAACTCGACCTCTACACGTGCAGGTCTTATATATAGAGATCTAGTACTAGCATGTCCATCTTATTGGATTACAATGGCGGCAGGCACTGCTGGATATCTGGGGGAGTATACTATATCCCCAGCTAAACATGGGAGCGATACTATATATGTAAGCCCCAATATCTCCTCTCTCAGGCTGTTTTTGGCTATTATTCGCAGGTAAATTGACAAGTTAATAGTGGAACCGGATCAATTCGATACAAAAGACCGACCCCCTGATTTACAATGGATATGCAGGCGCCTTTGCTAGCTTCTTTCGAACGGGGTATCCGAATACACATAAGTTGACTAACAACTCGCAGCCAGGTGTTGCAAATGTGCAAGAGACAGAGAAGGAGTTTGTGGTTACTAAGTCTGGGTTTGAGAATGTGGACTTGAAATGGCTTAAGGAGAGGTGTGATTTCTGGAGGGAGGTTGGGGGCGATGTCCCGGTTTAATTTACAGATAAGTGGTTATCTAATATGAGAAGTATAACAACAACCTTGAAAATGAATGGAATGAGTTGATTCGTGTTTATGCTACTATACATATACATACATGATAATGCTGTACGCGGGTATTGACTATCCATGCCCATTATGTTAACCCAACACCAACGCCGTTTATGTTTCAAAATATAATTATACAGGTCAAGGCCATTAGATCAAGGCCTGGCCTCGGAACATGCCCTCACGAACTTCCTTGACCACATCCTTCCGGTCCTTCTTGCCAACTAACACGACACCGCGACCTCGTTTGTTCATTCGGCCTAGACGACCTAGACGGTGGATGAAGTCGATGGTTGTATGCGGAACATGGTATAGAATGACTGTCTTGACTGCCAGGGTATCGATTCCACGAGACGCCAGGTCCGTGACGACCAGCACCTTGGTGTTGGGTAGGTGTCGCTCAGAACCACGAGTAGCCTTGGGGCTCTCGAACGGTATGGCGTCCTCTTGACGATTCTTCTTAGCTAGCATGATGTCATCTGGAGTGGGTGGGGGTGGTGATTCGGTGAATTCGGCTAGGATCTCCTCCTGTTGGCGGGCGCTCGAATCTCTAGACAGGGAAGTCGCATCGATTCCCTTGGCCTTGAGGAACTGAGCCACTTCATCTGCCTCCTCGCGCTCGTTGACGAAAACAAGGATCTTCTTAACCTTGGACTCGCCGAAGGAGCCAAATGGGCCTGAAGGTTCAGTGTCCCCAGCTTTGCCGATCGACCAGATGACATCGGCACAGGCCAGACTTCGGTTTCCACGGTACGGGTCCTTTTCGATATCAACCACGCCCAGTTGGACGCGACGGGGAATTGCATGTAGATTGGGCGTCGTCAAGCGTTGAACATCAGGGTAGCGCTTGCGGAGAACGGAGTCCAGACTGCGGGGGATGGTGGCTGAGCAGAAGATCAGCTTTTGTAGCGATGGAGCCGCTTTGTCGATGATTTCCGTGGTGGTAGGCGAGAACGAGCGGTCCATGAGGGAGTCGGCCTCATCAAGGACCAGATGGCTGACTCGACTGAGCACATACGGCTCAGTCTTTGCAATAGATGCTAGCAGATGTGGGGTCGAAACCAGGATGTCAATTCCGTTCTCGTTGAAAAGGATGCTCTTGATCCGGCGAGGTGTAAGGTTCGACGAAATCATTCCGGAGCGATACTTGACTGTGTGCGACAAAGCCTTCACCTTGACTCCCACTTGTGCCACCAACTCGGCCGTCGGTACCAAGATGATCACTCTGGGTCGACCTGCGTTGGATAAAGGTGGGAGTTCTGGCTCGATATCGAATGCCTGATTCTTCTGCTGTTCCTCCCGTTCCTTGGCCTTTTCTTCTTCTAATCTCTTCTCCTCCTCTTTATCTGCTGCCTCTGCATGCTTAATGGCGTCAACCAACGGAATCAGATACGCGAGGGTCTTTCCGGATCCCGTTTCTGCTGCAAGAAGGTATTGATCGTAGTTTGGCTCATCCACATCCTTTCTCTTGTTTTTGGGTTGAGGGGCTTCTAGGAGTTTCGGAATTGCGAGACGCTGAATGGGAGTTGGTGTGACATCGATCAATCCGGGGAGGGCTTGGGAGAGGATGGAATGCCGCACGGTGGGCAGCAGCGGGAATTGATCGAAACTGGTGATGTCGGCAATCTTGGCCTTGATTGCTGTCCGTCGGCCATAAGGGACAGGAGCCAATGTAGTCTGCATCTTCAATGCCTTGTACAAAGGACTTTCCTTCTTGTTTGAACTTTCGTCAGCGTCACCCGAACGCTTGAGAGCCGCCTGGGATCTCGTCCGCGGAGCCCCTCGAATCCGAGCTTCTGTCTGATTCATTCCGGCAAATGGTCCAAATCGATCTTTATCTCTTCGAGGCCGATCTAAGGATTGTTTGCCGACATTTTTGGATAAAGTCATACGGGACTTAGGGCGGAGTCGAGCCGTGGCCATGGCACGGGCAGCTTGCCATGTTGCGGGAATAGCAGAGGAAGCAGCCCTGGGGAAAACCGCGGCCCGAGTCTGACCCAGCAGACAGCTAGGAGGGCGTACAGGCAGAGGCATGCTGCCGGATTGGATGTTTCAGGAAGGATAAAGGAGGAAGATGGATGATGGAAAGCGCATCATCTCCTCGATGCCAACTTTTTTTTTGCCGGCGAACAAGCTCGCCTTGCACTAAACCCCATCGAAACTAGCGGGATCGGAGTGGAAACCTGGGGGATCAGGCATGTAAGGCACCCAGGCACCCAGGCAATTTAAGTTGCTATGGCGACTCCCGCGAGGATGTCAACATCGTCCATCGTGCGGGCATCCACGGGCAGCGATACTTATTGCTCCAGCGCATCAGTTTAACCTGTTTTCATGTGGGCTTTGTTTTCTTCTCCTCCTCGAACTTGATAGGACTTCTTTTTTTAACTTCGTTTCAGTCCTCTTTGGTGGTGGATGTGGTGTTTGTTTTGCTATTCTTTCTTCGTTTGTCGACGACTTGTGTGCTCATCCAACAACTTCGTAAAATTATCTGCCCTTCTTCTTCTTCCCTATCCCTTCGTTATCTATCTGTCGATCTATCAGTCTATCACCAAAAGCCAAACAAGACAAAGTTGTCGGCCTTTTCTTTTTGTGACGCATTTTACATTCCTGCAACGATATTATTCCATGACTTGCTCTATCTTGCTCTAACAAAGCAATATCTTCTTCTGATTCACTTGATTCCTTCTCTCAACTCTTTATTCTTTTTTCTTCTTCTATCGTCTCTTTTATTCGACAAAAAAAGGTACGAGCCCTTTCTCCTAGCAAGGGATATCCTGGGATACAGGGATCGGACTCTTTGTTGTCTTGCCCAGGGATCTGAGCTTCAGCTGCTAATGCGATCGACAGCGTGCTCTTTGTTAATCCTTTTCTTTCTGTCCCCTTGACTTGATTCCTGGTTTCTCAACCAATTTCTCCCACAGGATGGGCAACGGTACTGGTCAACGACCTCTGTCTGAAGTTAGCCCAATGGCTCAAAGACGAAACTCCCCTAGCTGGAACCAGAGCTCAAAAGTAAATTCATTGTTTACTCCTACCCTGGCCTGGGTTTCCTTGCTAACATGGTATCGCACAGATGGCGAAGACTGTTGAATCATCCAGCTTTGAGAGCCCGGCCTCTCCACGTCTTTTCTGGCAAGGTCGCGAGTCTGGTTCGCCCTTCCAGAAGAGCGCAGAGAACCAGGCTCCCTACGATCCAGAAGCCTCTTTTTCCAGCCCTAAACGCCCCTCTATCGAAAATCTGAAGCGGGCATCGCGTGTACGAAACAGTCACATGCTCCGCGACCACGTACAGGAATACGACCCCGCGCAAGTTTATGTTCCGCAAAGACCATTGGCCACTAGTCGATCGCCGCAGAAGCTAAACCAAAATCACGCTGGATCGCAAAAATCGGATGCGCAGGACGTAGAGTCCAGACCATCTTCTCCAACCAAAGACCAAGCATCCCCGTCAAAGTCTTCCTTGTCTAGGGCTAGTAGGTTTGGCGTAAAAGGCGCAGGCTTTGACCCCGAGAGTGACATATGGTCAGACATCGACAGCAATGGTCATCGACATGCGAAAAGCGTCACCTTTGACGCTGCACCACCGCAGATCAATGAGTACGAGATGACCACCCCAGACCCGTCTTCGGTAGCATCGGAGTCGCGGGACGGTAGCTATGACTCTGAGGAGGAGGATGAGGGAGACATCAGCTTCGATCGCGAATCCTCCATCGACCGTGACGATAGTTTCGATGCCTCTCTGGAGGACATCGAGAAAACACCAGTCGTACTGCCGGAAGACTGGCGATACATGAGCCCCTCCAATGCCAATGATGAGCTGGTGAAGGAAGACGAGGATCCCTTCACCGAGGATGAGGATGACGAGAGTAACAGTCCTGACCCTCGACCTTCCTCGCGAGAAGAAGTTTCCAACCGCCACTCACGCGTCGAGTCCCTGGATTCGAATGGTGAACGCCGTCCACTTCCACCGCTTCCATCGACTGGTCGCTCAGCCTTGCCCCCACAATCTTCTTCGCCCACCAAGTTGGCTGCCGCTTTTGAACTGGGTAGCGGTGGCCAACGAATCTTGCCATCCCCCCCTGGCCCCGCTTCCTACAGCAAGGCTGACATCAGTGAGGTCGGCCGCCCGTCTATGTCTCTAGAGGACAGGCTACGTCTCATGATGATTCAAGAGAATGGCGGACAGAAGGAGGATGCCTCAGAGGATAAGGCCAGCAAGGAAAAGCCTGCTCAACCAGCCGATGCTAAGCCGGAGAGTGTGGAAGCAGAGAACAAGAAGGAACCTAATGATATCGCGGCCAGTGATGCTGATGACGACGCCGCGACTGAGGAAGAAACCTTCTGTGCTCCCCGCATCTCTAGAGATTCAATCTTAAGAGACATTCGGAAGAGCGAGAGCTTCATGGATGATTCATATGAATATTCCTCTCAAATCGACTCTAGCCCACACCGTTACATGCATTATGACCCAGACGTTCCCCTTCCATCCCTGGAAAACGATGATGACGATGATGACGATGACGACGATGACGACGATGATACGAATAGCGTCGTGATCAAAGAAGAAGACGACGATGACGATCTTTATGACATTCCCGACTACTACGAAAACGTTCCTTCCAAGGAATCCTCTTTCAAATCCCTCGCCGACATCACCAATGGCATCGAGAGCCAAAACCTTAATCACTCGACCGATCAGCATGAATCGCAAGAGCCGCAGGGTTTGGGTTCTGATGATGGCCAGGCTACGCCTGTCCCAGAGTCGGGTTCAGAAGCGCCTGGCAAAAGACTTTCTAACGAGGCCCAGGAAGAACCGGCTGAGGTTCCTGCCTTGAATATGGCCGCCATTCGAGAATCCTTGCAGCGTCCAGAAACCCCAGACACAAAGGATGATGTTTCAGAGCCATCTACACCTGGCTCGGTCATCCGCCACCCGGTTGATGATGAAGACCGTGATGTTTCGCCAGACGAGGAAAGTGTGCCCGATCCTATTGCGACCATCAAGGCCCATGGGGCTAAATTGAAGACTCGTCCATCTTTGACCCCGGCCGACCTGGAACAGATGGCAGCCACTCGCCGTCAAGTTAGCGGCCAGCAGCCTCCTCCGATGCCTTCGCTGACCAAACAAAACTCCAATGACTCTCACCACTCGTCTAGTGATGCCTCGGAAACTCAGAAAGCAGACGATTCAAACCAATTGGCTCCCCCATCGCAACCCGAAACTGATCCTTCTCAGCGAAAAAGCAGCCTTATGAAGCTGGATATCCCATTCAGCATCCAGGAAGAAGAAAGCCTTGGATTTGGTTTGGACAAGGAATTTGACCGTGTCATGGAAACCCAAAAGGTTGCGTTTGAACTATCCCTTTCCCAACCCTTTCATGCCAGCCCGGCAACGACCCAGACCCAGGACTTTCGTGTTTCCCAAGAATTAAGGACACCAGCGGACCCTCGTGATCATTTTTCTGAAACAGCAGCTAACAGCCCAATCACCAAACAGAGAGGCTACCTCATGAGGCAAAACACGAAGGTCATCGTCGCTAGCAGCAATGACAACGAGCCTGTGCCCACCCCTGGAGATCCCACTCCTGACCCCCGTGGGACCAGATCCGCTGGCTCTTCGCCACGGAAGGCTAGTCAGCAAACCTGGACCACTGTCCCATGGAATGGTAAAACTAGAAGGTCGAGTATCAGAACTCCCAGCGGCATTCCAAAGAAGAAGCCTGTTGGGGGTCCAGTGCCACCGCTGCCAGGCCAGCAAAGTAATGTTCATGACTCCGCCCCGGCAATGGAGGAACCTGAGCCAGCTTTGAATGAAGCCCTCGATGACGGCGAAGAGCGAGGTCGTTTGTTCGTTAAGGTTGTCGGGATCAAGTATTTGGATCTACCGCTACCACGAGGTAAGTGTCCCCTTCGTCGACTTGGACGAAGAACATAAGGAACCAGAACTAATGGCTGTCATAGGCGAACGGTCCTATTTTGCGCTCACCCTAGATAACGGTCTGCACTGCGTCACCACGGCATGGCTGGAGCTCGGAAAATCGGCGCCAATTGGGCAAGAGTTCGAACTCATCGTTCAGAATGATATCGAGTTCCAATTGACTCTCCAAATGAAGGTTGATGAAGAGAAATTCCGGACCCCGGAAGCTGCACCCGCCTCCCCATCGCGGCAGAAGGCTTCAACATTGAGCCGTGTGTTCGCCTCCCCCCGTAAGCGCAAGGAGCTCGACATGAAGCAGCAGCTTTTGACACAGCAACAAAAGAGCAAAGATGTCAATGCCCCTGTTTGGGATCGACTGAGAACATTGATCGCTCGTGATGGTAGCTTTGGCCGTTCCTATGTGTCTCTTAGCGACCATGAGAAATCAGCCTACGGCCGCCCATATACTGTGGATGTGGCCTGTTTCAACGAATGGGCTACCGAGGAGCAGCCAAGCAGTGTCAAGAGCAAGAAGAGTACATCGAGTGGTGTGTCTCAGCGACGCCCTCCATACAAGATTGGTAAATTGGAACTTCAGCTTCTGTTCGTGCCGAAGCCGAAGGGTGCAAAGGAGGATGATATGCCGAAGAGCATGAACGCCTGCATTCGTGAAATGCGTGAAGCAGAGAATGTCTCTTCTCGTAGCTGGGATGGCTTCTTGTCTCAGCAAGGTGGTGATTGCCCTGTAAGTGCCTGTCCCCCAACCCACATGCTCAATTTGATATCAAGTTTGCTGACAGTAAGCGACAGTACTGGCGCCGCCGATTCTTCAAGTTGCAGGGCTCCAAGTTAACGGCGTTCCATGAAACCACTCGGCAGCCTCGTGCCACGATCAACCTGTCCAAAGCAGTGAAGTTGATCGACGACAAGTCTTCTCTCGTTCAAAAAGAAACAACCACTCGAAATGGCGGTCGGAGAAAGTCCGCCTTCGCCGAAGAGGAAGAGGGTTACATGTTCGTAGAAGAAGGATTCCGTATCCGATTCGGTAACGGAGAGGTGATCGACTTTTATGCCGACAGCGCTGCAGCCAAGGACGGCTGGATGAAGGTGTTGGGTGACGCGGTTGGAAAGGGAACGTCTGCCTCTGGAAGTGGCCAGGTCAAGCCATGGACCGACGTCGTCCTCAAGCGCGAGCGCAGCATGAAATCTAGGAGAGAAACGTCGGATCGTCTTCCCCCCAGCGCTCCTGCTCCCCCGCCTGTGCGAAAAGATGTTGCTCCCCCGGCGGGACCCCCGGCGCCGGCGCCGGCACCACCACGACCGCGACACAAGCATACTTTCTCGCAGCCCGAGACTCGAGGCGCAGAAGCGCGGCGACAGAAGACTCGCTCATTGATGTTCTGATCTGATGCTCGCGAGATATTTTGGATTCTCGTTTTCAGCCTTTTCTCTCTTTTTCTTTTTACAACTGTCACCATAAGCCATTTCAGTTTGTCGGATACTCTCTGTTGCATTTCTTCTTATTCATTGTTGTTGCGCCTCTTTTTCTTTTGATTCATCTCGTTGGTTTATTTGCTGGTGTTGGTGTATGAATTCCCTTTTTCAGTTTGTCTAGCCTGCGCTTCTTTCATCTTTCTTGTCGTCTTGCCTTCTCTGTTCCATGGCTTTCCAATCTGAATGAGGCTGTTCCGTGCTTTTACCGGACGATAATGATACATAACGCCTACCTTCATGAGTGAATAATTGAGTCATTTGCATTTATTCCCTCTTCTCTTTTTTCTATTAGACTGGTTTCGCAATTATTGAAGGACTGATTGCAGTAGATACCACCGGAAATGCTTCTCCTGATTCCTTTGGTGGATATAACATTATAAGCCATGTAGAATAGCATATATTGTTCAGGCCAAGTCTAATGGCGAATAGCAGGGATGTTCTATCTATAAACAATGAAACATATTCATTCCGCTTCATATTGTTTTTTGGTATAAATAATACAAGCCATATATCTAACCACCCTCCTCACCGTTGTCAGGGATACGTTCGTCCTCTGACTCGGACTCCACAGTCGCCAGGGCTTCTCTTTGAGAAATTCGACCTTTTTGAGCACTTGCTCTCCGGGATTGTTCTCGAGGAGGAGTCGTGGGTTGGGTAGTGGGTTTGGCGGCGGGGATTCCACCCGAAGTGACGAACAAGAACTCCTCTTGAGGGAAGTTATCGATGTGGTTGAAGAATGAGGAGAAGCTGTTTTGTTTCTCAGGTTAGTTTTTAAAGAGAAACAAAGGCGTTAGGGATACATACGCATTCGTCTCCTCTTCCTCGCGGAAGATCCGATCATAGATCTCCCGCTGTTTGAACTCGTCGATTTCCTTCTTGTAATTGTCGAAGTCGATGGGCTTCTTGCCCAGAGTGCTTACTTTCTTGTTGAATGTCTCGAAGACGGGTCGTTCCAGCAGCAAACCCAAGCCGGGTGCCTTAGGGATGGCAATCTTGGTGGCGCCGTAAGTCTCGACAATACGCTCGGGGTCGCAGCCACAGCGCACCACCATAGTCATCATGGCGACCATCTTACGGATTTGGTGCATCATGAAGCTCTGGCCGTGAACTTTCATACTGAGCCACTCGGTGCCGTTGATGATGATCGGGGTGGGGTGAACCTTGAAAGATTTGATGTGACGTTTGGCGGAAGGATCGTTGTGCATCTTTTGAATGGTATAGTTGAAGAAATTCTTGGTCCCAATGTACTTGTCCAGCCCTTCCTGTACGCGTGCCAGACGGGCTGCGGGAATACGATAGGTTCGCTTGGCCTTGAGGTAGGCGGCTTTGATGGCCTTGATCGTTTCGTACATTTCCCTTCTTTGATCCTCTGGGAGACTTTCCCTCCAGTCGACTTTTGTTGGCTGCTCAGTCTCAGCTGGCTTCTCTTCAGATGCAGTAGCCCCATCGCCGGCAGGGGCTGCTGCACTTTCTGTAGGCTTTTCGGACTCTTGCGGTTCATCTTCCTCGAGTGATTCGCCTTGTTCTTCGCCGAGATAAAGAGCCTTTTGTACCAGCTTGCGGATGTCTTCGGGGACATTGTCAAGAATGGGCTTGATGTATTGCTCATCAACATCGCTCCAGTACGTCGCAACTTCTTTTTGTCTTGCCTTGAATTGTTCCAAGTCCCCCTCCTTCTCAGCCAGCTCTACTATCTTTCTTCCAAGATATGTGCTGGGGTGTGGGGGAACAAAGCAATGGCTTGGGATTAAATACTCATATACACGAGAGTCGCACATTTGATAGCAGCTGAATCCCTTGTTCGTAACTTGAATGTCCCAAATGCGAATCTGTGAGCTGAGCTTTTCGTTGATCTTCTGGACGACATCGGGGTCTTCGACGATCATTTTCAACGAAACGATATTACCAGCCGCGTGGACTCCCTTATCGGTTCGTGCACATCTTACCAAAGATGATTTTTTCGGGTCGGCTGCGTTGGCTTTCGAAATGGCTCCGGCAGCTACGAATGCTGCAAACAATTCACCTTCGATTGTCTTTTGAGAATCGCTCCTGCCAACTATTAGATCCCAATATCAAGACACACAGAGATGGTTTGTTTGTCGCACAATTGCATGCCATGGTAGCCTGTTCCAGAGTATCCCAACAGCACCGCAACCTTCTTCTTCGGCCGCCTTTGCTCGCTTTCAATGTCTTCTTGAGAGAAATGTGTCGCATAGATCGGCTCTGAAACTTCTTGGCCTTCTTCAATCTTCCGACGCTTGGCTTCTTTTAGCTCTTCATTCCGTGCTCTCTTGTCTAAATTTTGCCGACTTGCTTGGTTAGTCGATGGTGACAGCAATCGGAACCGCGCTGTTCAACATACCTCCACTCCGACCGGCCCAAATTTCGTTTCTTACGCTGGTTATCAGCGCCTTCTCCAGCAGCTCTTTCCTCGTTGTTGTCCATGGTATCTCCGCAGCTAAATCACGTCCGTGGTGGAAGAAAGCTCGAGTCTGCTTTTGAAAACCGACGGAACAGACGAAGGTGTTTTGGGAAGCTCGAGAAGAAATGATCGAAAGACGAGCGACTGAGGGGATCCCAGCCAGACACTGACGCAAGACGGCGTTGGCGGGCATGAAGAAGAAACAACGGCGGGCAGGAAATCCACCGTCGACTGTCTGGATCGCGACGTCTTTTTTTTGGCTGCGACGGGCCTTGGCCGTGCCCTAGTCCGTATCGGGCCTAGCCCCATCGTCAGATCAGCTAGTCCCGAAACAGCTATTCTGACCGCCTGAGCGCTGAGGCACCAACAACTGCCCGCGAAAAGCATCAGCAGCAGCTCTTCTTTCACTCCTTCTCCAACTCCGCATCATTCTCACTCACCTCACTTGTCAGCCCTTCGTTTTTGCTGTCCTGAGAAGCGCCCATCTTTCTTATTATTTTCCAACCTCTAATTTCCTTTTCCAGTTCCATCTCGACGCAGACAACGAAGCATGTTGCTCTTCTTAAATTGAGCTTCAATCGTGGCATATACCAAGAACCTTGCGCTCGCTCTTCCACCAAACTCAGGCTCAAACTAGGGCCCTCAATCCTCTTTAACGTCTTTTATATTCTACCGCGCTATTGTTCTCTCCCATTAACCATGGATCTCGCGAATACCCTCATCCGGACCGTCGTTCGCGCTTTCTACGAGACCCGCCACATCCTCGTGGTTGATGCGCTCTTTATTCATTCGGTGTACGCTCTGCCCCTGGCTTAGGCGTCTTTGGAAATAGCTATGGATTTGATTTTAACACAATTATTACTGCAGACTTCATGCCGAGGATCTTGCCTTTCTTCTTGGGATGCAACAGAAAGACCTCCGGAAGCTTTGCGCCAAACTGCGCGAGGACCGTTTGATCGCAGTGTATGGCTTGCTCATTGCACAGTGGTTCTAACACTTGATTTGTATCTAGCGCTGATATGAAAATCTTACTGGTACAGAAATTCACGAGCTGAAATTCGCGATGGTTCGACTCGCCCCGTTAACCGCGACTACTACTACATCCCCTTGCATCCTGTCATCGACGCCGTGAAATACAAGGTCTCCAAGCTGACTTCGAATATTAAGCTCCAATACACTCCGAGCGAGGAGAGGAAAGAATATATTTGCCGGAGGTGCGGTACAGAATGGACTGAGCTGGACGTCCTAAGTCTATATTCGGACGAGGGTTTCTTATGTCAGAACTGCGGATATGTCCTTGAAAGGACGGAAGATGTGAAAGGGACTGAAGGCATCGATCGCACGGGTCACGAGAAAAATAGCAAACTCATGGCCCAACTTGACAACATGTTGAAGCTACTCAAGCAGATCGACTCTGTTGAGATCCCTCCGAACGATTTTGACACAGCCTGGGACCATAAGATTGATGTGGTCCGGAATCAGCAGACACACCCCACGCGGGCTGCCGTCGTTGTGCCATCTAACAAGCAGGAAGCGGTTCGTGGAAACACGAAGACAGATTCAGCCGCACTTGAGATCTCTCTCACATCTACCGAAGAAAAGACTGCCGCTGAACAGGCAGAGGAAGCTGCACGGAAAGCCGCTGTTGAAAAACAGAATGCTCTTCCCGTATGGCACACACACTCAACTGTTTCTACAGGTGCCGGAAATATGTCCAACATCAAGAGTGAAACCGACTTGGACGTCAAGCCAGAAATCAAGGATGAGGACGAGCAGAAACCTAACGTTGCCCTCGACGATAAGGTCGCTGCTTATTACGCTGAAATGGCTAGAGAGAAGGCCCTTCAGGAACAGGAGGACGAGGAAGAGTCGGACGAATTCGACGAGGAATTTGAAGATGTCGGCGGCGTCTCCGGCAGTGGCTCGGCCACCCCAGCTGTTGGCGCTCCCACCAGCACACCGGGTCCCGCCTCTGTTAGTATTAAGCGTGAGCTTGACACGGACTCTGGAACTAGCGCCCCCCAAACAGCCGCAGCAACACCTTCCACTGCTACCGATGAAGGACCGGCAGCAAAGAAGGTCAAGGTCGAACCGGAAGTGAAAAAGGAGGAGTCAGATGAGGATGACGAAGAAGAATTTGAGGATGTTTAGAAGGCTTTGGGATTATTCCTAACCCTGTGTCTCTCTAACAGTGCAACACAAGGGGATCGGCGCTGGCGCCAAAGAAAAAAAGAACACACCAAAGAAAGGGAGCATTATCACGAGGTGATGAACACATCAAACATACTATTGGACGTGTTATCTATTGAATTTTGGACTGGGCTCTTTGTCTCTGGCTGTCCTTTTTCTCTGTACTTATATTATTTACACCATTAGTTTTCTTTTGGCCCCCACAGCCCAGTGGGTTGGCTCAACTAGATATAAACTTGTATGAATACAGATTTTTCATTCCACTTTGTTTTGACCAAAAACATCTATAACAAAGTCTTAGCTGTGTTTTATGGGAGGATTACTACATTTCATGTCTGGTAGGTTTTCATCATTTTGCACCAACTTGTGTAGGTTTTATTCATAACTACTTCTTGCTGATGCACGATGTTCTTCGCAGGCCCGAAGAACCACAAAACAAAACCGAATGATCCTCCAGCAAGATAGATACAAATGGCTATTTCAACGAAACCGTCAACAATTACTAGTTAGTTAACACATAAGAAGAAGAAACACCCAACATTTACCGACGCCGAATCAAAGACCCATTTCAAATACAAACAGGGCAATGGAACGCCAGTCTATGCAGGCAAGCAAGCAAAAAATCGAGGTTTTCGTCATAAAATCATCGCTCGTATGTTGGTCTCATCACAACATCTGGAATTTATTATTTTCTGGGCTGATCGGATCAAGGAGACCCCGCCAGGCCCATCTCCGAGTCGCTCGCCATCATCGAGTTGTCCTCCCAATCTTCTGGAGAAGGTAAATCAGATTCTGGAATCCAAGGGTTAGGAAGGTGATATGGGTGAAGAAAAGACATGCTTACCAGAAGCCAGCTCCTCGGGCAAATCGACACTCAGTTCGTCGATGGCAGTGGATACAGCTATATACCCATGTCAGTGATATTCAACGCGCCTTATTCATTGGAAAGAGACTTACCATGTGCCTGACGAACGAACTCCTGGTCCTCCTCGCTGTCGCCAAAATACGCGACAAGGCAGTGGTCAATGACGGTTTTTATCGTCTCTACAACCCTTGCCTCCACATTATGGCCGGGGACAGCCAGGTATGTCCTCCTTAACTTGTCAACAGATGCATGCACAAGCTCCTTGGCAGCACCACCAAGGCGTGACTGCCAGTCGTCTATCAATTCGTCCGTCGTCCCACTAAACAGTATTTGGCGGAGAACTTCCAATGTCATGTTCCTGATTGCCTTGTCGGGATAAATGAGTAATGTCGGAGCCCAGTCCGGAATCTTTTCTATCACATGCGACAAGAACCAATTCTCGTTGAGTCCGAGGCGTTCGTTGCGAAGGGACATGGCGTTTGTGAAGAATGCAAGATGCTCTTTGCCTCCGCTGTTGTTGATAGATTCCACCCCTTTGGCAACGAAGTCGATCAAGGCGAGAATTCGATTCTCGTCGGGACTTCGTCGACAAAATATCAGAGTTGCATCCAAAAATGCAGTACAGAGCTCCGCCGGTGCAACTCTCAATCCATCCTCCAAGACTTTGCAGATCGCATCCATAAGGCCAGCCTCGGGCTCCGCGTCCAGCAGAAGTCCCATCATGTTTTTACATGCCTGCGGGCTGCTGTACTGCTGCAGCAATTTCTTCAAAAACGCGAGTTCTTGGTTTTTACCGAGAGGCCTGATAAAAGTGCTTTCTGCTGCGGTGAGAGAATATTTCCCGTCTGAGAGGGCCTGTCGTTCATCGTCGGATGTCGGTGCTACCCTGAGGTCGATGTTGCTCAACAGGATAAATAACACATCCATGAGTTTCTTGTGGGAGAATCGCCGACCCTTCTCAACGAGCTTGGAATACGCAACATATTGCCGCTTCAACTTCTTGGTGTCTTCACGATCAAGCCAAACGATCTCCAGGCATTTCAAAAGAAATCCGTTATTGAGTAGCACGCCAGCCTCGTAGGGTCCGAATGTAGCTAGCATTAACAGGAACTCAAAATAGTCGTCCCACGAGCGGCTCACAGTATGAATGGTTGACCATAGACCCTCCAACGTGGCCACAGTACTTTCAAACGCATCCAAGTACCGAATTTGCCATCTTTCTCTTTCAAGATTGTCCAAGTCGGCATTATTCCTGAGTTCTTGGAGCTTTACGAGAGCAGCCACAATTATTCTGATCGAGCTATTTCGAACAGAGGCATGTGGGCTTTTGAGGGCAAGGTTTCGAATCCCTGTAGGTCGTTCCAAAGTCCACTGAAGGACTCTGTGCGCACCCTTTGGGCTCTCGTTGATCGCTTTGAAAAGCTCTGACACAATGACATCCAACCCCAAAGGCTCCCTGCACCTCGATATCAGTTGCTCCAGCGTGTCTAGCGCAATAAAAATGACTGGTTTGTCCAATTTGGGTTTTCCCCCATTCTCTAAATGCATAGTTTCAGGGAGCCGGCAAAGGAGATATCGTATAAAAAGAGCGTGGTACGGATCCAGAAGACAGTAGGTCCTTATGAAAACCTCATTTTCCATGGTAATATGATTTTCGAGAGACAATGGTAATGGGACACGGACGGGGATGTTGTTTCTGGTGGGCCTGTAAATGGATTTGGCTGAATCCATACTGGAAACGCGTTGGTAGAACAACATGTAAGCGTTCCAGACTTTATTGAACCTGACTTGACCCATGGAGCCAGGATGAACGGAGTCGTTATAGCCACCAAAACACTGGTCTGCAATTTTTGAGGGGTCAAATCTGCTGACATCCGAGTCATTGAACTCAACCCATGATCCTCGCGAGCCGGTCGTAGGCCTTTCACGGATGTAGGAATAGTAATGTCCAGACTCGGCAGTACCGCTATGTACCAAAACACCAACTAGTTCAAAAACATCCTGTGGGACTTCTGTGTCCTGCTCAGAAAGATATTCAACCTTGAATGGGCTCATGTCGATGTGCTCGGGGAATTGGAATTCATCGTTGATCTTGTTCCGCATCATCGTAACCATATCAAAGTCAAACCGCTTCAAATGGAAGATGAGATTGTCAGGAACCTCTTTCAAGCAGGCTCTCTTCACAGCATCAACGTGGCGTCCACAGGAAGTGCACGAATACTTGTTGTCACCTTGCATGATTTCACCCTCGACATACGCTTGCAAACTTTCCTCGAGACTCGCTTTTCCCTTTATATCGCATTGGATAGCGGAAAACGGTTCCAGCCGCTCAGAAATGTGAGGGCACTCTTTTGATTTGATCTGCTGGACCAGTTGGCCGCCATAAAACGATCGAAATCTCCTTTTGTTCTCTGCATCATGAATTTGCGCCTCCCATCTATCGAACAGCAAATTGTAAAACTCGTCGACATCCATCTGTATGGTAACATCGATTGGTTCATTGTCGTAAGTCCGAATCGTGTCAACTAGTCCCTGAGGATCCACGCTCTTGAGCCATGTCTCTTGCATGTATCCAAAAAGTTTTTTGGTTTCTCCCAGAAGCCTTTGTGCAGATTGTGCATCGGTGATTTGAAGCTGAAGCATAAAATCCCTGAATCCTACATTCATGAACAGCTGTGTGAGAAGAGAGTTCAGATAACAGGTGTTGGATAGATTCTTGAGCCCTGCGTAACCCTCTGGGGACCGGATCATTTTATATCGATCGAAACACCATGTTGGCGAGTAGGTGTAATCGGCTGGTATAATATCTTCCAGATTTTCTACCACCTTCATATAATTGCGCTCGTCCTTGCAAAGTAGACTAAGGATAGCGTAAAGCTCTTGGCGTGTCTGTGCATGCATTACCGGTATCTGGGGAACGATTGGGGTGTCGGAAGGCATAGACAAATTAGGGAAAAGATAGCTGTCAAACAGACTCTCGGTGAGGTTGAAGGTGTCTATTGAGGCGTTGGTAGAGTTGGCTAGATCGAGACATGACCTCAGCAGGCGAGAGAACCCTAGTATTAGATGATCGACAGGTTCCCGTCCAACAAACTCCTCGGTTCGATGGCTCAGCATGATGCCACTCCATTGCCTCAGATATTCACCGAATATCAGGTCCCGTGGTGATTTTTCTGCGACAGACTGAAATACCAACATGGCGACTTGAAAGAATTCTTGCGACTGCTGTGCATAGTCTAAGGTCTGAGGTAAGGTCTGAACGAAAGCATCCCAAATTGTTGCAAGAATACCAATCCTGGTCGGGTTTTCGAGAGCTGGGGGCCCTTGTAGCTCTTCCTGGCCAGGTTTGCCAGACTTCTTCAGCAGTTTCGAAGGGCTGCATGCAACCGCTATATTTTCCGCAATTTCTTTTCGGATGGCCTGGCGGTTTTCTTCCAGTAGTAGAGAAAAAATGAGTCGATCAAGTTGGGCATGCTGTTTGATTACGTCCCAAAATTTGTGGTCACGCAAGGATCCCTCCGTCAAGACAGCAAATGAATTACATATCAATTTGTGAACACCAGATTGAGGGAGGTAAGTAGAGGGCAATTGTTGCCCTACTTCGATAAAATACACCAACTGTCGTACTAAAGGTGCTGGATCTGAGAGTATCGACGCACTTTCGGCAACGGGAGGTTTCACTATACGCGGTCAATATTCTATTTTGAAGACCAATCACGAGGTAACGGCTCACCTAGGAGAGCGAAGAGAAGACATTCGACGAGATTAGTCGCAAACAAAATTTTTGTGGGGTTGTTTGCGAGCTCAGACATTTCAGGGCGTGTTAAGGCTGCATTGAGAACAACCACACTGTGCGATACAAATCCGTCATTTGTCGATGCCTATTATACACTTGTTAGCGACCGACGCTTAATGGAATGTATTAGACTTACTTCTAGCGCTTGATCTCTGAGACATACTGAAAGCGCATTTACCGAGTAAAGAAAGCTATACGGCTTCTCAATGGGAAAGATGTCCTGGTCGGTCTTATCATCCGATTTCACGAGCTGTAGAACCCGCTCCTGGGGAGGGAAAACAACAAGGAAGTCGTAGATCTGCATAAAAAGCGTAAGCACATGGCCAAACATAGATAAAGTCAATAAGAAGCGTACCTCTCGGGCCAAATGATCTTCAAGACCGAGAAGATCATAAAGATCGTCAAAATGCTTCAGCACTTCTGAATCAACTAGTGTCAAGGATTGACGTCTACCTGCCAAGGAAACCTCATGACTATCCGCGTCTTTGCGAATGATGAGGAGCCCCGAACGAATCTTTAGGTCTCGAAGGGTGGACTCGGGTTTCTCCAAAAGATCGATTCTCCGTCCGCCATAAATCGTTTTGAACTTGGAAAAGCCCGTGAGTTGAACAAGCCGATCGACGAGATTGGACGCAGTTGAAAGGTCTCCAATCCGCATGGTGCTCACTTTTGAATGAAGACCCCCATTAAAGGCTTGGTAGGAGATATCGATAGGCTCGCCTTTGATGGGCCTCCGAGGCAAATCGGGAGGCGGACCTTGTGGGGGGCTGTACTGGGGTCGAGTCCTCAGACCTTGTAGAAATTGACGAAGAAATAGCAAAGACCGGCTAAATCTCAGTTCTTCGGCATGCATCTCACCCTCAGCGGCCAGTTTCCTTGGTTCTTTCTGCCCGTTTACTGCAGGCTCCTTTGGTAACTTTAACTTTATGGCTGCAGACTTGAGTTGATCTACACAACGATCTACCAGAGCAATATGGGTGGCTTCCACCGCCGACCGAGGAGATCGGGTGATCACATTATGATCTAAGTAGACCTCGATGGCGAAATTGGCCGCGTCCGTTTCAATAGATCCAGGTGGAGCAGTCAGTATGAAACTCCAGATTCGGTCCATTCCAGGAACCGAGACGACTTCTTTCTCGCCGGCAGTTGGCGGCGGGTTAAACCGAACCTCATAAGCAATAGCCTGCTTGGCTAAAGAAAGCACCTCTGGGGAATACTCCTCTGGTAGTAGCTCGGGGAGATATTCTTGAATGCACCGCTCAATGAACGGGTTTCGCTTCATGCTGTTGCTTGTCAAGGTGCATAGCATGTCCCATAAAGTTCGCCTCCCGTGCTCCACTAATTCCTTGGACATGAAGATCTTTCTCCACAGCACATCACTTAAATCCTCTGTGATGGTGTCCGGAACCTTGTCAATAATCCGAGCCAAGATATGAACCCGGGTCATCAAGCCAGTTCTTGAGAATGAGTCGGTGAAGTCGGTTTGCTTCAAATCCACAGCATGGGCAATTTCGGCTATCACCAAGTGCGTCAAGTCAAACTCCGTGGCCAACTTCCGAATTTCCTGGATATCATGAGTTGGACACAGAGCATTCAAAGCCTGTATACTGCCAACAGTAAACTGGTTCATTTCAGCAATATCCTGGATACAGCGTTCGTAGGTATCCATTTTTTCTGCCTCGCTCAGTCCGACCCTGATGAATTGGCTAAGTTGAGAACTAGCAAATCTTTGTAAAATAGCCTTGTGTTCCACAGAGAATTCATCAAATGCGGCACTTTCACGAATGAGACGCACACATAGCTGCAGTGGAATAGCATCGACATGCACAATATCCAAAGTATCATGACGGACTCTCTCATGTTTTTCCCGCACATGGTAAAGAAGCTGCTCACAAAAATCCACCATCCTGGCATCGAAACGGTTTAATGGCAAATCGAGGAGCTTTGAGCATAGATAAAGCAGCGAGGGAGAACCGGGCATGTGCATAGGAAATGTTTTGGTGAGCATTCCTAACACCTCAGATACCGTCCGCGGATCCTGGCTTTGTGTCACTGTCTCCCAAATTGTATCTGTATCAGCATCGGTGTATGTAGATGTGACAACCAAAAAACCGACGATGTTGCCGCTTCTGCTTATCAGTTGCGGGTGTGAATCTATGCCCACAATGTAATCGACGATCTTGTTGTCTCTGAGGAATCTGACCAGGTATTGAACTACAGCGTGCTCAATGCCCCTGGGATTATTTTGGATGTGTTGCCTCCAAACTTGAACTAGATCTGTTTGCATAGTCTCCATGCCATGGACCCTCAATTCCATGCGGCCATCCATAATGTGTTTCTTGAGCACGGAAAACCTCCATCCATAGTAAATTATAGAAGGGTACTCGTCGGATGCTGCGTCGTCTGGCAAATCTATCGAAAGATCCTCCGATAGCTGCAACGTCAGCGCTGGATCACGCTGACAGACAGCAGAATAGGTAGATGAAATATTGCGGAGCATCAATTCGCCAGTATCATTCGTGACATATGGCCATTTTTTAGTGATGTGCACCTGATACTTTTCGTCCACGGCTCGAACGAGATTGTAGGCCGCTTTCATGGTACGAATATAGACAGGTGAGTTGATGAGAGCATCATCCGCGTGGTGTTTTCTCCGTTCATTTCCCGATTCAACCATATTGTGCGCAATGTTCATTATATGAGTTAACGGAGACGACAATTGCGGCCACCGTGAAATAAGAGCCATGATACAGACTGTGTATTCAGATAATTGTGGGATGACATCAAATGGAGGCGCCGCAATTTGGTCGTTGAGCCGAGTGATAAGATTGGCAAGCTCCGAACCATGGACTTTTTCCATGGTACGGAAAAATGGAATGTTTCCTATTTGTAGTATCCAAGCCAGCGACGGCAGGTAGGCTCTCGACATCAATTCTGGTGCCTGGGTGTCCGGATCCTCGATTAACTGGCTCAAGGCCAGTGTGTCCGAACGCACCATGTGAAGTGTAAGCCGGGCATAGGAAAGAAAGAACTCTTCAAAGCAATCCCATGGCCCGCGGCCTTCATCCGGTTGAAAATCTTGCCTATGTCCACAAGTTAGCTCCAGAGATTCCTGTGTCCCTCCATTCCGTCAAGGGTGTCTTACACCCTGCGCAGCAAGCATTCTAACATGATAGGAATTTCGTCCCAAAAATCCCGGTCGTCGATCCAAACCTCATATGTGAGCTGGTTAAGGCTACTCACTGAGTCTTCTAGCCAGTTTTTCATCGCAAGAAAAACAGTCACATCGTGTGGAGGCCCTATAACAGTTCAGCTGGAGTAAAAGGTCTCCACGCATCAATGATGAGCACCCACCTTTCTCAATTATCGTCCATATTTCTTCCACATTTTCCCTCAAGTCAAGGTTCTCGTTAATCTTGGGGAAGGTTTCAGTCAACAATAACTGATCATGGAGTTGTACCACATCCGGCGTGACAGGGTCTCGTAAAGCCTCCCCGAGCGTCCTCCAGTTTGACACATCAGGTTCTTGATCCATATCCTCCAGCTCAGCCACCTCGATCTCTGGACTTTGTGCGGGCGAGGATGAGAGCGATATAACATTGGGTGCATGAGCATCATCTGGGTCGGTCGACTGCGCGGCTGGTTCGGCGCCGAGTTGCTCGGGAGAGGTAGAATCCACAGATTCCGCTGTCATGTCGACAGAGGTTGGGGATTTCATGTTGATGGTAACTCTGCTCGCTGGGCGTGTCGACACGGAAGCTTCCTGGTCCGGCGCGGCAGGAGCAGCCGCTGTCGAGTCGGACGTTCGCGAGGCGGAAGTCTCGTCGGTTGACAAGGATTCGCAGGCACCACTTCCGCTGTCGAGACGAGGGCGTTTCCTGGTGGTCTGGGGGTCGGAGTCTTCCATGGGATCGTTCTTGGGTCGCGTAGGGTCTGTCGATATAGCGCCAGGCGGGGTGCTAGAGCTCTCTAGCGGGGCAGCTGCCATGACATTTTTCCAGTCCCTTCTTTTTTGCTACTAGAAGGGAGAGGGACTGAAGTAAGTAAAAGAAAAGCGAAGAAGGAAAACGGGGGTGGAGTCAAGGTGAAATTCTCAGCTCCAAGGCCAGCAAAAAATGTGAGGGGGAGGAGAAAGAAGGTGAGGGATTGTGGGCAACAGGCAGACAGCTGCCTGGAAGAACAGCAACAGGGATTTAAATTTAGTGTGAGGTGAAATCAAGCAGAGAGGAGAGTTGATTGAAGCTTGAAATTACGAAAAAAAAGATATGAAGAAGAAAAAGAAAAGAAAAAGAAGGGCCGAACAGACAGGCGAAAGACAAGAGACCAGAGACAGAGAGAGCTCTGACGTTGCGGTGGAGAGAGATTCACGGGCGCAGGCGAATTGGAGGCCCTGCAGGCAAGGCACACTGGGAGTCAGCTTGCGCAAAGGGCGTGGTTTGGTCTGGAGGATGAAGAAATTATAGTTGATCAAAAGGTTACGAATTAATGAATTATTATTATCGTGATAGCTAGTGGGAAGCAGAAATGAAGCAATCAAGGCTCAAGGAGAATAAAGAATGGAGGGCGAACAGTCCAGCTGCAGCGATCAACGCGAGGCTGTGTGTTCCAGACAGGTTCGACGCTGCAAAAAGTACCAAAATCCGGATAGAATTAGAGTTGGCAAAGTGGCATATAAATTATAAAAATTATATGGAAGGTCTCTTCCACCTGTTACTATACGTAGTATTTATTGTTCTTTCTGTTCTCTATAGAGGTTTCCTTGTGACTGCTCTCTCTTCCAGTATATACCTCTGACTTGATATTCACCTTGGAACATCCATTCTTTACCATGAAATGCCAGAATATCAGATATTAAAACTTTAAAACATTCTTAATCAATCAAATGCAAGTTCATAATGAAAAAAAACTTGCTGGGATCACAGCAAGTCTTTAACTGTCATGTGCAGGATGCACACCTACAAACATCACCTGCAGTTAAAAGTCCTGCAGGTTATTATTATATTATAAATATCCAAGGCAATATGGATCTCAGAAGCAATAGAATCCACCATCTGCAATGTAATTGTAATTGATAAAGTCTAGATCGAGCCATCAGAGCTAACGATCGTCACTCCACAAGAATATTCCATGCCTTCTAGCGCGTCATTGTCGTGGTCATCCTACGAGCCATCTCCACTGGGCCACGTTTCTAGTCAGGAATCTTATGACACCAATATTTATTTATTTATCTACATCTTTCTCTCTAATTTTGAAAAGATATTCTCGTACATAAAAGAACAGAGCAAAGCTTCTAGTATCAGCAACAACCAAGCCCAAAGCATCATCAAATACGATCAACAGAATCATTCCGTCATCGAGGTTTCAATCTTCCGAATGATCTTAGCTGGGTTTCCAGCGACCACATGGAAAGCAGGCACATCCTAAAAATTGAGGTTAATATGTAACCGACTAGATCAATCATATAAAGGACTAAATACCTTGGTAACCACACTCCCCGCCCCAACCGTCGCACCTTTTCCTATTGTAACTCCGGGCATAATTATCACATTGCCCCCTAACCAACAATCCTCTCCGATATGTATCTCCTTCCCTGTCTCTGGGCCTTGGGTCCCGTTGCGCAGGGCTGGATCCAAAGGATGTGTCCCGCTGAACAGACTGACGTTGGGCCCGAACAGCGTCCTTGCCCCGATGGTGACTTGACAGGTGTCGATGATAACGCAGTTGAAGTTGATAAAAACGCCCTTTCCCACCTTTACATTAAACCCATAGTCAACTCTAAAAGGAGCTTCGACCCAGGGTTCATGCTGAAACAGTGCTTCATCTTCGGCTGGGTCCTCACACGGGGGAGGCAGAGGGGTTTGATCATCAACGACACTGTAGGATATTATCGAGTTAGCTTAATCTGATTGCAAGAGAATTTCAATGAGATGTGCTCTGAATCTACCGTATACGTCATGGCCACTCACTCTTTCCAAAGCTCGACCAAGCGACGCCGAGACACCTCGCCAGCACTATTGAACCGGTTACAGGCATGTTTACAGCGAGTACGGATAGCCATGAGTTCTGGGGTGAAAGCATAGTAGAGCTCACCCCGCAGCATCTTGTCCTTTTCCGTGTCAGGCATTTTTATTGTCTGTTACTGGTTCGATTTGCAAGTTGCACCGCGTGTTTGTCGAGAATTAAGTTGATTTCTTTGTTTGCCCATCGCATCACAAAGCGGGGGATTTGTCCCTGACTGACTAGTAATTGGCGCGGCCCCAGCGGCATCGATCAATCAATCATGGCAGTTTCAAGTTAAGGATTGTTCTCTTTTCTTTTTGTATTGTTCTTTTGACGAGAATTTGACTATAATATGAAGGCCATATAATTGCGAAATACCATCCATAGGTTGTTGTCGCCTGTGCTCTTGTCTGGTGTTATTATTATTTGACCATGACGCATCTCCGGAGGTATTATTGATTCCGATCCATCTCTTTTCCTCTTCTTTTATCTGGCCAAAAACAATCTTCTCTTCAACCCAATTGACCTTCTTCACCAAAATGACATTAGACTCCTCTTCCTCCAGCATCCACTCCGATACAGGTACCTCCAACGTCTCCTGGCCAAACGAACGAGCCCCCGAAGCAACCTGGCGTCCAGCTCGTCCAGCTCCAACACCGACATCTAAACCCCCTCCTCCCACCGACGCATCCAACTTCCCAAATGGCAAAAAATCTCTCTCTGGAATTTCTATTCGAGCCTTTCTCCTCGGCACCACCTTAGGTCTCTCCATCTTCCTCGCCATTTCCCTCGCCTGGTTCGCCTCGAGCCCGCTCTGGCGCGTCCCGTTCTTCCTCGCCTCGCTCGCCCTCTTCCACTTTCTCGAGTTCTGGGTCACAGCCGAATACAACACCCGCCTCGCGTCTGTATCCGCATTTCTTCTTTCCTCGAACGGATGGGCATATAATGTCGCGCACGGGTCTGCGGTCGTGGAGTGTATTATATCCTACACCTTTTTCCCGGGGAGCTGGTACCCGAATTTGACGGAGCCGGTGCCCGGGATCAAGGTGCAGGTAGTAATTGGGGTATTGTTAATGGTAGTGGGACAGGTAGTCCGAACACTGGCAATGGCGCAGGCGGGAAGTAACTTCAACCATACGGTGCAGGTTGAGCTTCGCGAAGGTCACCAACTGGTAAAGAATGGAGTGTATGCGTTCCTACGGCATCCGAGCTATTTTGGCTTCTTCTGGTGGGGATTAGGCACGCAATTGGTGCTTGGGAATGTGGTTTGCTTCGTGGGCTACGCGCTGGTCCTGTGGAGGTTTTTTTCAAGTCGGATACAGAGTAAGTTTTTATGTCCCCTGTGGATCGATTTTGATGTCTGACTTTGTTTCTTCAGGGGAGGAGAGGTTTTTGATTTGTTTCTTTGGAGATGAATACGTTGAATACAAAAAGACAACTCGGGTGGGAATCCCAGCCATTCCCTAATTTTGCCAACAGCACTGGAACTGGATATAGACAAGAATTTTAGATTTCTTTGAAAATAGATAATATGCATGTACAAAGGTTACAAATATTTTCAAGATAGAGCTCTAGACGAAGCTATATACAACATCAGCGGACAAAACTCATGCTACCAAACGCCATGCGCTACAAGAAATATCAAATAGTAGGCCTCATGATTCGCAATCATAAACAGACTTCAAAGTTTACTCTCCGGCGCAACCGCCCCAATCGCACCACTCATATATGGTCCATCCGGGCTGTAATCAGATTCTGGGAGCGCACCAGGTTCTGCGCCGAATAGAACGAGCTCGCGTCCACCCAAGGTGCTCCACCACGTAACACAGTAGTGGGCGCGGTCAACATCCATCTCTCCACTGCTCAGGGCCTCCCAGAACCGTTCGACACAAGCGCTCCGCATCTCAGGTCCTTCTAATACATTTATCAGGCGGGCCGTGAGAGGAAGCCATTCCTCCAGATCTTCCACGCGCAGGAAACAGAGGGAATCGATCAGAGCGAGTGTAAGGAAAGCTTGTTCAGAAAGCGGCGGCATTTTGCTCATATCTGTAGCCGCTCCGCCCTGCGAAGATTGAGGGAGTGCCTTTTGGGACGCATTGAGAGCCCGATCATGTAGAATCTCTATTAAAACGGAGGGTAGAAGAGGCTGGCTATTTGCAATGAGAGACGGGGGTGCAGTCAATTGTATGACCGTCTTGAAAGCAAGACGGAATTGGCGTCCAGACAGGTTGTGGGGAAATACCTACGAACCGAACAGTTAGCAGTGCGAAAAACGCTGGACAGGGCAGATAATCATACAGCAAAAAGATTGTCCACGTAAAACGGGAGATGTTTGGCTGCGATGGTTGCGTTTCCAGGAATTGCGACCACAGCAAGAAACACACTATGCGCCGCTTCGAATATCTCAAGAAGATTGTTGTTTCCACCAGCTGCAAGATATGGAAGCGCCGCAGAAATTAGAAGTTCTTCGCTTGATTGGGGGGACAGGACTGGGGTGAACAGTTCGGCTGTGTTCAAAAAGAAAAGGTCAAGACACCTCTCGACGGGATGCGCGGGGATCTGGCCAAGGTCTCCTGGTTTTACGCTTCTCAGGAGATTCTCTGCCAGATCCGGATACTGAGCGAGGATGTCGACAGCTGTAAGTGTCACAAACATATGTTGAGAAGACGAGTTTTGGCTGATTCGAGATGACACGAAATAGAGGCTTCTAAGAATATGGAGAGCTTGCATCGACAGATAAGGCGCACCTTTAAGACAGTCAATAATAATACCATAGACACGTAAAAAATAAAGACTTACTTCGACCAGCAGCCAGCACTTTATCGTTGATTACTCTCCCCAGCACGGCTCGGAGCACGATGACAGCCGAATACAAAGAGTTTCGGAGCACCTTCCATAGCATTGGTATAGTATTCTTCAGCGAGTCAGGGTCCAAGAATTCCGCTTCTTCAGCTAAATCAATTTCCGATAGCTTATTCTGGCGCCACTGCACCATCAATATCCTGGCGAAATCCGAAATTTGATCCACAGATTGCGAAACAAGCGCTGGATCACGAACATTTTCGATCGCATGTGCAATGAATCGAGATAATGGCCCTAATGCAGATATGAGAGGACTCGATGACATTGCTGATAAGTGGCCGAATGTCACAGATTGCGCCGACCATTTGAATCGTTTTCCCGGTACTTCAACAATGTCCTTGTCAATGGTACCGAGAAAATACCCGCCCTCCAGGCCTTCCGGTGAATAGTAAGTCGCTTGAATCATCACTGGCAGCAAGCGATCATAGTCCAGCTTGGTTCTTTCGGAATCGGACAAGAGTTCAAACGTGTAATTCAAGACCATGATAATGCAGCGCCCATTGCTGTCATCGCGCGGGTCTAACTCTTCAAGGGCCAGTTGCGCTGCCGTTACAAGCGCCGATTCAAGCTTTCTCCTGATATTCCACGGCAGTCCTTGTCTATTTTGCCCTTCGAATCCAAGCAAAATACCTCCAAGTAGGAGCATATGTCTCCATCGTGGGGACTTGTCGTCCGCTCCATTGACCACAGCCTTGACCCATGCTTCGCGTTCTAGTTTCCGTGGTCGTCCATATGAAATTCTTGGCTCATCCGCTGTGTCACTTTGCAGTATGGAGATGGCGGCTGTATTGAACACACTCAGGATCTTGCGACATGCTTGCAAATCAATTGGGCGTTCCCATATTCCGGGGGCAATGAGCAACTGCGAGGCGAGTAAACTGATATTCAGTGGATTTCCGAGCACGGATAGAAAGCTGGTCGCTGTTGGGAGTAGACTGGTAAAGCGAACTATGTTAGTCGGGACTGCTCCATTCGGGGGTCGATAGCCGGGCATCATCTCACGTAAAAGCATCTTGATATCCTGAGGGGGACTGGAGCGATCGCAAAAGAGCAGCCAAAGACCGCTCTGTCGCCATTTTAGGATATGGAAGCCAGGACCAGGCCTGATAAAAGCAACATGAAAGAGACCAAACGATTGAAGGAGAGATGCTGTCTCCGATCAGCGGCCGACTACATCACAGTTACCGCGGAGAACCCCAGATCACCTGCCGAGGTTGGTGGGCTTGCTGCAAACGGTGCAAACAAGCATATCGGCCAAATAATGAAGCTTCCTGTCTAAGCAAGAGATAGCGACAACATCATTTTACTGTGAGCTACGTGTTCGCCCATCTTATGCGCTGGATATCATGTTGGTTTCTGCCTTTGCTCTGAATGATCAGGCGAAGCAGCCTGTAAGAAAATAAATGGCCAACAACCGCGTTCCCATCAATTATCAAATACCTTCTTTCCCGTCGCTCTATGACCCTCTTCCGACGCATCATACGCTAGCCTATTATCTCTACTACACCCAGGACATATGGCGGTTCACTCTGTTCTGGACTTTGATTTTTTATGCGGCAACTCATCTCACCGTGGCGGCTTGTGCCCTGGCGATGCAATGTCGGAGTTGGAGAATATGCCTAGCTGTGCCACTGGTCTATATTGTCATTGGAGGGCTGGAGGCACTTCTTGCTGGGAGTATCGTCGGCCTGGTGTAAGTAATTCTTGATGTCATTATTGTGGGCTTCAAAGTCTAAGCTATAATAGCCTCGGTGCAGTTTACGAGTCCGGTAACTTCAGAATGTCGACGTGGCTCCCTATGATATGGGGTGGGGTCAACGTCATGGTCCTTATACTTTCCAGCTTTCCAATGCAAGGTGGATTATAGACATGATCGGAAACTGAGCTTGTTTGTTTCTACTATCAAGTGAAAGAACCCACTCAGCCACGAAAACCGAAGAACAAGCCTTGTTGGCGACCACAACCCTGTACGGAAGACAAATCAACACATACAAAAGTCCCGCTATGCTAGGGGTTTTGCTTAATCTGGAAACGCCGACTTATAATACATCTAGAGAAATTGCTTTCGCAAAGCATGCAACATCATCAATCAGAAAGACCCAAACAAAGCACCCGCCATTGCGCCAGATTCCCCAAGGTTAATTTTAGAAGGGCCTTCACTTTGCAATTATCGACCATATCCACCATCAGGTGTGCCTCCACCTTGGAGTCCAGGAAGCCCCCCAGAGGGGAAAGAAGGAAACCCGGGATTTGAAGGGAAGTTTTGTGGGGGAAAGTTTTGGGGCAAAGAAACTCCCTGTGAAAGAAGCTGTTTTTGTAGCTCGGCAAGGTCGACATTCATTGGCGGGGTTCCTGTCATAGCAGGGGGCATAGGAAAGCCGGGCATACCGGTGTTTGGTGGGAAATTGTTCGCTTGGGGTGGTTGTTGATTCGACAAGAGTGCAGCCAAACGGCCGGGGTCCATTTGAGGCATTGACCCAGGCATTCCAGGTGGCGGTGGAGGTTGGGAAGCCCCGATTCCCGGTAACATTCCTTGAGGCGCATCTGGGTGAGCGACACCGCCAGGAGGAGCAATCTGTATTCCAGGAAGGGAAGGCCCTGTGGGCTTCTGATCGGCGAGACTATCGGCCTCATCCTGTATCTCTTGTTCCTCTTCTTCGCGCATCTGCCGCTTTCCAAAGCCTCGATTCCATGTTCCTTGAGCCTCCGCAGCCTCTTCTCCGATATGAAACCTGTCTTTCAAGTAGCTAGTCTCCCCGGGTCTGGGCCGGGACCAAAAACGTGTGAAATTATCCTTTGAGCCAGATGCAAGAATATGACCGAGAGGGTGCCAGTCTAGTGACCAGATTGTCGCACCGTGCGCGTATTGAATCTTGTGGGCAGGGTGAATCACTTGCGCCGGTGTGTTGGCTGGATCTGGGCTGTCATACGGTGCAATCGTAGGAATCTGCCCATTGGGCAGATTAGGCTCGTCAAGTAGATAGTGGTATAGCGACCCATCTTCGCTTCCTGTTGAGACAAGTGTGCTGTGAATAGGATGCCAAGTAAGTGATGAAATGGGCTTTTCATGTCCCCGCAGAATGCAAATATCCCGCATCATACGCAGATCGAAGATTCTCGCGGTTGAATCCCGCGACGAGGTGGCAAGAAGGTTGTGGTTCACCCGCGAAAACCGAGTTGCGGTGACGGTATTCTTGTGACTGTGAAGTGTGGTCAAGCAATGTGCGGTCCGAGGGTCCCAGAACTTGACCTGATGGTCTTTGGAGCCGGAGACCAAAAGCCCCTTGGTGGGATGCCAGTCGCATGATTTAACATCCCAGTTGTGACCAGTAAGCGTGGTGTCCGTGGTCCTGGCGGTGAAATCGAATATCTTGAGTGTCGTATCATCGGATGCAGAGAGGAATTTAGCGTCAGTTGGAGACCAGGCTAGGTCGCGAACAGCGTCGTGGTGCGCGTCATCGATTGTTTCGACGTTGTTGAAGTTCGGCCGCCAGTATTTTATATCACCCTTTTGTCCTCCGGAAATCAACCAGTCATGGCTGTGAGACCATGACAGAGATGTTACACCTGCTTGCAGTTGATCATAATGTGCCTGTTCCACACAATCAATAAGCTGCAGTTATAACACGTAGCGGAAGAAAAATTGCACATACGTCCATAACAGTTTCAAAGTTGAAAGCCGTTCCATTCCACAACATAAATTCTCCAGTGTGTCCTCCAGTCAATAAACGTCTTCCTTCTGGCGTCCATCTCACAACTGTAATTGGCTTTTTTGACTTTCCGATCGACTGGTGTAAATGGCGCACTGGGAGGGTATCGGCGGGGGAATGGATTCGTGCCAAGGGAGGGAGCATCTAATTCAATGAGAAAAATCAGCAGTGTCCCATTATGGATACCACGAAGAAGTAGAGCACTCACATCTACAACATAGCTAGGGCTAGGCCTCTCAAGTTCTATCCGATTTCCTCTCTTGTAGCGTGGCTGCCGCGTGCGCATCCATTGTACAAGCGACGAACCATAATCGGTGACGAGTCCTATTGATGAGCTGTTAGCCTAGTCAGGAACATTGCCAGGGCAGATTTGGACATACTTGGTCGTCGCGGACCTGCAATTCCTCCTTCAAAAGACTTTCCACCCCGTCCAAAGTGCTGGGAGTCACCCCCATTCTCGTCGTAGAAAGCCATCGCAACTCGTTCGTTGGGTATCGGAGAAAGCTGACCGGAGGTTGCAGGCGAAGAGGGGAAAGGTTCACGTGAAAATCCGCAGGCTTGCAATCATGTCAGATAATGGCAATTGCAATATTCGAGTAAAGAAAGGCTTGTTGAGAGAGCTCAAGCTCTGATGGAACCTTGCGATGGCATGCGTGAAGCGATAATCAGGTCGGACTGTCGGGCGATGAAAGCGAAACTCGCAGCGTCCGAGCGGGCGGCCGTCATTGGCTCGAGCTTCCAGTCTTTACTGTATGTCAACAATTTCTACTGATATTGATTATTTGCATTCGCATTGGATCGCGTATAATAATATAGGGTATTTAGAGGAGAGGCATTTTGCTTTTGACAGTAATTTACTCCTTGGCTATGGTGTTACCTTTTAAATGGGGGTCAGACTGCCATCAATGGACATAAATGCATGTCTCGTAGGAACGAAATAGACATAATATAGTAAGACATAATTTATATACAGAGTTGCAAGGCATAAATCAGCGAAATTAATGGCGAAATCCGAATAAAAAGCGACGAGTTTTCGGCTGAAACAAACTTATGAACACCTGAATTTCCAGACATCTTCATCAATGCCACTAGTAGCATGTGATAGATATCCGACAGGCAGGTAAACTGCCAACAAATTCGACATTGTGGATTCTTCAGACTCAGCATTCACTCATAATCGAGTTCTTCTACTTGACAATCCATCCCAGTCCCTATCTTCACATCCTCTGATCGTAGCATTGTGAGACTCGGAATGCTGAATGTTCATCCTAACGGTCGGACGCGCCCCAGTGCTCTCTTATTGGCCGAGGCAAGCAGCTGCATCCAAGCTCGTCACCTTGTCATAATAACCCCGGTCGCCGTTATGGATTATGGAGAGGCCTTTGCTCCGTTGTTGCAATACTAACCAACTAACTCACAACAATGCGCAGACCGTCAACCCCGCCATGCTGCTTCTTCTAGACCCCCTTATCGTCTCTCTTCCATCGTCAGATTCTTCGTGTCATGATTGAGCCCAGTCCGACTTCGATTGCTGGGTTTCCTTTCTACGCCGTCCACACAATTGCCTCTAGAGCCTCTCTCTTAGCCTACTTCTCATCCGACCATTGTCGATCGATCATCCTCAGAAAGCCAGAATAGAGGGTCGAAAGGATGGCCAGTCTCGGGAGGACGTCCTCGAGCAGCGCTGTTACTAGCAGCCATGATGTGGTATCTTCGTCCAAGCCCCCGAACGGAGCTGCCGGCAACGGTTCTCCCTCGAAAAATAGGGAAGTCCCTGATAACACAAAGCGACCAAAGAGGAGAAACAAATACAGACATGTTGCAGCGTACCATTCACAGCTGCGTCATTCCAGTCTGAGCCGCGAGACTGATGTTATGACGAGTTTCCTTGGGTTTCGCAATCTCATGGTGATCGTTCTGGGTAGGTAGAGACCGGATCGTCGGAGCTTGTCTAGCTCACATAGCTGACGAATTGAGATTATAGTGGCGATGAACCTTCGTTTGGTAATTGAGAATTTTATGAAGGTGAGCGTCATCTAGTTGATATTGACGTGACCCCCCCCCCCCCGCTAACGAATTGTCCAGTATGGCGTCTTGATTTGTATCAAATGCCATGATGTTCGGAAGCAGGATGTCGTCCTCGGTTCAATACTCTTTGCTCAAGTCCCAATCCACCTTTTTGTGGCCTATATCATTGAATTGGCTGCTGCAAAGCAAGCCAAGCGTACTGCCGGACGCAAGAAAAAGGATGGATCAGCCGATGGAGACAAACGTGGAGAGCATGTCTCCGTATGGACGTGGAGATTCACCGCGTTTTTCCATACGCTGAATGCCACCCTTTGCCTTGCCGTCACTAGCTTTGTCGTGTATTTTTATATCCATCATCCAGGCATTGGGACGTTCTGCCAGCTCCATGCAATCATTGTGTGGCTCAAAAACTGCTCTTATGCGTTCACGAACCGGGACCTTCGCCAGGCGATGCTCAATCCGTCAGCAGAATCAGCACTTCCGGAAATCTACTCATCATGCCCATATCCTCGAAACATCACTCTTGGAAATCTAACCTATTTTTGGCTAGCACCTACGCTTGTCTACCAGCCTGTTTACCCCCGAACACCGCGCATTCGATGGTCATTTGTCGGCAAACGAGTCTTCGAGTTTTTCTGTCTGGCCGCGTTTATTTGGATACTCTCGGCCCAGTACGCTGCTCCTGTTTTGCGAAACTCGATTGATAAGATCGCTGTAATGGATATTGCGTCTATTTTTGAACGGGTCATGAAGCTATCCACAATCTCTTTGGTCATCTGGCTCGCTGGGTTCTTTGCCCTTTTCCAATCGCTGTTGAATGCGCTGGCAGAAGTCATGCGTTTTGGAGACCGTGAATTCTATACCGACTGGTGGAATAGTTCGAGTCTCGGTGGATACTGGCGGTCATGGAACCGGCCTGTATATCTTTTCATGAAGAGACATGTGTTCTCGCCTCTCATTGGGAGGGGTTGGAGCCCTCTAGCAGCCAGCACAATGGTCTTCACTCTTTCAGCCATTCTCCATGAGATGCTCGTGGGAATACCAACCCATAATTTGATCGGTAAGATAGTCTGCTCTTCAGTCAGTTCTAGAAGTGCTAACTCCCATCTAGGCGTCGCATTCGCAGGAATGATGCTCCAATTGCCACTGATTATGGTCACTACGCCACTGGAGAAGATCAAGGATCCTTCTGGCAAGATCATTGGGAATTCTGTCTTCTGGGTGAGTTTTTGCCTTGTCGGTCAGCCTCTAGGTGCACTGCTGTACTTCTTTGCATGGCAGGCGAAGCATGGTAGTGTGAGCCGAATGAGTGCCTAATTGAATCTATTTGTGAATGTATAAGGGTGTAGAGAACATAGTACCTGTCTTCATCACAATTTTGGCTATTTAGGAATGCGGACAGAAAAATGAAATCTTGAATATTTTCATGGCCTATCATGTTTACTTTTCGTTCAATGCCAATCCCATTGCAATTGATAGACAGCACATCCCTCACTAAATATCTCGAATCTTCCATGTTCAAAGCAAAAACGTGTTATTATTTGGACGGTCAGCATTGTCGGGGTCGGATAGTTGGATGCTCCGACGGTTGCAGTACTTTCCGACCCTGCCGGGAAAGAGAAGCTGAAGCTATATAAAGCATCTGAATCCACTCTAGATCTGTTCTATTTTTCATACTTCATTCATACTTCACACATTAATATTCATCCTTACGATAATTCCATCAAGATTAACATCATGGTCGCAATCACTGTTCCTGACAACTACGGGTGAGCTTCCCCAATATATTTGGTCGACCATCCCTTGGTTTTAACATCAGAATAGCTCTGTCATTGCCATCGCCCTGGGTGCAATTCCTGTCCTGGGATTTGTCCACGGCATTGTCACCGGAAAGACCAGAAAGGCCGCCAATGTTCCTTACCCGCACAGTTATGCCACCATTGAGCAATGCAAATCGAACGTAAGAGCATCTATTCCTGTCCTTGTTAACTCGATATGTCTATTTGCTTTCAGGAACGGGTCGAAGCTAACAACGTCTAGCCCAAAGCCGAACAATTCAACTGCGCGCAACGTGCCCACACCAACTTTCTTGAAAATGCCCCCCAGACCATGCTTTTCACTCTGGTCGCAGGACTGAAATACCCTCAGTCGGCGACAGCAATTGGAGCTTTATGGTTGACCTTCCGCACTCTCTTCCTGTATGGCTACGTGTACTCGGGCAAGCCCCAGGGTAAGGGAAGAATGATTGGCGCATTCTTCTGGTTGGCGCAGGGCGCTCTTTGGGGATTGACTGTGTTTGGAGTTGCAAAGGACTTGATTTCCTACTAATAGCCATTGGGACCTAAGTATTGCAATAATAATATATAATATCGATGGGACTGCGATGCATTCATCCTGTACAGTAGCTGCGCCACACTTTGATCGATGTGGCTTACCCCACAGCCGGAAATGGGCCAACCGAACGCCGATGTGGCTGTGCGTGGCAGATCGATATGATGGGTTTTATTCGAGATTCACTTGTGCTTCGTCTATCCACCATTGTCTCGTTTTTATGAATATTTTATGACAGGCGATATATCTGGAGAATAAGCAGATAGACCAGACGATAGGAGAAATCCAATCAGGGAACTTGCAGCTAATCATACAATCACCTCCCATACACCCCGCATTACCCCTCCACCGGACAAAATGTCTTCGAAATCGAAATTGACCTACAGCACCCGTGCCAGCACCCACCCCAATGTCCTGGTGAAGAAGCTCTTCGAGGTCGCCGAGGCCAAGAAGTCCAATGTGACCGTTTCCGCTGATGTGACGACTACCAAAGAGCTTCTCGACTTGGCCGACCGTATGTGTCTCATTAGCAGACAGGTTCGCAGTTACTGGAATTGGCATACTGATTGATTTGGCTCTCTATAGGTCTTGGTCCCCATATTGCCGTGATTAAAACGCACATCGATATCCTCTCCGACTTTAGCAATGAAACCATCACCGGTCTGAAGGCTCTGGCTGAGAAGCACAACTTCCTCATCTTCGAGGACCGCAAATTCATCGATATTGGCAACACGGTTCAGAAGCAATACCACGGTGGTACTCTGCGCATCTCCGAGTGGGCACACATCATCAACTGCAGCATTCTTCCCGGCGAGGGCATCGTGGAGGCTCTGGCTCAGAGCGCCTCGGCCGATGATTTCCACTACGGACCCGAGAGGGGATTGTTGATCTTGGCCGAAATGACCTCCAAGGGATCGCTGGCAACAGGCGAATACACCAAGGCGTCTGTGGACTACGCGCGGAAATACAAGAACTTTGTTATGGGATTTGTGTCGACGCGATCGCTGGGCGAGGTGCAGTCGGAGGCCACATCCCCGTCTGAAGACGAGGACTTTGTCGTTTTCACGACGGGAGTGAACCTCTCGTCCAAGGGAGATAAACTGGGACAGCAGTACCAGACGCCCGAGTCAGCCATTGGGCGCGGAGCGGACTTTATCATTGCGGGACGCGGAATCTATGCGGCGGCGGACCCGGTTGAAGCGGTGCAGCGGTATCAAAAGGAGGGATGGGCTGCGTACGAGGCCCGCGTGAGTGCATAAATAAATATTACGGTTATGCAGTGAGTGTATAACGAATGGCAGTTTGATGGTTTGGGGGTTTTGGAGTAAATAGGCACCGCGTGGATATGGTCTGATCCGATGCCTGAAGCGATCATCCATGAATTAGAGATACATTATCTGATCAATTCTAGTAAGTCTAGCTACACATTGCCATTCTAACAACATCACACAAAACAGGGTGTAGATACTCAAGATAGCTCTGCAAAGGCGACTCCACTGCGCTGATAAGACAGCTGCTGATAAGCACGCCCAAGTGGAGATGGAGATAAACACATCCTGGCAATCCTGTAGCATCAAAACAGTCCTGTGATAAGAAACATCAACGGGGGCGAGATCTGTAGCCGACTTCGAAGGATTCAAGCTTCCCCTCTCCTTGGCTGTGTCTGAACGAGGAACAACAAAGCAATCATCCCTGCCTTCTTCCCTCCTCCCTTAGCAGCGGAACCTTCCGCTCCTTATACCTTCATCCTTTCATCTCTCGAATGATAGGGAAAGATAGGGTCGCACTCGATGCATTCAACCTCACATTCAAGCCTGCCGACTTACTCGGCTAGCAATCCACTCAATGGCACCGTCGCCAGCCTTTCGAGTGTCCCTGATTGGGTCGAATCGCTGATCTCGAAGCACAGTCCTCGGAGACCGCCAGAATGTAACTTTGTCTCCCCCTTTTTTCCCCTCACGCCTTCGTTGCTCCAACATGCCGGACTAGTTCCATCGCGTGTCGATAAGCATTCCAATTACTCCCGGGAAGGATGACGGGCTGTACCCCAGATATCAGCTGCTTATCATCGAGATACTAGGTGCTGCACGTCACGCCTAATTGGGCAGTTGAAACCCCAGATAACCACGGTCGTTGTCGCGTCCTTTTCTCTTATATATCGTGGATCTCTCAGATCCATATTTTGTATGGCCTTTTTTCTTCTAACACACTCTTATTGCTTAGTATACCTAACACACAATGACGGATGACAAGTCGCCTCCACTTCACGCTGCGGATGTCGAGAAGGATGTGAAGAGACACGTCGACCCCACACTGGAAAAGCATGCCCAAGATGGGGATGAAGCGTTGAATGCCTTCGAGGAGCTGCAGGGAGAAACAATCACCCTTGATGAAGAAACAAACAAGCGACTGCTGAGGATTATCGACTGGCACTTGATGCCTATTATGTGTTTCATCTACGGCATGAACTATCTGGATAGTACGGTTCTCGATTGACTTTCATAAAAGGACAAGCCCATTAACCAAACACAGAAACAACCTTGTCCTATGCGAGTGTCATGGGAATAAAAACCGATCTGGGGTTGAAAGGCGATGAGTATCAGTGGCTGGGCAGCTTGTTTTATTTTGGTACGGTTACTTACTGGATAAAAAGGGGAAAGCAAATTCGATAGAAACTGACTTTTCAGGTTACCTTGCATGGGAATATCCAACCAACAGACTCCTCCAACGTCTACCCCTGGGTAAATATTCCGCCGCTTGTATTCTGATCTGGGGTTTGATCCTCTGCTGCTTTGCTGCTGTCCACAACTACGCCGGGGCAATCGTCATCCGTTTAGGCCTCGGTATATTCGAAAGTGCAGTCACTCCGGGTTTTGCACTATTGACGTCCCAGGTTAGTTAGTTCTCCACGGGTTTGTCTTCCAAATATTTATCCAATGATTTAATGCAGTGGTACACCAAACAAGAGCAAGGAAGTCGCGTCAATATCTGGTTCAGTTTCAACGGCTGGGGTCAAGTGCTTGGAGGACTCGTGGCATACGGAATTGCAGTTGGAAGTGAGAAGCATGGATCGACAATCGAACCATGGAAGATCGTGTTCCTTTTCACAGGTCTCTTGACAGTCTGTCTCGGATTAGTCTTTCTATGGATTATCCCCGACAGTCAGCTAAATGCACGTTGGCTCAAGAAAGAGGACCGCGTCCTGGCCGTTGTCCGGGTAAGGTCTAACCAGCAGGGAATCGGGAACAAGCATTTCAAGATGTACCAAGTGAAGGAAGCGCTTTTGGATCCCATGACATGGGCTTTCTTTCTCTATGCCCTAATTGCGGATATCCCCAATGGTGGCATCACCAACTTTTTCAACCAGCTGGTCAGTTGCACTCACCCATGACCTAGGTTGATAACTATATGCTAAAGATAAGCAGATTACTAGCTTTGGATACACGGAAGAGCAAAGTCTCCTCTACGGTGTTCCCGGTGGTGTTGTTGAAGTCATCGCCCTTCTCATAAATGGTTACGTCGGTCAAATCACAAATCAGCGAGTCCTCAGCAGTTGTGGTGGCTTGATTGCCTCCATCGTCGGAATGGTACTCATAGTCGCCTTGCCCTTGACCAACAACGTAGGCCGTCTCATCGGATACTATATGACACAAGCTAGTCCGACGCCCTTTGTGGCACTGCTATCGTTGGTTTCCTCGAATGTTGCTGGATACACAAAGAAGACTACTGTGGCTGCTATCTACCTGATAGGATATTGCGCTGGAAATATCATCGGTAATATACCTCAAATATCCGAAAATATCAAGCATTCTAACAAATGTCTATAGGGCCCCAAGTCTTCCGTCCTCAAGATGCCCCTCGCTACGTCCCGGCCGAGATTACCATCATCGTCTGCTGGGGAGTGTCCCTTATTCTCCTCGTTGCAATTTGGTGGTGGTATAAAAAGGAAAACGACCGGAAGGCTCGTATTTGTGCCAGCCCTGACTACGTACGACTGGAGAACCAAGAGTGAGCCATTCTACCTGCCTGGTTTCTGATTAATATTGACTTACTGACTTCTACTAGGTGGTTGGATCTGACGGATAGAGAGAATCACGATTTTGTCTATGCTCTGTAGTCGTCGACGTGCACCTGACTATTTCATTGATTTAATGAGATGATGAACTTGTACATATTATTTTTTGGATGCATCGTTTATTTTACTGTTTATTACAGAATTTACAATCCTTCTCCAGACAAACTCGTTGTTTGCGCTATATCGGTTGATTGATTTATTGAATTTGGTGTATCCGGGACAACAATACAGCACTTTCTGTTGACTCGATCTCAACAGGCCTTAACAGGCTACAAAGTAATGTCCGCGGATTAAATGGTCACTGAACTGAACATGATTTGGTGCTTCAGATGTTTTATCCCTTGACTTTCCACGACTTCAACAAGACCCATCTACTCATTCCCGCAAGCTCATGCTCGTTCGCCCTTCCATAGCTTTATGGTGTTGCCGAAGCAGAGACGCGTCGAGTATAGTTTTTCTGGCATACATATACACCAGATTAGTGACTTTCCAGCATGATAATACAATACGCACATAACTTTATATGCTCATATTGAATGCTCCGCAATACCCAATTCTAATTTCGATCCGATTTGACGGCAAACATGCTGAGGACGTATTGTCGGGAGGTTTCGAGGTACACCAAACAGGTTAGTCACTGAGAAAAAAACGAATAATAGAAGTAGCAGTCACATACCCCACACCCTCCCCCCAATATCCGATAACCCAGGCCCAGGCCCGTCCCTGCCACCCACCAGGGCCTGATTGGGATGGAATGACTTACCGAAGAAGTACGAATGGAAAGACTGTTTGAATTTTGGTGATGAAGGTGAAGCTGTAGTAAGTTGTGTGACCTAGGCCCATCCCTACCACCCGCCAGAGCCTGTTGGAATGGGTTGACTTACTGGAGAAGCGTGAATAGAAAGATCATTTGAGACAGTGTAAAGATGGTGAAGTTGGTCAAGTTAAAGGCGAAAATCTGTAGTAAGTTGTATAACCCAGGCCCGTCCCTGCCACCCGCCAGGACCTGATTGGGATGGGATGACTTACCGACAGAGCATAAATGAAAGTCGGCCGTGAAGAGTTGCAAAAGTTGATCTATCGCCCAGGCCCGTCCCCGCCACCCACCAGGACCTTTTATATCGAATTCGAGTGTCTATACACACAAGTTAACTAAGACGTCACTAAAATGAAAGACGATGAATACGTACCACTGAGAAGGCGCATATTAAATCGACCCAGGCCCATCCCTACCACCCGCCAGAGCCTTGGATAACGAAGTCGAGTTTCTATACACAAATTAGCCCAAGATGTTGAAGTGAAAAGATAATGAACCCTCACCACGAAGACGATGAATTCTAACCACATCATTCCCTCCCAGTTTCCGATAACCCAATTCAGTCCCTCCCTGTCACAATTAAATCCAATTTCTTTATCCAGGTCAGTTGAGACGTTAAGATAGAAGATGAACACGCACCACGAGATGGCGATTATCGAAGAAACCCAGGCCCGTCCCTACCACCCGCCAAGGCCTTGTTGTAATGTAGTCGAGTTTCTATACACAAATTAGCTAAGAAGTTCGAATGGAAAATGAGAAGACGATGAATGCTTGCCACGAAGATGACGAATCCCAAATCATACCCCCATTCCCAATACCAAAGCCCTGTCCCTTCCTCATATAATGACGTCGAGTTTCTATACGCAAATTAGCTGAAATGCCGACAAGATTGACGTGCCGTGAATTCGTGACCACACCTATTCCCCCAGCTTCCAATAATCCACGCCCGTCTATCCACCCACCAAAATCCCATCATAACGAAGTCGAATTCCAACGCCCACAAACCTCCCAATTTCTGATAACCCGGGCCCGTCCCAACCACCCGCCAGGGCCTCGTTTCTATACACAAATTAGCAGAGACGATAATTGAGTGCTTACCAAAAAACACCTAAACTCTCCCCCCAATATCCGATAACCCAGGCCCATTCCCTACCGCCCAACCAGAGCCTTTTTATAGTAACACGTTTCTGCACACAAATTAGCCCAAACCGCAAACACGAAAGACAGCGAATATATACCAAATCCACAGTCCCTTCCCAACATTCGATAACCCAGGCCCACTCCCTGCCGCCCAACCGGAGCCTTCACATAGTACAGCATTTTCCTTCTACAATATACATGTCAGTCGAAACTGTCAATATGAAGGACAACGAATACTTGCCAAATCCCCAATCCTCCCGCCAACTTCCAATAACCCAGGCCCATCCCTACCACCCAGCCAGAGCCCGAATTTAACTTCCAATCCAATCATAATTTCCATGCATCTATAGAAGTTAGTCGACTGTATGGCTTAAATGAATGAAAAGATACTTGCCACAGCCTACCCCCTAATTTCCGATAACCCAGGTCCGTCCCTGCCACCCAACCAGAGCTGGTTTGAATTCGAGTTCGTGTATCTGTTTCGTTAATCATCATTCCTGTCTAGGAAAGCAGTTGACTGCTTCAATGAATACGAAAAACAGCATACCAAAATTCTTCCTCCAACTTCCGATAACCCAGGCCCGTTCCCTACCACCCAACCAGAGCCGGTTTAAATTCGAGTTCGTATATCTGTTTAGTTAATCGCCATTCCTGTGTAATCATTAGTTAAACTTATGCACACGAAGATGAAGAGAAAATGCGAAACGCATACCACAACCCTCCCTCCCAATGTCCGATAACCCAGGCCCATCCCTGCCGCCCAACCAGAGCCTTGATATAATGTACCGTTTTCAAGAAAAAGGTCAGCGAAACTGTTGAAACGAAGAATGAAGAGCACTTACTAAATACCCCTCCCCAATTTCCGATAACCCAAGCTCCTCCCTGCCTCCCATCCGGAGCTTGGTCATATAATTGAATCTGCATCTATAGGTCAACCGAGGTGTCCAAGCCAAAGACAAGAAATACTTACCACGCCGCAATCCTCCTCAGTTCCCGATAACCCAGGCCCGTCCCTACCACCCGCCAGAGCCAGATTGAAAGTCGAATTCGTTTAACTGCGGTATTAGTCCCTGAATGATCATTAGCTGGCTGAGCATCAATGGAGATGAAAACACGTACCACAACCCTCCACCCTCCCAATTTCCGATAACCCAGGCCCGTCCCTACCACCCAACCAGAGCCGGTTTGAAAATCGAATTCGTATATCTGCATTGTTATTGCCTTCATGGGCATGAGCTGACTGTGCTTCAATGAAGATGAAAAGCGCATACCACAGTCCACCCCCCCAATTTCTGATAACCCAGGCCCATTCCCTGCCATCCAACCAGAGCCTGATCACGAAATTGCATCTGTGTCAATGTAAGATCAGCAAAGCTGTATAACAAAAAGACAAGAAACTCACCACTCCAGAAATGTTCCCCTCCCAATTTTCGATAACCCAGGCCCGTCCCTGCCACCCGCCAAGGCCTGATAGGAATGGGGATTTTGGACGTACCTAGTTTGAAAAAGCGAAGATTGGCTGAGACGAGTTAGTTGAACTGTTAAATAATGACGAAGATAAAGACTGACCACCAACGCCGCAGTAAATGATCTCCCAGGCCCATTCCCTACCACCCAACCAGAGCCGCTGTTCAAATCGTGTTCGTATATTCCGTGTCGTTCTTCCCTATATAGAAATTAGCTGACTGCTTCGATGAAGTTGAAAATTGCACACCATAATCCTTCTTCAATCCAATAACCCAGGCCCATCCCTATCACCCAACCAGAGCCGTTCAAAATCCTGTTCGTATATTCTGTATCGTTATTTCCCTATATAGAAATTAGTTTATTGCGAACGTGCAGATGAAAAGCGCATACCACAATCCTTCTTCGATCCAATGACCCAGGCCCGTCCCTACCACCCAACCAGAGCCGTACAAGTCAAAATCGTATACCTGTATCGTTCTTCCCTATTCATATGTTATTTGACTGTGAATGTGCAGATAAAGATGAAAAGGGCATGCCATAATCCTCCTCTAATCTAACAACCCAGGCCCATCCCTACCACCCAACCAGAGCTGTAAGAATCGCGTTTGTATGTCCCGTATTGTTATTCCCTATATAGACATTAGTTTATTGGGTGCAGATGAACATGGAAATGAAAAACTTATACCACAACCCTCCACCATCCAATTTCCGATAACCCAGGCCCATTCCCTGCCACCCGCCAGAGCCGTAAAAATCGAGTTCGTATATCTGTGTTTGTTAATCGTTATTCCCTAGATATGCATTAGTTGACTTTGCTTCGATGAAGATTGAAACGAAGATGATGCAAATACCGTACGGCAATCCCCCCAATCAATGATCGATAACCCAGGCCCATTCCCTACCACCCGCCAGAGCCGGATTGAAAGTCGAATTTGTGTATCTGTGTCTGTTAATCGTTATTCCCTACCTAGATACACATCAGTTGACTGTGCTTCGATGAAAATGAAGATGAAACACATACCAAAACCCTCCCCCGATCAATGTTTGATAAAAACCCAGGCCCGTCCCTACCACCCGCCAGAGCCGGATTGAAGTCGAATTCGTATATCTGTGATCGTTAGCTGTTAGTTTTCATTTCCTATATTGGTATTAGTTGATTGTGTTTCGATGAAGATGAAAATGAAAATCACATACCAAAACCTCCTCCAAATGTCCGATAACCCAGGCCCATTCCCTGCCACCCGCCAGAGCCTGAAAATGGAATTCGTCTATATAATCTATATAGCCCCTTCTGTGTCGACGTGAATGTTGATCAGCAATGAACGAAGATGAAATAAAAGACGACTTACCAAAACCTCCTCCCAACGTCCTCCGTCCTTGCCACCCCCAAATCTGATAATGGAATTGTATAATCTATATAACCTGCCTTGTGTTGATGTTAGAAATGAGTAACGATGAGGATAAACCAAACTCACCAAAATCTCCTCCAAATGTCCGATAACCCAAGCCCGTCCCTGCCACCCAACCAGGGCTTGAATGGAATTTCTTTTTCTATGTAATAACACCTGCGAAAATGTTAACTAATACTGCATAAAAGCAAAAACGAAGAATACTTACCACAGTTCCTCCTCCCATTTTCGGATAACCCAGACCCATTCCCTTCCACCCGCCAGAGCTAAAATTGAACCATAGTCCGCATGAACCTGTTAGCGTCAGTCGATTGCATGAATATAAAATGTGAAGAATAAGCAAACCTGACCACAACCCACCCCAAATCTCAAATTTCCGATAACCCAGGCCCGTCCCTGCCGCCCAACCAGAGCCCGAAGCTAACATTCGATGCCGCTAATTTTCATGCACCTGTAAACATTAGTCAATTGTATGAACATAGAAGCTGAAGTGAATGAACAAATACCACAACAATCCACCCCCCAATATCCGATAACCCAGGCCCGTCCCTGCCACCCGCCAGGGCCTGATGCTGAAAGAAGCTCCATGTAATCGATATATATGCATGAGGTTAGCTGGCTGCATCAGAACGGTGAAGAGGGAAGACTTACCAAAACCCACCCCCCAACTTTTGATAACCCAGGCCCGTCCCAACCGCCCAACCAGGGACCTGATGTCATAAAAGAATTGCATTGTGGTGTATATAATTTGGACGCCCAAGAGGTTAACAAGTCAAATCGAAGACGAAGACACGAAGATGAAGACACAAAGACAATGACACGAAGACAATGACACGAAGACAATGACACGAAGACAATGACACGAAGACAATGACACGAAGACAATGACACGAAGACAATGACACGAAGACGATGATGGGAAGAAGCATAAGACGATGAAGACTTACTCGACAGCCCACCCCCCAATGTCCGATAACCCAGGCCCGTTCCCTGCCACCCAACCGGGGCCTGTTGGTCCTGTTGTATTAGCTAGATCCGCTTTGGCCTCGTTCTTTTTCTTTTTTCTTTTTTTTTTTTTTATTCTTGTAATTTTTTTTTCTGGCCTTTGATGTGTTTCTTTGTTTCTTTTTCTTTTTCTTTTTTTTTTTTCTTTTTTTTCTCTCTGGTTGTTTGGTTGATGGGTTGTTGGGGAAGTAGAAGTAAGACGAAGATAAGATGGTAATATATGTCAAGATAGATGGAAGGCGGGAAGGTGGGAAGGGACAAGTATCAAAGGAGTGACGAAAGAAGTGACAAACGAATGACAAAAGATGGGAATAGGCAGAAGCAGGAGCAGAGGCAGAAGCAGAAAATGATGATGATGATGATGATGATGATGATGATGCAGGAAGATGGGAGATACGGCAAAAAAAGAGCGAAGAGACGAGTAGAGAAGACGCAGATGATGCAGATGAAGAAGATGCAGAAGAAGAAGATGCAGAAGAAGAAGATGCAGAAGAAGAAGATGCAGAAGAAGAAGATGCAGAAGAAGAAGATGCAGAAGAAGA